AAAATAAAAAAAAAATAAAAAAAAAAGACAGAGAAAAATAACGATTTAAAAATTATTCAAAATAATACTCCGTAAGAAATAAATGAATGATGATTGAAAAGAAATAAATAATAAATAATAATTTATCGACATGCCAATTACCTAATTCCCGTCAGCTCAACTCGAAGGAACCGAGCCAATGGCTGAACGGATGGAAAGGGGGGGTGGTTCAGGTTGGTGCCCATAACAAATAGGGTGTGGTTATAGTTCTCCGCACCTGGAGTCGATCACAGTCCGGGTATGAGGTGGAGTCTCCGTCCAGGACACGGGCCAGAGAGCCACTGACGAGACTCGACAGGTAGGCAGATACTCCGTGCAGGTGCAACGGACAAGGGAAGAGAACCACGGGCAAACTTGCCCAGAGTCAGCGAGTTGGACCTGCTAAAGCAGAAGAAAGGTCAATGGCCTAGCAAATTACGACTCAGGAATCTGATATGGTGGCTTCTTGGGCGTTTTTTTTTCTTTTTTCTCTTCTTTTCTTTTCTTTTCTGTTTTTTCTTTTTTTTTTTGGGTGGTGGGTGTGCGAACTGTGAGTATGTTTTAGGTAGTGATTATTGCTACTGCTGCTATGCTGCTACGGCCAATCAATCAGGAAGGGTGATATGGTACAATGTTTATGGCTTGCTCGCTGATCCGATCATCCAGGCGGAATTCTCCGAGCGCTGACTGTAGGAATCGAATGCGAGCCAGTCAGGTCTTTTGTTCGGACCTTGGGACACGACAAAGGGAGCTGGAATGGAAGACTTCGCTGGATTCTATGAGATCTAAGTTCCAGTTGATTTGCTCACACGACCAATCAGGCTTGGTATGGACAGTGCCGCTTGCGCGTTGATCGCTGATGGCATCAATCTGAATGGGGATTGTCGGAGATAATAGGTACAGGGGTCGATTGAATTGACGACGATGATAGGCAAGTCTTTTTTCAATTGAATCTCAAGTTATCCACCTTTTCTATTAGATAAGAGCTGCTGATGTACACAGTTATACGGATTTCAACTTCCAGTAGTTACCCTTCCAGCACATGTACCTTTTGGGCTATGGATGGCTCAGCAGTCATCATACGAAATATATCAACAGCATAATACTTTGAGACTATGTACTCCGTACGGAGCACTCGATAAATGATGGAGTTAGTACGATTCAAGACTGAAAAGGCACCGGTACCACGGCCCCACCATCCGACACGACAGGGGGAGACGGGGACAGATTACAGAACCATTTACGGACCAGCGATTCTATAATTCTATTGATATTAGGCTTTTTAGTATTTTACGTCTGGCCGGTGGAGAGCGAGAACTGAGGTCGAGGTCGGTCCATGGTCAATTAATGCAACCGTTGGTGACTGCGGCCAAGTGGGGATGGTTTATGATGTCTCTGAACGAGGCATTTTAGAATCACACCTGTAGATTTCCGCGCTTTCTGCCACTAATTTACTAGCAGGAGACTGTTCACGTAGTCCACAGTCCACTGTTCATCTGGACCAAACCGACCCGAGTCTATTGTTGGTTAGATAATAATGAACGAATACAACCCTACAGAAGGTCCTGGTGATGATCGACAACCAGAGATCATAAATCATAAATTATGATCCGAGAAAGGAATGGACAGCAGAGGAATTTACCTAAGTGTAGGTAGGTAGGTAGCATCACGCAGGTCTGTGTGTGTGTGTGACTTGAGGCGAACAGCCAATGACAACCAGCGCAGTTGAAGCGCCTCGAGGGCAACGAGAAAGAATCGTATGAGACGGGCGTTTGTCGAATGCTCATTTTCCCTCGTGCTCATCAAATAAGAGATCGAGTCTCAAAAGTACGTTCGGTCCAGCCTCCAAGCTACCTGACCTCTACCTACCCTGAAACTCGAATCGATCCTGTATGATATCAACGCGCTAGACCGGGTAGCTTCGGTCCATCGGCAGATAATCGGGCCCCCAGTGGAGAAGGACTTCCGAATTCCGAGGCCATTCAGAGTTCATTAGTTACCGCAATCGCCTATCTAGACCAAGACAGACAATGTAGGTGGTACGGTACCTACAGCTGGATAACGCACACAATAAGATTATCATTATTATTGATCTGGGAAAACACTCTGACCGAAGGTGGGTAGGTAGATAGTTGGGCCAGGTCAGGTAGCAAAAAAGAAAAATCACTTCATAGGTCATCCTACAAACCAATACGAGTACCTACTACCTACTACCTACTACCTACTACCTACTACCTACTACCTACTAGATACTAACTACTACTATCTATCTACCTTAGGATCTAGCATCAAGTTCTACATACCGAGTGAGACAAGGATCCCCGAAGCAAAAAGTCTAATATTTCACCGACGGTTGAAACCGTCCAGGGCACACACAGAATACGAGCCATCCGAAAGCTTCGCGGCTGTTTTTACGTGTTATCTACCTGTCACGGTCCATGAATCATGATTCTCGCATTTTAAAGTTAACCACGTAGCGTGTGGAAGATGGGATGATCCTGGTTTCGGTTTCATCGGTCTCAGGAACGCATCAATTCGGCAGATCTTGCTTGTTGTTATTATTATTCCCGTACAACAACAACGGCAACAACAACAATCTAATGATGACTATTATTGATTGGTAGATTTCGCAAAGATTACCTAAGGGTATAATGGCTATGTTATATAGCCAGTGCGCCCATCAATCATCACTTGAGAAATTCCCTCAATTTCCCATTGGGAAAATCAACCTCATTGCTGTGTCGTCATCAGAAGAATTAGGTAGCGCCATTGATATCACACTCTTGTATGGAGGAGGAGCCGAGCAGTCGAATGAGTCGTAAATGATCGTCGGCCATCGATACATAGGTGTTACTCCGTAGGTACCTACCTTCGGCACTCTGTAGCTTCCTCCTCTCCCAGTCTTAGAGAGTAGTAGGTAGGAGTAGCCGTGTCATCATTCCTTCGACCTTACGCAGTACTTTTCCCATCAAGAAACAGACACGAAGAACTCCCGGCTGAGAAGTCCACGCCACCAACAATCCTTGATTATAAATAAATCGGATATCCCATCAGACAGACGACTCCCAAATCCCAATGGCATCATACAAAGTAGCTTACAGAAATTCTGGAATGGGGGATCGCTAAGTAGCCAAACGCCAACGGGGGGTCACATAAGAGTCCACGGAGTTATAGACATGGGGATCAAGGGACGAGTAATTCTCCGTGACAGGCAATCATCGATCAAGGGACTCCCGCCCCCTCCCGCTGATTCCCTGCTTTGACCTGCGTCCGTGTCTGCGCCTTTCTAACTTTGACCGTACTGTGTAGTCTACAGACTCCAGTATCTCTCTGGAAATCTGAATACAACCTGCTACTCGCTACACCTACTTAAGGTAGTAGATAGATAGTAGTAGCGCGTACGGTCCTCTCTGCATGATCGGAATCAAGCACAGAAAACAACTTAGCCCCAAAGTGCCCCCCATCCGACTTGATTGGGTACACTCTCCTCGAAATACTTCACCCGTGCTGGGAATGGCGTATGCATCGTTTCGTCCTCGGTCGCCCCGGTCGTAAGTTCCCAAGTTCGTAAGTTCGTAACCCATCCAAGCCGAAGTTTCCAAGTTCATCGCATCCATCCAACCTTCGTCCAGTCGTCCACATCCTCACTTCCTTCTAGTCTATCATTTATATCTATCTTGTCCTTTGCGTTCCTTAGTCTCTACCTAGTCTCTCCTATCTAACACTTTACCGCAAGGTGCCTCAGCGTAATATCCGCTACTGCATGGCGTAGTCCAGACTCCAACAAGCAGCGGAAATCCACTATTCTGTTGGCTGTGCTCTTCGCTTTTCCCTTGTGCTCTCTCTCTCATTTTTTTTTTCTTTTTCTGTCGCCCTCTCTCTCCGTCCTCTCGATTTTCCTGCGAACACTGCACTGCAGGAAGAAAGGACATGTGACAGGACAGTCAGGACAGAGTAGTCAGACACCAGGCATGAAAGGTAGACAGCAATGCCACCGCCTGTCAAAGAGATGAGACAGATGTCTTGTGTAACAAGCCATCAAAAGAGAGGCAGAACAAAAAAAAAAAAAAAAAAAAAGTAGTGTCCGAATGAGTCGCCAGTCGACACACGGATAAGAGAGAGAACCTAAACCTCCCCCTACTCAGCTCCTACTATAGATACCATACAGTAGAGAGAGTGAGGTGCCAACCTACAGAGTCCACTCAGTATTCATCCCGTTGCACAGAGCTAAAAATGACCGGCGAGTAGAACTGGGCATCTCGCACAACGGGGGAACACAGCTTCGTCCTTGAAGTTGATGATCCAAGGTCAATGTTTCTCTCCCTCTCTTTTTTTTTCTTTTTCTTGTTCTTTTTTTATTCCCTTCTTCTCCCTCTTTTCTACGCTGTGTAACACTCACCACTCACCACTCACCATCTACGCACTTACCTGAGATGACTCTCTCCCCCACCCTCATTGTGAGTGCTGCGCTAATAATCAATTCCGAGGTGGCCGGGAATGCATGGGAGAGTCATGAGAAGGGTACGAATGTTTGCTTCGTGCATGAGCGGATTGGCCAGGTGTGGGATGGTGAAGATTAGGTACCTTAGTTAGTAGGCAGGCTAGGTGGCTAGTCCGGTACCTAACTACCTACTACTACAGTCGACTACAGGCAACTGACGCACGGCAGGCGGACTGGACGGGATTGGGACGTTGACACTGGCAGTGGACACCATCCATGACTTGCGACGGTGTGTCTATCCTGGCTTGCGATCGTCAACCCGCGGCGCATTTCAGCTAGAAGGAGTTTCTGGTATTCAAGAATGCAACCTCCACCTAAGCCAGATTGTTTCGTCATATCTAGATATAGGTATTGCTGTTTTCAATACTTTTTTCAAACCCCCCCAAAGGCATTCGGTGGCAGAAAGTTCTCATCCAGTCCAATGTAAAAATCATGCCATCATCCCATATCTCAAACAATTAAACAAGAAATGACGGGAAGCTCATGCCCGGTTAGGCTCCGCGGTCAATTGACCTGCGGCCGTCGGTCCCTCAAGTCGACGGGGTGGCTCATCATCTTCATCTTCGTCGTCGCTGGAACTGCCATCCCTGCGACCATGGAGGCGGTCCTCCTCTCTGCGTTTGCGCCGTTCTCGTAGATATTCCTGGTAGCGGGCATCTGCGCTCATTGTTAGTTGCTGCAAACTATCTGTATCTTGTACGAAATAGCCATACCTCGGATCTCCTGCGTCTTGACGGCGTACGCCTGGATCTCCTCCTTGCTCAGCACCCGCAGGACAATCACATACTCGGGTCGCTCCTCATAGCGCTCATTACCGGCCTCCAGCGCCGCTGGATTGACCAGTCGCCGGTCGATCTTAGTCCATCGCGCCCCGGGCGGGATTCCTTTCTTGCCCGCATCTTTCAACGGTGCTACTCCTTCCCGGATTGGATTGGGTTCTTCAGGAAACTTCTCTCGCGGCTTCTTCAGGATCCCCTTTGGTGGCACATCGGAGTCCTTCTGAGGGGTCTGCTTGAGATCTTCCTGGCTGCTGCCTGATCCTCGTGAGCTTGTCTCTCTTCTCGACGACCCGTTCTCTCCGCGGTGCCGCGAGTGCGACGATCGGCGCCGATGGGCCCTTTCCACAGTCAGGTGCTGTAACTCTTGGTCTTTGCTACCAGTTGAGGATGAGTCGGAGGCTCCAGGGCGTCGTCGAACTGCTGAGGGCTCCCGACGGTAGTTCTTTAAGTCCTCGTCGGATGTGTAACCATCGGATTCACTCTCGGTTCTCCGTCTCGATGGTCTCCGTGATCGATGACGGCGCCGATGACGATCATGGTCGTGGTGATCATGGCCGTGGTCATGGGAGCGGTGGCGGTCGCTTCGAGGCGTGAGGTCATAATCAAGATCGTCCCCATAGCCCGTAGCAAGAACAGCAGTCCCAAGCCCCGTTGCCGGTGCGGCCGCCACAGAGTCAGCAGAGCTGGTAAGTCTCTTGGGCACTCTTTCCTCGTAGGATTTTCGGCTACTCTGGTCATCGTCATGCCGCCGACTGCGAGTATTATGGTGACGGCCTTCGTAGTCATCTCGGTGGGGAAGATGCCCATCTTCGTAGTCCTGATGCACCGAGACCGGTCTTCTCTGTTGCCAGGACATGCGCCGTGGTTCCCTTTGATCCACATCGCTGCCGACAGATCCATATCCTGACTGCCGGGATCTCGCGTCACGATCAACCTTGTCGAACCCTCTATGCGAGGGTGGGGGGCCCAGGGCTCGAGGGTCCTTCCTTGGAAGCAGTTGAGGGTCGTCAGGCCCAGTCAGGCTCAGCGGCCTCTCCCTGCTGCTATAGGCCGATCGGCCATGATTCAACCGGGCAACCGATTCCTTCTCGAACTGCTCTCTGGGGTTCGTGTAAGAGTAAGCATCGTAGTCATCGATGTCCTCCCCTTTCCGGAAGCCTCCTGGAGCTGGATAGCGCGGACGGTGACCGTGATCGTAGTCTCGGTGGCCCCCATGGCTCATTCGGATTTTCATTCGTCGGTCGTGCGGCTCAATCCGACCGGTATCACTCGCGTAGTCCATCGGGTAATATCGACTGTGATGCCGACCGTGGCGAGAAGAGGATGCGGGAACGAGGTAGGGGCCGTGGTTTGGTAGAGGACTCGGTGACCGGCGGTGGCTCGTGGCGACGACGGGGGAGTGTCGACTGACGGGAGAAGGCACGCCGAGCCGCGCGGGGCTATGATGGGTATCTGCAGCGGAAGTGGTACTACTGCGCGGTCTCGGGCGGATTGCATATTCGGTCCTCAACTTGGTGGAGTGGCCGGGATCGCGGTATGTGGTAGAAGAAATGGGCTGGACCTCGAGTCTGGGCTCGTGCGACATTCGAGGAGTGTAGCCACCCATGTATGGGACATCTGAAGGATAACCAGTGTATCCCAGACGGCTAGCGGATGATTCGTAGAGGCCGTAAGAAGAGCTTAATGGCACCGTTCCGGTCGAGGCACGCATGGGATCAACCATGCGGTGGCCGCTCGGCGACCCAGGCCGGTAACGCACAGAAGGGTCCATGATGACTCTGAAAGGGGAGTGTTTGCGTTGCTTTGTTTGTGGATGTAACGGGTTGAAGATTGATTCTGTCGTTGATAGGAGATGGAATGACTGAGAGGAGGGAGAAGACTGACACAATCTAGTGTGCACGAGGGGTCGTAGTAAAGAAAAGCTTACGAGAAGCAAGGAAAAATGAAAGTATTCAGAGTGATCGAAGAGGGTAGAAGGAAGGGTGGATAAAATTAGTAAATGAGGCTGCTCAACAGGGCCAGAAATCTCGTTCCAGAGGAAACAATGACTCGGGCACCGGGCCAACACGCACGAGGCGAAGACGAATGCAGATGATGATGTTGATGATGATGATGATGATGATGAGGCGGCAGAGGGGCAAAAGAGAAGAAGAAAAATGGGGAATAATAATAATACTAAAGAAGAACGGAAGCGCTTTACGGTTAGCCTCGATTTCAAGCTGTCTTAACTCTTAAGGCGCAAAGCAGAGAAATGTGGGGATTGTCGATTGACTCGATCCAGCACTACTTACTTAGACATCAAATAAGGGAGGATCTGACGTTTGCTGGCACGGAGAAGCCTCACAATGAGGATGGCGATGGCTATCTATTATTTATTTGTTGACTGGAAGTAAAATGAAAGGAGACCTGGTGGACTGACTACTGGAGGCAAGTGAAGATAGCTGCGACTACGTCCCCAGTACCATTGATTAATGATGCTGCTGGTGGAATGGAGTCTTCCATAATAATAATAATAAGGTTGAGGCTGTTTCAATTGTATTAAATGAACATAAATATTATTAATAATATGAAAATGTATCTTAAAACATTCATAACTGCTGTGACGCAAATAATAGTGGGGATGGCTTCACTTTCGCTGTTTCGTCATCATCGTAATCGGGCAATCCGTCTGCAGCCAATCAAGAACTGTTAAGAGGTGGTGGATAAGGTCCACGATTAAGATGCTACTACTACGGAGTATGTCGAGTTGTCAGTGTCAGTGTCAATGTCAGTGTCAATGTCAATGTCAATGTCAATGTCAATGTCAATAATAATATTGATATTGAACCCATTACCATCTCCATTTCTGACCCATGGATGTCCTTCCACTGCCCCATGTGTGTTCCATCGATGGATCTTCGCCCATCCGTGTTTCCCGCAACTCAATTGCTACAACATCAGGTGACTTTCCCATCCTCACCTCCAACAACACTACATCTCCACCCAACTCCCTGAGTGGAGTGGAAATCAGAAGTCTCTGAGATTTCAAGGAGCATTTGATCCATTCCATTGCTCGTCCTCAACATGACTCATCAGCTGATGATACTTTGGATTATTCCTGTACAACCATCAGCATTCTGCGTCTTTTTCTCAACAGTGACTGGTCACCATGGAGGATGGGCTAGAGCTGGTTCAGAAGATCCCGAATCCCAATGCAGGACCAGGTGACTACACTACTGCGTCGGAATGGCAACAATGCAATATGCGTGAAAAGAGCCCTTCGGTTCTGATTCGCGTACTAACTTCTTCAAGGCAAGAGGGCAAAGTTTCCATTTCACGGTTCATCATACCGTTGCCAAGATGTCTCAAACTCCAAGAATATCAAAATTGACGATATCTTTGCGATCGGACCGACAACGGGGCGAGCATGGTCCGATGGTAGAAGGGGAGAATTCAATGTGACCAGAGGTCCTTGTAAGATCTCTTATGACACCACACATGTATGGATGAGGTCGAGTACGAAGAGCACTATGAATGCGTTAGTCCAGCGGGAACTAGCCTGTCTGGATAAATTCTGGGGGTTTCCTCGAGATTGCTAGCAGGGTATATACAATGGGCCTGGTGGTTGCTCCCCGACAGAGGACGCAAGTCTGCAAAGACGATAGGTCCCGACTTGCTTCGTGCATGTCGGCATCAGGAAACCTTACAATCAGTACTAGGTCTGATTGGGTTGACATTTAATGATGGTAAGCTACTTGTTCAAAAGCTAAGTTCTTGCTGATGTCGTGAGGGATGATGTATGGAGACAGTTGGTTGGGGAAGATGAACATGGCAGTCCAAGTGAACCATGTCCTTGACACTACACCAAAGATGACTTGGATGGACAGAATCAACAGTATGCCAAGTGGGAGAGGGACGTCGAGAAGGAAGCACGGGTGATCGACGAAATAGGAGTGTATATGGGCTGGAATGGCGCTGTATCTCCGGGCGATTATGATGAAGTTTTTAGGAGACTGGAGGATTTCAAGAAACAGTTGTTAGATCGTCCATCCGGTTGAATAGAAAATCTGGAATGAGAGTGCTTCAATCACGATTTTATCTGGAGAGTCGGGCTCTTTGGTTGGGCTGGCGATCACACAACGTCGGCCTTTTTCGCAGGTTATTACGACCCTCCATAAAACCCCCTCCCCAGTCCCTTTGAGAACACTGTGAAATCCCTCTCTCTTATTTCCATTGTTCACAGTAGCAACTTGAACTGACGAGCACCTCCATCTTCCCCTATGAGGCCTTCTACTTTCATCTCTTTCTGGGTTATACCTACATCCTGACGACCCTGTGCGTCCGACAATGTCATCCTCTTGACCCTACAGCCAAGCCCAGGTCTTTTTGCCCCATTCCTGACAGCGCAAAGGGTTCGGTCAGAATGTTATAGCACGGAGTACTCCTGGATCGACTACGCTAGGCATTGCCGCACTTGGTATTTCAGTCATGTCATCAGGCCAAGGCCCTTGGTGCAGACGGTCAATTATCGAGATCCTTGTGTCCAAGCTCTGAGCTCCTCGATCCGTCTTTGAATGGCCTCGTTCGTGGCTCGGAGACGCCACGAATGATCATCTGCTCTTCACCAGACGGGCAAAACGAAAACAAAGCGTTGCGCGATTTATTCCTGAAGGACTGACGACTGGCTGAATCTTCAGGGTATTGACGTTTTGCACCAGGCGATCAATCAAGCTAGTGTTTGTTGCGGTGATGATGCGGTTATTCATGACCTGCCCTTGATGCCGTATCAGGCAGGGCGCATTCGACTGACCGAATCCTTGTCGTCGATCTCTATTCGGCTTCTCTTCAGAGTTGAAGCTTTTTTTGTTACCTAGAAAGGGTCCATTCTCCATCGGCTAATTGTTGCCAGGTTCAAAGACTCCATGCGAAAATCCTCAACAGCCGCCTTTCACTCTTCATCCTCATGAAGGTTGACGGCATCCGTGTCGCCATTGCGATAATAACAGGTATATAATTTTGTAGGTGCACCATGAAGAACGATCGCTGCGCCACTGGCCGTCTGAAGGCCTGTCAATCCGGGCAAAAATCCTTCTGCTTCACTCAGTCCTCGAAACAAGCCCCATTTGAGAGCTCCTGCGTCGATGCCTGTTTCACCCTACATCCGCGATCTTGTTCAGGCAGCTATCCAGACTTCCAGTCCAGATGCCCATTGATGCGAAGATCTTCTGCTCCGGCATGCGGCAGCATGCGACCCTTAAATCTCAAAATTCGGTACACCGAGTCAGAAGGTCTTCGTCGCTCATGCCGGGGCATCGTCTGTCTCGATTCCCGGGCTCAAGCCACAATACGGTTACGCATCGCCATCCGTTCGCTTCGTTTCCTTTTCACCCCCGTACGGCAAAATTCGCTTCACTGGTGCTCGGTAGCCCAGGGAGTGGTCTCTTGAGTCTGCATATCGTCACCGGTGCGCTCGAGTATGGGCTCCACGGGGGGGGGGATGGAAGTAGCATATATAGCATGGTCGTGGCAGGTTGAATCGTCGATATCTCTCAATCCCTTCTCAGGCTTCCCCATCGATATAAAGCAAGCTCCTCAACTCCAGCGGCATCTACCATACAGTAACTGCGTCTTTCTCTGCAAGCTCGTTGATATCTAATCCCAAATATTCGTTCAGCAGTACTTTCGAAAGCATGTCTTCTCAGCTCCGTACTCCCTACCCTACCACTGCCATGTCGCACCCAACCCAGACTGCAGCACGTACATCACCACCTCCGCGGCCCCATCGATGCCAAAGGACGGCACCACACCCACTTCAGCAGCGTAGCAGCTACAACTACCACGCTGCCATCATGCCCTCCTCAGCACCCAGAGCACGACATGCAGACTGCCATGCTATCCATCAAATGGCCCGACCTTCCATGAGAGGCTGGTGGAAGTGCTGCGGCTGTGGCGAATCAAACAATCCGGCCCTAAGTGATGGCATTTGCACCAACTGCAATCATGGAAGGTGCTATTCCTGCTCTGATGTTTAGGCGCTTGTTCGGTCCATTGTGACGACTGGTGATGCTCGTGAGCTGGGTTCTATTGTATCCATACTGTACAGTGTTTGTGTCTTTGTTCTTGTTTTCTTCTTCTTCTGCTTCTGCTTCTGCTTCTGCTTTGACCATGTTTGCTTTCCTAACTGTCTCCATTAATATACTATTTACCTTCCCTTTGTTTTTTTTTTTTTTGTTTTTTTTTCTTGGTGTGCCGATGCATCATTGTATAACTAGATAGAGAGTGAGAGGGATAGATAGCGTTGCTTTGACTGCATTGATTAGCGATGCTTGTTTCTTATGCATTATGAATTACTATCAGCTTGCATGTGTCCACAGGTAATCATCATAAGTGTAGACATTCGTATCATCATAACAGAGTTTGACCAACCTTGTCAGACACATGGGCCTCAGAGCACCCGTTGTTGGGGATATTAAAAATAAATTGGTAATAGTCAAGGTAGGTATTTCAATTACGTCGTCTATGCTTCCCGTGTTTCCGTTCATGTCTAGATCTTCGCTCGGTGCCCGCTAGAGTCTCCGCCGCTGCAGGGGGCTCTAGGCCAGCCTCTTTCTTTAACCTCGACACGACCGGTCCCAACGCAAAAGCACTTTCGCGATTGCTGTGGTCAGCACAGGGGCTATGCTTAAGTGGGAGCAGCCAATCCAGGAACGAGTAGCCCATCACCTGCTGTAGGTTCTTAAGGGGACTCCCGAGGTCGAACGGGTTCTCCCCTGGCAGGGTCTGCAGGATGGCGAAGACGTGCTGTTCTCCTACTGGGAACTCTCGCGCAACCTCTGATTCAGGAGGAGGCGGAGGAGGGAGAGGATAGGTGATGGTGCGGAAGGTCGGTGCCCACCGGGAATCTGGGCTGAGGTTGCTGAGAATGTGGCTCGGCACGCGGATTGCCAGCGACCAGACTGCAGAGCGACGGTTCAGGTTTTCAATTGTCGTCAGATTGTAGGTGGCAAGTTGTACAGAGCTTAAGGTCATTCCAAAAGAGAAAAAGCCAAATAACGCGCTCCTAGATGATGGTTAGGAGCTCATTCTTGATCGAGTTGGAGATATACTCACAATGCAATGCCAACAATCCAATGTGCATTAGTCTTTCCGTCCTACCATGGCAACATTTCGTCAATCATGCGAAATTTTCGAATTAGCGAAGTCTTACTCACCCGTTTCAACTCCGCGGTGTATATCGCGAATACAATGAGGACGAATATACAGTAAAGCATCGCATACACGATGAATTGGATGAAAAACTTGAAGGATGTCTCTGAAACTACACCACCCACCCTTCGATTGGTATTAGCCTGGATTCGACCGTAACGAGCACGGGGGAAATCCTCCAGAAAATCCACTTACCAAGGACAAAAATGGTCCATTTTGCGCACACAGCGGTCGACTTCTCGACAGTGGTGCGCTCGATCCGTTTTAAACTGACAGCACGTGGAGCAATACGCCGGTCTTCCGTCTGGCTGACAAACAAAGACATCTTTCGTGTAGAAGCTCTCTAATCCTTCTGCATCCAGCGGATATGCCTTTGCTCCGGCATTGTACTCCAGCCCTCTTTCAACATCTTCGTCGGGCCGATCCGCTTTCTCTGTGGACCGGGGTTCTTGGTGCCCGCTTTTCCGTCCACGATGCTTGCGATGACGGGAGCCCGACTTCTGGTCGCCTTCCTGATCTCGGGAAGACGGCTTACCCCGTGGTAGATAGCCCGGGTTGAATACCACGTTATACAACAGTCGGAGATATGTGATCAATACCGGAATGATGAGGACGTAATAGACGACCAGGATGGCGATGCCAGCGCCAGTCCGGGGCTTGCGGTCATAATGGCGAGCGGGATGAAGGAGGTAGTCGACTGCCGCTCAACTGCGCGTTAACATTGCTCTGATAGTGATGAAACTGGGGGACAGAGTGACTGACTGCAAAGGGGTTTCGTGATCGCATAGCTAGCATAAGCAAAGGCCCCTAGTAAGATAGGAGGGATTATCCTAGCGACCGCGAGATTTACGCGTTTATCGGCGCCCCGAGGTGCCATTTGAAGCTAATTTTGAAATTCCTGCAATCGTCTGTGCATTGAGGAATGGAGATAAGATAGAAGGCTTCAGGAGAGTTTTGCGAAAGACACATCTACACTGGATATCACGATGGGTAAAGCTTCGAAAATAACTGATAACAAAGTCTACACTGGGCAGATGCCCAGGAGCATGACTTTCGATGAACAACTGCAAAAAATCGGATGGGACAGGAACAAACTGAAGGACGGTGGTCAGGATGAGGCTGTTCCAGGAACATGACGATCAGTGATTGCAAACATGACAAACATCAGACATGACGTACTCATGTGCACTGATCTCGGCAAGGCTGAATAGTTGACACTCTACTACAGAATCCAAAGGACTCGAGTCAAAGCTTCATGGAAGCATTTAATTGTTCGATTGAACGTCACCCTTTTCTGTGGAGTATACGGAGTAGCTCCCGGCTCCCTCAAACCTAGGTGCTCAAGCATCTCTTCTGTGTCTCAAACACCGTCCTACTGTAGAGAGCAAAATATATCCATGCGCACTAGGCTTCTCCGAATTCCAAAAACAACACCGAGAACCGATCAACTTTGGAATATGCAGTTGTAGGCACAGGATTTCTCTGCTTGGCCTAAGGCTGACATCTTGTTCCATTACGACAGTCAGTATCGTTAATTGTTGAGAACGTACTATTGCGGACGGGGCTAATCTTCCGGGGAGAAGCCGAGACGACTAGAGGGCGGATGATAGCCAGGTAATTCCTCCCACTAAGCCAGTATGACTGATAGTGGGCTGTGGTATTCTGAGATCACAAAATCTGTGAAGCGTGGCTGATCAGGGATTGTGAAACCTAGAAGCACACCGGTGATACCCATAGCAGCAGAAATCGAGACAGGGGAGGAACGAGTTGAGGGAACTCGTTTGAACTGCGTGTCAGGAACATGCAGTGTAGCAGTATAGACCCATACTCCTAATAATAGTCGTAGTTAGTTGCAGACAAAGAATGAAAGTGGGAGCAATGATGCGAGAGAGACGAGGACAGCAGGTCAGTAGCACCTGGAGTCATCTATTTTTAATGTCCATTGAACAATGAATCACTGCATTGCATACTCCTGTCATCTTCGACGCTGAACAGAAGGTTATTGAACGTCATCGCCGGGAGTGTCGAGCAGAGTGATGAGATACTAAGTCAGTCAACCGTGAGGAGGGCTTAGGCAGCAGGAGCACGTGGGGAGCAGTTGAGAGTTAGCCTATGCTGACTGCTGCAGTCCGGGCAGGATTTGACCGACAGATGCTACGGCGAAATCAGCATTCCGAGTGCAGGAGACGGGTGCAAGAGACGGTCAGGGGTCTGATAATCCCGAGCCTGTCTGCCTCAGGTATGACTGTTCTCTCATTGTTTTATTTTTTTGCTTTTATCTTTTATATTATTAGGTATTATGGTCGAGAACAAATCATGCAAGGCCGAATGGTGACGGAATCTTGGGATGGGCTTAGAGGATCGTTGCCTGAAAATGGTGGTACTAAAAGCGCCGAAAAGTGGAGCGCATTCTCGACAGGATGGACTATGGAGTAAACGGGACTCGATCTCAGCAGGCAACACACGTGAGAATCGAAATGATGATGATGACCAAAGAAGCCAAGAAAATATCAAAATGAAGGTGAAAATAAGATATACCAATCCTGCCAAGTGGTGAGGGTGAAAAGGGCGGGAAACAGAGGGCACTCGGGCAAATGCGACTAGTCCAAGCCTTGCTGAGTTCCGCCTTTTGGACCATAGACAGTTGACCTTTTGTGAGGGACTGAGTCAACATGGATGCTGTCTCTTGCGGTCATCCTGATCTTCTACTAAGATGAGTTGCACACCGATTCATAAAAAAAGAAAAAGAAAGAAAGAAAGAAAGTATGACTTCAGCGTTGATGTTGTGAGGGTATCTAGGCACAGATGGACCCCTCCGGGCCAAATTGCCCTAAGGCCAAGCCACATCGATCGACTGCAATCCTATCTAATGGCTTTTTCGAATACCTCCGTACTCTGACTCCCTACGAAGGCAGATCAGCTAAGCTCCTCTGACTAGGTTGCTTGCCTGGTCCCATCACTGATGATTCGCTGCGGAATATGGGGCGCCTTTTGAGGCCTGGGGCTTTTGCCTGGAGAAGCCACGGGCTTTACCCTCCTGAAGATATGCCTTGCTCATTGTCTGATGTGAATCATCTTTGTAGAGGATCTCATCTTATTGTATATAAAAGATTGCTTCAAACCCTCACGGGGGATTCCTTTCCTTCATCATCAACATCATCTACCACACTTCTCTACAGACACAAGACTCTTAAAGCTCCTAGTACTTGCTTTCATACCATCTGAGATTTCATATCATCATATCAACCAACTCATCTATCTCAATCATGTCTGCTTTCCGGTCTACTGAGGACATCAGCAACAACATGAACACACTACACAACTGCCACGACGTGGCTCCATATCCTTGCACGTCTGCTGCAGGAGGATTGCACCACCCCATGGTTCATGAAGCCGGCCTACAGAGCCCATCGCTGCCATACACAGGCATTCCCGAGAGCTACTTCAACGGCCGCGCGGGCCAAGCGATCGACATGGGCAAAGTCTACAGCAACACATACATGTACATCTGTTGCCAGTGTGGAGACGGACCCAAAGTCTACAATGTTCAACCACAATGCATTATATGCCAGCACATTGCGTGCTCCAGCTGCCGTGAAGTCAAATGAAGACTTGTTGATGACACTACATTGAGGTAAGAACTGCTCCTTTTGCCGAATATAATGGGGGCCAATGCTCATACAATGTGCTTGCAGAATATCAGGAAGGCTGCGCCTACCTATTGTACAACGCATTTTGGATTTTGGTTTGAGTTGGTCACTTTGAGCGAAGTATTAATGAACATGGACACGGCATAAACATGAAACATGAAACGAACATGGGCATGGGAGTTTGGGGGGGTGGACGAGGAGGAGGAGATCTCTTTTCTCCACTTGATCTTGTTTCTGTTTTCTTTGCATATTTGGGTTGTATAGACTTGGGTTGTCTCTTGGGATAGACTGTTTCTATTGATGGATCTTCTGCTTATGATGCGACAGGAGAAGGGGCTGCAATGAGTTGAGCCGGTCTTAACACATTGCGCCTTGGGCAGTGGAGTTTGTTGTTGAATTTTGTTGTGCTATCTGCTTCTTTGTTCTACTGTTCTACTGTTCTACTGTTCTACTGTTCTACTGTTCTACTGTTCTACTGTTCTACTGTTCTACTGTTCTACTGTTCTACTGTTCTACTGTTCTACTGTTCTACTGTTCTACTGTTCTACTGTTCTACTGTTCTACTGTTCTACTGTTCTACTGTTCTACTGTTCTTCTGTTCTTCTGTTCTTCTGTTCATCTGTTCCTTCTTTCTACAGTTTTATTTTCTCCTTTTTTTCTTTCTTTCTTTTGTGTTTATTGTTAGATGTTTGATGTTTTCTGACTGAGTTGAGAGTTTAATCACATTGTTCTCTGCCAGAAATATGCCATGGTCTACACAGTATGCTTCTCAAGCGTTTCCCAGATGTACAGTAGTCCGAATTCAGTATACTCCGTAGCCGGGCGCCTTGTTGCCTGGGGCTGCCTAGAATGGAGACCGCGTGCCCTAAAAGTACGGAGGATCACTGGTTAATCTAGTCGATATTATTCTAATATGCTCAGTACTCTCCTATATCGCCTAGGATAATAATATTCCATCGCTCGAGTCACATCAATTCAAGATTGAACAACCCTGTCGTGCAGATCAGCCACTACAACACTGCATCTTTAGCATCATTTCTCGTTTCGAGCCGCAGTCGATCCTTGACAAGGATGACATGCATCCCATCGATCCACATTCCACCATTCTTCCACCGCCCTTTCTGTCGGGTTTTGTATTGCAGTCAACCCTGTGGCCGGCGGAAAAGGGCGGGCTTCGTCTAGATTCAGCCCTACTTGTCGAGTTGTCGTCTTGTCCTTCTGCAGTGGATCTAGATACTCCTACTTGGTCGAGTTCGGGAATACGAGGGTGGGCTGTGTTGCGCCCGGATTCGACTCTACCACTAAATACAGTGACTAGTTGCTATCCTACAAAATCAGAATGGAGTGTTCTAGTCTAACCGTCATTAGAATAATTAGGGGACAAGGCATACATCCGAGCCAAGAGGATGGGAATAACTCCGTCTATTCTGGCGAAAATCAGCCTTGTCTATCTTTGTCTCACGCACTATTATTTCCGCTCATGGGTAGATTCACTCTCTCTAGTCTCTCCACTTGTCCTGCCTGCAATAACCATCCACCATATCCACATCAGAATGCTCATACTGACAGATGTTTCAGTTGGAATCACCATGCTGAATCATCGTCATCATCATCACCATCATTATGGCTTAGGATGTTGCAGATCAACCAAACTCGTAATAATCGTCTTGGATATGCAACACCCTTCTAGAAACAAGTTCTATACCTCAAACTGCACACTGACAAGACACAGACATAGTTACCAACCCCGACCCATGAGCCTCAGCCGAGACGAGACACTCACCTCCGCGGGGTCGCGATAGGCGGTGTTTCGCCAGCTGCCCCGATATCTTTAAATACCATCATTCTATTCTGGATAGGTAATCGCGATAGAGTAGATGAGTTACAATGGCATAGATCGAGCAGGAGGATACCATGCAAGTCTCTGCATCTCTGCCGCTCAACGTGGTCGGCCCCTTTGCCAAGGTCGCTGTCTTCCTTTGATCGCACCGTTCAGCTGGGATGGGGGCCAGATCTATAATCGTCAGCTGAAAACCATGATGAAGACGTTGGAACCGTTAGCACTAAATGATCCTTTTTTCCCCCCCCTGAATTATGAATTGTATGATGTGAGATTCTCTTCGTTCCTAGGTTAGAGGTATATGTCTCCCCGAAGAATAAGATATAGTTCTAGGTTGACTATATATATTTACCCTGCTGATTATCGTCTCACGGCGCATAGCAAAAGTACGACGGTCAGTACCTACTTACACACACACACTCTCTCTCTCTCTCTCACTCTCTCACTGTCTACCTTGAGACCAAGCAGCGTCACCGTATCACCTAAATACCAGAACTATCCCATCCTCAAAACACCTAAGAATAGCAACCCCAGTATCATATCCATGCAGATACCCAGATATTATTTTTATCTCCCCGCATACGACCTCGCAAGAGGTAGCCCTGCAAATCAAATATACACCCCACAAACCCCAACAAAGGATAAGACAAGACAAATAACCAAGACTGCAAGGGTCTAAGTAAGAGTCAAGAAGAAAAAAAAAAAAAAAACCACGCGATGACCGATGACTCAGATCTGCATGCTGCAGAGCCCATGACTCAAGATGTCTTGTCTTGTCTTGTCTTGTCTTGTCTTGTCCTTTTTTCCTGAGCGATAGATCGATAGACTAGGTACCTAGTACTCTGTAGGTACTCAACACACAGCCCCTTGCGCCAGAGTGGGATCATCGCACCATGCTTCGAGAATCTGTCTACTGGGTTCGATCTTACTGTACATAGGTATATATGTATATCTTGAATAGAGGATGGAGGATAGACCGTGATATCATTTGGATGATATTGCTCTCGCTCTTGTTGTCGCTGGTGTTATTGGAGGGACTCATGACTTACGCCTACCGCCCCAGATTTACAATCTCCACACAAACGCACGTCCTGCACTCCTGCGCCTCTCTGGCTGCTCCTGTCTGTCCATGCGCCTTCAGACGTCCGATCCCAGGTCCGACATTCGGGATATTCCATGGTCTACCGGGCGCAAGGCGGCAAGCGGGAACGGCAAGGATGGGTGTACCGAGGGAGTTTGTACTATTGACTCCATGTTCCAAAAAAAAGTTATCAAGAATGCAAACGAGTTTGACAATTCACTATCGCTATGTACCTTCTACCGCCCTGAACGCCCATGACAGCTGTCTGTACTCTTTGCTTGTCTGGCCTGTCCTGCGCTGTACCAAGACAGGCACTCAATGATCAGTCCACGCACCGCTGCAGAGGTCGATGCTGTCCTGCTAGAAGTCCAGGACCTCGTATGTTTCGGGAATGCCGGACGGGCCGCCAAAACGTAGGTCAACTCGCCTACGGACCACCGTCAAAAGGGGAAATCAAGGATAAAATCCTACCAACTCCAGGCTCCGGTTTTCTTCTCTCTCATGGACCAAATAATCACAGATTGACAAAGTAATGTTGATCATGCCCTGGTTGAAGGGCTCAGCGAGATTATGCGTCATCTTATCTTCGTCAGAAGAAGGAAAATTAAGTGCAAGGCAAAGAACGAAGGAAAGCTCTGATGAAAGACAGAGGAAGCGAGTTTCGGGTATCAGAAAGTGGTAAAATGAAAGCTTTGTTAATGGCGGCAAACAAGAGGGTGATCCGCGGTCCCTCATTTCGCTGGTTGTTGACACACTTGTGTCGATAAATGTCACGGGCTCACCTTGGCAGAGGAAGAGCTTTCCTCCAGCAAATGATCAAGGATGTTGATCCTGATTACAAGGGCAGAACTCGGGAGGGATCTTGGAGGAAGCGTCTACGGTATGCGGCTATCTCCGTGGCCACAGTGTTGAAGTCCTTCACCTTGTCGCGCCGCATCTCATTGATGATCTGTTTCAGTCCAGCGATGTATTGATCTTTCTCTTCAGGCGTCTTGCCCTCTCGAAGCGATCCCATCTGCACGAGGATCTTGTCATCTGTTGGATTAATACCACTGTGTGTCAGCATTTGCCTAACACAAGCTGGCCAAAGTCATGAAGTAAAGTGATCTTCAACGGTGCATGGAGCATGGGGAGAAACGTAAGGAATATAGCGAAGCAGGATAAAGGGATGTGCCCAGAGGCAGTTGGGGGAAAAAAGGCAACAAGATAAGGGGTCAAGTGCGGCTGTCATGGCTAGGAATTTGACAAGGGGATGCTGTAATCGTTCGGTCTGAATCAGTCGACGCACCGCTAAGAGTCATGTCCCGGATATGCTGGAACTCGCATGATCGATCATTGCAGACACCACCTGTAGCCTCATAAGGACAGAGGTACTTCATAGAATCGATATTATGGCTGTATGTTAGAGATCGAAAGCCGCCTGGAACATTCTCAGTGAATCGGGGGTGGTAGCGGTAGGCTTTGAAGTATCTCAGCGGACTCTGGTAGGGTGTAAACCTGGGAGTAGTGTTCTCCGGTTGAGACTTATTCTATGAAGAGTGTCAGTTATCTATTTTCAAGTTGGAGTTCAAGTAATCCGCACATCCAAAGTGCCATTTTCGTGGGTGATAGCTGCGGGTTGGGCATCCAATTCCTGGACCGTTCCAATTAGCGGCAGATCAGTTTCTGAATCCTGAGAGATCTCCTTGGACTCCATAGGGCCGGGAGAGACAGGGCTGAAACGAGGTGTATAAGCAGAGTCGATGTCACTCTTGTCTGCTTCAGGTTCCGGAGGCTCATACGCCTCGGAGACCGAAGATTCGCGGGATGCGTGATTCTCAAGTGGCCCAACTTCTTCAATGACGCCATCCGGCGCCATCTCCCCCTGAGTTGGGGTAAGTGGTGTAGAAATAGGCTCTGGAAGCACAAGGTTGACTGTGCTTTCGTTGCTCAATGTCTTTTGATCAATGGGGGGTCCGCTGTCAGGGGCTGGGACCGCGATAGGCTCGAGCTCAGGCGTTTCACATTCCATGGATTCCTCCCCATCGGCAGCAGAGCCAGATTCGTCGTTGGCACTGATAGATTCATCCATTGATGATCCTTGAGAATCTGACGACGAAGCGGAGGACATGCCATTTTCTATTTCCATGGCGGCAGGTGATTCGCCCGCATCCATCGACACGTCTGAGGAAAGAGGAGCATCTCCCAGAGGCGCTTTCTGGACACCTAGAGATGCTGAAACAGATCGTGGCTCAATTTGGCTCTGCGCCTCGGCCACGGAGGCATCTGGCAATGACGGAGTATATTCATCCCCCGGACTTTGGCGACGTATGGAGGCTAGAATAAATTATAGGTCATGTGAGCTCAGAATCTTACAGCACGCGGTGTGCTCCTGTACGCAGGACTGAAATAAGTGATATAGATGTAACGTACCTTCATCCAAAGTTTGGACATTTTCCTGAGACTCCAGCTTATGCTGCGCTACCTGTAGCTCTTCCAATGTAAGCCCCTTCAACTCGTTATCAAGACTGCGCAGTTCTTCAAGAAGCTGCTGTCTTCCTTCTTTCCCTCTTGCAATATCATGAATTAACAATTCCACTTCTTTGTTGAAGTCCGCCAACCTGGCTTCATAGTTTCGTATTTCGGCATCCAAAACGGGAATGCCGGACTCTATCTCTTTCTTTCTTAACAATTTCGAGCGCATCTCTTCAAGGTCTTTGGTGTCCACAATGGCCGCAATGCGGGCAGTTGAACCGGGTGGAAGATGCGTCGGAATATCGAAATCCGAAGCAGGAACAGCTGAAATCGCTTCGGACGCAGCCTGCACGATAGCTACCTGAGGAGGAACTTTGGCAGCTACAGGCTCCGCAGGAGCGGTGTTGATATGTCGAGTTTCGTGGTCAGTTGGTGCGGAGTTCGCCCCAGGAGATGGTACCACCAAATCAGAAGGACGAGGCGACTCTGTTCTACTTGCGACTAACTTCGCCTTTTTTCGTTGTTCGAGTTCAGCAATTCGACGGTGCATCGCTTGTATTTCAAGATCCCTCTTCCGTAAGTCGACTTGATCATGATTCCGAATACTTTGAGGTGTCGCTGACATGGATATTGTTTGGTTTGATGTAACTGGCCGCTGCGGAATAAAATCGATTGAAGCAGGAAATGCTCGAACAGAACCTTCTGGACCAGTTGAATCAACTTCTCCCGGTGTATTTCCCGAAGGATCAATGTCCATGTCATCAATCTCATCATCCCCATAAAACTCATCATCACTGATGTCGATGATGAGTCTATCTTCTGAAGAGTTTTGAGGCCTTTTGGGCATCAGAGTAGGCTCGTCGAAGTCGGAAGCTCTAGGGCGCTTGCGCTGATTGACATGAGGCTGCGGGGTCGAGTCAACTACCAGGCCTCGGACGCGGGCGACAGGTGGTTCCGACTCTGTCATGAACAACCCTGGAATGCGGGATGAAGCAGAAGTATCAGGCTCTGGTGGTCGATCAGGCAATGGGTGCTGAATTTGCGGTGCGTTGGAAGCTTGAGAAACCGGAGTTGGGCTGGCCCCATTGCTTGACCGCGGCTCTTCAAGAGGGATAGGATCAGATTGTATCTTCTGCTGACTTCTCATCAAACCTTGCTTCCTGAGTTGTTCAATCCGCTGTCGGGCTAATTCAGTCTGAGCTTTGTTCTTCTCCCTGACTCGCACCTCTTTCTCCAGAGTGGGTGTTTCACGCTCGGAGCTGACTGCCGCAGCTTTTTCAACAGGCGTTGATGTCGGGCTTTCTGACGGTGACACCTCCTTCATAGATTCGCTCCGAGGAGTCGAAGATGTCACCGAGGCCTTAGCCGCTTTAGCTGCGAGCATTCGCGCGATAACCTCCTTTCTTTCAAGTGGTTTAGCAGCAGACGTGGATAAAGAAGTAACAACTGGGATGGAGATAGTTTCGGTGACTGCCACTGGCACAGCCGATTGTTGCCGGGTGTCATCTTGACTTTTCGGGGCTCCTTGGCCCTCAAGCTTATCGCTCGAGCTTGAATCATCTTCCGCAACGGGAATGATTCCCTCCAGGCCAACAGGCTTCGAGGAGGGCTTGCTCGCCGATACTACATCGTCTGGTTGCGGTGTAAGAACTCTAATTCCAACCTCCTCATACAGTTGTTTCAGCACTGTGGGGTTGATTCCTTCTCCCACTAGTTCACTGTACCGTATATTATGAGGCGCCAGGCTCAAAAGGGCACCTTGTGCTTGAATTCGAAGCTGCGCCGGCGATTTGCGGCTGTCCCGCGAAATTTTTTGGTTCTTGAAAGATGGCGAAGACGTTTTCTTTGGGGGAGAAGGGCCATGCGCCGTTTCGCGATGAGGCGGGGATGGCACAGCTGCGACAGAGATGGGAGGGTTATATGCTGTGCGAGATTAGCGCATTCCTATTCGACTATAAACCAAAGACACCATACGTGACCCGGATTCTCTGCTTGATACGCTCGTCTCAGTTGAGGAAGCCTCGCCCTCTTCCAGGTCAGATATGCTCGTATTGCGGTCCTGGACCGTAGGACCACTTATCAACTTCTTGTCCGCACTTGCCGGCTGAGCTTCCGAAGTAGTTGCGGTATTTCCTGGTTGAAGCGCTGAGATCCGTGATCCTCTGTCGGTTCGACCCGTAGGTTTCTGTTTGGCTGATACAGATCCCTCCATATCAGTCAGCTCGCCCTCTTCTCGATCTAGATCTTGCAGGCGTTCCTGGGTTGTGGCAGCCCCGAATTCAGCAGCATGCAGAGAAACCGAGTTGGTTTGCGAAGAAGGATCACCCGAGGTAGGACGACTAAGACCATGGAGATTTGCCGCGTGAATCGGCATTGGAGGATATCTTAATGGTGGCATTTGAATGGGCGGAAACGGAGGCGGAGGAAACTGTGTCGATGTGAATGGATTCATAAAGGGAAATGGCGGTGGCGGAGGGAAAGGCACGCCGGATCCAGGTATCCCTAACCCAGGAAGAGTTGGTGTCGGATTGAAGTTAGCCGTCTCATTAAACTTAAACGGTGAGTTAACGTTGTCCAGCCGTTGATTGGGAGAAGAGGTATCCTGATTAAATGGTAGATGAGGTGGAAGTGAAGGAGGCATGGAGGTTGATGGATATAGATGTGAAGATGGCCACTGCTGGGTGTAGTTTGGTGGACCGCCGCCCATTGATGGCGTTGGATGTTGAGACATGTTCAAAGAAAGAAAAGTCAACGGGTCTGGGAGGCTCTAATGTCTGATATAAGTAAGCCCACGGCCTGTACAGAATACACGCAGCCAGGAATCATACACCATGCGATTTATAACAAGTTTGTTCGCGTTGAGATGTTTTGAACTGTGAATTCATGAACCAAATGCCTTTCTGGCTTTTGACATTTAATACCTGTACATGGCATTTATATCGTGACTATTAGTAGAGATTATGACGAGACTAGCGAGGGCAATATCCGCGAGAAAAACGCGTGATGGCTAGTAGGATAGGGAAGGCAAAGAATGTGATACGCATCGAATGTCCACCAGCTTCAAAATCCACGACGAAATCGAGTTTCGTGCCGCCGGAAGCCCACGTGACAGCACCTTTCCAGGTCGGGACTAGCTCCAGATCAGCTCTCCGCAGCCTGAGGAACCACAAGATGTAAACAAACAGCGGGTCGAATCAAAATAATACTACCGCTCATAGAGTGTTGGTCCAAGCAGGTGGGCAAGCCATCATACAAGGGTCCTCTCTAGTCTTGCCTTGATCTTGTTGCGACTCACGAACTCCTCTTCTGCAACTCCTCTGCATCTCGAGGAAACGCTTCTTAATTTCCTTGTTTTATCTATATTACGTTGTGACCTTTTTCCTTATCATTCCGAAGATTAATATCCCTTTGTTTGTGACTCGTACTAATGCCCAGTGAGCTGCATGACCTCGGTTACATCACTTACATCACGAATTTCCTCAGTCATTGAATAATGCTTTATTGAATTAACGAAGAAATGCTTCCTTCTCAGTTAAATGCTTCACCGAAGCGTGCCAACCCGTTTGGTCGGGCAACTCCTTCTCCAACACCGTCATCTGGCCCGCAGACTCGGAGTCCACGGCCAAAATCTGCCATTATAACGTCGTCATCGAAGTTCGAAGAAGCCAAGAATCATTTTCGCAACTCAGCGTCTATATCGCAATCGTCACCCTCACCTCTAGTACGAACTACGACTCGACAGCGGTCGAGTTCATTGAGGAATGATGCCGCTTCGGGAACATTCGCACCCGAATTCATCAGGTCAGAAGAGCTGCGTCGGGGAGCGGACGAGATTCGGGGTCTGGAAGGGGACAATGACTTTTCGGGGAACAAATACGTCTGGCTACGTCATCCTGAGAAAGCATTCATTCGTGGCCTGGTCCTAGAAGAAAGTGAAAATGGAAGGTTACTGGTTCAGAGCGATGATGGAGAGGTACGGAGCTTTATGGGAATGCCATTTGGGCCGAAGTCGAGGGGCTGATTGTCATCACAGCAGCGGGAAGTGGAAGTAGACCAAGTCGACAAGGTCAATCCAGCAAAGTTCGACAAGGCCGATGATATGGCTGAACTTACGCATTTGAATGAAGCTTCGGTGGTACACAATCTGTACTCCCGCTACCAGTCGGACTTGATCTACGTAAGTGGCTCGAATGGTCCCCGTGTCGCGACCTTTCCATCTAATGTGCTCCTTCTAGACCTACTCCGGGCTGTTCCTTGTAACAATTAACCCCTACTGCCCGTTGCCAATATACACAAATGAGTATGTGAAAATGTACAAGGGCCGCAGCAGAAAAGAGACTCGGCCCCATATATTCGCCATCGCCGACGAAGCATTTCGGAATTTGGTTGAAGAAGGCCAGAACCAGAGTATCCTAGTAACGTATGTTCCCATTCGGCGGAAAACCAGTAACGTTGCTGTTTCTGACTCTATCATACAGCGGTGAATCTGGAGCAGGTAAAACAGAGAATACGAAGAAGGTCATCCAATACCTCGCGGCGGTGGCGACTACAGATACTCCCTATGCTCGCTCAGGATCAAAACAACTGTCTACTTTGTCCCAGCAGATATTGAGAGCGAATCCAATACTGGAAGCTTTTGGCAATGCCCAAACTGTCAGGAACAACAACTCCTCTCGATTCGGGAAATTTATTCGCATTGAATTCACCCGCTCCGGTCAGATCTCCGGTGCTTCTATCAACTGGTATCTTTTTGAGAAATCTCGCGTGGTGAAACCCAATGGCCATGAGAGAAATTACCATATATTCTATCAGTTGCTACAAGGAGCAGATCCCAAGATGCGGGAGAGCTTGCTTCTGGACGACCTACAGATCGAAGACTTTGCCTACACTAGAGATGGTAATGACAGCATCGCTGGGGTATCTGACGTGGATGAGTGGAATTCGTTGATCGAAGCATTCCATGTTATGAAATTCTCTGATGAAGACCAAATGTGCATTCTGCGAACCGTCGCAGCTGTCCTTCACTTGGGGAACATTACTGTTGTCAGAGAAAGCCTCCGTGCAGATCAAGCCGCTCTGGGTCCCGACTCTTTGAATAGTGTGGGAAGGGCCTGTCAACTGCTAGGTATAGCGCCGGAGTCCTTTGTTAAAGGGCTGCTCCATCCGAGAGTAAAGGCTGGTCGTGAATGGGTGGAGAAGGTGCAGACCCCCGAACAGGTTCGACTGGCGCTGGACGCTCTGGCGAAAGGAATTTACGAGCGCGGCTTTGGAAATCTGGTCAATCGTATCAACAGCCGTCTGGACCGCAGTACGATGGCTGGTGACGATAGCTTTTTCATCGGCGTTCTGGATATCGCTGGATTCGAAATCTTCGAGAACAACAGCTTTGAGCAACTTTGCATCAACTATACGAACGAAAAACTGCAGCAATTTTTCAACCACCACATGTTCGTCTTAGAGCAAGAGGAATATGCGCGAGAGCAAATCGAATGGCAATTCATTGACTTCGGCAAAGACTTACAACCGACCATTGATTTGATCGAACTGACGAATCCCATTGGTATATTTTCGTGTTTGGACGAAGATTGCGTCATGCCAAAAGCAACAGATCGCTCTTTTACCGACAAGCTTCACTCGCTGTGGGATCGAAGATCACCTAAATACCGTGCCTCTCGACTAAGCCAAGGGTTCATGCTGACTCACTACGCTGCCGAGGTTGAGTACGATACGCAAGGGTGGCTTGAAAAAAACAAGGATCCTCTGAACGACAATGTCACCCGCCTCCTTGGAGCATCAAAGGATGAGCATGTTGCCAATCTATTCTCTGACTGCGGTGGCCCTGATGACGAGTTTGACCTCCCCCGAAGTCGAGTCAAGAAAGGTCTTTTCCGCACCGTGGCACAGAGACACAAGGAGCAGTTGTCCAGCCTGATGAATCAATTGCACCAGACTCATCCCCATTTTGTTCGGTGCATCATACCAAATCACAAGAAGCGCCCCAAGATGTTAAATGCTCCTCTTGTTTTGGACCAGCTTCGATGCAATGGTGTGCTTGAAGGTATCAGGATTGCGCGCACAGGATTTCCAAACCGCCTTTCCTTTACTGAATTCAGGCAGAGATACGAGGTTCTCTGTCCAAATCTGCCAAAAGGATACATGGATGGACAGAGCGTTGCTCATAATATGCTGCAACAACTCGCCCTAGACCCGGCCTGGTACCGCGTCGGTCGAACAAAAGTGTTCTTCCGTGCTGGTGTCTTGGCTGAGCTTGAGGAGAAACGGGATCAGCTCATCCGCACTATCATGACTCGATTCCAATCTGCGGCCAGGGGATTTGTTCAGCGACGGATCTCGAACAAACGTCTCTATCGCGCAGAGGCAACAAGGATCATTCGGCATAATTTTCATGTCTACCTAGATATGAAACGAAATCCCTGGTGGCGGCTGTTCTCAAGAATGAAGCCTCTTCTGGGAGAAACGCGTACTGCAAATGAGGTCAAAAGGAGAGACGAGAAGATTAAGGAGCTTGAATCGAAGATGCAGCAAGACATTGTTGAACGTCAAAGGCTGGATGAAGAAAGACGTCGAACGGAGGTCGAGATACATAAAATTCAGCAGATCCTGGAAAGCGAACGAGCGTTGGCTCTTGACAAGGAAGAGATTTTCAAGAGACTACAGCTTCGCGAGATTGAACTGAGCGAGAAGCTGGCTGGAGCAATCGCGGATCAGGAAAGCCTGGACGATCAATTAGATGGGCTGATAGCGGCGAAAAAGAAGACTGATGAGCAGCTTAGCCATCGTATTACACAGCTGGAACAGGCAGGTGAGATTATTCAACGACTAGAATCCGAGAAGCAAGAACTGCAGGCCCGTCTCGAAGAATTGGACTCCAGGCTGCTGGGTGCTGAAAGCTCTTCCGCCGAGAAAGAAGCCCATGTCAAAGACCTAGAGCAAGACATGAAGATGCTTGAAAGCCACTTAAGCCTCAAAGATCGGAAACTCCAAGAGCTAGAGGCCAAATTGCTTAAAACAGACCAAGATCTTGACATCAAGCTGGCAAGAACATCGCAAGAGCTGGAACAATCGAAAAAGCAGATCAAAGACTTGATCGACGAGAACCGATCTATTCGGCAGCAAATTTCCGACCTTTCCTCAACATCTACAGGGTATGAAGAAATGCTCAGGCGAAAGGAAAGTGAAATCTCCGTTCTGCGCAATGATGCAAGAAGGTATGAAGATGAGAAGCGATCCATGCAGACTGAGAAGGCATCTCTGTCCCGCCGCCACGATGATATGCAGACGCGCCTGCGAGAGCTGCAGGCAGAATCAGATGCGATGAAATTGGAAAAACGTCAGCTTGAGCGCGAGGTTACAGATGTAAAGAAGCTCTTGGAAGAGAAGATATCAGAGGATGCAGAAGCCGGCCAGAGCAGGAAATTGCTTGAACAACAAATTCAGGACTTGAAGAACGAATTGTTCCAGGCACAAGCCGATCTGAGCCGCGAGCGACAATCGAGGGATGATGTCCAGATGCTCGCCGAGCACACCCTTGAAGAACTCAGGGACAAATACGCCTTCTTGAACGAGTCCAAGATCATCATAGAAAAAGAGATGTACATTCAGCAAGATACACTTCGCCGTGCCACTGAAGCCCGACTCGCTGCTGAGGAATCTCGGAAAGAGCTCCAGACGGAGCTTATAACTCTCCGCGATAGATTCACAAAGGTAGAGAGTGCTCGCTTAGATGCTGAAGCCGAAGTTGAACGAAACGCCAAGAAACAGGCGAATGAGCGCCTTGACAGTCTGCGAAAAGATCTCGAAGAGAAGTCACGTCTCCTGGAGGACATTGAGGCGGAGCGAGCTCGTCTCACAGCTAGAGTCCAAGAGCTTGACAACGCGATTGCTGAATCGGAGAACTTCCGCATTCGCCATGATCAGCACAAGGAGCGCTTGGAAAGGGAGCTGGTTACCCTAAAGGGTCGCCTTACTGCTTCGGAGAACGATAACCGAGCCCTCTTGACCAAGATTCAACAGAAGAACCTCGACATTGCCAGATCTAATTCAAAGGCCAGCGAAAGCCAACGTCTTCGCATCACAAACTTGCAGAAGGAGAAGGCCAAACTAGAAGAAGACAATAGAAAACTGACTCGACAACTCGGTGATCTGCAGCTCTCCATCACGTCTTTAGAAAAGCAGAAAGAAAAGTTGTCCTTGAGCCTCGAAGACCTGAATCATGAGGTTAATCGCGAACACAAGGCCAGTCGCAACGCCGAGAAAGCCGCGTCCACTGCCGGTATTCAACTGGCGGAGGCAAACCGAAACCTGGAGACCGAGAGACAGCTGCGAAACCAAGCTCAGGCGAATACACGAAAACTTCAAACTTCTCTTGACAACGCTAATCAAGAAGTCGAAACCTTGCATCGTCAGTTGATGGTGCTGCACAAGTTCGTCGAGCCTGTCGCAGATCAGCCTGCAGATTCATGGGAATCCATCCAACCAGACCTGGCTGAAAAGGTGAACCTAGCCCAGCTCCTGGATACCGTCCAGAATAAACTGCAAGTAACAGAAGAGAAGTACAACCGAGCGGAGAGCCAGCTGGCTGAGATGCGTCGCCGCCATGAGGACGAGATGAAAGAGCTGGATGCACGTTACTCTTCTTCCAAGCGTGCACTACTGGAAGAAATTGACCAAAACCAGGTAGCCGGAAATCGTACCCCGACGCATTTAAGAAAGAACTCGGAGAACGGCCTTGTCAAGAAGTTCGCTACACCGACTACACCGAACCGAAGACTGAATCTCAACGACGCTGCAATGGACTCCGGTCGGTCAGACCGGACGGTTGACACTGTTGGCTACCAGAAGCGTATGGATCTTGCGGCCGAAATTGAAGAACTCCAGAATAAACTTCAAATAAGTGAGATGCAAAACCGACATCTCCAGAATCAGCTCGAGCAGGCCAATCCTCATCGAGATATGTGGCAGGATGAGAGTCCATCTCTCAGACGGATGCAGCTTCTGGAACGTGAGAACGGCCGTCTGCATGACCAGCTTGATGACTCGGCCAAGAAGGTCTCGGCCCTTGAGAGAAGCATTCAATCAGGCGAGCTGTCGCTGCGTGATGTTCAGGCTAAATCTCATGAAGAGCTTTATGATTTGATCAACTCCCAAGAACAGTCTCGACGATCGTTGCTCAGAGTTCACAATGAAGCTATGGCTGACTTCACCGAAGCAAAGGCTCAATTTGAAAAACTCAAGCGAGCAAAGACCACTCTTGAGGTGGAACTGCGAGACGCATGCTCCGAAGCTCAAGAACTGCAGGTCGCCAGGGAGCAGGACGCCGTGAGCCGAAACCAACTACTCCAGGAGTTTTCTGATCTGCAGATTCGACTGGATGCGGAAACGTCCAAGTCTGCTGATCTTGCGTCAAGTCTAAGTCTCTATAAGAGTCGAGCGGATGAATACTTCAATAAGCTCGAACAAGCAGAGATTACTGTGCTCAAGTCTACCCGTGCGGAGCAGTTCGCCAAATCACAAGCTCAGGAGGCGGAGGAGACATGTGCACAGATAATGGCTGAACGCAAGCAGATTGATGCCCTTGTGGAAGACCTGCAACGACAGACGCAGATGCTCGAAGCGCGAATGGAGGATCAGGCAGCGGAGCTCCAAGGAGCTCTGCAGACAAAACAACGCCTCCAGAACGAGCTTGAAGACTATAGAAACCAGCGCGCAATCGACATCGAGGATAAGGAGACTTCAATGGAGCAGACGAGAATGAAGTATCAAAGAGAGTTCTCGACCCTCAACAACGAGCTTGAGATGGAAAGAGAGAAGGTGCTTAACGGTCGCAGCGAAAATGCTCGTCTTCGGGGGGAACTGGAGGACTTGCGCAGCAAGTGGGATAACGAAGTCCTGAACAGCTCGACATGGGCGAAGGAAAAATCTCGAATGGAGATTACATTGCAGGACGTCACAACATCGCGCGATGAGGCTGTGAGTGCTCACAACGAAGCTCAGGGCCGCGTTGTATCACTTCTCTCGCAGGTGCGAAGCCTGCGAGCATCGGTGGACGACGTTACGGCAGAGCGAGACAACTTGTTCAAGGAGAAGAAGATGCTGGAAGCCCGATTGGCTGAGGCTGCCGAAAGGTTGGAAGAGCTCGCCAAAGGCGATAATCCTTCTATGCGTAATGCTGCTAGCATGGACCGCGAGCTGCTGGAACTCAAGTCAAAACTTGCACAGCAAGAAGATCTTTCCTCTGCTGCCGTTGGTAAGATGAGACGAGCCGAGGCGCTCGTGACTGAAATGCAGAAGGAGGTCACCGCGGAAAGGGAGACAAATACTCAACTATTCAAGGACAAGGCAGCACTAGAAAAACAGCTTAAGGAGGCCCAGCTGCGATGCGTCGATCTCGAAACGAAGAGTTATTCGACAGGCAGCCAGGATGTTCGATTCCTGCATAAGCGAATCAAGGAGGTAGGCATCTCGCAGTGCAACTAGTGCCCAGAATAATGCTGACATATCGTTTTAAATAGTTGGAAACCCATCTGGAGGAGCAGGAGAATAAGCACAGTTCGGAGCAACGCTCGCTGCGCAATATCGACCGTACGGTCAAGGACTTCCAGGCACAACTGGAACGACGTGATAAGATGAATGCTCAGCTCGAGGACGACGTCAATAAAGGTCGTGAGAAGATCGAGCGTCTCCTCGGAAACATCGAGGAGCTCCAACAAAGTGACTCTGAGGCACAGCTTCAAATCCGTCGAGTCGAAAGAGAGCTACGAGAGGAGCGCGAGAAGGCTTTGAGGCTGGAGCGCGAATTGGACGGGTGGAAGAATCTGCGTGTTGAGAGAGGAAGCACCATTGGAAGACCCCAGGTAACTTTCAGCGATGCTGGAAGCAGAAGAGGCAGCAGCGTATTCCGGGCCAGTGAAATGCCGCAGAGGATGCCCAGTAACACCAAGGGCTTTTTGTAAGGAGTATTTTAGGCTGGCAGGTTGATCCTGCTGCGCAGCCTGTCTCGGTGTGTTCGGCTGCTGGGCCAGTGTATTTGTCGTTTCGAGAGAGCCTCTCACGACAACGGTCACAGATCGGTCAAAGATGTTTACATGATTTGGCAATGAGTTTGATGCCCCTTTTTCAAGTGTATATGCTCCATGTGTGGAGTAATGTGTTACATGATTTGCCTTTTGCCTTGACTGATTGAACATGTTCATACCTCTTGGTTATTGCGGATTAGGGTGGGGTGGCTTCCTGCTTTAAGTATTTGTGTAGAAAGTTGATTTTAATTCTGCTATTAAGATCTCGAAATCTCCTCCTAAAACTGTAAATAGACTGTTTCGATGTCAACTACGATATCCACGCTTCTTGAGGGTAGAAATGGATTCTGGCACTGGAAGAAGAGAGCGTGGCAAGGCTAGCCGCGCGCCTAGCCTGACGCTCGCTTAGATGGAGCAACTTCCTTCTCCACTCTCCGCTCAAGCTTGTCACGACCTGATCAGAGTACTTTGTTGCTCTCGGTTACCTCCCATTTCTTTTGACAGTTCCATTGCACTTGATTCATCGCCCAGTCATTCAAGATGGTGAGTTCAAGCAAGCTCTTTCCGACACTCGATCGGTGACAGTGCATACTGTCAAAAATCGAGCACCATCAGTAGACTAACCACTCAACCCTCCATTACAGGCGCGAAACAGTGAGAAAGCGCAGTCGATGCTCTTCCGCTTCCGGGCGCAACAGGCCGCGGACCTCGGAATCATCGACATCGGGCGCACGCGTCGTCCCAAGGCTATCACCTCCGTGGATTCGATCCCCAGCTGCGAGAAATGGCGGGGCCAGGTCCTCAAGGAGATCTCACGGAAGGTTACACGCATCCAGGAACTCAGCCTGAGCGACTACCAAATCCGCGACCTCAACGATGAGATCAACAAGCTGATGCGCGAGAAATGGGCGTGGGAAATGCAGATCAAGAACCTGGGCGGCCCGAACTACATGCGTGGTTCTGGGCGGGTGTATGACGACGAAGGGCGGGAGATTCCCGGTGGTGGGAAGGGCTATCGGTATTTTGGGCGCGCCAGGGAGTTGCCCGGTGTCAAGGAGATGTTTGAGGCGGCAGCGCGACGTGGCCGACGGCCGCCTGAGGAAGAGGAGGAGGAAGGACGCGGGCGAGGTGGGGATATTGCGACGAGGAAGGTGGATGCGAACTACTTTGGCTACGGATTGGATGAAGAAGATGGAACCTTGCTTGCATATGAGAGACAGAAAGAGAAGGAGGCAGTTGAGCACTTGCGTGGGAAGAAGGATGAGGGCGGGGTCGATGGGTGGGAACCTCTGCCAGGCGATGCTGGCGATGGGGTTGAATGGAGGCTACCGACGCTGGAAGAAGTGCAGGAGGAGCTGGTGGACAGAAGGCGGCGACGACTGCTGGACAAAATCTCCTAAAAGCATGCGGTTTTGGGTTGCTACACTGGGTGTCTTCTGATTTCTTTCTTTTCCTATTCCTCTTCATCAAAGGCGTCATGGAGCTTCCTTTTGTCATCTCACATCGATTTTTGTTATATCTTGTACTTTTATCCCTTGCGGGTTTCATAGCATCATGCATTCGAGGGCGCGCAAAAGAAAAAGCTCGCTAGTGATACCATCGGTATGTGTTCTAATGTACAAGGATGTCTATTATATCTCTACTTATGAACCGGAAGCCGAATGTTTTCTCGCCATGCGGTCCGCCTTGATCGCTTGGGAGATACTGATGCTCACTTCGGGTCTTTTCCCTTCGTGTCTATCACGTTCTTCCGCTTGTAAATCATCAAGGATAAAGCGTCCCAGATCACCGGATCGCCACTTCTGAATGAAATGCAACGCTGCAAGATCAGTGTTGGGAATGCCACCTTTGGCAAGGAGACCGGTGTGGCGTGCGAAGTCATTCAGAAGAGGCGATATCTCATTCGTTGGCTGCGACCACCGTTGGTACTGCTCTGGGTTATGTAAGTTGATATGATATAGCAGATAGTCCGCCAAGGTGACGGGAGAGATGACTGAATCCTTGACGCAACCACAGAGCGCCAATTTTAACATTTTTTCTGCATCTGGCACATATGGCATGAACACTCCTGGGGTGTCAAGAACATAGACATGCGCGCCATCCTCACGCTCGATGATCTTGACGGGTGTTCCAATCTTCCGTGTGATTCCTGGTTGGCCACCTGTTTGCACGGCCTTGCCCTTCCTTACGCCTTGATTGCGGAGGTTGTTAATCAAGGTCGACTTGCCAACATTTGGCATTCCGACGACCATCACACGGCATCCAATGAGCTTATCGGGTCCTTCGGCATCATTTCGTAGATGTGTCAAGATAGAACTGACATCTTGACGAGAGGACGAACTAACGAAAAATACGGCACTCTTCGAATCGAACTTTCGCACTGTCGTCTCGGCCTATAAATAAACAGACATATTAGCTTAGATCATTGTAGAAGAAAAAAGTCCTGAGCTCACCAGCTGTTGTGTAGTTGACCGAGGCTCCGCGCTCAAGTCCCTCTTGGTGTAAACGATTAATCGTCTTGTTTTCCCTAGTGCCTCTTCAAACATGGGGTTGACCGATGTCACTGGGACTCTAGAGTCCCGACATTCAATAACATAGTCAATCGAAGACAACATATTCTGCATCTTCTTCAACCCGGCTCGGTGGTGACCAAGGTAGTATGATCGTGGAATCGAGGCATAGCTGGGAAACGCCAGTCGCGGAACGAATTTAGCTGCCATCTCGAATCGGTCATTCAACTGTGAAAGTGCAAAGGTAAATGTGGTAGATCATATAGCGGTATATCTTCACACATTATCGAGATGAGGTGAAAGTTGATATAGGAACGGGGAGGACATTATCATTCCCAAGGACATCCATGTTGAGTTTACCCATTTCGGCTTCCACTTTTTCATAGAAAGCTCAAGGCGGTGGTGAGAGCGGTGTATTCTTATCTTAAGATAAGATTGCTATTATTCACCCAACATTCTGATCAAAGATATCAAAGATCTAATCACGCTCTATTTGAAGCCGACGCCGAAGGTTTTTTTAGATCCTTGGGCCGAATGCTGCAAGAAGGATCATCACGGAGCAAGGTTTCCAGGACCTGTCGAACATGGATACCTGCTTGCAACGTTGGAACGATCTAGGGCATTTTGTCGGCGAGTTGAGCGCGGCGATATTGCGGATGAGCTGAAAGGTCACTGGCTTCGTGATTATGTTCGCCATTGATAAGGCGAAGCTTGTATGAACTGCTTGGTAAACACGAGACGACCACTGAAAAAGGGCAGTTCTGGCGAAATCCCGATGTATCGCGCATGCCACGATAATTCGTATTGACTTGCCGTCGGCCCCGGTCACATTCCAGATAAACATGCAAGACTCCGTGTCGTTTGTTGGTACATCGTATGACGGCTGCGTATCCGTTCGACCTGGCGAAGTGCTGTATATATCCACGAGCCTCGTCAGGGGTATCGAAAATACGGTTCGTGGCCGGTGGGAGCATATCCGACGATACTGGTACGTCTATATAATCCTTATCATCGACATCGACTTGGGTAGGTTCCGCTTCGTCACCATATTTGTACTCAGCGTCAGCCCAGGCCTGCTGGATGTCGGACAGTGGGGTCAACGATGTCTGATTAGCAGCTTGGTGAGGGTCCGGTAGAGAGCTAGGGTAGCGTAGAGGCCATTTCAATGTGATATAACGATGAATCTAGTGAATCCAACCAAGCGATTTACAGAAATACCCCTCTAGATGGTGTGAAGATACTGGACCAGCGAAGTCTTATACTATTGCTCTGCCGCGCTGCACCAACGATTAGAAGCAGAAAAACCGCGCTAAGATAATAGATCCTCATCAAGCAGGCGGTATAAGTCGTCAGGTCAGGGTGATTGGCAGATCGCGATCAGCAACAATCTTATTGAGGCTTGGATCAGCGACACCTCTCTATCTAGTACCGACCGGGAGCTTGTATTTCTAAGGTATTGATCCTGATATTACTTCCTTGGGTTTATACATCTCTTGAGCAATTTTTCGATGCTTAAAATACCAGTCTCTACGCACCCAGATGCCTAAACGGATATGTCAATGCCCTGACGTCATCTAAGGTCCAGAGCGAGGAGTCAAGAGACTTGGAGTCTTGTTTACCTTTCTTAGCTTCGCACGTGTTTGAATGCGCACGTATAAGAGATCCATCATCTAAGATGTCTTTCTTACACTCATCCATCCCTCAAATATGTCTTTGATATCTGCTTTTCGGCCGCGCTCAACCCGAGTCTCCTCAATGCAGCATGAATCGCGTCCGAGACAGCGCAAAAGACACACGAGGACAACACGCCACCAGGATGAGACTGAGGTGGAGGATGAGAGTTTTCACTCCATTATAACTCCAGCCAAACATACGCCAAAAGCATTTCGAGCGCTACGCGGATCTGTGGCTGCTGGCGGTCCTCTCCGTCCCTTCCGCCTGGTGAAACAAGACCTGGCAAATCTTCGACGGCGATATGTGTCTGACTGGACACTGTTCAATCAATTGATCTTTGCCAGCGCGGTTTATCTCTTCTTTACCAATCTGTTGCCTGGTATCACTTTTGCCAGTGATCTCTATGTCTTGACAGGTAAGAGTTGGGGTACAATTGAGGTGGTCTTGAGTACAGGATTATGCGGTATCATCTTCTCATTGTAAGTTTATCGGAAACTCTTCGTTCTACTTCCCTGGTGTGGTCATAGTTGGAGCTTTGATCTATCTCTCACAGGGTCAGGCAAGATAAGCTTACAATTCTCGAGGTTCTCCATCCAACCGCTGACAATTCTCGGAGTCACTGGGCCATTCTCAGTGCTTGCGGAGAACATCTATACACTATGCGAGGAAGACTTCAAGGTACAAATGTGCTCAAAAGAATTTCCTGGGCATATCTTTCTAACATGAAATTATAAAACAGGTGCCATTCCTGCCTTTCATGGCTTGGTCTCTCATTCACGCAGCTTGGTTGCACTACATATTGGCTATAATCAATGCCCACGACTGGACAATGCGCTATGTTACCACTTTTGCGACAGAGATCTTCTCTCTCTTGAATAGTATTATCTATTTTCATAAAGCCATACAAGAGCTGCAGAGGGCCCAAGACAGCCTTTCTTTCGCAGCTTTCTTATATGCGATTATTGGAGCTGTGGGGACGATGCTCCTAGCCATTTTTCTGTCCACAGCAGAAAGCTGGCGCCCGTTGTTCCATAAGTATATTCGTCTTGTTCTAACAGAATATGCTGCTGCAATATCCATCATAATATTCATTGCTTTACCACACGTTGGTGAATTGGCCCACCTCGACAAGATGACCCTACCTGTCAGTGATTCGTTCCGGCCTACCTCCCCAGATCGTGAACGCTTCTTCGTTGAATTCTGGAAGTTACCGATTGGATGGGTTTTTGCTGCGATTATCCCAGGGATCATTATTACAATTTTGTTCTTTTTCGACCATGAAGTCAGCTCCATCATCTGCACAATTGATCGGTATGGCACGCGGAAGCCTGGTGGGTTCGCATGGGACATCGTATTGCTTGGTACCACGACGGCTCTATGCGGGATCCTGGGTATTCCACCTGCCAACGGCTTGCTACCGCAAGCGCCTTTACATTCAGAGTCCTTGATGCACGTCGAGAAAGAACAAGAGACCATTGTTGTTGACGGCGAGGAGAAAGTCTCAACACGCGAAGTTAAGCGCGTGTATGAGCAGCGATGGTCATCCCTTCTCCATGCAGGGGCAATTCTTCTATTTGTCAGCCCGCCTTTCATGAAAGTACTGGGCTTGACACCAACTAGTGTTCTTGCGGGGCTGTTCATGTTCATGGGAGAGCAGAGCCTATCTGTCAAGTAAGATTCTAACCCTGCCCAATTCGAAAGATATTAATGGTGACCACAGCCCAATCCTATATCGAACCTTTTATCTCCTCACGCCATCGTCTGAACTTCCTCCTTTGCCTTCGTCGCTTGTCAAAAACAATAATAGCCCAGAGGAGGTTATTGGCAACGAACCTCCGCGCAGCCCTTCATACATCCCTATCCACCTGTATACAATTTTACAGATCGTCATCACAGTAGTCATATTCATTGTCACACTGACCCAAGGGGCTCCCGTCTTCCCGGTTCTGATCATCCTCCTGGTGCCCTTCCGTCTACTAGTGATGAAGCGATGGTGGCCGCGAGAGGTCCTCAGATTCGTGGATGCCTGGGCCTGCAGAGAGGGAACACCGGAGGACGACGAGGATGCGAAAGCCGAGCAGCAACTGACACCCCAGGATGTCCCCGATCGACGCAGCCAGGACGAAGATGGAATGACTTCCGACCTTGCTCGGGAAAATTCCACGGGTGAATCATACGATTTGCGCTCTGAACCATCAATGAACTTACCAATTTCCAATTCAAGACAACCCTGCTTTGAAGACCCCAATCAGGCAGAGAATGAGTGGATCGAGCTCCATGTTCGATCCCAAGTTGATGAGGAACTTGGCCAGCCGAAGAAGTGACTTTGAGGCATGTACGCCTATCGATTTGTTTTTCAAAGCGATTTTGTATTCAATTACAGCAAAAGCCAATATCGTGGTAGGAACTCGTGCGGGTATCATTTCTAAATAAATCGTGCAAACATCCATAACTCCTGCGTAGACTAAACCAGCGTAGACATGTCCACTCGGAGAGTGTCATGCTCTCCATCCCTGAACGAATTCGTGCAGCCGGTCAATGACCACCCCAAAGATGGCATTGACACTATCGCTGATTAATTGCTCGAAATGCCGGATGGCCTCCTCCTCTGTCATCTCTAGGTGGAATCTCTCCTTAACCTTGAAAATAGCTTTATCGGGTTCAACTCGAATATCAGGGATATTGGCATCGACCATCAGGCTGAACAGGTTGAGAATGAGGTTCGCCGACTTGCGCAGAGTCGTGTACGCGGTGAAGCAGTACTGCTTAAATTGAAGATACTGGGGGGACGTGGTGCCGCCCATGCCCTCGACCATCTCCTTGCAGAGTTTCATCATGGGAGCGAATGGCTTGGGGTCTCGCCCGAGGATGAACCCGAAGTCCGCGTGGAAGAAGTGGCCGTCGGGCGCGAGCAGGAGGTTTTCCAGGTGCCGATCTCCGACGCCGAGGAGGTAGGTGATGACACAGTAGCCGGCACATGACTTGACGTATGTATCCATAGTTTCCTTGCGGACACCGAGAGGTTCGTTCTCGTCGGGGTTGTTCGCCTGGAGATATGCCAAGACAGACTTATACTTGGCGGATACTGCTGAGAGCGAGGTTGATGGTACAAACTGCACCGCACCTGCGGTGGCATTGGTCGCAAGGATCCGGTACGGTGTCAACTTGAGATCCAAATTCTCCTTTTGCAGCAGACGGTCCATCAAGATGATGATCTGAATGACCAGTTGATCCTGCCGAAGGTCGTCGCCGACTTTGAAGAGGATGGGATATTTGCGACCTTCGGAAGTTTTGAAGGTGATGTGCAAAGGCGACAGCGAGGATTTGAACACATTGGAATCGTCTGGGAAGCAGCCCGTGACCATAACTTCGGGATTTAGGGGAAGCGGCAAAGGAGGGTCGATAGTCACAAGTTCGTTCTTCGGGTCTTTTAGATACTTTTTCAATTTCTCAATCTTGAGCGGCCGGTTCTCCCGGGCAAAACGGATATCCTTAGCAATCTTGGTCAGAACAGCGACGAGTTCACCCTGCCGCAGCAGTGTCTTTCTAGAATCCGGATGTGCTTGTTCGAGTTCAGCCATAAAGTAGTACTCTACTCGAGCAAAGAGTCTGCGTTGCGCCGACAGGGTGCCTGGGCTTGTGTCATCGCACTCAACCATGAGATACCAATGCAGATAGTTCCCTAGCTTGAAATTGTTCGCAGCGCGAGAGATAAGGAAATTTGCCAAAGATGAGTCGTGAGCAACGTCCTCGGTTTCGTCACGGGAACTTTCCTCATACTTGAGCGCTTGAACTAGCTGGAGAAGGTACAAGAGAAGCTCCTCATCATCAGCCTTGCGCAGCCTTTCCACGGCATACGAACGCACAGCCGTATTGTCAAACGTCGGCCCGAGAAGCTCCAATGCATCATCAACATCGATCTCAGTCCACTTGGGAAGTATTTCCACCGCTTGCTGTGCCTCACCAGAGTCTCGCCAATTGACCGATTTGACAAATTTGGTAAGCGCTCTCTTCTCGCGAGTGAGATAGTATCGAAATCGCCAGACCAAATCCTTTTCTTCTGCTGTAAGATCCTGAGTCGGCTCGTATGATACAATGACATTGAGTTCGTCGCGGATCTTGGGATTTGGTTTCAGGTCACGGTCCATAATGCCAGTCCGATGACTCCGAATCAACCTTCTGTGTTTATCCTCGCATGGATTTCCGGTCTGACCCACTTCGGGGTCATAAATTTGAATGACACCTTCACCATCAGCACCCTCAATGCCCGGACCAAAGCGAACTTCGGGGATGGGCTTCAGGGCTGAATTGGGGTTCGGGGCTGCATTTTGGGAATATGAAGAGATTGGGGGCGGGGGATACTGATGGTCGGTCCAGACAATTGGATGATCGAAACGCGGAAACTCGACGTACAGGACAAAATTCTCGTCATCCATGTCCTCCTCGTCGGAATGTTCTCCATCTGCGCCGGTGGTATCTGGGTTCTTGTGCTTCGCTGCTTTGAGACGTAATGCTCTCTTCCTCGCGGCATCTTCCGCATTCAACTTCAACTTCTCCAGTTGGCGGAAGACCATCTGATCCATCCAGTCGATCCGTGGTATCTCTCCCATTTCATGCTTCTTTATCAGTACCTCAACCCTCTCTAGTTCCAACTCCTCCACGGAAGGGCCTAGTGAATCCGCTGCGTTGATCTTGCGCCGCTTCGGTGGTGGGGTTGAAGGAGTGGTGGTTGACGAAAAGCCATCTGCCGCTTTATGTCGATACACCTTGCATTTCTGACGCCCCATTTTCAATTTACCATCTTCATCGAATAAAGGTATTGTTGTTCCACCAAATGGTACATAGTGACCGTCTGCTCCGTTGCCGCCAAAAGGTGAAAGATCCCATATGGTGACAGCCAGTTGGGAGTTGAGAGGGGCATCCTTGAGGGACATAGGCAGTTGTAACCATTCATTCCACGCACGGACGGACTTAAATGTTTTGTAAGGAGTCTGCAGAGGAACCCCAAGAGGCTTGGAATCCGACCATAGTTGAGCCGTTACGAACAGATCGGAGACGGGGTTCTGGATGGAGCCGATGTGTCGCAGGTCCGGTCGCTTTAGAAGGACCGAAAGAGGTAGCTGCTTTTGTTTTCCCTCAAGAGAGCCACTTGATATCGGTCAGCTTTGTAGTCTTCGCACTGGCACATCTAGCTCCGGTTTCCATTTGGGGGGTGCGCTCACGTACATCTTGATATGGATCGGAAAGTCCACCTGTGTGGAGACGGCGAATGTAAACGCCTCCATTTTAGATAGACTTCCAGTTCCGTCCCTGTATCATGGCCAGTAAAGCTTGTGCAAGGAGGCTTGAAGTCAAGAAAGACCATCCGACTGTGCTCTTGTAGGTGGTGAACATAGAGCTGTGGACAGTGGAGCTAAGGTAAGCTGGGGAAGGCATCCAATGCAGCCTCTGATTGGACAGGATGGTGAGCAAATGACGTGAGGTTAATGATTTTGACACGTGATAGACTAGCCCAAAGAGGTAAGTCAAGGGCCCCTCCAGGTTAACTCTTTTTGGCAGGCACGCGTGTTAGTGACGCGCGAGTTTCTCAGCGATAGATATCTAGCGCAATGAGGGATTTGAGTATTGGGTGTTTCTCCGAGATAGCATTTTGATAAGCACTAGATTTGGAGGTCTGGGCTGAACTGGACAGGGTTTTTCATTGACCGTCTTCCTCGAACTAACTATCTCGACCTTTTTCCCCTCTCTGGGAACTTTTTAAGTCTGTCAGCCTGATCGCATTCACCGCTCTGTGCACAAATCGCTATCGCGCTTCGTTTGACAGAATAATAACTACCCGGCCAAGAAGCATGGCAGGCATTGCGCATGGTGGGAGTTCTAGTCGATCTGTGTCGCCTGGGTCCTATTCGGATAAAGAAAACCATCAGAACGCCCGTGCTCAGAAGAGAGCTCAGACTCAGACTCAGACTCAGACTCAGACAATGGCATCGTCAGGCGCCAACGCAAAACGGCAACGACTTGGTCATCGCGCTTCGAATATCCAAGGCAACCAGTCACAGGCTCCGCTATCGCAGCGACTAGAAGAGGACAAGAAATTTTACGACCCAGATCAAGATGAGAACGAAAGACGGCGGATTCGCAAGGAACTTCGAGAGTTGACACGGGAATTACATGGTATTGCTGGCTCTCACTCGCGCTGATTGGACTTGGGGCAAGGAAGAGGAAGTTCATATCTAACGCTGATATAGATTGCAGAAATGAATTCATGCAAGCAGGAAATAACGGAATCCGAGAGACAATCGAGAAAGCCAACGAAATCTTCCAGAACGTCAAGCAAACCTCCGACGCGACCATCGATTCTCGTCTCCTGGTCACCGCCGCCGATCTGGGCCATAAGAAAACAGCACAGCTCGTCCTAGGCGACGCATCTGCCGGGATTGACGTCGATGAATTTGTCTCGAAATGTATCTCATTTATGCGTCGCGGGCCTAGCGATCCCGAAACCTCATTCACAAGCACACAACGTCGACGACCTCGTAGGAGCCAAGCGGACGCTGACGATAGCGATGAAGAACAAGGAGACGCCATGAACTGGGATTGGCTTGGACGTGCTGCATGCCTTCGTCATAACACCCGGCCGTCGGTTTCAGGGTTTTTGCTCGGGCCCTTATCAGTACAAAAGCGCACACGACAAATCACGCAGCGGAGAGCGAGAGAGCGCATTGATCCATCACAGGCAGTTCGACCTCAGGAGCTGGAAGAGAAAGACCTTGACCGGCAGGAGACATCGAACCTCACGGCGATGTGCACAAATATCAACCGATTGCTTGCGGAGACGGCTGCCAAGGGCCAGGATACCGTAGATCGCATACTGTCTGGGATGGAGGAGGAACCGACAGAGGAGCTCGTTCAAGAAGTCATGGCCAAGTACCATGTAGCGGACGACGGCGGAGTCCCTCTTTTCCAATTCTGCATCAACCCCAGATCATTTGGGCAGAGTGTGGAAAATCTGTTCTATGTCAGCTTCTTGGTTCGAGATGGGACTGTTGGGATATCCACCGACAGTCGGAAGCTGCCGACGCTACGTAAGTTTACTCACTTGGCCCCTTTCCTGATGTGTCGCCGTTGACCTGAATCTCTTTAGATCCGTCCAAACCATACGTAATGAGAGAAGCTCAGAAGAAAGGTGTTCAAAAACACCAGGCTATCTTCAGTCTGGACTTTGACACATGGCACCAGCTCGTTGACGTGTATGATATCAAGGAATCGATCATTCCTCATCGTCGGGAAGAAGCATCAGAGTCGACAGGGAGTGGTTGGTACAATTAAGACGACCCTTATCTTACTTCATTTGCACATATATTTGCGAGGTGTCTGGTTATTGTTTAGTTGTTTAGAAACGATACCCATGATGTTGGACGATAAACAGCCTGTCTAAAAAATAGCTTTCGGTGCCACGATCGACGATCCACCATGATTTCAATCGCTAGAGACACCGCTATCAAGATTCAAAAAGGACGATCAAGAACAGATCATCAAAGAGCTGCTGATCTGGAACGACTTTATTTGAGCCTGTAGAAGGATTGTTGTTCTGGTCCATGTCATGAATTCTCCGGAGGAAAATGATTCATCGACGTCATTCAGTGTGGCCCCACATACGATACTTCTTATCAACCATTGATCTGCCATCTAGGAACGTCACAAAAGGATTCAGCAACAAGCGACAACTCAGTTAAATTTTCTAATATCATTTTGCTAGTCATACAAACAGATCCAACAGATAATATCAGACATGCCTCGCCTCTTCCCATCTAACCCCGAGGAGGTGATGGTGATCCGAAATGTCACTTCCGACATCATCACGATGAGCTTACCATTCGCCCGGTTTGGGTGGTTGAAATTCGGCGGACGAGGAACACTGGGTAAGCTTCAACCCACAAAATATATCCTCCGCGAAGCTGCTCTTAGCTAATGCGGCCCCGTATGAACAGTTAAACTCCCCTCCGGCTCCCTCGCCGTTTTCTCGCCCGTCACCCTCACCCCGCAAGTCCGCGACATGGTCTCGCAGATGGGCCGGGTGAAGTACATTGCGGCGCTGGACATGGAGCACCACATCCACCTGACCTCATGGAAGGACGCGTACCCGGAAGCCGAGATCATTGCGCCCGAGGGTCTTTGGGAGAAGCGCCAGTCCAGCGCGGCGGACAAGAACACGGCGTTCGCGCACATCTTCCGGAAAGACGACGCGCGGCAGAAGATATCAGAGGAATTCGACGCCGAGTTCGAGACCGAGTACGTGTACGGGCATCCGTCGCGGGAGCTGGTTTTCCTGCATAAGCGGTCGCGCACCCTCATCGAGGCGGATCTGCTGTTCAACTTGCCGGCGCGAGAGCAGTACTCGCGGACGCCGGACGGGGCGACCTCCGGGATCCTTGCGAAGATCTTGAATCCGTTCATGTCTGCGGAGCCGCCGGCGACGTGGCAGAAGAGGTTTGTGTGGTATGTTCTGTCGAGGGGGGATCGGAAGGCGTTCACGGAGTCGATGAGGAGGATCGATAAGTGGGATTTTAATCGGTTGATTCCATGCCATGGGGATATCATCGAGAGTGGTGCGAAGGGGGTGTTTCGGACGGTGATGGAGTGGTTCCTGGATAATGGGGATTTAAGGGCAGACTGACGGAAAACAGGGGAGTTTGTTTTTTGATCGCATGTCGTCCTTCTCAGCTATGTATCACTACCTGCCTTGTTACCACTTTACTCTTGTCATCGATCACGATGTCATGAAGATAAATAATGATAATAGAAAAAATTGAGATCAGCGTTAACGAACTCGAGTGGCTCATCAACACTGACTCGGAAGTCCATGGAAGCCATGGTCAGTCATTGAGAGAACATGTTCCCATCGTTGGATGAGTGATAGCTCTCAACGGGATAGAGAATTACGATGAAGCCCTTTTGGAGATATTTTCTTTTGCAGTTGTACAACCTCATAACCCATTTTAACCAGGTGATGCTTCTACTCGATTCTTGTCCATTCAAGTGGCTGACCATTCCACCTAGCTCTTCAAGCCACCTGATGAGAATATACCGATTAGTGGCATCATTCCAAGAGTCACCATCTCAGATCTCCGTCCTCTTCACTTTCGACTCAGCCTAGGCTCGTCGTGACACAGTGCAGACAATAATGGGTGTACGGAACCCAGTAGAAACCGAGTGACTGGTATGTTCAAATCGAGGATATGGCCGAAGCTATCAATAATACCTTCTAAATACCTTGTGTAAAAGTGCTTGTGACTAGATAGGGGGTTCCAATGTTTCTTGAAGTATGCTGTTGGTCTGTACTCTGTAGTGAATTAGACCCAGACACACCAAGCTTCTACAACTACTGCAGGCATCTGAACCCCTGAAGAATGAGACTGGCCTGGACTCTCGGGGGTTCTCTTGCTCTCAACGGTCACAATGACCAAATGGATATGGGCTGCTGCCTGGGATTCCAATGACGACTGCAATATTATTTCTATTCCTTTACTGTGTACTATTAAGAAGAGCAACATGTTTAGGGGTGAGGAGGAAGCAGCGTAACTAACTCAGTATAGGTAATTACCTTACGTCGACGGCGTTTTAGAAGGTTAGGGCTGATCAGATGATGGACCGATGGACATGGACCATGACGTCAACCTGCAAGGATGGGTTGGATTTCGTCACTGACTCGTGATTTTCAATGACAGTATGTTCAATGCTGTACATCACTTTTGAAACACAAGAATGTCGACAATGGGGATTATCCTCACATCGCGTCTGGGGATGAATTGGAGAGGATAACTAAGGATGCTCTGGGTGGGAGTGGATAGAGAGTAAGGGTACGAAGTACTCCTACTAAGTGTACCATACCTACAGAGGATATAGGTACTGTTTCCACAGTTGGAGACCAGCTTCATATGTTTTTTATTCATGGGCTAAGCAGGGGTCATGTAAAAAGATGTATTAGGTACTCTCTAACCAATGCTCTCTTACTACACAATATATAGGTATCTTCTTCGCCTTACCTATCAAAGAAGGCTATCTATTACCAAAGTGCACCTATGATGCTTAAGGTATAGAATAGTAGGTGGCTGGTCCCACTGTACTAACAAAATCACCGGGGTCAACCAGAGTAATCACTCTTAAATGTGGCACTATCAGATCTTCCTCAATAATAATAGTAATAATAATGATAATAATGACAGTACAGAGGAATTTCCCTGAAAATTTGACAGGCAGTCAATCTGTAGCACCGGAAGGTTTTCTTCTCCAGGCTGTGCTCAAGATTGGGCACGTAGGAGTAGGCAGCCAATCAGTCAAGAAAAAAACAAATACAGAGCATGTGTGATGACTCTTGCTGGCGAAGCTTTTAAATGCCCTCTGCATCCTCCTCCCTAGAAGAATTCTTGTCTCTCAGAAGTACCCTCCAGGCATCAGCAATAATCCTATTGTAAACCCCCTTTTCTCTCTCATACTCTCATCTCCCTCCCTCACTCTTCAGATCACCTGCTACTGAATATCAGACTCCCATCTCCGGACTTACAGCTCATACCACCACCATGCCTGTCGTCTCGCGTCTCGTTTCAATCGTCCTGCGTGTCGCAGAAATCGCCTTTGCTGCTGTATGTATACCACTCCCCACACAAATGCGCCATGTAGCCGGTCATCCACTAATCTCCTCATGATCAGGTCGTCGCTGGTCTCATCGGCTACTATCTCCACCAGTTCCGCCATGTCGATGCTTGGCCACAGGCAAGATGGATCTATACCGAAGTCGTCGCCGGCTTATCCATGCTTCTCGGCCTGATCTGGCTCATCCCATTCTCGTCCGGCTTTTTCTCCTGGCCATGTATGTCGATCTGCGAGTGGCGATGGCCAGGCACAATTGCTAACAGCTAGCAGTTGACGTTATTATCTCCCTGGCCTGGTTCGCGGCTTTCGGCCTTCTTGTTGATGCCATCCACAAGTTGAACTGCGGCAGTATCTGGCAATGGCATTTCGTCGGCGACCATACCACCTGTGGTCGCTGGAAGGCCGCTGAGGCCTTTAGCTTTCTGTCCGCGATTGTCTGGATGGCTTCTGCTCTGGTGGTATGTTATTGCTTTACCCATCTCCAAAGCAACTTCTCAAATGCTGACGCTCTTGCTAGGGTCTCTGGTTCACTTTCCGCGTGAGAGGCGCCAATGCCGATGGGTACCAGTAAGTTCATCTCTGTCTCAGCGTTCAGAGTGAGAGGGGCATACAGACTGACATATTTCCAGTGGCCGTCGTCGCTTTGGTCGTCGCTCTGCCGTCTAAATCTACTCGGCTCCATACCAGCTGGCACTGCTGTTGTGCAACATGGTTACCTGCAGACATGCCTACACACGTTCCTTAACCGTTCTGCCCGTACCTGCTGCGATCGGCGCTTTTGAAGCTTAATCATAATTAACTGCTCAACGTCCATGGCTTCTGGCTGGGATTTCCGCAACGAAAGACATGATAATGATTTTCTGTGTTAATTTGTCGCGTCTCTGGATTTGATACCCTTTTTTTGCTTGCTTGTTCGTTTCTGCCGCATTTTGATAGCATATCTTCGCCCGCTGACGTGATTTACTGATAATACGAATCAAATATCTCCCGATTATTGTTGTCTATCTCTTGTGCATTCATTAGAGAAACTAGCATCTTAGTAACAATGTTGGCGATATAAATTCTGACTAAGTCCGGCACGACTCCACTCATCTTCTTTCCCTGTCCCTCTGCCCTGCTCCCCACGTACTATGAGTGCCATTGACAATGGGAGAGCATGAGTCTTCCAGTTCCCGGGATTCTTCATCTTACGAAAAAATCCCTCGCAATGACCATGAATATCCACTAGAGGTCCTAGGCTCCGACAACGACCCTGAAGATGAGTTTTCGCCGGTAGCTCGCGGGAGCGCCGAGTCGGCTCGAGCCGGCCAGGAACAGAGCACGACCGAACCACTCTTGCCCATCCATCATCAATCCAAAGCATCGAAAAAATGCTCGTTTTCATTATCTGGGATTTGGGCTTGGGTCAAGGGCCCAGCTCAGCCCCGGAAATATCACATCACGCCTCTGCTTCCTCGCTGGCAGGCGGCTCCAGCTCGTCTAATTGAACGATACTTCCGCAGTACCGTGGCCAAGGGCGTGCTTCTTCTATCATGTTTGATTCTCTGGGGTGCCGTATTTGTCGCTTCGCTGAACTCCACGATTGCTGGCTCTGAGATATCTGGATATGGAAACCCCATTAAGCTTTCCTGCCACAGCCGACTCTGGTAAGCCACCAAAATCACTTTGAATCGGGTGGCGCAACATGCTCATCTCACACTCATAGGTCCAATGCCACGGACTGCGGCCTCAATGGAGACGATTGTCGCCCCTTTGATGATGGCGCATTCGCTTTTCGATGCCCTGCTGGCTGCTCAGCCGCTATGGTTCTTGAACCATACATCATCGGGCCCCAAGAAATCAATTACCGAAGTCTTGTCATCGGCGGCGGGGACGGTGACGACTACGGCGTCTATCGAGGGGACTCTGCTATCTGCCAGGCAGCATTGCATGCCGGGCTCACCACCGATGCCCATGGGGGCTGCGGTATTCTCCGTCGAACAGGCGAACAAAGAAATTTTCCGTCTGTAGAGAAAAATGGGATCGCAAGCGTTGCGTTTCCATCGAATTTCCCTTTGTCATTCACATTTGGTGGCGATGAGTCCTCTGCGAATGGTGGGTTCACCTGCCAGGATATCCGTTGGCCACTGTTCGGCTTCTCTGTGGCTGTCTCGACAATACTCTCGCTCTCTATTGCCTCTCCTGCAGCATTCTACGCCTCAATGTTCTTCATCGTCTACTTCCAAGTGGCACTCTCGTCCGATCCCCCGTATTCTCCAGACTACTACGAGATCGTCTCCATTGCTCTCGGCCGGTTCTTGCCCTGCGCATTTGTCGGATTCGCGCTCTACTACTTCTGTGTTCGTCATACCCTGAAAGACCTCCACGCCCACTGGGACAAGACCATCCTCTGGCTCGGCCCCTGCTGGGTCGGGGCCCTCAACAACGACACCTTCGACAGGATCCCGATCTCCCGACTCACCCCGCACGACATCCAGCAGCAACCGGGGGCTCTTCCAGCCCTGATCATCATCGTCGCTCTTCTGTGCGTTATCTTGTTCACGCAAGCCATCGGCTTTCGCAACGAGGGCCGTCTCCCCGCTATGCTTGCCATCTACGGCGTCCTGCTCGCGATCGTACTAGTCCTCCTGGCCGTCCCACACATGAACCTCCGAATCCACCACTACATCCTCAGTTTGCTCTTCCTTCCCGGCACAACACTACAGACGCGACCGAGTCTGCTCTACTCCGGCCTGCTCGTCGGCCTCTTCATTAACGGAATCGCGCGCTGGGGGTTCGATAGTATCCTGCAGACACCCGGCGCGCTTCTCAACGGTGCCCAGCTGGGTAGCGCGCTGCCGCACATCGCAGCCCCATTACTCATCTCCGCGACGAACATCATCTTCGCGTTCCCGGATCTCGACAAGGATGCGGACGGGATCAGCGTGCTTGTTAATGATGTGGAGCGGTTCCAGGCCTTCAAACCGCGCGAGGGCGCTGTTGAATCGTTCAATTGGACCCGGTGGAGGGCGGAAGAACCAGAGTATTTCCGTTTCGGGTTTATTAAGGTGAATGCGCTGGGCGGGATCTGGTATGAGGACTTTACGAAGCCGGTAGTATGGGACGCGGATGGGAGATGGAATCAGTCGGACAGTGGTTCTTGATTTAGCAACGATGGAGCGATTGCCCTCGAGCCACAAAATACGGGCCAGTTGGATATGGTCTAATCGGTTTGTATAGACATCAGTCAGGTGCTTATACACATGCTTGTAGATAATCTCAATCTCCCGCACAGAGATGAATGTAAACGCCCCAACTCCATGATGAAACATATAAAGAATGCAAAATCTCCGGTGACCCAATAGATCAAGAATTATTGATTGTGGTGGTAGTTACGACACCGCACTTGGACGACCTTCTGCTCCCCGCCGTCCTCGATGATCATGGCCGTCAGCTTGCCGCCTTTGACGCACCCCGAGTCTAGGCCCTTGGTGTATGTCTTCAGCGACAAGGAGGTCTTCGCGTCATGTCCGTAGATCACGGTAGTCACCTTTGACTTGGGATCTGGCACGACACCCTTCTGGCTGGCATATAGTAACGACTGGTGTTTGTTGAACAGCTGTTAATTTGTTTTAGTACACGAGCCTTGTCCCTTTCCCAGGAAAGACCAGGGAGAACATACCTTGGTCCACATCATCCCGCCTCGCTTCCCACTCGGCACATGCGTATCCAAGTCAATGGTCAGCATGTTCATGACGCTCGAGGGGTCCTGTTTCTCCAGCGCCACGCCCGGCACCAGGCCCCCATGCACAACCAGCACCTGCCCCATGGCCGGGATTTGCCCGACATCCAAGATGACCGGGCAGGCGTCGAGCCACTGCACCTGCTCGTCGCTCAGCTGCCGCGCCAATGCGCGCTCCTTGCTGTTCAGCCCGAAGAACAGATCCGGCGGGATGTCGCCGTCCGAGGCCGCGGGCAGGGTGTTTGTCGTCGCCATGTCGTGGCGGAGGAGGAGGATGCGGTCTTCGTGGTTGCCCCGGACACAGGACGCGGCGTACTGGCGAGCGAGGTCGACGACGCCGGGGCTGTCGGGACCCTTGCTGATCATGTCGCCGGTGAAGATGAGATGGTCGCGCTCGTGGTCAAACGAGACTTCATCTAGGAGCAGCTCCACTATCGCATGCCTCCGTTAGTCTCTTTGGCTCACAGCTCTCAAAACAAACCCCGCAGGGAACCAAAAAAAGGGGGGCAAGTTAAGACACGCACACTCATCCCGACACCCGTGTACATCTCCAATGAAAATTAATCGCCGCGAACTCGCCTCGCCCTTGACTGCCTTTACAGCAGGCAAGAAAATCTTATCCAGCGTCCTCATATGAGTGACGCCTTCGAACCGCGGCATCGTATTAGTCCCGAACCACCCCCCGGCCTCCTCCTGGGTCTGCGGATCCAGCGAATGCTCCAGCCACTGATTCTCCTCGAGCCGCGGCGAGAGCACCAGCGTCCACCCGGCCAGACACGACGCCAGCAGCACCAGGTAGATCAGCGTGTAGCGCCGAAACCGCGGCGCCGTCACCATGGACAGGAACATCTGCATCCATCGCGGTGAGTCGGCGCCGCCGTCAGGCGAGCCGGAGAGCGAGACATACTTGGTGTTTGCCTGCCATTCGTTGTGCACGTAGTCGATCAGCGGCCGCGTAAACCGGTTCAGCTGGTAGGATTTGACAGTGGCGGTGGTCGCGGGGAGGAAGTCGTCGTCGGGGAAGTCGGTGATTTCGAGGCTGGACCTGTCGGTGGTGGGCGCCATGGCGAGAGATTCAGAGCGGAGTTGGGGCGCGAGAGGTCATGGATTTATCAATACGAGGACTCCGTGGCTAGGCGGGCTTGCGAATTGAGATACCGTAAACCATGAGCCTACATGGAATAGAAGTCGTTGTATCCAGGGGAGGGGGCGCAGTCGACGAAGACAAGACAAGAATTCCTTGTGAAACTGACCAGTCAGGCCGATAGAACTAGAAACCCTTTCGTCATACCTTATAATTAGTCTCGTACCTTCACGATGATGATTCGGTCGTGTGGAGTCGGCCCTGAGTGCCTGAGGCTGTAATCCACGAATCTTATCGGCGCGGGCGGCGGGGCTATACCCTTTTCGCTCTAGTCAGGCTCAGCCTTATTGCATAAACTATGTTGCCTTTTTTATGCGATGGATAATTGGATATACTCCGCACTAGTAGTGGAGTTTATGCTGATCAAATATGGAGATCCCTCAAGGCTCAAGGTAGGTAGGAAGACACTCTCACGTAGGCCGTCATTCATGAATAGGATTTTTACACAACTGACTTAATATTACATCACCGGAATCTCTCATGGTACTCCACCTCCTCCAACCTGCTCTTGACCTTCTGCAGGACCTTCTCATCATATAGCTCTTCGACGCTCTTTTCGCCGCGGAGGACTTCTCGCTCGTGGCGGGTGGCTTCCTCCTTGGTCATGCACACGAGATCTTTCAGATCAAGCGGTGTGAACTTCTGTCCCTCCTTCTCCCACTCGGGATCAGGCAAGAAACCTCTGGCCGGTCGTTGCCAGGGAACCAGCATCAATCGGTTGGTCAGGCCACTGATCGCGCTTCTGCCTCTCCATATCTCTTCAACAAGGTATGCGATATCGTCCTTGCTGATCGGGATCCGGAGCCCGACAATATTCTCTCCTGCCTCGGCTCTGGCCAGGCGTTCCTGTAGCCCTTGCAGAGACGCCATGATGCTATCGTACAACTTTTCTCTGCCCTTTCCACCGACATTGTAGTCGTTGGGGTAGCCTGCAATATCGCAGATCACATGGTTGGCGACCGTGTAGCCGAATACCGCAGGCATAGTGCCCAGGACTGGCAGGATGCGGACACGGAAGTCAGGCAGTACTCCGAGCTCGCCGACCTGGCCTTTAGCAAACTCTTCCTCGGCAAGTGGAAGAAGACTGGCTTTACCGGGACCGGGCTTCTCTGTCGAGAAGACGACGGGGATTCCGGAATTCACGCCCAGGAGCTTCAGGCGACGACGGGTGCTGCGTGATAGCGGGTCATCCGTGCTCAACGAGATATCACCGACCATGATGCGCGTGGGATCCGACTTGCATCCTGCTCCCATGGCGGAGATCACAGGAATCGAGTTCGCATGGCAGTAGTGCAGCAATTCGACCTTCGAAGTGATGTTGTCGATGCAATCGAGTACGTAGTCTGGCTTCTGGCCCTTGTCGCTGTCATCCCACGACCATGGAGCTAGCAAATCATCGGCGACAGAGCCCCCAAAAAGCTGGTTCCGGCAGTCAAATTTGACCCAGGGGACGATCTGCTCCAGTCGCTTCCGGATACAGTGCACCTTAGGTGTACCGACGTCGGCAAGAGTGGCAACGGCATGTCGGTTCAGGGAGGACAGAGTAACTTGGTCGAAATCAATCAGACGGATTTTGGATACACCGGACCGGGCGAGCGCAGCCACGGCATGCGATCCCACGCCTCCACATCCCACCACGACGATGAAAGACGACCGGAGTTTTGCGAGACCTTCGTCGGTAAGGAAGACACGGTTGCGGGCTAGTTGTTCAAGTATGAGGTCTACAAAGGAATCATAAATGGTCAGCACGGGTTGAGACGCCACCCAAGAGCATTCACGAACTGACTTACCATCGTCATAGTCGCCCTGTTGCGCTCTTCGCGCAAGCGCTGCACTGCGTTCATCTTCTTTACTCAGCTGTGTTGACGAAGCTGCAGTGCCATACTCTGTGAGCTTAAAAGAATATCAGTGATCACAGCCCCAATTATTACTAGACATTGAATCACCTTCTCTGCATGATGTCTCTCGTCGATCGGTGGAATCGAGGCCTTCAGATAGTCCACAGCTTCTTTTCTGCGCAATGCCTGGTAGCCAAGGATCGCGCCTGCAACTGCAGCCCCCGAGATCACCGCAGTGGCAGCGAGCTGCGACTGTTGCGAACCAACATGGCGCTGTAACCAGGAGGACATTTCCAAGTATTCAAGTCTGTAGATTCACTCTGTCGCTTCCGAAGTCGGTCTCAATATGCGACAATGATCAGATAGCTCTAAGCACAATCAAAGTCGGTTAGTCGTGAAGTTCAACGCCCTGGGACACGCTAGAGTCAACAAATGAATGGGAGGAAATCAACATACCATTACGTATCCATTGATATCGCTGCCGATTTTCTCAATGCTTAATGTGGGTACCATGATGTATGATCACGTGAGTTTCACGCCTCGCAGAAGTGAGGCATCGCGCTTCGAGATTCTTCCACTCCTTTCAACCTCGAAAATGTTCCTCTCAATCTGGCTAACAGGTAAGTCGTTGGTCATATGAGAATTCTCCTTCTAAATGAAGTCCCCTAACTGAGTAATGTACAGACTTGAGGGTCCAATTTTCCTAATCTCAATGACGATAAACCAAACACAAGAGCACTCATGACACTTCTGGATCCCAGTCTCGGGGTCCAAAGTAACGGACTTCATCCTTCGGCGCTCGCTCGGCGAATGGAAGAAGACGTTGGCATCAGTTGTGAATGATTGAGACGAACAGAAATCTAAGAGATTGCCGCAATCTAGCATTTTTTTCGTTTCTATTATCAAGCCATACTCCCTCATTAGCGCGGGTACTCTTTCTTGTCGACCTCTCGAAGACATTGTTTCCCTAATGTTGTGGAAGCACAATGATCTCGAAAATTCATCCACTTACGGACAGCTACTCACAGACAGACCTGACAGGATCTCTTCTTAATATACTGATCGCACGCCATTCCATCGTTTGTGGACTCGCCCCCTGAATATTCAACCCCGAGCAGTCACGTTCCAACGCCAGACCCGATGATGACAATTCTGCTCCGAGGTCGATTCGCTCAGTCTGTTTCCCTTGACGAAACGATCGCCGAACATACCAATGAGGAGTTAAAAAAAATAATCTGAAAAAGGTAGTTTTCAATCTAACATGGCTTGCGGAGGACCTCCACTTCTACTCCAGTTACATACCTGTCTTCTCATCTCTCACAGCGTTACTACTGATTGTGTTCGAAAAGACATGAATGTGTACATCTCACACATGGAAATAGCAGCAATTGGTATTCCTTGTTATGATCTCACGTTACTTCTGATCCTATAATCTGCTCTGAAAATGAATCTTGAGCTAGAAGTTCCGGCGAGTATAGCACTGACAAGACAGCCCTTCTCATGTTGGAAGTCCGATAAATTGAATATGAAATCCTATTGTATCCTATTACTTATCGACATGCTTTACCAGAGGCTCTTCCTGCCCGATGACGAGTGAATTCAAAAGCCAAAGTTGTATGGTATCCGGCTCCACACATGTATACACGCTATACATCAGCCTGGAAATTAATGAGAACCTGAGAGCTAATCTGAGGGCACATGGGAAGATCCTCTGATTGTGAAGGCTGGTCTATATTGTACCGAATGCTATACGTCTCTGAGATAGTTTAGTAGGGGGAGAAATTTTCATTTTGGATATGCCGACTCCTATGGTGAATAAAGCTTGTATATCATATCAACACCCAAGTAATAAAAATATAAAACATAAGAAGAAGAAGAAGAAGAAGAACCGCTCAGATGTGCATCATTATTCATTATTAGACTTCGGCAAAATAGATGAGCCTATACACGCGCTATCTCAGCGCAAGAATCTCTTAACGGCACCACCGATGTTCTTCAAGTCCAGTAGGAATGTATCGTGTCCGAATAGAGAAATATCGTCACCAAGCTCAATATGCTCCACATTCTGATTTCCGGCCGCGGCAAGGGTCTCGGCGATTTCGCGCTGCTGCCAGGCAGGGAAGAGGATATCGCTGGCCACGCCCATGACCAGGACAGGGTGGTTCTTCAAAGGCGCGAGTCCGGCAACGAGATCTGCGGGGGGTCCTTCGGGTTGCTCGCCTCCGGCGGCAGATTCGGAGGTGGAAGACTCTGTCGAAGCTTGTTCTTCGTAGGGGGTGTCGGGTAGTGTGAGACTACACGAGGCATCATTATAGCCGATAGCCTTGTCGCCCAGAGCGATGTGGACTTCGAACTCGGCTCTGCGCCGCTTTGTCTCCACTTGCTGTGAGCGGCCGAGGTCGAAAAGGTCCATGGCTTTGGACACGTAGAGCAAACTGTTGGGGTCGTATTCCAAGCAGAACTTCTCGCCCGCGTGGTCGAGGTACGTCTCGATGAGAAAGTCCGGGCACAGCGCTGGCTGCTTGCTAGGGTCGGCGCGCTTCCGTCCGAATCGCTTCTCCCATTCTGGTCCGCTGCGATAGGTGACTGTCGCGATTTCACGGGCGAGTTTCATCCCCGAGTGGGGTGGAATCGAGTCGTAGTAGAATCCGCGGTTCCATTTCGGGTCCATCATGAGCACTTGGCGCTGCGTGTGACGCATGGCGATACTGTACGGATGGCTCCGAGCACACCCACTGATGCTGACGATCTTGCCGACACGGTCGGGGAACAGGACACCCGCAGCCAGACTTTGCATGCCGCCCATGCTCGAGCCGACAGACGCGTATAACTTCTGTATCCCGAGTGAGTCTAGCAGACGAAACTGCGCACGAACCATATCATCCAGTGTAAGAATGGGAAACCGCGTGGCATATCTCTTCCCATCGGAAGGATCGATCGATGAGGGACCCGTGCTGCCGTAACAGCCCCCGATGACATTTGTACAAATGACAAAGTACTTGTCCGTGTTCAACGGTTTCCCTGAGCCGATAAATTTCTCCCACCATCCCGGTTTGGGGTTCGCCGCGGTACTATGCGCATGACTCGAGGCCGACAAACCAGTATGTAGCAAGATCGCGTTGCTCCCATCCGCGTTCAATTGACCCCATGTTTCGTATGCGATATTGAATTCTGGCAACACACCACCCCAATCCAGCAGCAATGGCTCCTCGCAGTGGAAGTTCTCAGTCTGCCCGGTGGTGTATGAGGGTTCTGGGCCGGATTCCAGTGAACGTGCAATTAGCAGCGCCGACTTCGCATCTTGAGCGTCAAGACATGGGAACGAAAGCGCAGGGTTCGATGAATCGCGTGTTGAGGAGAATTCTGCTGTGCCAGTCTGTAACCTCCGCTTGGGGATGGAGTGTAGTTCTCGATACTTCACACTTCCTGGTGAAGATGCATTATTGATATGAAATTGACCGCGTGTAGCGAAGCTTGTTGCAACACTTTCACTTTGTCTCCACATTCCGGCGACTTGGAGACGTCGTGGCGCTGAGCGAACCACACCCTGTAGAGAGCTCATTTTCAGTAGACTCGTGAAGCAAGACAACTACCAGGCGATAGTTGAGCGCTCCAGATGAGATGAGACAGCAGATAAATCAGTGGAGAAATCATTTCAACTTGTTTATACCGACTTTCTTTCCAATTCCGCATTGCGCGAGGGAATAGATGCCTCAGGCTTTCGGCCGACCTCTGGAGTGCTAATGGCGTCATTTTTATGCACCGTGATTGGCTGCAGCTTGATCACCATGAGCATTCTATGATTTGTAATCGGGATTTCCCAAGTCACGAAGATCCAGTATGGAGAACAGATGGACTCTCACCTAGTTATCTTTTGTCTCGTAATCGAGAAGGGATGGGGATTACTTCACATGACATTCATGGAGAGTGCCACGGCAATTGATCACAGAGTATGTACTCTGCATATTTCTCCTGTCTCCACTACTCTACCCTTGTAAGAGTGATCAGGTTCTTCTTTCCAACATCAATCCCGGCGACATGCATGCATCTCTTCCTATCATCTTTCTTCCATCAGGAGCAACAGTCGCTCCTCCGGGAGATATGAGGTTGAAATCTCTAGTCTTGAGTAGAGGTCGAACAGCCCTCTCATAAGGACCCTTCAAAGACATGGAATAGGCGTACTTGATGTCGTAATTGGGCGAAGTGAAGCAATAGGAGGAGAAGAAGAAATAATAATAGCCCTGGTCGGTTCGGATGATATTAGGTGCTTCGACCAAAGGCCCGTCCTCTGCCTCATTCTGAAGAATTTCGACGGGGTCACCAATTGGGGTGATACCGCCATCTGCCAGCTCGTGAAGCATGATAGGCACTTTGACAATCGGCTTCTTGCCGTTGTGGCAATCACCACCATGTCCAATGCTATTGCTATTAGCTTTGTATGTGATGTATAACCTCCCGTCCATATCTCGAAACGGTGACGGATCAATGGCCCCTCCCTGTTCGCGAGGGCACGCGAGCGGCTAATCTATGGGGTGATACAACCCAAGAGGGTCCTGCTTCTCTGAGATTGCAGCGCCAATGCAGCGGTTTCAGTCCTTCAACTTTCCCGAGCAATATAACACGAATATCCCAGCATTCTGCAACAGCATCAGAGTTTTGAGCCCTTGTAGACAAGGGTAGGCTATTGCATACTCGTTGAATGGCATCCGGGGCCCAATGATTGACTCCTGTCTCCCAAGCCGACAACGTCAGCATCGCATCGTAGGCCTCTATTTGCGTCCAATGCTGCAGATTGATCGATGTAGCAACTGGAACATGAGCGACATTCGAATCATTGATAGCTGCATTGGTTCCATAGGAGATTCATGTGCGACTGACCTGGATCAACCCAGGGTCGGGAAAGTTATAAAGGACACGGATGGGTCAGTTTGACTCGTTGTGATAACTCAATTCATCGAAGGAGTTGGAGTGTCGCAGTTTAAGAATCGGGACCGTTATGGCCACGACGATGATCGCTATGGCCAGACACCCTAGGACTCCCAGCAGAGTGGCCTTCTTTCGTGTCAATGGTTGAAAGGCTATCCTCCCCAGCTGCAGCGCAGGCGGATGACTCGATTCGGTTTTTTGAACGACATCAGAGTCTTCCTCCGGCTGTGTTAAACCAGCAGACAGCGTGAAAGGGGCCCTTTTTCTTGTCGTTTGAGGGCAGAAGACCCCCAGTCATTCTTCATAGAGCGAGATTACTCTGCAACCCCTACATCTATATCTTGAACATTGGATGTTAAGGTCGAAGAGGATATAGAAATCATTTCATTCTAGCAACATAAAGCCCAGCCATGGCGTGTTTTGAAAGAGGGATTTGATCAGGGTAGTGATAAACACTGTTGAAAGACAAGCTAAGTATATGACTCCGTCGCACAAGCCAGTGTAGACAGGATATAGATCTAATGTCTGTAAATATTAAATGTATAGCTCTGTTGTTTATATACAACTGAGATGGAAGAGCATACAACTATGCCTATACAGGGATCAAGTGACACAGTTATCCTTACTACGCATCACATCCTTTTCAGGCATTCTTTTGCAAATCAGCCAATATCAAATATAGTAGGAAGTGAGTATATTGTCATCATTGAACCCGATGAAAGAAATCATCCGTGAAGGCCAGATAACGCTGTCAATTGTCCAATTGGACATTAAAGACAAAGGTACTATAGTTGGAGTTCCAACGCTGTACTGCTGTCTATGATGCCACTGATGCTATTTTGAGCTCCCAATAAGATAGTGTGAAAGGGTCTAGATAACATTGTAGCATTCGGGGTGGAAAGCTCCAGGATGGAGACATCTAGGTACCCAAGGTTCAGGACCTCAATAGGGAGTACATAGGGACGGAACAGTATACCGTATTCCAGCAATAGCGGGCAGTTAAACAATCTTCACTCCTGATTATCAACATATCTGACAAGTAACACTCGCCGTAGTAGCAAGACTGATCGGTAGCAACTTTATATGATGCTGTAGGTACGGAAGTACAGCGATTTACCCAAAGTCAATTATCTTCAGGGAATGATCTCTGGCCTCAATTCACCATCGCATTGCTTCTACTGGCCCCGCATTCCAACTGACTGCAACTTAGCTATCGACCTGGGAGCGTTTACCAATCATTTAGGTCCTACTGGCCAAAAGCTACTACTGGCTACTCCTGGGAGTCCTGGGCAGCTGGGCTTCTGGCAGTCAATTAATATCAGCCTATGTGAAACATCCACCTGTGACCTGAGGCATTCCATTTTGACTTGAGCTAAATAAACTTTCCCCTGAGCGTATGCTTCTTCCTTCGTGTGTCCGATGAAACACAGAAGCAAGTCGATCCGAGCGAGATCCTTATTGTTCTCACTCAAGTACTATGTAGTTCATTTCTGTATGGAAAAGATGTCCTCTAACAATATGCATATATATCACTATTGATAATCCACTGCTTTCGTAGTTCGAAACAGTCGAAGAGTGAATCTTCCCGTCTATTCTGTCGCATCTAATTATTGTGTTGATGGTCATCGGTTTGGAGCTATGTCCAATAAAGATCAAAAACACTCTACTACAGACCATGTCACCACGCCGTTAGCTACCAACCAACTAAACACCGGATGCTCTGACGCCAAGTGTCTCCTGCATTTACTACGAGTTTTGAAGCCTAGCTTCGCGTCAATTTGCTCCTGCAATGACGCGGCTCGGATTTTAGTGAGCTAGTTCCCCTCTTGGATATCGCATTCGCATGCAGAACTACTCACTGTGACACCTCCTGCGGATATGTATATCATCCATCGTCCTAACAACAGGTGAAGGTAGAAATAATAGTATAAAGAAAAGTACCTCAATCCTGCTTGAGCTTGAAGTAACCTTCCAGCAGAGTCATGGGGAGTCCAGATCTCAGATAACATAGTGGATCTTGCAACGTTGAAGCGATAACGAGGTTCTCTGGAAGAGCCATCGTGGCCGAAAGCGGCGATCAACGACAGACCACAGGAACAAAATGTGACCTCGTCAATCAGCATCCGCTCTTCAATAATAATGGGAGTTCTTCAAGCCATGATCCTCCCCCTGTCTGGAAATTATTCCCTGTCGATCCAGGGAACCGACAGTCTTGCGCCGCGGGCGAATCATCAGTCTGCTTCCAATTGCGGTGATACCTCCGCCGTACATTAGAAATTTAGATGTCGTACGTCTGTAGCAGGCTTCGTGGTCAGATACGAGCTTATAAGACAGTGACGGCCCCCTGTGAACAAGAAACCTTCTTTTTCATAAGCATCCTCGATCCATTGACTCTAAAATAAAGCAAAATCTTCTTCGTCATCCTTGTTGGCGCATCTACGCGGAACTGGGCGCCACCAGCAGCTAAGGCATTAAGGCTCCACTGCGTTTTCATTTAGTTCAGCGACGTTTCCCAACTTTTTCGACTCTTACTTTACTGAGCTGCATTTTCGGAAACATTGTGAGGCTGCGCCTTTTTCCTTTATTCCAGAAGTATTATATTGTCTGTCTGTCTACGGTACAGGAACTGCCGCTGTATCGGATTCCTCAGAGTGACACAATCTGTTCGGAATTCAGTTCCAAGTCTTCCAGCCGTCTCCGAGAGTACCGACTATTACAATTGTTTGATTGCGCAAAGAGACCTTTACATTTCACAATCTTTTCCAGTACCGGTGCAATTATGTCTGCACTCAGGTAGTCATTGAAGTGAAAACCCAACGATCGAGCATTCCTTCGCACGGCATCTCCATCATTCACCCAGCGTTGGATCATTGATTCCCCCCCAGAGCCCCGCGGAGAAGCTCGTGGCGCCCCCTTAGAGATTCCAGGTGCCAGACGCTAGGCATCACTTCCGCTCGCCAATCAAGTTCTACCGTGCTTCTTCTAGCTATTCTATGCAACAATGCTCACATTTCGAAAATCGTTGATCGCGGCGGTCATCCTAATCACCTTCATCGTTCTCCTCCGGTCCGCGCATTCCGGTCCTTCCACCCATTCCATCGTTCCCAAACCGGACGAAGCGGTCTTCGATGTCAACCAGGCTGTCAGCAACGAGCATTCAACAGAGCAAAAGAAGGAAGCACAGCAGGCGCCACTGAAACCACCCCCAACTGCACCATTGCGTGACCGACTCCGTTATCAATTCCCCTACGATCTGGAAAATAAGTTCCCCGCGTACATCTGGCAGACATGGAAATATACGCCGTCGTCGGTCTGGTTTGGCGAGGATCTCCGCCCCGCGGAAGCAAGTTGGACGACACTGCACCCAGGATTCGTTCACGAGGTGGTGACGGACGAGACTCAGCGCCATCTAATCAAGTACCTTTACGGTTCATTGCCGGAGGTGTTTGAGGCCTACGACTCGATGCCCCTACCTGTCCTGAAAGCGGATTTCTTCCGATACTTGATCCTGCTGGCCCGGGGAGGAATTTACAGCGATATCGATACCTTTGCGCTCAAACCCGCATCCGACTGGTTGCCCTCGGAGCTGGATCTCTCGAAGATCGGCTTCGTCGTGGGCATCGAGGCTGATCCAGATAGGCCTGATTGGCATGATTGGTATTCGCGCCGGATCCAGTTTTGCCAGTGGACCATCCAGGCCAAGGCGGGCCATCCGATCCTCAGCGACATCGTCGCGTACATCACGGAAGAGGCGCTGCGGATGAAGAAAGCGGGTGTTCTCAAGGAGGGCAAGATGGATAAGACCATCGTCGAGTTCACGGGGCCGGCCGCATGGACCGACGCCGTGTTCAGATACTTCAACGATCCTGAATTTTTCAGTATTGAACCCGATTCGACACACAATGTCACATACGAAGATTTTACCAACCAGCAGGGGTTCAGAATGGTTGGTGATGTAGTGGTTCTCCCCATCACCAGCTTCAGCCCCGGTGTCAATCAGATGGGTGCCGGTGATTACGATGATCCCATGGCGTTCGTTAAACATGACTTTAGTGGTAAGCAATCTTCTCGTCCCGCTGAACAGGAGTAGAGATGTCTAATGGTTCTTTTGCAGGATCATGGAAAACAGACCCGTCACTTTGAGAACGGGTTGCAGGGCATACTATGCCAACAATCACCACATATTCTGCCCGAAGCAGGCCAATACAAATATTAGGCAATGGGGACAAAGCCTTCCGACGATAAACTTCCAGAATAAACTGGGGTTTGTGGTACCAAGTTGGAACCTGTCTGAGGCCCTCCAAAAGTCGTCCCATTAGAAAGGCGCCCCAACACCTATACACGTGCCAGAGAGCACCTTTTTGATTGCACCGGGGCAAAGCCTACAGAAGTCTCTTAATAGCCAAGAGGATGGCTCATTAACATTACTATATGCCTCACCCCTCCTTATGCATTACTTGTCACATTACAGCATCAGCATGTGCTTACTGCTCCTGAACGTTACCAGGAGGTCACCATCATATCAGTGGACTGCTTGAGGACATGACAAGGTCGAGGGCGGAAATATTCCGTGACACCAACACTTTTGATGATCTCACTGCATTCCATCAGTCATCGCTGTATAGAACGAGCACCATCTGTTCATTTCTGAATCTAGCATATACTCTATATTCCCGTCAAACTGACTGATACATATAAATCATCAACTGTGAAATCAATATTTCAAGCACTTCCTTAAGACAGATAGCACCGTGGTATCAATGTTACCTAGATACTACTGTCATGGAAAATCTCATCGTCCCAGAACCTTGGGTAGATCAGAACGAAGGTTGTCGAAGGCCAAGTTTGATTTCAACCAAACGAGCATGGTTTACGAAAGAGAAAGACACCGGCACCGTATAGGAAGCCTGAAGATTGAACACTTGCAGATTGAATTATATATTAAGAGCCGACCGAAAGCAGGTGAAGGGGAGAAAAGAGGACGCCACGCCACCATCCAAAAGAAGCTCATTCTTGTATACCAAAATCACCACCACTGTTGGTGACTAGGTAGCCTTTCAAAAGACACAGAAGACACAAGATGTAAGCTAGCTTTACTATATAGAAAAAACCAAATGGTGGGGCCAGGATTCCTTCTTTCAAAACGATAATACAGGGGGAGGGTCTCATCACATCGTGGCGGGGTTTCCATATCAGCATAGACTTTCATGACAAAATAAAATATTTACAGCGAGTATTGTTGGCTGCTGATAGTTGTGTTGCGAATCTAGAAATCGCTGAACAGAGGTTCGTATTTCTTCTTCAGGTCGTCGGTGTAGATGGCCTGACCCCTTACGTCTGGGTCAGGATAATCCTCAAAGTTCCCGGTGTCGGCAGGATGGTCAACCCTGGGGATGATGGGGCCTTTGATCCGGCGGTAGTACAAATCATCCCAGTTGATGCCTTCGAAGAAAGGGTGCGCTTTGACTCGGGCTGAACCGCCTGATATATGACCGAGTCGCTCGCTCGGGTTGGTCTTGCAGAGTAGCGAGATGATATTCTGCGCCGCGGGAGACACATTCGGGGGGAAACGCAAGCGGCCCTCCACAATCTGCTCGTATATGCGCATCGGGTTTGGGTCCCAGAATGGAGGCTGCCCTACCAAGAATTCATAGATGAGGATGCCCAGTGCCCACCAGTCGACCGCGAGACCATGTCCGCTGTTCTGAATCACCTCGGGCGCAAGATACTCGGGGGTGCCGCATAATGTGTATGTCTCGCGGTCCCCTATTTGCTTCGCAAAGCCAAAGTCGACTAATTTGATATGTCCGTCAGCGTCTAAGAGGATGTTTTCTGGCTTCAGATCACGATAGACGACGCCCTCGACATCATGGAGGAACTCTATCGTGAGGGTGATTTCGGCGGCATAGAATTTGGAAGTATTCTCATTGAACCGCCGCGCACGCCGAAGATAGCTGAAGATCTCACCACCAGGGCAGTATTCCAGCTAGGTAAAGGTCAGATTCTTCATACGATCGGGAAGCTGGTTCCTGACGAGGTGCGATGGCGTGCATACCAGCATATATAAGCTTTGATCGTCCGAGAATGTCGCTAACAGAGTTGTGACGAAGGGATATCCGGCGACGGCCGCAAGTGTCTTTCGCTCATTGCGCACATGTTCCACCTGTTTCAGCTTGATGACTGTGTCCTCCCCCAAGCAGCCCACGAGTCAGCCCAGGCCCTGGTGACCAGATATATCGACGCCCGTCCTCACCGTCTGCCTTCCGTAATACTTTCAGCGCGTAGACATTTCCCTTTCGAAGCGATTCGTCTTTGAATTGCGCCAGCCACACCCGGGCAAAGGTACCTGCGGGGATCCCCAACGAGTCAACACCACAATTCCCAGTACCTAGCCAGTAATGAAGACATACCAGTGCCGAGCGTTTTCAGCAGTACAAAGTCACTGAGACGCAATGTGTGGCAGGATATTCCTAGCTGCTTCTCTTCCGGGCGTTCTTTGATAACAAATGGATTGAAGGATCGCTGGTGAGGCGGTCGGACGGACGCCACAATGTGCTTTTCTTTTTCGTGGGCTTTATCTGAAGGAGAATCGACCTTCCCGGGTGTAGTCGACGAGCTCTGAGTCTCTCTATGTGTCGAAGGTTCGACCTTTCCTGTAGCCATTGCGATGGCAAGAGATCATGTCTCGACGACAGCGGTAGGTAGATATGGGAGAAAGAGTGCCGAAGTATCAAACGACAAGGTTGTTTAAGTTGTAATTTCAAGTACTACTCAAACGTGGGAAGGAAAACAGACAATTGGAACATGGAGAGGAGCTGCAGAAACTACTTCAGAAGCAAAGAAAACAGTGACCAATGCTCCATGTGAAATGGAGAGAGCTTTGCTGAGGTTCGTTTTTTCTGCCCGCGAGTTGCCATGGTCCATGGCGGCGTTACGGAGACTCTGACGTTACCGACTGGCGGGGCAAGCCTGTCAACAACTCGGCATGCACCACTAGCGTAGTCGGCCGTAAGCCGGTCTTAGTAGATTGCTAGGTTAAAGGAATGACTTTGATAGGTGCTATTTCGAGAGCCTGGGTTGCTGGGAGCTTTCCGTAGCTAATGCAGATTGCAGAATAACAAGATTGGCTCATCTAGGATCTTTATTTCCAGGCCTTTGTTGGGCAGAATACTAGTACAAGAAGACCAAGGCCATGTCTCCAGATCACACCAAATGCAAGACTATCTTCTCACCGGGGAGAAGAACACTCGTCGCTCCCTCAAAGGAGTCTCGAGAAGTCCACGATTGTGACCTGCGGATATAAAGTGGCAAGAGTCGCTGAAATGATGTATGTCGTGGATCAAACAATGTCGAGTACAGCTGAGAAAGTTTATTTACTCTTCGAGTTGAGGATGAGACCAACAATTAGACTGGCAGACGTTAGCAACGACAGGTTCTCGATGTGACTCTTGCACAAACATACCCGTAAAGACCAAGTACTTCGCCGAAGATCAGAATAAGGATCATTCCTACATAGACCCGGGATTGTTGCATGTAAGCACGTACGCCCTTTTAGAAAGCCTATCAGTAAAACTTTCATATAGATAACCATTGTTTTGAAACCGCTTACCGCATCACCGACAATTCCAATTGTGTAACCGGCTGCCAGGCCCGCGAGGCCAACCGATAACCCCGAAGCAAGGTGCATGAAGCCTCTGCAATAGAAAATCAATAAGCAAGGTCATGCTGGCTGTAGTGAGCTTGACGAGAGAGGAACCTACGTATACAAGCTCATGTTTTGTGTCGGAGGGGGTGCCATATCTCCCGCAATGAGCACCGCAATGACAAGACCGTACACTGCGATGATACCCGACATGACGACTGGAATCAAGGACTATACAGCAGTTAGTTATCCTTCTTGTGTTTTGCTCAGCGATCGTCGTGCACGTCGGTCCTACCTTCATGATCAAATCCGGTCGAAAGGTTCCTACACCGGAGATACCGATGCCTGACTTTGCTGTTCCATACGCCGCACCCAACGCTGTGACAATGTGAGCTTTTTATGATATGATTGTTGGCATCGTAAACAGTTGAATGCTGGACGTACATCCGAAGATCATCTTTGAGGTGTTGTTAGTGTTCCGTCAGGACTTAGCTCGGGGATAGAGGGACTCACTGCAGATGCTATTCCAGCCTTAAAACAGTCAGTAAATCTGAATACTGCGCTTGGAAGACCACGGAGCTTCGGGCAAATCACTTACAAAGGAGAAGAAGGGCGCGAATTTGGGAGCCAGCTCGCTTTCCGCCATGTTGAGTGTATGATGACAGATAGAGAGCAAATGGGGCGGCGGATTACAAAAAATCGGTAAGAGAAAACCTGAGAGGTAATCTCGTCGGCAGTATACTCGAAAAGGTTAAAGAATCAAGGAGATGCGAGCCTCAAAAGAGTGTAGATGGAGTGATCGTAGCTATCCACCCGATAGATAGCTGGGGTTGACCAAGTTGCTCGCGCGGACCACCGTAGTACATAATCATATCGCCGCAGAGAGAGCGAGCTTAGCCAATCCGGGTAAAGGCTGACATGTGCCTGTTCCTCAACCCAACTAACATTGAAACCCCCCGTGCTTTTCCATCATCTCTTGGACTGTCTGTTCTTCCCCCCATCAGCTCCAGCTTGCGTACGGAGGAGTATCTATCTAGGCTCTTATTGTTAGTAGTCACTACTGGTTGGCCACGGTAGACGCCACAACCGACATTTCCCCCTATTCTTTTCTTTTTTCCCAATACCATCAAGTCACTTAGCCACTCCTCTCTTGTTATCCCCACCCCCTCCGGTTTCTGGTCTGGCATTCCATCTTTGCCTCCACCACCAGAGTCTGCTCATATCGACCCCCAACTGGCTCAAGAGAGGATGCTGAGGTTATGAATAGCGGGGGCTTTGGCTTGCGATTGCGCTCAAGGCTCCTAGCGCATTTAAATCGTTTAAACACAACGCAATCCTGCGGTTTCTTCTTGGCTTGAGTCCGCTGCAGGGTCAACACCCGGTCGAGGAATGATATTTGGAAGGACTTTCGTTTCCTGACTCCCATTACCACTCCTATTGTTGACCATTATTTTCACTGCTTCTTGCTGTTTGCCCTTAAACCCGCCACTTGTGGAGTAATATTCGATTCCAATTCTCGTTCCCCACGACTTTAGACGACCTCCTCGCGACGCTTTTGCACGACTTTCTACGATTCAATCTCCGTTACATTCGCACTGAGAATAATCCAACCATACAAAGCTGAGTGTGCGAGCGGCTGTCGTCTACAACCACGCAGATTGATCGAGGCAAAGATAGATCGTTGAAAGGGATAAGATGGCCGACCTAGGAGGCCAACAGGGCCGGAATTACCGGCCTTACGGCCATGCCTCCTCTTTCCAGCGCGATGCTGCATTTTCCGAGATTTTTGGTGGTGCTCCGCCACCTGGACGCTCTCAAACAATGACCTCGCAGACAGCTCAATTTTCTCAGGATCGCGCCCACACAATGTCCTCGCATGTGCCGCACCCTCATATGCAAAGACCTCCGCCGCAGCCGGCACGCCAAGCGCCCAATGGCTACCCACCTTCAGCTCCAAATGGGCAATACCAAGCATATCCTGGAGGCTCAGCTGTGCCTCCCCAACATCCTTCTCAGAACCCGCCTCGACCATATCCTGGGCGTTACGTCTATCCCCAACCTCAGCGACTGGATTCCAGACCAAGTGCCGGCCCGCAATACCCTGATCCAAAGGGATATGGCCGGCCGATGCCTCCCCCCGCCTTGAATTCCGATGCTTTTAGATCACGGTCAATGGCGCGAATGGGTGGCCCTCCAGTGTATCAGCAGCCACCGCCGAGCAGCTTCAACCACACTTCTGCGACTGCTTTCCGCCAGCAGCCCTATAGTCCAGCGAATCCTGTTACAGACCAGGGTCGTGTCGTGCCGTTGAGGCACGGGAATGAACGCGCCATGTCGCTGACTTCCTACTCTACAGACCGTGATCACTCCCATACCACGAGCACGGGCAGGGTGATTCCTACAAGGAGACAGCCATCTGGACCAAGTCAATCTCCGGTGAATAATTTCGACCCCGAACCCGTGGACGCTCACAACGTGAATGGTAGATCGCGGCCTCCTAGTGATGGATCGACCAATTCGCGTTCGATGTCGATGGCGTCAACTGTTGTACCGGACCGAGCTATGAGCATGCAAAGTCAATTGACGCAGAAGCCTAGTCAGACTGGCACACTTGTCCCGAGCAATTCGCGTCGAAGCAAAGTGCCCCTGGTGTATCCCGCTCTACTATCACGAGTGGCGGATGTTTTCCGTGAGAGGATTCCGCTTGGTGAACGACAGAAGAACGGCTTATCTTATCAAAATGCATTTTCTGGTGCGGAGGCAGTCGATTTGATCGCACACATTATCAAGACAAACGATCGGAATCTGGCTCTTCTATTAGGAAGGGCGCTCGACGCGCAAAAGTTTTTCCATGACGTGACATATGACCATCGTTTACGAGATGCCCCTGGTGAGATTTATCAGTTCAAGGAGACAATGGGTGAAGAAACCCCTAGCTCAGAGGTCAACGGAGTTTTCACGCTTTTGACGGAATGTTACTCGCCTACATGTACGCGCGATAGTCTATGCTATTCCATCGCTTGCCCCAGACGGTTGGAACAGCAAGCACGATTGAATCTGAAGCCGCAACCTGGATTACGGTCGTCCACATCTAAAGGTAGCCTTCATGGCGATGAGGATAACGACAATCAAAAACTCTGGATCAATATGGTTCCCAAGGAGATTTCTGATGCCATTGATGATCGTGAAAAGAAACGCCAGGAAATTATATTCGAGATTATGTACACGGAACGCGACTTCGTCAAGGATTTGGAGTACCTTCGAGATTTCTGGATGAGACCCTTACGCTCAGCAGGCAATGCGAACATGTCCCCCATTCCAGAACATCGGCGAGAGAAGTTCATCCGCACGGTATTTGGAAACTGCTTGGAAGTTCTGAAAGTCAACGGCGCTTTATGTGAAGCGCTCAATTCCAGACAGAAGGAGAGCCACGTAGTGAAGACTGTTGGTGATATCTTCCTGCAGCATGTCCCGAACTTTGACCCCTTCATCAAATACGGTGCCAACCAGCTTTATGGAAAATATGAGTTTGAGAAGGAGAAGGCTTCCAACCCCGCTTTTGCCAGATTCGTCGAAGAAACAGAACGATTGAAGGAATCGCGTAAGCTGGAGCTGAATGGATACTTAACCAAGCCTACGACACGTCTCGCTCGGTATCCATTGCTTCTTGAACAAGTCTTGAAGAATACGAGCGACGACAATATGGATAAAGAAGACATCCCCAAGGCCGTCAAACTCATTAAAGACTTCTTGTCTCGCGTCAATACTGAGAGTGGAAGGGCTGAGAATCACTTCAATCTCGTGCAGCTGAACTCTGCTCTCAAGTTCAACCCTGGGGACTACGTCGATCTGAAACTGACAGAAGAAAACCGCCAGATGCTTACGAAAATGGCGTTCAGGAAAGCTCCGACAGATAGCTCCGAAGTGACCGCGTATCTTTTTGACCATGCGGTCTTACTTGTGAGAATCAAAGTCGTCAACAAGCGGGAGGAATATCGTGTTTATCGAAAACCCATCCCCCTTGAACTTTTGGTCATTGCTCAGATGGATGAAGTGATTCCAAGAGTTGGCATTGCCAAGAGACCCTCATCAAGTCTACTTTCCAATAAGCCTGTGGTCAATCCGCCCAGCACAAAGGACGGCCTTCCAATCACCTTCAGGCATCTTGGCAAGGGTGGCTATGAGCAAACACTCTATGCCACATCGCCAACGCAACGAAGGAAGTTCATTGAGATGGTAGAGGAACAGCAGAGGAAGCTTAGAGAGCGGAACAGCAACTTTTACAACAAGAACGTTCTATGTTCCAATTTCTTCACGTCGATGAACCGTGTGAACTGCCTTGTTCCTGTCGGTATGTCATTGCATCGATCCTCTCTCTTTTCTTATTTGTGTCAGTACGCTAACATTTTCCAAAGATGGAGGTAGGAAATTGGTATACGGCACTGACAGTGGTATCTTCATATCGGAGCGTTGGCCTAAGGATAAGTCTGCCAAGCCGCGACGTGTACTTGATGCCAGTCAGGTGACTCAAATCGATACTTTGGAAGAGTACCAATTGCTTCTTGTTCTGTCGAACAAGACCTTATCGTCCTATCCGATGGAGGCACTTGAGCTTGGAGAAGGTCAAAACTCGATGGCCAAACGGCCGAAGAAGATCCAGGGTCACGCCAATTTCTTCAAGGCAGGGATTGGACTGGGACGCCATCTGGTGTGTTCTGTCAAGACATCTGCTCTATCCTCAACAATCAAGGTCTATGAGCCTATGGACAATCTAGCGAAAGGGAAGAAGAAGTCCGCCGTTAGCAAGATGTTCCAGGGTGGCCAGGACACGCTCAAACCTTTCAAGGTTCGTATTGTTCACCAATCGCTCATGATTCAATTAATCTAATCGTCCTGTCTAGGAATATTACATTCCTGCGGAATCATCGTCCATTCATTTCCTTCGCTCGACTCTTTGCGTTGGCTGTGCCCGTGGCTTCGAGGTCGTTAGCCTTGAGACCACTGAGACGCAGTCTCTCCTGGACCAGGCAGATACCTCGCTTGATTTTGTTCAACGCAAGGAAAATGTGAAGCCCATTCACATCGAGCGAATGAACGGAGAATTCCTGCTCAATTACAGCGACTTCTCCTTCTTTGTCAACCGAAACGGGTGGCGCGCTCGTCCTGACTGGAAGATCTCATGGGAGGGCAATCCTAATGCATTTGCATTGTCATATCCGTACATTCTTGCCTTTGAGCCGAATTTTATCGAGATTAGACACATTGAGACCAGTGAGCTAATTCATATCATGACCGGGAAGAATATTCGCATGTTACACTCCTCCACAAGAGAGGTATGTCTGGAACCTCCACAAACATTGACTGATCACATGGATTGACTAACTATGATGCTAGATTCTGTACGCCTACGAAGATGAAGGAGGCGAGGATGTTGTGGCCAGTCTGGATTTCTGGAACAAGCCACAGCAACACTGAGCCACCTGACAGGCTTTGTGTACAACAAAAGAAAGCAATCGTTCTCTTTTTGATGGCATCCTTTTTTGTCTCTTTAGTAGAACTGCTTTCTTCCCCACACGGCATCGGCCATTACTTTCCGTCAGCTGTTAGCTCTTGAATCATTCAAACAACTTCTTCAATACTTTTTTTCCCGTCCATGTTGTTGATTTGATTTCCAAATCTGTGTCAGATCAGCAGCATTTGCCTCCTTCTCCCTCTGTACAATGAAGCGCAAATACCACTTGATTTTGTTCTGCTCCCGTTCACTTGATCACCCCCGCTGTCTGTTTGGTCATTATTCTTCGTTTTCCCCCTATACTTCTTTTATTTTCCTTCGCCTCTTTTTGTTTTCTCTTCATTCTTCTTCTTCCTCCTTTTGCTACATATAATCCCTTCCGCTTGCTTTCTGCTTCCGGTTGTCTCCTCACAAGTCGCAACCTGCCTACATGTCATGTCCCAAGTATTTCAGCTCAAATTACCCCCAGTAGGGAGAGCTGGCGCTGATTCCCCCAATCTACTCGATCTTATGGACTTTCTGGTTTTCCCGCGCGCAGAGATGATCCAAGTAAACCTCTAGATTTTCCAAAGGAGATAGCAGTAAAAGGGTACTTTTCTTCCTCATGTACTACTATTCGGCTCAAAGACATAGAATGATAGTAGAGACAACACATAAGCCAAGAGAGGACACAAAAGATGAAAACGACAACAGAGGGAATCTTGCGGCGCTGCTGAGATGGGACGGGTGTCATTTTTGACAAACACAAAAGAGAAGGGTAAATGGAGGTGAAGAAAAGGGTAAATGGAGCCGGAGTTACAAGCAACGACTGCGAACAATTAAAAAATGCTATTCCGGGCGCCGGGCATTGCAATACGGATCCTGGAGATTGGCAAAATCCGCAGCTGATAAAAGTGAAGAGATATAAGAGACCAAGGAATATAAGGGGAAACGGTCAGAAGTGATAGCCACAATCCACACTCCCCGTCCCTGGAAACAGCCCTGTCCGAGAGAGGAACTGTGCCCGGTCATCGAAAATGGAGCGCTGCATTTTCCCTTGCCCTCTCTTTCAAGACGAAAGCTATTAACGTGAAAAAAAAAAAAAAAAAAAACGGTCAATATTAACCCCATGAACAGTTACAACCTACTGTGCCACAAGTTCCATTACGTTGGCACAGATGGTCTGAAACTCGCAAAAACCGTATCCCGCTTTGACAGCAGTAAAAGGAACCTAAGCCTCGCCATTGGTAGCATCGGACTGAAGAGCAACCTGATTCTGGCTTGCTTCACGTGCCATGCGAGCCTCGATCTCCCTCAGTTGGCTTTCACGAGCCAGAAGTTCCTGGCGCTTCTCAGCGATTTCACGCTGTACCTTGAGTTCGATCTCACGGAGCTTCTCCTCTTCACGACGGAGCTGCTCCTCCTTCAGGCGAACTGACTGAGATGCAAGGTCCTCGGGGTTCATGGAAGAGTCGTGGCCTCTGTAAAAAGCAGTCAGTTTTGCAAAGATCATATAAACTTTGAACAGATATAGCGAGTAAACATACGCGCCAGCACCATCAACGCTCTTGCTGAGCTTCTCGGTACGGTAGTTCTCGTAGAGGAAGTCGTGAGTGATCTCCTTCAGATCGGCGAGATGGCTGTGGAGAAGGGCACTTCTGATAGCCAAGAAATCAGAGTGTCTAGGATTTTCAACCTCCACTACACCCCAAGGATACTGTCTGGCTCGCACTTTCCGTCCGTCAAACTCGACAAAGTCCTCGGAACCGACAATGGCGAATGGCATGAGCCCACGCAATTCGGCGTTTTCCTCTACTGTATCTTCATCATCTTCCTCGATGTCGTAGGGAAAGTTGTAGACAGGGATGCGATAATGCTCAATGTCCTCCATGATGAGCTTCTTGGACTCCGCAAGTTCAGCGGGAGTAAGAGAATCGGCCTTTCCGATAACGGGGATGACGTTGACGCGGGGAGAAAGGCGCTTCATCAGTTCGATATCCAGTTCACGCAGGCCGTGACCGGTTGGTGTAATGAAATAGAGGAGGACGTGAACACGGTTGTCCCTGAAACGGGGGTTACGCTTGATTCGCGATTCTTCGGCCAGAATATCATCATATTGGCGTTCCAGGTATCCGACGATTTCACCGAAGCTGAAAAGCGGTCAGTTCTGGTCTCAAAGCGAGGATTTGATCCAACATGCCTGGCTTCATTGTCAATCTGGTCACCGAAGCCAGGGGTGTCGACAATAGTCAGGGAGATGCGGGTGCCTTCATCGTCCAATTCTAGCTCTTTCATATCGTTGATTTAGTATGAATCCCTTTGTCACGAGGCGGGGAGGTATGACCTACCAACTGTAACTGGCTTGATACGGACGCCTTCCTCGATATGAGCGCTGGCAGCATCGTCGGAATCTTTGCTTTCGAGAACTTGCTTGCCACAAAGGGTGTTGACGAAGGTCGTGCGTCCTGCATTCACAAAAAAGACTGGTCAACCACCCACTTAATTCAAGCTGGCAGGCGATTTCCATGATACGTACCGGTTCCACTAGCACCACAGACCATCAAACAGAACTGGATACCCTTCTTGACGTTTTTCTTGCGACGGATCTGGCATTGAAATGTCAGATTGTATTCTCCAAGCCGAAGCAATGAACATAAATATGGTCGAGCAATGATTTGTGATCTTCATCTGGAGCAAATGGTGTAGAACAAACAAGGGTGGTGGTGGTGGTCGTAGGATAGTTTTCTGGAGCAGAGGCCAGAAAGGGGAAGCAAGCAACATACCGCGTTGAGAGCCGACGACATGGTGGGCTAAGGGGGGGGGAGAGAGTGAGCGAGGGAGAGCAAAAGAAATAGGATCAGGGAGCGATTCGAGCAGAAGAAAGCAGAGAGCGAACGACAAGCCTCGAGAAATGGAGGATATGAAGTCAAGAAGGGAACCGGGCAAGTTCGAGCAGTAAAGATGGGATAGATGGTGGATGGATGCTGCTCTCCTGAGATCGAATAACAGAGCGCCAGTTGGAGATGGAGTCTTAAGGTTCCTTTTAGTTTAGGGGGGAAGGTCCAGGTACCGTATCGACGTATCCATGGTACGCCATTTCGAGCACTCTTTACAGTACATTTCAATGATTTTCATTCTGCTGGGGGCACCTGCAGCAAGAATATTGTATCTGGATTACCAGCAATGTATGGGAGCCTACACAGTAGATATCTGGGGATGCTCTTTTCTACAGCTTAGGTAAAACAAGCCCTGGGGGGACATGTCAGGTAATAAATACTACTACTACTAACTGAGATACTTTCTCTCTGTCCAGCTTGAACGAAGTCTCAATTGTGCTGACTAGAGGAGAGGTTGGTTCATAGAGGATGGAGAAGGATAACTGTTTGGGGTGTTTCAATTCAGGGGGTGGTAATTTCGTTACGCAGAACGGCGGTGGGTCTCTGCGGCTGTCCATCTTCAGTTCTCAACAGTGTACTCAGTAGGTACTCTACCTAGTAGGCTAGTACTGACCTCCGTAATCCGTATGGTATTCTTGCCTGACCAAGATCTTCTGCCTGAGGCAGAAAGGCACCAATGCACTGTCGATAAAAATCATGTGATAATAACCATATTTCCTGATCGGGTCAAGGGTCAAACAATGTCCATGGATACTCGACTGTGGATACCTCAGGCATTATCAGCATTCAGCCCAGCTCTATCTATCTAGTTATCTAGTATCTACTCCGCCGTCTGGGGTGAGTCCTTTAGCCTTTCGTCATTGTTCCGCGGTCTTGGCCCAAGGGACTCACTCAGAAACTCATGCAAAATGTTTGTACTGCCTTTGTGTTCAACATCGACCTCTTGCTAAACCAGTCAGTTACTGGTGCAAGATATTCATATCTTATTCTATGCTAGTGGTTGTCTTGTCTGCCTGAACTGAAAGCCTGTTCGCTTTAGACATCCTCGTACATAGAGACTCTACTTCATGGCTCTCGTCTTGCGCCATCACGATGAACACCAGACAGGCTATTGATGAGTCCGTGGGACCTTATTCCCTATCCACTACCTTCAACAGTGATAACAGCTGCTTCTCTATTGGGCTGGATACCGGGTTTTGTGGTAGGAGCCTGCTCCCACGTGTTTTGCTAGTCCCATAGGACATAGGTCGATGTGGTCAACAGAGCTGACAGTTCAATTACCAGTCTTCAATGCGGATCCATGTGAATTGAAAGTATCAAGAGGTGCTCAAATCCCAGTCCAAGGATGTTGCGCCTTTCACTAATATCTTTCACCGAAATTTTCAGACTTCAATGCTGGCATCGGTTTGGCGGTCATGCTTGGCCAGTCGAATTATCTGGCCATTGTTGGAGGAGGAAGAAACCCCAAATTCCCTCAAAATAAGGTCCGTAGCTCGTCTTCCGCAACGCCTTCCTCGAGCATAGCAAGTTGGACTCATTGGATTCATTGTAGTTGGTCATCTGGGATGACGCCAAACAAAAAGCGGTCATCACGCTCGAATTTCAGACATCCGTACTGGGCGTCCGGCTATCCAAATCGCGGATCGTTGTTGCGTTGCTGAACAGTATTCACATCTTTGCATTTTCTAATCCTCCGCAGAAGCTCTCAGTGTTCGAGACAACCGACAATCCAATAGGTTTGGCCTGTTTGGGACCGACGTTACTTGCCTTCCCAGGACGATCTCCCGGACAGGTTCAGATCGTTGAACTTGAGACTGGTAACGTCAGCATTATACCTGCTCATAGCACATCTCTACGAGCCATGGCCTTGAGTCCCGATGGAGACGTGCTGGCAACGGCAAGTGAAGCGGTACAGTCATAATCTATCCCTTGGCGAAAATTCTATAAATTATTAACTGGCGCACTTCAGGGTACGTTGATACGCGTGTTCTCTACGAGCAATTGCACCAAGATGGCTGAACTACGGCGCGGAGTTGACCATGCGGTGATATTCTCGATTGCGATATCACCTTCAAATAATTTATTAGCTGTCACATCTGACAAGTCTACTCTTCATGTTTTCGACATCCCCCACCCACGAAACCTGTCGCACCGTAGCCAGTCACCATCTTCGCCTCCAGAAGAAGGGAAAAACCAGAAATGGGGAATACTCGGGAAAATCCCGTTGCTCCCTAGGGTGTTCTCAGATGTCTATTCTTTTTCTAGCGCGCATTTTGAGATTGGCGAAGAGTCGCCTCCAGGCTCACTCTACATTCCCCCTTTGGGAACATCGTTTGCACGGCCAACGAAAGGCCTTCTAGGTTGGTCTGACAACCGAACTATTCTTGTGGTTGGTTCTGGCAGAGACGGGCGATGGGAGAAGTTTGTCATTCATGATGGTGATGATGGTAAACGGCACTGTGTAAGAGATGGCTGGAAACGGTATCTTGGGGGTGGGTGAAGTGGCTGGTTCTCCCACAGGATTTGGCAATTGGAGTTGACCCATAGTACAATAATATATGCACATCGTAATCTAATAGTCAGAATCGCTGCCCCTGGATAATCCAATGTGGCTTCAGTGGTATCCATTCACAGCGGGACATATTTCCTGATGATCTATTTCTGCTCAGTGAAGGTCTGAGCAATGGGTTCCTCAAACCGCTGGATATCTCCACTTGAATTATCAAGATAGACCATTTCGGATCTGACATGTGCAGATTAGCCTTACCAACAGTACTCCCACAAGGTCGGGTCTATGACAGCAAGGAGACAATGATGGGTTGGGCCTTGAGCCCATCATCGACGACGGCTTTCTCTATCACGATGTCTCCTCGAATCCGGTGATCGCGACCGCACTGGTGATCTGTCTTTGTAGGATTTCTCTTTTATAGAAGAGGGTCTGTCTCTATAGGACCGTTCCTCTCTTGAAGGGGACCGGTCGCGCCGATGCCTGCGCTCTCGAGAACGAGAACGATCCTCATCGTGTCGGTGATGGTGATGACGGTGGCGGTGATGTCGGCTTGATCTCTCCCGGCTCGAGTCTCGTCTTCGGGAAGGCTTCTTTTCACTTTTTTCTAAGCGTTCCAGCGCGCGCGCGACTTCTTCCTTCTTCTCTTCGATCAGATACTCCTTCATCGGGTCCTCCTCGTCGTGAGTGGCCATCAATTCCTGAAGCTCTTTCTCTTCCTTGAGCAAGGGTCTGCTCCGCGGCTCATCATTTCTCGGTCGCCTCTCTTTTCTTCTCTCCCTTTCGTCGTCCGTATCATCATTTCTCGAGCCACGGTCAACGGTCTCGCCCATCAATTTCGCGACATTGCCCCCCTCTTCCTCGTCGTCACGTTTCTTGTATCTCGCATGGTCCACACGCAGTATCCGTCCTAGCACAGTCGCTCCGCCGAGATTGTCGACGGCTAAATCGGTGCTGCGTTGATCTTCGTACTTTAAAAAGGCGAATCCTCGGCTCTTTCCTGTTTCTTTGTCGCGTATCAAATTGACATGGACTGGCTCGCCATACTGGGAGAAAATTGTCACGATGTCGCCTTCCGAGATATCAAACGGTAGGCCGCCGATATAGATATAGGCTGTGTCTCGGTAATCTGCATGCCATGAAGCTTCAGGTGGTCTAGAATACGATGACGATGTCAGTGATGCGATTCCCGTCGAACCCTGCAGGGTAATGATCCGTGTTCAAGTACGTACACAGCATTTTCAAGTTCTCGTTTATTGAGCGCTTGGGTTTGACGAATAGCATTCATCTTCGGGATATTTCTTCGGGTTGTTGAGGTTCTGACGAAAGCCTTTGAGAGGGGAAGAGAAGAGTATTCAGATAGCTTGCCAGTCGCAAAAAGGTCGTAGGTTATTGTATCACGGGCGGGCTCCGCGCAAGGTTTCACCCGCAAAGACGGAGTGGGAGACACATAATAATATGGAACCGATTGTTTACAACCGTGCAACTACGGAACACTCACTTACTTCGGAAATACTTTTCTACTACGATTGAATTTGATTCCAGTGATTGTTAAAACAATAAGTGTGAATATACTCCGCCATCTCTCCCTATTTGTTCATCTGCTACCAAGCGAACAAACTCCCTTATCAATCTCAAGCATCCCCTGACGCTGTCCGCTTTTTGTCCCGCTTCACCATTCAAGCAGCTTCAAGATCGACGCGTTGAACTGATCGGAACTTGGGGACAGCCGCTAGATAACTGCTTAGATGGTCTGCGCGGGCTGAGCAGGGTCGATATTGGACACTATGTCTGGGAACAACAGTCGACCGTCGAGCAAAGATGGCCCTAAGAAAAACATCTGGTCGTCCATGCTGGACAGCGTCGCGAATGGAAAGCGCCTGCCTGAGAAGAACTTGTTGATACTTGGTTCGCGATCTCCTAAGCTCTTCTTTGTCGCATCATCGCCAGGATGTGCCTTCATTACGAGACCAGCTCGCTAATACACTGTACTCATCTCAGGAGGAACACAGGACACCCAGCGCGAGTTTCTGGAGACTCTATCCGCGGACACATCGGACTCTACTTTAATTGGCGAAAAGCGAAAAGGGAGGGTACCGCCTATTGCCAATCAATTCGCTTTAGGATACACATATCAGGACGTCCTGGACGCTGACCAGGAAGGTAATACGTTCTCCCTTGTTCATATCCCACGGCGCTCCTGATCGCCAGCCAAAATTCTATTGTCCTTACTAACAACTATGCTCCTCAAGATACGTTGGCTCGCGTCTCTGCATACCTCTTATCCGAACCATCCCTTTCCTTTGCACCGCTTCTCAAGCCGCTCTTGACCCCTCAATCAGTCCCAGAGACGTTAGTAGTGATCCTGCTCGACTGGTCGGACCCATGGACGTGGATCCGACGACTCAGAGAATGGGTCCGTCTACTACGGCACGTTCTTTTTTCGCTGGATGACGAGACAAAGATTGTGATGGAAGAGATCATGACTGAATGGAGAGATCGGAAAAGGGGCATGGATTCCGGTTCGGCCGGAGCCCAAGGGTTGACCAGCTCTGGAGGGCCAGTCACCATACCTCTAGGGCCTGGTGAATGGGACGAGGGTCTTGGAATCCCGGTTTGTGTCGTCTGTCAAGGGGTATGTGCGATTCGAAGTTCAACGTGGGGTTCATGAAAAGACTCGCTGACTGCTTACATGAACAGGCTGATAAAATCGAGAAATTAGAGAAAGACCATGGATGGCGTGAAGAGGAATTTGATTTTATCTTGCAATTTTTGAGAACTATTCTCCTGAAGCGTGAGAGTATCGAGACCCAAACCCTGTGAATGCGTTTCTAACTGTCAACAGATGGCGCATCACTAATATACACCACACCATTCCTCGCGAACTCCCTGCAGAGCCTGATACATTCGTCCCTTGGGATCCATTCATTACTGAAACGACAGTCACTTAAGCATAACGTCATTGACCGGGATAAGATTTTAGTGCCACCGAATTGGGATTCGTGGGGCAAGATTCGAATCATTAGAGAAGGCTTTGACATGGAAGGCGTATCGACTGCCTGGTCGATTGAGATCCAGGACCCTCCTGAGCCCCTTCCTGGTTCTGTCCACTACGAGCCCCAGGATGAAGGCGCAACGGCAGCAGAAGATGGAACCAGTGCTGTCACAATATTCGAGCAGACAATCACAGACCCAAAACGAAACGCATCAATGGTGCATGCAGGAAGCCAGACCAGTGCGAATAAGATCGAAGTGGAGACACTGGACATGCAGAGCTTCCTAGCGAAGCAATTAGAAGTCCTAGAGCAGCTGAAACACGATGATGAGAAGGATCGTGCAACCATGCCAATTCCGCAGCTGGATATGTCGCCTCTAGAGGATAATACGCGAGTCAACGAGCACATTGGGCCCGTTCAGTTCAACATGGGAGGAATCCAGGTCGACGCGGATGACATGGTGAGGAAACTCAAGGTAAGCCACAAACTTGACAAGAACCTATCACGCCTATTGCCAATGTGCTGACCACGTCTAAACCCTCTAGGAGAGAGAGGCTAGTCGATCCCAGAGGAAGGAAATCTTGTCCTCACCCGGCGATGAAAAAGCACACAACCAGGCACTAGCGAATTTCTTTGCTGGCCTGGTGAAGAAACCCGGAACGAGTCCTCGGGGAAGTCCCTCCGCTTGAGTCTTGAGCAGTTTCAATGGATTGGCTGTCGTTGCATTGTATTTTTATCATTTGCGTGCAGTACATACTCCAAGGATCGAGGATATCGGCTTGGCGACGCTCTTTGTTTTCGATACCAGAATGGCTTTGACACTGGACCAGGAGTCTTAGATATGGGCGATACATCTAACTAGCACATATTCCCTTTGTTCATCTGTGGAGCATATGTTCTACCTCAATTAACTAAATGAGATGATTAGTAGAGCTATGAAGATATAATCTAGAATTCTATGGGGTTCATAGATTGAAGCATTATTAGGGAGTATTGATAGCACAGATGATCCATTTAAATCACTTTCCGTATCAATAACCAAACCAATCTTCAAAGTTTCTCTTAAATTCACAACAGATTCCAATGATTTTCGAAGGAACAACTGTCCATACAAACATTCTTCTCCATCTCGCTCCGATGGTCGAGATGGCGGACTTTTTCGATAGACGCAAATATTATACATATAGTGGGTACGTTGCAGATACTCCTCACCAATTCTCCCAAATTGCCTTGGGCACAACAGTCCTCATAATCTCCCAATGTCCATTTGCACTACGATCCTGGAACTTGTGCAGGCGGCCAGTCTCCTTCGCGACAAGGACACGCCTTCCACCCTTCTGGATCGATTGGAACATCGCTGGATCAACTTCGTGTTTAGGAACGAGGTAGTTCTCACGAGATCTGCTGCCCAAAAAGTCGGCCTTCACGGCATCCCTGAAACGGAGAGGAGTGTCATTGCTCTTCTTGCAGAAAATGACCATGTTGGTGAAATCGAACTGGGCCTCCTCAGCAGAGTCCTCGCGGAAGATCCGGCAGGAGGGGAAGACCGCCATGATAGTGCGGACGGCGAGTGCAGTTGGGTACAGGGAGATATCTCCGGCATAGTTCTACGTATAACATTAGTTAGAGGTAAATGGAAGCAATTTCGAAGGGATGGGACTTACAATGGCAATGACGCCGTCATTTTTCAGGAGGTCATAGAGGCCTTTGATAAATTCGATGGTGAAGAGCTCAACCGGTTCTGCTCCGCCGGTGAAGACGTCATGAACAATGTAGTCGTACTGAGCAGGATTCGCAGACTCCTGGGCGCGCTGCACAAACACAGTAGCATCTTCAATGGCGGCAATGTGGTTGGATGGCAGATAGAAATATTCTTTGGCGAATTTGTGAACAACAGGATCAATTTCCACGATTGTGGTTTCGATGCCGTGTGTGATCAATGCAGAGGGTGTAGTGCCCACGCCAAGCCCACTGTGCACGTCAGTCATCGGAGGACGCAGACAATTCGCGGGCAAGGAAAATGGACAAGTACACATACATGACAAGTGCTTTACTATTGGCATCCATGCGAGCCTCGCCTTGATCAGTCTCGATCAGACGGATTGCCTCGAGCATCGCAAATACTGCATAGATGGGATCCTTGACCTCAGGGTGGTAATTCCGTGGCATCTTCGTCCATTGGCCTCCCAGAAGGCTGTGATCACACCGCATGACCCGGAAGCCATCCTCCAAGTTTTCCAGAACAGAGATGTAGCCAGTTGAAGAGTCCTGTCTAGCCAGAAGCTGGTACCCCTCATCAAGGATGGCGGAGTTCAAAGCGGCAGTTGTGCGGCCCAGCGGCATATGAACATTAGAGGTGAAGGAGAAAATGATGGAAGGAATAGCCAATACCAGCCATTTTGATGGGATGGCAGCTGAATACAGAATGGCAAGCAGCAGCTGAAGGCCAGCACGCGTCAACAAGAAGGTCGAGCCAAGACATTTTGAGATGACCGTCTTCGCGAAGCTCTCCGCGGCAGAGTACACGACGTAAGACCCAAGCAAGGGGATATGCTCTGCCATAAGATCCCCATGCTGTCTCAGGTTCAATCCCGCCTGTACTAGCTTCCCAGCACATGCCACGGAGACAAACACTAATGGGTAAAAGGTGAAGATCTCAGTAATCAGAGGGCCGATGGGGTTTCCAAACGCAGAGCTCTGCTGGAGCAGAAAGTATTGGATGGTGGGAAGCCAGAAAGCGAAAACAGGGATCAGATAGACCGCGCGCCGGGCTGAGAGTTGGTTGACGAGATCCTTCAAGAACCACCCAGCAGCGGCAACGACTGCAACACCATACCCGTGGAAGATATGGGATGGTGCAGCTCCATAGACTGGAGCCAGCGTCAACAGAGAGACAGGGGAATAGAAGGCAGTGAGCAGTAGCAACGCCACGCCTGCCACGAGTTTTTCGGTCTTGACCTGCCGGAGCAGTTGTCCGGTAGATGACATGGCGACTAGCTTTCAATTGATCTGTGCACTGCAATTGGCCTGGAAGGCTTCACTGTAGGATTGAAGTCAATAAAACCCCATAGTAAAGCAACCGCTCTGGAAAAGCAAAATGAAAGGCAGATGGCAAGGAGAATGCAGATATCAATCTGCAGGGACAAAAAGCAAGACACGGTGCAACGGCCACAATAGCAAATATGAAACAGACAGGAGCAGGTTCTTACATGTCCTCAACTTCAGATAGAAAGCCAACTATCCATCATCCAGCCAAGGTGGCCTGTTATTCGCTCCTAGACTGTCGTAGTGTCATGGGCGGAGATGAAGGGGAACAACTTAGTCGCCGGAGTCTTCCACAGCGTTTCTTAGAGGTTACCCGAACCGGCTAGCCTCGATTGGTGTCTTCAATTAGCACTCCATCAGTATATTACACAGTATTGTCTCATATTTGATTCTTCAGCTATATGTCCTGCTAAAAATCTGCGTTCTCGCCCATTTCTGGTATAGTCATGCCTTTGTTCCCCACGGGTACTGGAGTCCAGATGGAATCAGAGGGCACAAAGCACAACGCCAAGTCTGCAGCGATGCAGCCATCCCAGACAATCAGGGTGAAGAACCGTCGCAAGCGCTATTTAGACTTGCATCCGGAATACTTTTCTCCTGAGCTCGAGCTAGCTGGTCCGCTGCTCTATCCTCATTTTCTCAAAGGCTAATGGTCTTCTCTCAGGAGATGGCCGAGAAGCTAACACCCCAGCTCTAGACCCATTGTTATACGATCGATTAATTCGCCGCTTCCAATCACCAGCGGAGAGAGAAGCCGAGGGGAAAGCGAAGGGATTCTCCGGCGTGCTTCAAGCGGATATAAACCGTTCAGAGGCTAAACTTGATGCTCTCAACAATCCCGATCCTCACGCGATGTTCAGTTACACCCGTGGACCAAGCGGGGAGATTCTTGCAGAAGACCGAGACGAGATACCGGTGAGCAAAGAAGAAGGAGACAAGCTCTGGCGTTGGGAAATGACAATGCGGTTTCTCAGAGGGGAGGATCGAGATTTTGACTATACTGTCGTTGATGAGAATGACGAATACGACGACTTGACGGAGGAGCAAGACCGTTACTTTGACGAGGAAGAACCCGAATGGATTGTGGAGGGAACAGACAATGGGGACATTCAGTCTCGTCTACATGGGGAGACTGGTGTTCAAGACTTCTGAATCTGTAGTGGCTGCAAAACCGTCTTGAGGGACCTGAAAGATGGGCATCCACGCACGACATTGTTTTTGGAGTTGAAAAAGGAGCTTGACGGCCCAGAGACCCTGGGGCTTCCGGTATCATCTCTCCGGATTCCAGCAACATTGCAGGATGCAGCTTGTGGCGTGCCAAGACAAGCAAAACGAAGCGCTCCAAACCAGTCGTGAAAGCTCCCCTCGCACGCATTTCCCGATGCCCCCTCGGCAGCTCTAATGAGGAAGAATTGACTCCTCCCCGTATTGTATCAAGTCTATGGGCAATCATCCCACATTTCTTGATAAAGATACTTATTGAAGCAAAACAAACAGAGCATGGGGATACTATCTAAGGGCCATTGGGTTGTGGGTGATACTAATTCAATCGGTTATTCCCAGTTAATTTGCATTCATTCCGACAGTGTCCCAAGCAAAAGCATACCTACTGCCTATTGGTACTTTATCATAGCCGAAGGCACTGCCTGCCTGCTCAGGAGAAATTCATCAATGCAGTTCTCTCGTGGCTTTCTTCGCTTGCTGAGTGGTATAAATGGAGCTTTTGTCATGTGCGGCGAGTCCCAATTATCTATTCTTTATGGTAGCATGCCAGCTAATCAAGAAATCAAAACGCATACATTCAATGTCTCTAGAAATCCAAGGCAAACTGTGAACACAAATGCATTCTTTTAAGAGGTGACGTGTGATGCAAGGCCTCAGGCTACTGCTCAGCCAACTCACCCATATTCATGCCCTAGGCAGGCAACCAGTTCACTTGTGATGTTGCTGCAATGATGAGATAACAGACACCAGACATCCTATCTTCTTCTCTTGCTGTGGCGACATTCTGCCTAACAGCGAGTTGCTGCCTGCTTTCCCTCCATCTGCCTACTTTAAGCTCCCCTGCAGATCATCCTTCCCTCCTTCCGTCTCCATCACCCATTGCTTTGTTAACTCTTCCACACTCTGCTACTGTTTTTAATATACTTAACTCATTGAAAGTCACGTCATCACTCTAATTGGACCTATCTTGTTCCTCGTACAGCAATGGCTGACAAGTCGTTCCAACCCGCAATTGAGTCGGCTTGCGGCGACAGAATGATGCCAGACAGCTCCCATGACATTGGGTCGAACTATTGTTCTATTCAGCAGGTCTTGATGGTCGATATCCCTTGTGAAATCCCTCAGTACAACACTGAGCCGGAAAATGTATTGCCATATCAGATGGCTGATCAGCCGGTTGTACCCTCCATTCTCTCTTTGAAGAAAGGCGAACTTTCAAAAAAGAAGGGAAGCCTCTTGACCCTGAGCACTTTGAAGACTGCAGATACGGAGACCACGAATTCAGTCTCACCTGGGTCAGATCCAAGTTATCGACAAGCTCCTTCATCTTCTTCATCTTTGAGCTGTGTGGCTCCAGTAAGCTCGCCAGCTAAGCTCTCAACAATCTCGCTGAAGGGTGCATTCCTTCATCTAAACGCTACAGAGGTAGACGGGTCGTCTAATCAGGCGGCACCAGTCACACCAGCCAAGGATATCACCAATGGCATGGAAGATCTACCATCCTACAGTAAGTGGTCAATTACTCAAGAGCAATGATCTATGGATCTAATACTTTGTTACAGGTGCCAACATACCTTGCGAGCCTTCATCCTCTCGTATTATCATTAAGAAGAGATCAAATGCTCGTGTTCCTTACTCAAGCAGTTCCCTGGTCCCTGTCAGAACTCACAGTTGGGGTGATATTTCACCCCCGTCTGACATCCTGGAATCTTCTTCGTCAGGAAGTGGGAAAGGAAAATCTCCTGTCAGAAGCATATATCCAACCCCTTCTACGGTTGAGAGCTGCAAACTCAGACATGAGTTTGCTCGAGCCAGTCTAATTCCTGGCAGAAGAGGGAAAGTGATTGGCAAAGGTGTGACTGCTACCGTCAGCCGGATGCATGGCAAAGGTCCTAAAAAGCATCAGTATTATGCTGTGAAGGAGTTTCACAAGAACCGGGGGGAATCCAAGGAAGATTATGAATGGAGAGCCAAGATGGAATTCAGCATCGCCCAGCGCTTGAATCATCCGAACATTGTGGAGAGTGTTCGTCTTTGTATCTATGCAGGGCGTTGGAACCATGTCATGGAGTATTGCCGCTATGGGGACTTGTTCACTATTGTACATCAACGGTATCTTCCATTCGAAGGCTATCTGTGCTTGTTCAAGCAACTCTTTCAAGGAGTCGCTTACTTGCACCGCTCCGGTGTTGCACATCGCGATATTAAGCTGGACAATTTGCTCCTAAGCGAGAACGGTCATCTGAAGATTACGGATTTCGGATGCTCGATAGTCTTTATTGACCCATTGGAAGATGGATATTGGAATGAACAGGGCAAGATTCCCAAATGTCCTCCTGGTGTTTGCGGCAGCCTACCATATATCGCACCAGAAGTTCTGGCCGAAGATAGTAAGTAACTGTCTATCCTTACGCCACATGTTTAACATCGCTGACTGTCGCTTAACTGTAGGAGACTATGATCCACGGCTGCTTGATGTATGGTCTTGCGGCATCGCCTGTCTTGCCATGATCAACTGCGGTACTCCATGGGAAGCTGCGGAAGCACAGGATCCCGGATATGCTCGCTACACCCAATGGTGGGAGCAGTTCATTCAGGACAGTCCTGACGGCACCGTGACAGGGGATAAGCATCCGAAGCATGGAAGATTCTTTACTAGCCTCCGCGCCAGACCTCTTCGGCGTCTGGTACTCCTGATGCTCCACCCTGACCCAGATAGACGGATCACAATGGACGAAGTGATGAACGATCGCTGGGTCAAAAGAATCGAATGTTGCTGCACTGAACCCGGCAAACGGTCCACATGCATCAGCAATTACGGTGGAATCGTCGCTCGCAAAGTCCACAACCATCGACCTCCGTTGAAGAAGGATGTTTACCGTCTCAAAATTAAGCGCAAACTTGGATTTGCCCTTTGAATACCACGCTGTGGACTTTTCGATGACAGTTTTACCTTTTTGGATCAATTGTTTGACAATCCTGTTGCAATTAATTGCCTTAGCCTGTTCGGAGTTGAATGCCTGTTTGTTATCTTGAGAGTTTAATCATCCTCGCCCTCCACACACGGAGTTTGCTCAGACGAGGATCACCAGTTGCCTGTTGATACCACTTTGTACTGATTTTCAAATGATTGCTCAAACATCTTTACGAAGACTCTTAATGATCACCAATGAGAAGACTTCAATTCAACATCTACCCTCTTGTAACCGCTATGTACCTCTGTAGGCGATGTTGCTAATGAATCAGTATTTGCAGTAGTTAGACTAGTTGCTTCCGTAGCTTAGCTGGAATTGTTTCTGCTCATGGAGAAGCTTGATGGCCGTCTCCTTCAAATTGACCTTCTGGACCTTGCCACTTGCAGTCTTTGGGAAAGACTCCGACGGTGAGAGAAAGAAGATATATTTCGGGACTGCTCTTCGGTTAGCATGTTTCCTTTCTAAATAATCTGCCATCATAGAATCAACAAGGAGCATTCCCGCACTTACCAAGGTGATTGCTCAAACGATCACGGACCCAAACCCTAATCTTGTCCTCGGTCAGAGTATCACGGTCCTGCTCCTTGCAGATGACGAAAGCAGCCACGACCTCACCGTATCTCTCGTCCGGCACTCCGACAACAGATACGTTAGCCACGCCGGGCAACTTAAGCAGGCAGTTCTCGATCTCTAGGGGGTGGATGTTCTCGCCGCCGCGGATGATGAGATCTTTGATGCGGCCGGTGATTGTGATATAGCCGTCCGGCGATATGGACGCCTCATCTCCGGTCTGTGAGTTTTGGTTAGATCTTGCTGGTTTCAATATCTTAAGTATAAGGTGGATTATGACTCACATGTATCCAGATCTTCCCTTCTTGGTCTGCAAGCATCACTTCGGCGGTCCTTTGCGGATCATTCCAGTACTCCTTCATCAATAGGTATCCGGACACAGCTAGCTCGCCGCTAGTGTCGACGGGGAGGATCTTGTTTCGGTCGGCGGGGTCCACAACCTTTGCTTCAACGTGAGGCATCAGTTTGCCTACAGAGCTGATTCGTTTGTCGATCGGGTCATCGACTGCGGTCATGGCGGAGACGGGGCTGGTTTCTGTCATGCCGTAGCAGATGGTCAATTCCGTGAGATTGAGGACCTTGTGTAGCTTCTCCATGAGCGCTGCCGGGATGCTGCTGCCGGCAGCGATGCCTGTTCTTAGGAACTCGAACCCTTCGTATGCCACTTCGCCGTCTTGCAGCAGACCGAGTTCTTCGAGGAACATGGTGGGTACGCCGTACAGTGCCGTGCATTTCTCCTCTTGTACGGCCTGAAGGGTAGCACGCGCATTGAATGATTCCGTCGGAAATACGATGCTTGAGCCATGGGTTGCTGTTGCCATGTATCCGAGGATACTCCCGAAACAGTGGAAGAGAGGTGGAGGACAGCAGACTATGTCCTCCGGGGTCAACCGCATCCGATTGCCGATCTGTGCGCCGTTGTTTAGTATAGAGCGGTGACTCAAGCACGCTGCTTTAGGCATGGCGGTCGTTCCAGATGTGAATTGAATGTTCACGATATCGTAGGGCGATAGATCTTGAGGGGGCAGTGGGCTTGCATCCGCGGTGCTGTCGGATATCACAGACGAATATGGCGTCAAGCATTTGTAGTCAGACCAGTTGACTCTTCCAGAAGAATTGTCGACGAGTATTACCCTCTTCAATGATGGAACATCTGCGGACTCGAGGCGGCTACCATGGGGATCTCGAATGAGATTCTTGATCAGGGGAACATTGCTTCGAGGTGCTTTTCGTGGCAGGTTGGACTCAGCACTGACTATCAAATACGCAGCCTTAAGGTGACCCAATGCGGAAACAACTTGTGTTGCGTTGAATGATGGATTGAGAGGCACCTAGAGACCTACGCATCAGCAGGATACCAATACAGTGTATGTCTTCCAACATACCAGAATAGCTCCGAGCTTGAACAATGCATACGTCACCTATATTTTGGATCGTAAGCAATTCCGACATCTCATTTGGGAAAGAATATAGCATACAATGGCATACTCGGACGAATTCCCAAGCATGACTCCCACGCGCTCTCCCTTTCCCACACCCACTGACTGTAAACCGCGTGCCAGGGCATTGCTTTTGGCATCAAGGTCGGCGTATGTTAACCTCTGATTCTGGTGTTTGGAAATCACACTAGAGCAGAAACACCGTTAGGTAGGGTTTTTATTTTTTTATTTTTCGTTCGGTTGACAAGGTATTATTATTGGGTCTCACATACGCGGCTCTGTCGCCATATTGGCTGACAATATTTGAGAAATGGTCTCCCACGGTAGATTCAATTAACGGAGGCTGTATATGATATCATTATCACAATCCCCGCAACACTCAAAAATAGACATGACTTACTTCTGCAGGTCCGCGAGCATAGCTTTGGGTGAGCAGTCCTCGTTGTAGTAGTTGGGGCACTCTCTGACAAAATCTTGGAGATAGACCTTGACCCCAGGGCACCTTATGAGGGACGATCCCTGCGCGACGAACCCAAAAGACACGCATACTATCGAGCGTTCATAATATACCTGATATGCGAAGGCAATATTTGAGGCAATTCTTAGCTATTCGTTAGCTATTCCTGATGACGCTCCCCTGGTCTAACCTGTTGCTGGATGCTTGGCGAGCAACAATAACGCTGTGACGCCCCAGAGTTGGGTTCCCGACCGATTGAGGGCTGCGATCGAATTCCTACTCTGTTGTTGAGTAACCGAGACCTGTCCAGGAGACATGCAAGGGTCAAGAATAAATACAAACGTCTCATGGCGGTTGAGTCTTGAGAGCTCCGGTTTGGCTTCCCCGCACGTGTCGGTAACCCAAATGCGGGGGTGCTGGGACCGCATGGAAAGATCACCGAAACTCATCGTCGGCGAATCCATCGTCAACAATGATCGTGATGCTCTCCTAGCTGCCACTGGACAATACATATTGGCCGGTTTCTGGCCAAGGTGACTAGTTCAGATGAGGTCCGAGAGTGGCCGAGGCTACAGGTCCAAGGTGAGGAACGAGGATTCCGCTACACATCATCGGGGAAAACTGGTCCTTAGCATGCACACGGAAATGCTTCAAACGATCTGAAATGAAAAGGGGATAGTATTGCGATACCATGATGATGAAGTTACAACTCAAACCAAGATGATTATCAACTCGTGCTCTGTTTACAGTAGCATCGGGGTTCTCCGCACAGACACGTTCGAGATTTCCAATACGCTCTACCGTAGTCCACCGTGATCTCCTCGAACGGAGAGATGTCCCGGATGACTTCCACCACCGTCATGGTTCGTTTGCCGATGGTTCTCCTGGTGAATATTGTTAATGGGTCGCAAGAATGGCTGATAAATCGTGTCCAATTCCCATAACGCTTCGCGGATATGATGGCAAGCGGTTTGCTTATCATCTTGGACTCGTGCGTCAGAGCATACACATCATCCCCATAGTAATCTACAGGTTGCAGCTCGCCCACATATTGGGCCAGAATATCACCTTTCCTGAACCTAGCCAGAGATCGTATGCCCACCCCCTTGTGAGGGTAGTCAACGAGCTCGACTAAACATCCTGCCAGAGAGACCAGCATGCAATTGCATTCGTGCGCGGCATCGCATAGGTCACACAGTCCGTCGCGCTCGAGATCGCGGATCGTGGGATCTTTTCCATCCGTGAAGCGTTTAGGCCTGAACACAGAGATATCGGCGATGTTGATTTGAGGCTTTAGGTGGCATGCCTTTCTTGGATGGCCATCCTGGACGACATAATGGTGAAAATGCTCTTGAGACAGGTCAACTGTGGGGATCAATGCGCGTCGAATGGCTGGTATCGGATGGTGGGTATGCTTCAGTAGCTGACCCTGCCAATCCAAGTGTCGCGATTGAGCAAAGGTGTCAATGCTGAAACGGTTTTCATAGATCTTGTGCAGCAGACTCTCCCAAACGAATTGGTCCTCCTTGTGAAGTGCTCTTCGGAAGGCTTCAGCAAGTGCACACATGGCGAACATTTTCCAACTCAAAATTCGAATGAAGTGGCTGACACGCTCCGATTCCTGCTGTGCCTGATGGGTTTGACTGCTATCAAAACACGGATTCACCTTGACGAGCATTTCCCGCGCGATGGCCCTATCCACGAGTGCAGCAGCCGCCCTGATTTGCTGTCGATAATATGCGAGTTCGGACTTCGTCTTCATCCATTTTATGGAGTTTCTGAGCTTGCAGACGTAATGGATATCGAAGTACACCGCAGCCAGAATGTCGGAAACCATATCGTCCAACTGTTTTTCGGTTGCCCACTTCTCAGGCAGATCGTCTTCCTGTTTTAGCTGTTCGAGCAGCCACTTTGAGGGTTCCTTCCATGCGGGCCGATCCTTAGCACGAGCGCGGCCACGAATCCTTAACCTTTCAGGGAATTGCTTGTTGATGCGCAGTCTCTTCCTCTGGGTTGCGGACTGTTCGATCAGAACACTTTCCTCGTCTTTGGGCAATCGCTTTTTCCCAGCCATATCGCCTCGCTATTACCTGTAACTTTGAGATGGCAGCGTATAGTTGAAAGATGAGGGTAAAGGTAACCAGTCCGAGTACAAGGCTTGAGCACCTGCTGCAATGTCGGAGTCGGTAAGTAGATACTAGGTCAGGATGATGAGAAGAATCACAAGGCATTATATGTTTGCCACTATGAACTATAGCACCATAATCATAGTAAAGCATTGAAAAGGACCCATGGATGTGCAAGATCTGAAACCTTTCATTCCCTTGTTCATTAGGGTGACGGGTGGGCTTTTTACAAGAATGATTATAAGAAGATCTCCTTTGTTGCTATTCTTGTCTTCTGGAGCTTTCCGAAAGATCATTGATCTTTCTGCAAAAAGAGTAATCGTCTGATTGATTTGGCCTGGTAAGCCATTGTTGTTATGTGTAGTGGTAGTGGCCGGTTTTTGACTCCATAACAAAGCACTGGCTTAATGGGACTTCCAAGAGAATGGCGATGATGTCGATGAAAGTGGGCTTGGCAGGCGGATGTCATGTGGTGGGGAAGCTCGATGGGTCAACAAGAGACGTTTCATACGGACGTTCTTCACTCTTCGGCCTGCTGCACCTGGTCAAGTCATTGCTTTCTGTTTTCTGTGGCGTGTTGCCCTTGTCTCTCTGATATTCTTCACCCAATCGCCTTTTATACCCGTCGTCAGCTTAAGAATCCTGCCCCAGCTTCGGGATGGCTGCCGAACCGTCAGAAGAAGCCATCGCGAACTTCGTGAGCTTCACAAGTACATCGCGCGAACACGCGTTAGCGTTTCTAAAAGTCAGTCAGTCCAATAGACTGTCGCAGCCGACCCGCAAACTGATAGAGAGACGCTCTATAGGCCAACGACCTCAACTCGAATAAAGCGATCAACGCATACTTTGAAGATCCAACTCCGCCTAAGATAGAGGTGATTCTTCAACACTCTCGGGACGATCACAGACATTAACTAATGCGCTGACACATTAATGCCATAGCCGCCTAGTTTTCAACATGATGACGGATTACCATGTATGTCCATTCTACTCCAATAAAGCGGATCGCCGGCCCTCGCTGACATTTCCGCTTCTCAGCGTTCCATATTGAGCATTCAGACCCAGCTTTTGGTACTTCCTCGACCGTTCCTCCTTCGCGTCCACCATCGATGTCGAATCTGAATGAACAGGCACAAGCAGCCCAGTTTCAAGAACATAAGCCGGGGCCTGTGCCGAGTGCTACGGGTAAGGAAACGGGCGGCGAGACAATGCGCGCGTCTGCTGACTTGGCGATCTTTTAGACGGAGGAGACACATCGGGCCTGACCCTAGCTGAAAGAGAGGAGCGTGAACTTCAACAAGCGGTGGCCATGTCATTGAATCAGAATCTTGGACACCAGGAGTCAGGGATCACGAGCATCAGCCAAACGAATTTCAGCAAAGCAACGCGGGATCATTACGACGAAGGTGCCTGGGCGATGACTCTCTTCAATTCGAGTGCGCAAGAGATTGTCATCAGTCCAGATCCAGCAGACCGCAGAAGGATACCCGATGAGCCCGCATTTTTGCGCCCATCCCATGATAATTTGTATCTGGGTGGTTTATTGACGATTCTGCATTCCATTCCTTTGGCAAGAGAGGCACTATTACTCCGAAAAAAATTACTTCCGAACTATGGTCATGACCCGCAATGGTGGAATGGGCAACCCATCAACTTGCCGAAGATAGTTACTGTGCAAGATGTACAAGACGGCAACACTGACTGGGACGACATCATTCACGAAACACAGAGATTGATGGCATTTTTGGATTCGACAAGTCGCGCTTTCGGAAGTGCGGATGCGCTCTCAACTTTGAAAATAATGTCTTCGTACGATGCTGAAACCAACATCAGTAGATACTTGGAATCGTGGCAAGAATCTGCAGTCCGTGCAGATCCTGGAAACCAACTGGCTACTGTATTTTTGTCAAATGCATATAAGCGCCCTCTTACGGTCTATGATACGCCAATCCAGAAGGAATTCTTTACCCTCGATCCCTACGTGGAGCCGAACCATGGCCAGACCCTCTATGATGTTTTAGATCGCACTGTCTGGTCAGACAGACCAGGGGAAGAGTTGGATGATGTGTGGCTGGAACATGTCGCGGAAATTCTCACGATCAAATTGGAGAGCTCCGACCCGGCAAAGTCCGTGGATGTGCAAATCCCTGCGGTCTTCTACCCAGATCGGTACCTTGCCAGTTGCCGGGACAGAGCGCGCGATTTTCGCGCGCGGAGACTGCAGGTCTACGACGAGATCTCCAAATTGGAGAAGTTGATGAATCGCTTCTCGATTTCGAAATCAGTCTTCCACAAGGGCCTCGGGTTAAGAGATATACTGGAGAAAGCTGCCGTTGCTACATCATTGACCCTGCCCAAGAGCGTTGCGAATGGAGCAAGCGAACTAGCTCTGACCCCTGAAGCAGCAGAGGCAGAAGCGCAAAGGTTAGCGACTGAATTGAGAAGCCTCTCAAGCAGGATTGAAGGCAAGCTTCAAGGTACAGCACCAGGATTTTGCTCTTTGTGTATCGATACTGACGAATTGTGCTGCAGAGCTGGAGGATAAGAAGCAGAAAGCTGTCGAGACACTTCGAAGCTATTCTAAATTTCTTACCGAGCCTTCAGACTCACCTACGGAGTCGCCGCATCACAGATACACCTTGCGAGGCGTCTGTACCGAGCCACATATAATCTATGTCCTCAGGCCCGCAACCTTAAGCGATACGGGAATAGCCACACAGAATGGCCCTACCGCCGATGATAACTGGCAGTGGTGGCGAATCAGCTTTTCCACGGAGGACGCAAAGGCCCGCCAGGCAGAGTTGAATCAGGCCGGGAGATCTGCTCCCAATAATGCCGATGTCGTCGGATACACTGCGCATAAGGTTCGAGAGGTGGAAGTTCTCCGTGCTGCTCGCGAAGAGTCTAAGAATGTTCTCCTTGTCTATGCTAATGCCAATGCGATGAGCGTTCGGGTCGACCCAGTGCCGTCGGAACTTCAGGTAAGAGAAGCCTTTTTACTCTGTGCGGAGACGGGAACTAACCTAGGAATAGGCCTTTGTGGATGCAGATAATCAGGCATTCGAAGCAGAGTTCAAAGAAGCCTACGCTGAAGGCCTGGCCGGAAATCAAGTATCAGACACAGATATCGCCATAGATCATGGCAGATCTTCTGCTATTGAACCACAAAATCAAGAGACTGCTGATCGGCAAGTGAACGTCTTCGACTATGAGATCCCATCTTTAGATGATGGCACGGAGCCAGGGCAGGAGATGCAGGAAAGGGGGGGATCCGGCTTACTGAGCGCAGCTGGCGCTATACAACCATCTCAATCCATGGACTCGGCATGAAATACAAGGAAATGTTTGAGAACGCCAGTACGACGAATGATTGGTCTGAAGTTCCAATAGCTTACAAGGCATAGATCGATCTTTGAGGTTTCTCACAGGTTGTCGCCACGTCTAGCTCTACTCTTCTCGAACCCGCGGCATCAAAGAGTCAACCAGGCATTCTGCGCATATAATTCAATCTAACCGGTTGTATGCTGTGGAGGCATCGATCACCCCTACAAAACCTTTTTTCTCTGACCTGGGGTCAACCAGCACACCTTATCCTGCACACCTGCTGCTTCGAAGTCCTGCGCAAGTTCCTTTCCAAACTGAGTAAAATGGCCCCAAGACTCATAGTGCATTGGAACAAGGACATCTGATTGAAGTGCCTGCAGCAAGCGGGCACCCGACTTCCCATCCATGGTAATCGCTTGTGGGCCCGTCGGAAGGGGTGCAATCGCATGGCCAAAGTTCATGATAGCCGCTACAACGCTGAACCGTTTGGGAATCTCTTGGGCCAGCTCGTCCAGATATACCGTGTCGCCGGAAACATAAATAGCATTGGGGCGACCGTCCTCGCTCGTTCCAAAGTCCGCGTTCGTCAGAATAAAACCGGTGCATTCACCACCGGGAAGATGCTGGCATGGGGTCGCAGTGACTTGGAACTCTTTATTACCAGCAATAAGCGTGGTTGTCTCCCAAGGCTTCAGGCCCTTGACACCGGGGCGCGGTGCCAGGTTCTTGGCGCCATCGACTGTGGTGAGGACTCTGCGGCCGTCGAGTAGGCGACGACCCAATTCGTCGAGGTTGTCTGGGTGGTCTTCGTGACTTAATAAGATGGCATCGATTGGAGGAAGATTCTCCAGTCCTATGGCAGGAGATTCCGTGTTTTTGAGGACAGCGAGTCCCATGTCCCACTCTGTGCCTTCTGGTGAAAACATAGGGTCTGTCAGTAAGGTAACGCCATCAATTTCGAGGATGGCGGTTGCAGTTCCGATGAACGTGATATCCAAAGAGCTCTTAAAGTTTGAGGGAGCCATCTTGTAAGATTAGAGGTGTGGGCAATCTGACGATACTAGAGTCGAGAGACAAAAGTGGATTGTTCATACTTCCTTCGCGAATGGGGCAGAGACAGGGGTCTTTAACCATTTTTCCTTGGAACTTCTTGCATGCTGGCTATCGTATATACGCAACTATTAGGCTTTGTAATACGAGTTAGTGGATCGATAATCATTGCATCTTGACCTGGAGTTCGATACCCAAGGGCTGTGTGATGCAATCCATATGGACTGTGCTCGGATTCCGCGGATAGAGCTCCAGGAATGGTTTAGGCTATGATTCTCTATAAGTGAACTAGCCCAGATACGGTTAGATAATCCGCCAAGACAGCTTGACAGTACCCATCTCCCAATCCGGTTAGCTTCAAGCTGAGCATCAGTTGCTCAAGTCTCCAGTCGACTTCTCACTCTTCGTCAAATCCTCCACCCAGCATCGTACTGTCTGGAGCGGGAACATCGACGAGCAGAAAGGCACAAAAGACTGGAACATCGCTTGAATGAAGGCAATAGTCTAGTCGATCGACAGCGACTCTGCGCCAAGACGAAATGACATATCTAATTTCCTTGTTTTGTGGACACCATCATGAAGGTCAAACAGAAATCGGTATGCCGAAACTGTAGACAGCGGAAACTAGGGGTGAGGCCAGTCTGAACCCTCTTGAGGTCACTACATACAGAATCCCAGTTCTTACTATATCAGTGTGATGGAAAGAGCCCCGAGTGCAGCCAATGCGCGCTGACTGGGTGGAAATGTCCCGGCTACCAGCAGGAGTGGACATTCGTTCAGCAGAATATACCTTCAATCGGGACTTCGAGGCGTGGACCCTTAGCCGCTAGTGGGTCATGTCGAAATGCTGTTCATGGGGGCATTCCCGGGCAAGATCGTGCCCCTGGACATGCGCTTGATACAATTGCTCAATCTGGGCCTCCTTCCAACACCTTTTTAGACCTCGAGTCGGCCTCGCCAGATACATTGGCTCAACTCATTGTCGAGAGCTACATCCCTCAAGATGAAATCCCTTTCATGTTCTATAATCCAGATAGCAATGGCTGCTCACGGATATGCGGCTCCTGGGTCGAGGCCCTCCCTCGCCTTGCCAATACCGCAGGCTCGGAGAGTATATTCATCCTTTCTATGAAAGCATTGGCTCTTGCGATTGTCTCACACAGGGATTCACGAGATGTCTCTGGTCTAAACGCAACATGGATCTATAATGCAGCAATCCGCGCATTGAGACAGAAGTTGGCCATGGGGAGTCAGCCATTTGATGCCGAACTCGCGGCGGCTATCATGTGTTTGAGCTTAGCTGAGGTGAGATTGCTCACAGTTGGGGACTATTGATTTCCCGAGAGCCATCTCGCTGACAGTTGGCCCTGGTATAGGCTATGTTTCCGGGGCAGGGACCAGGAATCTCAGCTCACATCAAAGGCGTTGGCCAACTGATGAAAGCTCATGGCCCCAACCACTATCAAACAGGGCTACTACATACGCTTTTCGTGGGATTCCGACCGCTGTTGGTCAGTATGATTTATAGATGTTCATATGGGAGCTTTAGTGGATTTTAACGTGGACTGTAAGGTCATCGACGCATTCCGATTCCGCAAATCAACGTTTCTCGCCGAAAAGCAATGGACATCCATTCCTTTTGCTTTCTCTTGTTCATCGCTCATGCAAGACTTCCTAAGCGAAGTGGCAATCATCCCATCTTACCTCGAGGCGATCGATCAAATCACGAGCAATGCGGGCAAGGCCTCTCCCGACTATGTTGCTGAACTCCTATCGGCGCTTCTTGATTGTCTCGGCAGACTTGAAGCTTGGGAAAAGGCATTGCAATATGAGCACGGAGTTCTAGGTGACCTCTCATGTTTGGACTCTGAGGCGCAGATGTTCTTCGCCAATAGCACTGTCCTTTCTCTCTGGTTTCCGAATGTCACCATAGCGAATGTTTCGACTCACCTGTGGGCAATTCGGATAGTTAGTCTCAAGGAGATAAACACACTGCGGACGATCCACGACTCCTTTTCTGCAGTAAACAAATTTGCAGACAAGTTTAGTTTGAAGCACGTGCAAGATCAGGCATTGGCTTTATCACGACGGATTTGCTGCAGCATGGAGTACCTCATGCGGGATGAGATGAAACTCTTTGGGCCGGCTTCCATAGTCTTTCCCCTAAAGGTGGCTTATGACTGCTTCGGAGAAGATAGGAGGCACCAAGGAGAATATCTTAGAGTCTGTGAACACATCGTTGAAAGACTTGTCTCCAAGGGACTGCGCTCAGTCCCTGGAGTCATGTTCGATTAACGAAAAGTAGTACGACGTTGCGGATACGTATTCAACCAAACCATCACCAATCTATCTTGATCTTACGTAGATGGCCATGCGAATGCAATGACCTCAATGATTGTTACTTGTAGGAAATTAGGAAGTTGAAGAAAAATCCCTTAAGCTCATGGTGATCTTTCCCCATATTTGTTGTGTATGCTCTGTTTGCATCTCCGAATTGCGGATCATGCTCCAACAACCAAACAACAAACACTGCGAACAAACGACGAAGCACACCAATTACCCTCCCAACTACTCAAAATGACTCTCGAAACAGACGCAGTAGCCGGCGCAACAATCGAGCTCCTCGAAGCCCGCCTACAACGACTCACCTACCTCCTCACCGGCGATGCCAGCTGGACCGGCATCCCCACCGCACCCGCCAAACCCAACTCCCTCGACGACACAGTCTCGCGCCGCCTCCTCCGCCTAGAAAAGGACCTCGAGCGACTCAGCCGAAGCGTTCCCGCTGTCCGAGACGTGCTGCAGCTCCGTGAGTTCCTTCCCTCCACCCTTCCGACGCTTTTCCAGAGTCTAGAATACTAACAATCTCCTCCTTCCCCCTCTCAGACGACCGCTTCCCGGACCTCTTCCGCCCAACACCCCCGCACTCCCTCCCGGAGAACCTCACAACGCAGAACATCGCCTCTATCGTCCTCTCCTATGCCTCGGCCTTCCCCGAGACCGCGTCCAGACTCACCTCGCTGAACGACCTGCCGGTCCCCGATGCCCAGGCGTCCGCGTCGCTGGTCGAGCTGCAGCCGCGCCTAGACGGGCTTGCGCGCGTGCAGGAGGAGCAGGCGGCGCAGATTTCGGAGCTGCGGGTGCGCACAGCACGGGTCTTGCAGCGGTGGTATGAGATTGGGTTGGTCGGGAGTGGGGAGTGTTGGGCGGAGTGGGAGGGGCGGCTGGAGGATGTGGAGAGGGAGGTGAAGAGGGAAGAGGTGGTGAGGGAGAGGAGGGCGAAGGAGGTATGAGGGGTTCCTGTCGTCTGGTGTGTCTGGGTTTATGGGGTTGTTGTGGCTTCTTATGATACCTTTTTCTGTTATGCGGGAGTTTGTTCCTGGTGTATTCTGTGCTGGCTGGGTTTGCCGGGACGAGGAGGGATTGTCTATTGTGTCCATCTCTGGCAATATGCTCCTTCCCCTATTTCGAATGAACATGATTGCAGTGACATTATCTACGACTACTACAATTACCAATCTGCCATGGGTCGATTATATCATTGTGCAGCAGATTGGCTTTCGGCGGGAGTTGCCCAATCGGGATATAAGACTCGATGACGGGAGATCGCACTCGACTGTGAAGAAGCTAATTGCAAATAAAGGCAAGGAGATGATATCACCTATAATCCTACTGCATCCCTCGCAAGCCAAATACCGGACGTCGGTGTCGGTGTCAAAGATTTTATTGGGAGTTGCACAGCCCTACAAGTATCGGTTGTTTCCCCCCCTGTGTCAGCAACTCAGCATGCATCTCATTTCATTTGATTCCATTTTCCCTTCGAGGAAATCATATTATTCATCCATCCGTCACGGATTGAGTGAGGTCTTATCCATGGTTGTACATCGTGTTCGCCCAGTGCATAATTCTCAGGGATTTCTGCGTTCCAAAAGCTGCTCGTCACAAAGAATGAAATAAATCCGTCTTTTCTATCAAAAGGGCCATGGGCCTCAACTCTCATCTCTGTCGGAGTATAGAATAGGCCTTCAGGGATATGCCAAGACTCAAGAGCCCGGAGCAAGTTGCCGAAACGGATTGGCAGGGTATAGCTTGATTGTCTAGACTCCAAGAGTCAAGAGTCAAGACCGTGGTCCTCTGATGTTCTCCAGGCATGCAATATCCACAAATTCCACATACCTGATCGCCATAGGGTCCGACGTCAACAACGGAGCTCGATGCGGCCATTTTTCGGCATCGTCTACGGAACTTGCTTCATCCGGTCTCACCTCTCGTATACGGTACACCTAACATGACAGTAAAATAGCTTCTGCCTGGAGCACACAGTTGCTCACCCTCATGCTACCGCTTTACCCAACTGTAGCCCAATGTAGCCTCCTACCGAGGTTTCAAGTAGCTCCGTACGGACGTCTCATGCTGTCATGCATATTATTATATTCTGCAATTCTCAGAGCATTCAAATGGGCTAAAGCCCTTGTGCCAATTGAGAAGAAACCACGCCACAGGACAAGGAAATGAACGAAATCGTAGGTCCTGCTATTGCCACAAAGCTTACTGCTTCCATGAACCAATCCCTACCGGCAAAATTCAACTGCCTACCATGTCTACCCCACGTGCTTTAACTCAGAATGGTAGTATCGGAAGCAGATGAAGGACCCTTGGTCTCGCCCTCCGTCACGTCGCCCGCGGGATTTCTGGCAATTGTCCGCAGGGACACTGGTTGCAAGTATAAAGATAGACATTCGAACTCACCGGGGTATTCATTTCGCAAAATAAACGATACTTTCTCTCCCTCCCTCCTAGCTCGTTCCGTTCGAACGCCTTGACGATGAATCTACCTCTCGCCGAACAGCCTGTCGTGCAACGTCATCCAGGGCGCAAGAATGCAAAGGCTGAGAAGCGATCCAAGCCTCCTGCGCAGGCGAATTCACCCCCGAAGAAAACCCTGTTACTGAGTGAGATCAGTGAGAATTTGACCAGTCAGTTTGGTCATTCCAAGCACGGCGACAACGCTTCGTCCGCCAGCTTTAGTAGCGATAGCAGTCGCACTCTCCATTACAACTTCCTCGGCGATGAATCTCAGCCGTACAAAAGATCCATGGATACGTCCCACCCCTCCCATCCTGCGTTGTTCCCGAGCGACCAATCTGCGCCAAGATCGCCTTCACAAGCGAGACGCAAAAATCATGCGACGGTATTGACGTTGGAAGATATTGCGGCGGTCGGAGCGATCGAGAAGCTCGTGACGCAGTATGGGCGGGTTTCGCATATGGGTGTTCTCGATCCGAACTATAATCTTTTTGTGAACAAGACTCGCACTGCCGCTCTCTCCTTCAAGGTCCACAATAAAGTAGCTCTGGTCATGGGCGATCCCTTATGCAAGCCGGATCTATTCACTGAAGTCCTCAAAGAGTTCAAAGAGTATCGAAAAAAATTCCGTTGGGGGGTCGCTTTCATAGGCGCCAGCGAGGTGTTTGCCGCATACGCCAAGCAGCATAAGTGGACAACTCTGCAGTTTGGCACCGAGCGCGTACTCAATCCCATGACGAACGATGTCTTGAACGAACGGAGCGGTAAGCGGATCATCGTACAATGCAAGCAACTCCTCAACCCCCACAAGGGAAACATCTCACTGGGTGTGTACGTGCCGTCGTCGGGCGAGGATTTGGACTTGCAGAAAGAGTTGGCTGGCGTTTACGACTCATGGCGCGAGGAGCGAAACCACGCTGTCGGCGCAAAGGCGTTCATCACTGTATATGATCCCTTTTCGATGCCGGGGATGATGACCTATGTCTACACAAGAGGTCCAGATGGCGTGGCCAACGGCTTCGCCGCACTCCGCCGGTTGGGTCCCAACAACGGGTATCACATCGATCCTTGCGTGGCGGCTCCAGGGGCACCGAGAGGTATCACCGACTTATTAATCTTCGCAGCCATGGCGCTCCTGCACCCGATGGGGGTTTCGTATCTGAGTCTCGGCTTTGAGCCGCTTGAATCACTAGCCGATATAACCCGCATGCCGCTCCCGATCGAACAGATCACCCGAGCGATCTATAAGCGCACATTCAAACAAATGCTCTTCAAGGGGAAGCAGGCGCATCATGATAAATTCAAACCAGACGGGTCGCAGGGATCACCACTTTATACTCTCTTCCCCACAGGTGCTCCCAGTTTCCGCCAGTGGGTCGCAGTTTCCCATATGTCCAATATCAGCATCCGACGGCTCTTTTTCCCAAGAACCGGAAGGAAGTCGAGAACAACTAAACAGGAAACAGCTTGCGACCAGAATAAGAAGCCACAATGACTGAAGATTTCATGATTCATGGATCGTGAACTTCGAGGGTACCCTTATCGGCCTCAGCCCCGACATGCGGACATCCTCGGTGCACTCGCACTTAAATTCTGAGCCAGCCTGATCCAGACACTTCGGGGCTGCATGTGGCATGTGAAGGTCCGAAGCATTCTGAGGCAGTGGCGTCTGTTGCAGTCCAGTCATCTTTCAGATCACCATGCCGCAAACCTTAGAAGTCCAGCAATAATGGCAGATTCTGAGCAGCTTGCGCTGCATTATGGGCCGAGGGCATGCACGGGGGGTGTGGTGGACATCTTTCATATAGTGCACTCTTCATGAGTCTCATTTCAGGACGCGCTGATCCTTACTTGATTGTTCTCTTTGGAGTCAAGCCACAGGATAAGTCAGCCACATGCATCAGCCTGAGGCAGAAGTTCCAGAACTTGACCTCAGTCACGCACGACCGACTCCACAAGCAATAATAATTTGAAGGAAAACTGCAGAATTCCGATGCCGAAATGAGTCTCATAATCTCATTACCCGGATCGGTTGGCTGGTGGTTCTCTTTTATTCCCTCAGCTAATCGGGTCTCAAATCTCAATAAATTTGCGTGTCACCCCAAATCCAATGGGCAATGTTCCATATTAGAAACTCCATAGTCCATAGTATTATTGCTGGAATGGAAAGCGGAGAAGAATCCAGTGCGCAGAGGACAGTGGATTAGTGGAGACTGGATACTCAGGTATTATTAGACTATATGAAAAGGAAGAGTTGATGGTTGATACCCACGCAAGACATCCTCTCCATATGTATTATGTCGTCCTGTCCATCTTTTCTCACTGCTACTAAACTAGTAGTAGGAGTAGTCTCCCTCTCATCCCATCCCACAAAGCCACAAATCATCAGAACGGATAAGCGCAACAACGATGGGGGAAATAAAGGATCATCGCCAACCGAGCGATAATTATAACAACATTGGTTATTGTCGCATCCACCAACCCCAGTTGCCCCTCTTAGATTATCCCAATCACCCAACTGTGGATCTTCATCTCCCTCGGCCAAGTTGGTCATGCCAGGGAGGCTAGTCCAGTCGACGCCTTTTAGTGAGAGTCTGAGAGAGAACCAGACTCCAGTTCTCAACAGTTAGTTAACGTCGTCTGTGCCTGACTGCCTGTGTGTCTACATTCTACAATCTACACTACAGTTGTTGTGCGTGGGTTGCGGAACAAACAGACTTGCCTGGCATGGCCCACCATGACCAGTCCTCCACTAGCCAGCAGTCCAGCACCGTGGGTTCTTTTAGTTTTGGATTTTAGATTCCCTGAGATCATTTCCTGAAACTTCTCCAGTTGTGGAAGATAGAGCGTACTCTGTAGATGGAGTGAGAGAGAGAGAGAGAGATCATTGCATTTAGCTTCTAGGTTTCAGGGCAGTGTTCAGACTTCAGCCCTAGAAGCTGCTGTACACATACGTATACACGCCCCTGGAGACTACAGAGTAAACCGAACATTGAATGATAATAAGGTCTACTACTTGGTCTCGCTCTGTCCAGAAGCATATCTATCTATCTACAGGATCCAGATAGACCAACAAACACAATTCTTAGTCCTAAATAGTTAGCAGTCAACTTGATCCCTCCTTTTCCGACCGGGGACTGGGTCAAGGCTTCTTCATTAATTCACCTCCATTACATTATTATTATTATTATTATTATTATTATTATTATTATTTCTTGTCATTTTAGTGTTAATCAATCTCGTTTGCCTTTACCCTTCTTCCTTTATTCCTCTTTTCATCATCATCATCATCATCATTATTATCATCACTTACTCCCACCTCTTCTTCGGCTCCTCCCAAGCCCCTCCTATCGATCGGTTTCACGCCCATCGACGTACACTCGTTTTTCCCTTTCCCCATCGTCCTTTCGATCTTCCCTTCCTTTCCTTTCTGTCCATCTTTCTTCCCAGTGCCGTTTCAGACACATCTATTTCATTCCCTCCAGCCAGGTGCTGCATTTCGCTATTTCCGTCTCTGCAAGGGGGCCTCGTTTGTTTTCGGTTTCAAAACAACCAGCCTCATGCGAGACTCGATCTCTATTATCGATCTGTCACGATAAAACTCAGCCCGTGGTGCTTTTATCATCGCCCCGTCCATCATACACTCGTTTTTCTCTCAATCGTGTCGCAAGGTACGACGATTACACGTCAACCTAACCCTCCCGCTTCATCTTGTTTCCAAATCCCCTTCTCCCTCAACCCTCGTTGCTAGTTCCGTACAATGTTTTATAGTCGACTGCTGATTAATCCTGCCTGGTCTTTTGTTCCTTGCGCCCGTAGTCGTCGACCTTGCTCGTGGCTAACGGTTCATCCTAGTCCCATTCCTTTGTCTTACGGCGTCGAAGCCTCACTATTCACCTGACCATACAATTGGTCCCAAACACCACGACTTATACCACCACCTGCTTGAATACTACCGAAGAGGAAGTGCCGCCGTAGACTTCTGTCTCGCCATTGTCTTGTCGCGTACGATATCGATTGAATCCCGAGTTTCGTCGAACGGGACAATTACGATATCTCTCTATCCAGCCGCCCTCGAGGACCCAGTATATACGCAATCACGTTCATGGTGGCATATTCAGAAAATTCACCATCGTTTCACAAACCGAGCCCGTATACGGAACCCCCAAGAAAAATGGCGCGATTCAGAGCAAGCAATATTCTGGGCGACCCCTTCGCCCTCGCAACGATCTCCATCGCGATAGTACGTTCTTCTCCGCGCGAATGTGTTGGCAGGTTGTTTCGGGCACGTGGCTAATCGCGTTCACCATGGTCTATAGCTCGCGTGGATAATCGCTTTTATTTCATCCATCATCGCAAACATCAAGATGGCGGATTATCCAAATCATGCGTGGTGGGCAATCGCCTACATGTTCTGTTGCACCATTGGAGTCACGGTTGTCGTTGGTTCAGATACCGGTCTGGTCTATGGTGTAGCGGTATGGTTCGCGCGTCCCCGGTGTTGGTCATGACCGCTGACGATGAGCAGGTTGTGGGATATCTTTCTGCCGGTCTCGTGTTGACCAGTCTGTCGGTCAACACTTTGGTCTATAAGGGCAATTCCTCCGCGCAAGCTGCAGCTGCTGGATTCATTCTTCTGTCTATGATCATTGTAAGTGACTACGAGCACGGTTTGGGAAGCGATCGCGCGGTTCAAACAGCCCACTCATGCGGGCCTACAGATCGTCTGGATATTCTACTTCGGATCGACCCCTCAAGCGACGCATCGCGGCTTCATCGACTCCTTCGCGCTCAACAAGGAAGGCGGCAACGCGTATGGAAACGGTCGACCCATTTCGACAGCATTTGGTCATCGCCCTGAGACAACCTCCACGAGCGCACCGCAGATGTATACTTCGGCCCAACTCAACGGCTTCGAGACCTCGTCCCCCATTTCAGGTTATCCGGGCGGCGCCCCTGGATCGGAGAACCGCAGCTCTTCGCAACCTCGTTTCGGCAATCCATCTGCCAGCAACCTTCCGGCAAATAATAACGGGCAGTCACAAGACGAAGTTCCGCAGCCGACCGAATACCCGTACCGAGCCAAGGCGATTTACTCTTATGATGCCAACCCCGAAGACGCCAACGAAATCAGTTTCAGCAAGCATGAAATCCTCGAAGTATCCGATGTCAGCGGCCGATGGTGGCAGGCCAGAAAATCCAGCGGAGAGACCGGTATTGCTCCATCGAATTATCTAATTCTGCTGTGAGGCAGGCTGGAGCAACTTCCATGCGACGCGATTTTCCTTTTTCTCTCTCTGTCTGGTCATTCTACTCTTGTCGCCGTTTTGTCGCAAAAGATTCATCTTTGATACCCTTCGAGTCGGATCACTCGGTGCGATTCTGGTTCTGCAAAAAAGATCATGTTATGTCTGATGGCTTTTTCTTGAATTTCTGCTTCTGGCTCTCCATCTGGGCAGTGTCTTCATGCCGATTTTTTTTTTTCTTTTTCTCCTGATTTTTCACTTTCCCTTGGAGCGGGCATCTGCGCACCTGTCGATCTATTATGGCTGTGCTTTACTTTTCATCTTCTTCTCATCTGTCATGTCTCGGATGTACTCACACACGGTTCGACGTTTCTTTGTGTATCGTGAGGAAGGACGAGTCTTCCTTTGCTGTGTATGCACGGTTCTGGAATCCGAGGCTGCATGCATAGTCGAGGGATAGTCCCGAATCTCGCCTGGTAATGGTGAAAGCAATCCACTATAGCCATTTGATTTCCGACCGTTGCGGCCTATACCAGGCCAAACGGCCCCCCATAGCCGGTATCGGGTAATTAGGTAGATCGAATATGACAAGTCTCTCCAACCAGCAGGTCTCCTGAATTAGGCAGGATTCTGAATCTCAGTATGCACTTGGGACGAGCCGATGCCACGTGCACGAGATCATGTCGGAGAATTTTTCTCAAGTTAATTGAGATATCAAGTGATAGATCAGAAAAGAACGAGAGCCCAACGAGCAGTGCAAGATGCAAAAGAAACACGATTGAGTCCCAAGTCCAGAAGGAAGCTGTTGAATCCTAGGTGATGCCTGTGCTCCGTATACCCGCCAACCATACTGCGCAGGCCCTGTATACCTACCTTGGGTACCGTTCGTTGTGCGTTATCCGTCTCTCATCTCTAGTAGGTAGGTAGTAACCTAACAACATATCGACAGCTGGATATCTACGGTGTCTTGACAAGTGTTCATGCGCCGTATTAGCATGGTGGATTAGTATGGGTTTTGACATTGGGATTGGTATGCTCCCAGTGGATCCCATCTAAGTACCTGTTATTATTGTTATTATTATTGACATGCACACTGTTTAGATACTATGTATCTAGAATTCTAGATTCTAGATACGATCTAGTGAAGTGCCGTATGGAATATTCCACGCTGATGCTGATCGCTTTTTCTCCATTTTTGACGTGCAACGGCTTTTCTGGCCCAAGCGCCCCTCTTTCCCTCGTATGATCCTCACCTCGTGGGCTCCAAATGGTAGAGATAGAAGCATCGCTCGTTGCATGCAGTCTTGTAGATTGGTCTAGTCGAGTCGAGAGAGAATTCCCTCCTCCTCCTCCTCCTCCTCCTCCTCCTCCTCCTCCTCCTCCTCCTCCTCCTGCTGCTGCTTCTTCTTCTTCTTCCCCGACCTGCGGATGGAGAGAGTTGAGTTACACACTCACCAAGAGAAAGAGAGTCGCACAGCTTCGTCCATGCTTCTTCCCCCTTGGAATTTTAGTCTATCTGGTCTGATTGATTCATTGATTGATTGACAAATTCTTCAGTCATCATCATTTCATCCATTCTGCTCTGCTTCATCTCTTTCCTGTCGGTCAGCTTTCCCTCTGCATCGCATCTTAGCTCAGGGAAGGGGGGAGAGAGAGAGAGAGAGAGAGATTAGAGATCTATCTAGTAGTAGTATCTAGTTCACGACATACTCTCCTGACTGAATAACATGAAGAGCTGAGGGAGAAATTAAGGATTGCTTAGAAGAACGAGAACTGCATCATCCAATCTCACTGCTCTCGAGCCGTCCTTTCTCACCATTGCAGACCGACTGAGCTGCAGTTTCGATTCGACTGCAGAGGATGAGGTGACCAACGCAGTGCTTCTTCTTCCTTTCGTTCTTTCTTTCTCTTCTCTTACTCTTCTCTCTCTCCTCTCTCTCTGTCCTTTCCTTTGTCTTTCTTTCCTTCGCTCTGTCTCTCCTCTCGTTTGTTTGGTCGCCTGTCTTTCCCCTTTTTCATTTCTCGCTTCTTTTCCTTCTCGTCGTTTCTGTCTCAATGCCTGGATAGCTGATCTACCAGGGTTTCTTTTCCCCCAAAAAGTCCTACATTTTCCCCAGTCATTCGCAGTGGAATCTCGCCATGCCTGACCGCCGTCTGTCGCAGCTGCTTAAGGCAAAACTTCTGTGGCGAACGTCGACTTCTCCCACGCCCACCACCACCACTACTAATACTACGACGACTAAAACTACCGCTCATCCTCCTCCTACAACCTCGCCGTCTCCAAGCCCCAGGCAGAAGCATAAACCGGTTCATCTGAAAAGAAAGGCCGCCGCAACGGACCCGCGCGTCGACCCCAACCCAGCCAATTCCACCTCCGATCTTTCTTGTTCTCTGCCGCCACATCTCTTGACCCCCGACGAACCGGACGCTGACGCCAAACGTCGCGCCTATAGCGTTGTTTCTTCCCTTCCTCTTGACCCTCCCAGTTCCCCCGAAGAGATTGCCGGCCCGGCCACTGGGTCGTCCACGGGTCGCGAGCAATACTTCACCACCCACTTTGATCGACACCACAAGGAACCACACGACGATCCGATCCAGCAGAGTCCGACGGTCGCAAGGACAGTTTCTCGAAAACCGATAGAGGCGAGGAAGGATAAAACAAAATCGCAAGCCCAGTCGCAACACAAGAAGAAGGAGCCGGGCGGGGAGGAAGTGAACAAAAAAGAAAAAGAAAAGGAGGAAGCGAAGATAAACGACGACCGTGTCCGGAACGACCCCGATTTTCTGCCACCCAACTTGACCCCGAAATCCAATCTTGCCTCCTCCCCACCACCGACTTCCGCCGGCGACGACTTGCTGCTACTACCTTCGCCTTCCGCAACCCCTCTTCCTCCCTCAACCACGTCCGTTGGGCCTGTTGGCGCCGTCTCGCTCCAGCCAACTTATCGACCCGCCTGGGAACGTCCCAGCGCGACCCCGTTTGACTCCCAGTTGACTCCGTCCTTGGATGCCGTCGCGGAGAATATTGCTGGAGAAGCCGCCCATCAATATTTCCCTTCTTCTCCCTCGTCGCCCATCCCGAAACGACCCAGTATCGGAGTTCGTCGGCAGTCGCTTCTGCCAGCCTCCCATCAGCACTTGATCAGTGGCCTCCTGGGTTTGGGATCCTCGCAGACCGGCGCTCCAAGCAACGGTCGCATCGCCACGGTCAGCAACGAAATGCTTCCGCGCAAGATCTGGGTCAAGCGCCCAGGTGGCTCAGCCACCTTGGTCCCGACACTGGACGATTCGTTGGTCGATGAGCTCCGTGATCAGGTTATCATGAAGTACTCCAACTCGCTGGGCAAAACCTTCGACTCGCCCGATATTGTGATTCGCATTGCTCCGCGAGAAGGCTCAAATCGACAGTCGACCCCTGAGCGGGTTCTGAGTCCTGAAGAACCACTAGGCGTGGTGATTGATAGCTATTACCCTGGCGGTCAATCAGTGGACGAAGCCTTGATCATCGACATCCCTCAACGTCGCACCCCGAAGCCTTCGCCTCGCCACAACGTGTACTACCATCATTCGGAACCTGGGGAACATGGCGAGTACTTTCCGCTAATGCCTGCAAATCCGGGTGTCCCAACGCCTCCGGGTCATGGATCGGCTTCTTCCAGCGTGAATACTCACACAGCACCAGCCATCTCAATTCTCACCACGGGGATGGCGCCACCGCTTCCTTCACCAGGCAGTCGAGGAAATCGGCATTCCCGCCGTCCTCCGCTCACTCGGCATACTACGAACTCACCCACAATGCTCGGTACTCCGCCCAATCCGAAAGGTAAGTGATGTCGTCTAACGCTCCTCCGCCATTTGTATCTAAAGGCCCAATATACTGACATGAATCTAGACTCCGTGATACCCGCAGGCCCTCAACCACCTCCGACAGCCCCGTCGATTCCCACGCCGCCTGTCCCTCCACCTGAATCACCGCAAAGCAAGTCACACACCCCTCCCGCACGTGTTGCCTCGCCTCGTCCGCGTCCGTCTGCAAAGTCGAAAAAGTCGAAAAAGGGCAGTGTTTCACAGTCGCTGAATGCTGCTTTTGGTGGGCTGATCGAGGGTACCGTCCCTCCGATTAACGTTCTCATTGTCGAAGATAACATCATCAACCAAAAGCTCTTGGAAGCGTTCATGAAGCGTCTTAGTGTTCGATGGAAATGCGCCGCAAACGGCGAGGAGGCGGTAAAAAAATGGCGTCAGGGTGGTTTCCACCTGGTTCTGATGGATATTCAACTGCCCGTCATGAACGGTTTGGATGCGACGAAGGAGATCAGGAGATTGGAGCGCCTGAACAGCATCGGTGTCTTTCCTAAGACCGCCTCTGGACGATCAAGCGCCAGCTCTCTCACTGCGGAAACCTACCAAGCTTCCGAAGGTACTCTCAAGGAGGAGGATGTACTGCACGACCTATCGCTGTTCAAGAGTCCCGTCATCATCGTCGCTCTCACCGCCAGCAGTCTGCAAAGTGATCGTCACGAGGCATTGGCTGCCGGCTGCAATGACTTTTTGACCAAGGTATGACATTGGGAATTTATCATGCGACCTCCCACACTGCTTTATATCTGACTGACTCCTGCTTCTTCCTTAGCCCGTCGGATTTCCCTGGTTGGAACAAAAGGTGACGGAATGGGGCTGTATGCAGGCCCTAATCGACTTTGAAGGCTGGCGCAAGTGGCGAGGCTTCGCAGATGAACCCCAATCATCATCGCCGCCGATTGATAGTCACACGAGCCCCTTACATATCGGTGCCAACGGCGTGTCGCGCAAGACATCGACCGCCTCGTCAGCGACCAGTCCAACGACGCGAAAGATCGATGCCGGGCCGGGCGAAATCAAACGGAAACCTCTCCTCCCAGAACTCGCCAAACCTGCAGACCTTCTTCCGGAGGAGCCTTCAGGCAGCGGCAGTGGGGAAAGCAACGAGACACTGGACTCACCCGCCAGTCCGCTGGCCCTCCCTGTCGGGGACGCGGGCGAGCCATCAGGCGATATTGGTCCTCACGTTCCTCTGAACGCATCGTAGTCAACAGTCCAACTTCTGCCACCTATCTCTATCCGTCTCTAATGCCCTCCCCCCACCCCCATCTGGTGTGCCAGTAACACCCATCTGTACAAGGACCAGCGTCTTCTGTTTCCATATGTCTAGTGTCGGCTATCTCTGTTCCCACCCTAAGTACATCATATCATACCTGTCCCAGCTAGTTTGTGTCTTCCCTATTGGATACCCAGCATAGCCATTTTGCTTCATTCCATCCTCCACCCCATCTCCATCATCTGTTGCTTCCTTGCCAGGCCTCTTTTTTTTTTCTGTTTGTTTCAGCGGCATGATCCGATTTTCCATCGATTTGTATATATATACATCTGGTACTGTTTATTAGCGGACATGCTCACACATACGAAGGAGATGTCATTGTGTTTTATGTTTCTTTGTTATCTGTCTCCATGCAGGGACTGTGGGTCATCTTTTTTTCTGTTCTGTCGATATATCCGGTCTTCCTAGATTGATGGATAACTAGAAGATCGAATTTTTGTACATTCTCGAGATTCACTGTTGCTTGCACTTCTACCGAATTAGGAGAGATGTATGATCCATGGAAATTTTGGGTTTCAGTATTGTTAAGACATGCTGGAAAATAAATATAAATACAATGCTAATGCCAACAATCCTTCACACCATATTTGTACAGTACATAGTTCCTCACTAAGAGAACGTGTCATCATCAATGATAATGAATAAAAGTATGTTGGGGTATTCATTCCATGTATCAGGCCTATGGAGGACGAATTAAACCTCCACACGGGTAGGTATTTTGACCTGGCCCTTCTTACGGTCATACGTGGGCACACCATATCTGCGACCAGGCGCGCGGGCACCACGACCATCAGGACCGGTGGTCTCCCGGCTGACCACGACGTCCTTGATGCGGAACTCGAACCGCGAGGCATCCGGCTGGACCCGGACGGTCTGCTGCTCGGCGCGCAGCTTGGCGAGGCTCTTGCGTTCCTGCTCTGCCTTCTCCTCCTTCTGCAGACGCTCGCGATACAGCTTCATGTTCTCGCGGTGCTCGTTGGGCTTGGCCAAGGTCTGGCGCTCGTGCGCCACCAGGTGCGGGTGCGGGATACGCGCGTCCGCGGGCTGCAGGACTTCATGCTCGTCTGCGCCCTTTCCGACACGCTCGATCCGCGAGGGATTCTGTGTGATGCGGCTGACAGCCTCGGCCGGGTTTGCTGCGCTGTGTGCTGTCTCTTCGTGGGGGAGGGCAGGAGCAGCAGAGAACACCCGACCAGCGTCCATGCGGGTGAATTGCCGGGACTCGGAGACGGGGTAGAAGATCTGAGGATCGGTGAGGCGGTGGACGGGGAGATCATTGATAGATTCGTGGGGTCGTGCGTCCATGTCACTGCGGAGTTGTGTTGTTGGGACCATCTCATGGACGGCCCGAGCATATGGCAATGCTAATGATTTGCCCTTCATATTCCTGTTAGAACATCGTCGGAACCCAAAAGACACGAAGTATCATCAACAGAAGTGCAAGGTTTGGACACATTCAGATATAGGAGTTGTAAGCATTCCCAAACCGATAAGGCTTGGGGTCTTAAAGACTAATCGATTTTTTGTTGTTCTCATCATTGTACCAACCGGGGTAAAAAAAGCAAGCAGGGGGTGAAAAACAAAAAAAAAAAAAATGAAAACTTCGCGTGCATACCTGTTGTTTCCATCTCTTCTCCAGCTCCACCAACCTTACAACAGCCGCGACTCTCCTCATATCAACCCCGAGGTCCACACTGACAGCACGTACACTCTGCTTCCGGTCCACAACGCGCCGGTAAATCTCTTTGCGCAGCTCCTCGCTCAAGATGGGCTCACTGACGAAGTTGGGGTTCAAGGGGAACGGCCGATTGCTGCCAATGCCCTTCAAACGAGACACATAGTTCGTTCGTCCGGGTGTGTGTTGTTTCAGAGCAACGCCTTCGCCGTTGAGCCACGAGAACATCTCATTTCGGAGTCTGGTCTGAGCAGCGGGGGAGGAGGAAAAGGATCGGGAGGAGCATGATTGTGTGACTTTAGAGATACATGTGGAAGAGGCGGAAGAGGTAGAGGTAGAGGGGGAGACATAGGGGAGAAAGGAGCCGGAGACCAGCTGGCTCTGTATTCGGGGAGGCATTTTCAGGTGAAGGACTGAGGGCAAGGGGAGTGGTTTGGTAAACGGTAGGTAGGACCTCAAGGGTGAACCAATTGATGATCAGGCAATCATCAACCTATATATTCTTGTGCCTGGAACCAGGAGATGCTCAATCCCCTTGTTTGAGAAATATGCACAGGCACTGGTGGTGTTGAGGAGCAATGGGTATAATGGGGAGGAAGAAAGGTTGTCCGGGAACTTCCAAGAGAAGAAACTTCTCGGTTCTTGCGATATGGTCCGTGCATATCACGTGACGCGACGGCATCGGAAGATATTTATGAGTGTGGAGTGTCAACGCCATATTCGGCTACTGAGTAGTTGGAAGCATCGAGTTGACTTTACGATTTCATTGAATCATAGCAAATACAATTGAAGCAATCCACCATAAGCAATAATAAACACCGCCAGTGCAAGTGAGCAGCAAGAAAAAGTACTCCATCCCTCAGCATATCCCACTGTAGCCAACTCAGCTGAAGCAAAGCAAATTAAAAGTGACAGTGATGGGGGGAATAAGATAATAATATGCAAGTTAATCATAAGCACGATGAAGCATTTCGCTTTGAACCAGCAACTAGCGACCATGAAGACCCGAACGCGCCTCCCTAGGAACCGAGAAAAGAGATGAAGATCCCCAGATATTTATCTCGATGTATATCCGTGTGTAGAGCAAACGCCTCAATATGGGTGTCCACACCATATAACCCTTGCAGAATGTCTCGACATGAAACATAACACGGACTGCCATGAAGGCCGTCAAGAGAGTCCGCTCAGTTCGAAATCCGTCTTATTGCCCTTGTGTTCTGCTTCCCCCCCCCCCCTCCCCCTCTTCGTTTCGTCGTCTCCGTTGTTCAGTCGAACAAGCAAAGGGCCAATCGTATAAGAGCGCAAAAGGTAGAGTTCTCGCCGCCTAAACGAGACGGGAACCAAATAGAGGCTCCGGCGTCACGCATGCGGCGATCCTCATTGAAGGGGGGAACAAACGCCGAATGAATCAATGCAAGAGGGAATCGTGAATGTAGATCAAAATAACTAGAACTGAGAACGCCGTTCCTTTCTTAGGTCGATATCGAGGATTAGATGACGCGGAGAATGAATACAATAACAAGGGAAGAAGAAGAAGAAGGAGAAGAAGAAAAGAAGAAGAAAGGAAAGGAAAGGAGCAACATGAGAAGAGAGGTAGGACAAATAATCAAAAGAAGAATGGGTATGTGACGAAAGTTGAGTGGTAGCAAAGGTAACAAATCGAGCGTGATCGAGGAATGCGAACTTCCCATAAGCAAGCTTCATGGGCTCTGAAAACCACAAACAAAAGAGGGCAAAATAACAAATGTAAGCCTCACCAACAGAAAGAACATCACACAGCGCCCACAATCCCATGCTGCGCGAAGCAAAGAACAAGAAACTCGAACAGAAAGATTGACAAAGCAAGTAGTTAAGAAGCCAGAATCCCATATTCCTTACTCCCAGGAGGTCAAGGGAGCCCTCCAATACTGATCTAGCTCATGAAAATCAGGACTCCCAATGCGCCAGATGTGAAACCCTCGAATTGTCATCAAACGTGTCGGACATTAATTCCAGAGAGAAAAGCTGATCAGTCTACCGACCCATCATGTAATCGGGGTAATAAGAATTGAAGGCTCCCAGATTTGGTGTGGTGGAAGGGCCGCTGACGCCTCCAGTAAGCGGAGGGGTGGGAGTCATCATTGCATTCACATTGGTTGTCCTGATTCCCAAGCCAGAGTTCGAGTTAAACGACCCGTTGATGGGGATAGGCGCTTGAAGGTTTCCGGCCGGGTGCATGGCCCCGTTGTTTCGCAGAGCCAAGGGCATTGCCAACCCTGGAGGGGCAGCCAGCCCGGGCGGAGGACCGCTCACCGTCGAGAACATATGACTGTGCATACCTCCGAGACTGCTGCCACCTGGGACGGAGCCTTGAGCAGAAGGGTGGCCGGACGCGCTCATACTGCCAGGCTGACCTGAGCGGACTCCCAACGGATTCTTTGAGAAACTGAGACGAATACCCGTCTTGACACTATTGGAAAGCTTGTATCCATACAACTCGTTGAGTGCCTTACTAGCCATGGCCACTTCGTCAAACTCGACGAAACACATGGGACCGTTTTGCTTGTTGCGGAAGCACAGACGCTTGTACCCGCGCTGCTTGGAGAAGAGAGCTTTGAGCTCTTCCTCGGAAGTATCGGGAGGCAGATTACCCACGTAAAGTGTATTGCAAGGCGGATTCAGGTCGTTCGGATTGGCAGCAGGAAGACTATGTCGCGGGGTGTGTTGATTATTGTAATGATAACCGTGGTTTCCCATCAAGTTATTGCCATTCATGGTCTGCGGGAAAGCAGACGACGGGGTCGGGACTCCAACGCGCGCCGAATTGCCAGGCGCGTATGTCTGCAACGGTGGAGAGGTCATGTTCGTGGATAAAGAAAGATTGGCAAATCGGCTCGAAGGATACTGGGGGTTTGTCGAGCGCCGCGGCAAATTCATCGAGGCAGAATGACCATTTTCGGCATAGCCGACCGGATCCTTGAGCAACTCACCCGTGTCTTCGTCGGGATCTTGATCGATCATCGACTTGCCACTAACGCGGGGAAGATCATGGACACCATTGCCAATGGGCGACTGGGGAGAGAATAAGCTCTGCAGGCGAGACCCTGACTCTGCGGTCGAGGCGAGGGAATCACCAGTCGACTGTACGGATGCATTTGGCGCGGTCATTTTCTCAAGACTCTGGAATGTACCGTTAAAACGGGAGGACCGCGATAGTGGCCCATTGCCTAACAAAGTCCGGGTCGCCGTATGGTCAATAGTGTTGCGCCGAGGTGGATTCAACGACGCGACGACCGTTCCATTGCAGATTTCGACGATCATATTTGCATCATTTTTGGAGTTTGGCTTGCCATCAAGTAAGGCTTGCGCTTCTTCTGCGGCAGCCATCGTATTGAAGCGTGCAAGGGCGCACAGATATCCGTGGTCCTCTGGGAAGTCGACAGGAACAAAATCCGCATCCACGAAATCTTTGGCGAAAAGCAGCATGCTGCGCAACGCTTCGCGACTAGTATTTCTCGGCAGCTTTCGCATCAAGATCGCACCACCAGTATTGCCATTAGCAGATCGGCCAAAGCCGCTCAGGCCCTGGGGTGTACGATCGGAATCGCTCAGACGCATGTTGCCGGGCGCAACGGTATCAAACGGGGACGAGGAGCCGAGAGGCGAGAAGGGGTAGGAAAAGGAGCCGCCGAGGGAGTTCGATGCTTGCGACGCAGTAGGGCTGTACACGTCGGTCGACATCGCATTCTGGGCCGTCGAAGGCGGCTGCGAGGAAGGAAGCGACTGCTGCGGAGGCGACGCGCCCGAAGAGATCGAAGCCGTGCGCTGAGTGGTGCTATAGGAAGCTGGACTCGTACGAGAAGACTGAGTCGAACTGCCACTCATGCCTCGAAGACTGAGAGTCTCACTATCCACGTGTGCGCGAGTAGATCACTGTGTCCACGGAGGATGGTAAGAGATGGACAGCCTCAAAATCGCTCGAGGATCGAAGGACAAGTATGATATGACCGCGATAGGCTGCGAATGAGATACGGACCGAAACGGAGTGTATATGACGCGCCGAAGGATGGATGAACGGCGATGCGATGATTCTATGGTCTCATCAAGGAGCGCGACCGATTGATTGTTGAAAGAGGACGCGATCAAGCCGGTGGTAGTTTGGCGGGAAAGGAGGCAATATGACGACGAACCGAGGGACGATAAAAAGGATGGGGGGATCGCACGAGAGATAGATACGCGATAAAGCGACAATGATAGGTGAGAATAATGGAGATGATAAAGAGAGATCAAAAGAGGATGGAAGAGGTGATGTAGAAGAGGATGGTGGCGATGGAAAAGAAGGGAAAGGGGAGGAGAGAGTAGTTGGTAGTTTTAGTGAAGAGGAAGTCCAGTGTACGGACACGGGAGTAGTAGGGGGGGGGGAGAGATAGAGTGGGAGGGTGGTGTGGGAGAGAGTCTGGGAGCGGGAGAGTCTGGGACTTTTGGGGGGGGAGAGAAAGAAGAGAAATGAAGGAAGAGGGAGGCGGCGGAGTATGGGTAGTAACTGGTAAGAGTAGGCAGACAGACAGACAGACAGAAGGCTCAGATAAGATGCAAATTACAGTGCCTTGTCTGAAGAGCGAGGCCACGCGAATGACAGAAAATGACAGGGTATATTATGATTGTTTTAATCACAGCTAGAAAAAGCAGAACAGAAAGAAAAAGGAGAATCTTGTTGCTGCTGCTGCTGATGATTATGATGGTGATGATGATGATGATGATGATGATTGATATTATTATTATTATAAGGAGGCAGAATGGCGAGTGTCCAGTTGGAAGTCCGGAACGGTCCTGAGAACTACAGGTGGTACTTCCTCCTACATACTACTCCTTACTGGGATTCTGGTACCTACAGTAGTTCCAAGTACCTAGTCTCCAAGTGAGTTCTCTTCCAGGCCCTCCAGTCCAGACAACCAGTAGAATCTCTTCAGGCCCTTTGAGGGAGAGGGAAGACCAGAAGTCATTTTTTTAGGGGATCTATTGCTTCCCCTCTCCCTTGGCCCTCCTTCTTCCAGCGTTCCATTGTATTAATCATCGAGCCCATCCCATTTTCATGGTCGAGTCAAGTCAAGTCGGCGGTGCACTGTCTGGCCCACGGATCGAGTCTGGTTCCGTTCCAGGAGTCGAAAGGGTCGAAAGTCCAATGAGAAAGGTCCGGGTCTGACGATAGAAAGTAACGAATAATGGCGCGGTGAAAGGGTCTTTCTTGCATGAAAGAGCCAGTGAGCTACTGGGAATGCCGTGAGTTTGACCTCAACTAAACCAAACGCAGTCAAAGCGCGACCCAGCAGTTAAATTGACACGACGCGTTGTCAAGGGCCCCCCATGAGAGTGGATCGGACGCAGCGATTCGATGCCGAAATCACGCTGGGAACAGGACTCCGGTTAGGTACAAAACAGAGAAGAGATAGCTAGACATATGCCTATAAGCCTGTCTCCGTTGATGTATGGCGAAGACAGAACAGAGAAAAGCAGCGATTACCGCGAACAGCGAAAATGTCGGACAATCGCCCAGGAAAGCCATCCGGATGCGAACATGCGTGTCCCGTGGATGGCAGAGGCCGTGGATAGCCAAGGAGAACGAAGTACGTCCTTACTAAGTATCTACCTAGGACTCACATCTCGTCCCTGCTTGGTGTATCAGCCTCATATCACCCGATCTTCAGGAGAGGAAAACTAGAATCACCCCCATGAATCAGTCCTTTTGTGATTCATTCTTGTAGAAAGTCGATGACGATAGAGAGTGCCTGGGGGAACAAGGACGGTTCAATCGTGGTCGCTGGTCAACGGCACGAACCAAGACAATTCTACAGGGACAGATTCTACTCAGGTATCAATATATGTATATACACCAGGTCTTGCTTGATCGCATAATAATGATGGAACAATCGAGTAAGCCCAATGCACCCTCACATGATGTCCTAACCAAGGTTAAACTATCAAACAGCTGTTGACCCTAAAGATATTTACTTGGGTATTCCCAAGTAGTCATTTCTCTAGATGGCTCATCTACTGACTATCCCCAAAAGTGCAGTCGGGGGCTTGTGAGACCCTGGCATCATCCGACGAACGGAGAGAGAACCGTCGGATGTGATTGACAGCATGTTTCCATCATAGTCTTTTTTGCTGGATGAAACAATGCCGTTCCATCAATGGATAACGGAGCTGCCTACAGTAAGTAGATGCCTGAAGTATATCTTCCGATGGCCGATATCGTCGTCCAGGATTCATGGAAAGCTCAAAACTCAGGTGCCAATGACTACTTCGCCATCCTTCAACAGAAAGGGAAAAGATAACTAGGCTGTTCCTCGAGAGACAAAGCTTGGAGTCAAATGGCTCTCTTGCCTAAAAGCTCTCACGCAGGATTGGTACCTCAATACAGGGATGATCCTCGGCTCTTGTCGATGACAACACATCCAGTCGTCGATCAAGAACAATCCGTCCATGCGATTCATACCCAGCGCATTCTTCTAATCAAAACACACTAGCACAGACCACCAGAGCTTGACTTTCCTTACTGGAGCCGAGGAATGATAGAAAAAGTTTAATATCTCATTCCTCCAACTGCCCAATAAGCATGGTTGGTGAACATACAAGGAGAATGAATCCGGGAGGGATGATTTGGGAGATAGTCCAGCGTGCCTGGGAAGCTCGTAAGATCTTAGGATCGCAACCACAGTTAGTCCACAATGCACTGTGAGCGAAAATGTCGCAAAGAAATATATCATTCCCCTTCGGCCGAGTGGACAGAAACCAATCACACGACTCGACCTGCATAATGTACAAAGAATGGTTTCAACCCAAGTGTAGGATATTCCAGAAATATGACAACTCATTAACGCCGTTTGAATGCCGGAAGGAAGAAAGATGGAGTCGCTGGCCCGACCATGGGAACCGAAAAAATCACCGGATTCACATCGGCACGTTAATATTACAGAGAACGGTCCTTTTCATTGCCTCTGAGCAGTCGATTTAGGTTGAACAAGGCCCGCCTGGACATTCTCTGTATCAGCAACCAAAACCAAGTCTAGTGAAGCTGGGTATACATACCAAGTTCAATAAGCGCCATACACCCTCGCTCGGTTGTGCGCCAACACCAAGCCAGTACTTTGCTCGTGAGCGATCCAGAGAAACCTCCTTGAATGGCTTTGCTCGCTGAGCCTCCTCTTCGGACAAATTGGTAGGGCGCTGGGGAACGGGATTGTAGGTGCCAATGACTTCGAGGGGTTTCGAGTCGCGAGCGGACCTGAATGCATGCAGAGCAAGATTAGCACTCTGGTAGTTGCAACAAATGGCCATATGATTTTGTCCCAGCTTCATGACAATGCTGGACATGCGGAAGCTAATAAAAAAAGCATCATGGGGAAACCCTACCGAGCTTGAGCAACAATGATGTTGTAGAAGGCCTGATGCTTGTTGCCGAAGCGAGACAGACGAATTCTGACAACCATTTTGACGAATTTCGAGCGAGAGAGCCTCGTGGATGGACTAAATAATGCGAGAATAGCAATCTCTATGGTCTGTGTTTGAGAACTCCCGCGGAAGTTCAGAATGAGATACGGAATATTGATTGTTCCGGGTATGCAGGATGCGGACTAGCGCTAGGCGGTGGAGCAGATATCATGGCGATGATGCAATGTGCTTGTATATCATACATTAAGGTCTCAGGTGTCGCTGGATACGTAGCTGATTGCATCTAAACTATAGGGACCCGCCATTTGACTATTGTGGAACTTTATCTTAAACTGCGTTGTTTAGAGCTTTGACAAACATTGCCCGAGTCTTCTCTTGTATGGGGCCCCGCCTTGTATATGTTCAGCTCTGCTCTCAGCAAGCGATATATCCCCGCTGCAGTTCAATTCTACAGTAGAACCGCCAGGATGTCATTGAAGGTAGGTAACCTCATTCAACGATTTTTATCTACCCTACAAGGTCTCGTCTAATGCTTGCATAGGCTATCTCCTCCAAAGATGCGGCCGCTCTTGACAAGGACCTAATGGAGGTCGGAGGATGGTCGTTGGATCAATTGATGGAACTCGCAGGGCTATCTGTTTCGCAAGCCGGTGAGTTCACGGGATCAACGACTACCGCAAACATGTTTGGCAGATTGAGCAGGCAATAACAGACATCACGAGGTAGTCTATCGTCTTCACCCCCCAAGCGCTGCCAAGAATGTCCTTGTCGTCTGCGGACCAGGCAATAACGGTATGCCTCAGCCTGTCCAGCCCCCCACCGAAACAAGAGGTGAGACACACGCTCATAATCGTCACAGGCGGCGACGGCCTCGTAGCCGCTCGTCATCTCGCACAATACGGCTATTCACCGTCAGTCTACTACCCAAAAGAAGGCAAGAATGAACTCTACAAGGCAAGTCAACTCAAACCCGAACCCTGAACCACCAACACCCAACATCTATTAATATTTACTTCTCCGCAACCAGCGTCTCAAAACCCAACTCCACAATCTCTCCGTCCCCTTCGTTCCAGACTTCACCGAGGCCCTGAAATCCGCCGACTTCCTCGTCGACGCCATCTTCGGGTTCTCGTTCGGCGGACCCTTGCGCGATCCCTTCCCCTCCATCATCTCCCAGATCGAGTCGTCCTCCGTTCCGGTGCTGAGCGTCGATGCGCCCAGCTCCTGGGATATCCAGAGCGGTCCGCCCAAAGAGGGTCCCGGCGCAAAGTTTATGCCAGAGGCGCTGATTAGTCTGACAGCTCCGAAGCCTTGCGTCAAATATTACCGCGGCAGGCACTTTATCGGGGGCCGGTTCCTCACAAAGAGTATTGCGGAGAAGTATGGGCTGGATTGCCCCAAGTATCCTGGTATCGATCAGGTCATGGAGATTGGGGTCGATGCCGAGGGACGGCTGTGAGGGCGATGCGTCTCTTGCGACGGGGGCTGGAGACGCTCCTTGAAGGAGGCTACACGCTCGGGCTAATTTGTGATGCTATAACAAATACTAGTATCTGTACTCTCTTGCATTCAAAAGGTCTATTTCATGAATCAAAAATATGCTTGCATGGCATTTATGCGTAGTCTCGTCAATGATCAATGCTGTTGCGGAAGTGAAAGTTCAAGTCGTATTGTAGACTATAACCCTCTACAAAGACTCTCTAATTTCGCTAATCACGCCTTTAACTCTAGGCTCCTTTCCACTACCAGAGTTGGAAACCTTCTCTAGGATGTCCTTCACATCGTAAACTTCCTTGGCAGCAGTCTTGACTTCTTCACCCAGGACCTTGATGAGTGTCCCGAGTGCCACAAGTCCGCGATAGATTGCTTCCGAATCCTTCTCGCTGGTGATCAACTTGACTAATTCCCCAACGAGCACCAGACCTCGCTCAGATGACTCAGGAGCTGTTTCTCTGCCGCCAGAAGTGAAATAGACGGAGAAGTTGATGTACAGTGTCGCGATTGCAATTGTGAGATTACGATTCGCAACCACTCCGCTGTTGCTCAAAGCTGAATTGATGACGGCAATGATCTGCTCGAACCTGTCTACAGCCAGCTGACGACCGGCGTCAGTCTCGAACAGGTTCGCCAACATGCGCACAGAAAGCATAGCATTGTTCACGTTCAAAGGTGAATTGAATATACCACTCGCTTGAATTGCCGAGACCAAATCCTTGCCGTCGTAGTCCGCCGTGGCAGTCAATGGGGTTGCTGCAGCGAGTAAACGGAGTAGATCCAAGCCAGGGAGTCTGCTGGTGGCTGGCCAGGTAGTTGCAACCTTGAACAATGAAGCCAATCCTGCTTCTACCACTGGTGACTGTTTCAGACTCCCTGAAGTCTCCAATTGGCTGCAAAGTGATACCACCGTTTCCATTTCCGGAGGACTAAGTGACATCTCCTTGGATCCAGATGACGAAAGTTGGTCATTCAGCTCTTGGAGTTTCTTAGCAATGACTTTCAAATTGGCGGTCTTGATCGAGAGATATGTCTTTTGAGGAAGCACTTTAGCCCGCGGCTCAGGTACGGGGGTTGGTGTTGGTGCCGCAGCGACAGCAGCATCTCCGGGCCGATAACGCCTCTCCTGGCCCCAGGGATCGCCACCAGTTGGAGCTGGTTCTGGAGCCGACTGTCCCAGAGTGGCTCCTTGTGTATTCTGAACAATGAACTGGGCGACCTGATCAAGATAGTTCATCGATAATTCGTTGTCCTGGATGAATTTTGTTGCTGCTTCGTATGGGTTTTGCGAGACATTAAAAGGTAATTTGAGAGGAGGCTTCCCATCCTCGACGTCAACATCAAAGACGTAGTCGTAATCATGGCCCATGTATTCAATCTTTCTCCCACTGCTTGCAGCAGCATCAACAACGGTACCCACGGCAATCCATTCCTGTGATGCTGCTGACCATGTATGGGCGGTGACACTACCATTGACTTCCCGAATCATCTGTACCTGGCCTTCTTTGGTGCCAGACTTCTGCTTCAGAAACTCAGGGCCTGGAAGCTCCTCCTTGTTGATCTTGCCGACTTGTTGCTGAGGTATTGCAGACTCCTTGACAGCCTTGTCGAATTGCTGTACGGTTTCCGGGCTTGCCTGACGCTCTTCGCTTCGACTAAAAATGCGTGTCACACGATCACTGGCTCCTGTGACAATATCTCCAGTCTCCTTGCACGCGGCAACGCTCCATACCGAGATTGCTGGGTGGGTGATTGTTTGCACACACTGTGTACCGTTCCAAATTCGTACCGTTCGATCTTCTCCGGAGCTGACCAGCTCACCGGTTGGCAATGCATCCAAAGAATAGATAAAGCTATCATGACCATGGAGCTCAGTGACGAGCTGACCCTGCAAGGTAAAAAGACGGATGACTCCGTCATTGCTTGCCGAAGCAAAATGGGCACCCGTGGGATGAGAAGGAGGGAGCCTACAAAGAGCTCTCACAACGTCTCGAGAGTCCTTGATACTCCTGAGAAGTTTCCCAGAAATGTCAAAAATGCGTATAATCTTGTCCGCGCAGCCTAGTCGGAGAATGGCACACTGTGAGCAATTTTCTAATACAGCGATAGGAGCAAGAAGCAGACTTACCTGTGATGATCGTGTCTTTGTCGTAGGCTAGGACGGCCCAGACACTGCCTTGATGGCCTTCCATTACCACATCGCATTCCCATTTACCAGCTCTCCAAAGTCTTGCTGTCGAATCCCAGCTGCCACTGACCACCCATCCCCCGTCAGGACACACATCTAATGCACAAACATTGTGAGCATGACCCAAGAGCATCGCATCCGCATTGTCATCCGCGGCCTTTCCAGGTTGTCTAGCTTCAATAATAGTGTCTTGCCCACCAGAAAGCACAAGGCCTTCGGGAAATTCGGGTGTTGGCGGGTAATATGCTACGGCATTGATGAATGCCGAGCCGTGTGAGCTGATGGTGTAATCATAAGTGGGAGGCGGGGTATTGACCAGCTTCCAAAGTCGAACGGTTGCATCTCGAGAAGCTGAAATTACCACATTAGGATTTGGATAGGCCACAGCACGAACCTGTAACCGAAAAAAAGAGCAGAGTCAGTCGCTGAACATCAGGGGTAATTCCACTGCGGTAATTAGAGTCATTGCGGGACATTCTTACATCATCGCCGTGGCCCTCCAGAGAAGCGGAGATCTTGAAGTCAGGCATACATAAAGACTGCTGCCGCAGAGCCCAACAGAGTAAAGAAGAGTGAACCGAATGAACGAGGAGGCTTCAGGGGATATTGAAGCCTAATGAGGATCGAAAGTTAAGATGGATTAGTAGTGGTCTTCCAGTTGGTCCCTGGTTGATAGTTCCCAACAACAACAATGAAAGCGGAGAACAGCATGCATCATATCACGTGGGCGGTATGAGCCAGGCAACATGTGACAGAAGTTACTAGAAGAGCAGAAGTGATGAGTAATGCACACTTCTATGTAAATGCAGTAGATAGATATAGCTTTGGACAGATAATAATATTAATCAGTGATAGTAATGATCTTGGCTTGGCGATTATGAGACGTAGAGCAGCCTGTTTTGCTGCTTTACGTGCATAGTTTAGTATCAGACCTGAGCCCGAACATTGACAGTTGACAGTTGACACATTTGGAGTCAATCTTGGCAAGCCTATCGACCCAAGCTGTTTCAACACTGATTAGCTTAGAACTAAGGATAAAACCTGAAAGAACCAGCCCACATCCCTGCCATGCCCAACAACACGATGACTGGGATCCTCGCGCATATCCTTGAGGAACCTCATCGTCCAAGAGGTCAAACTACACACATCACGTGGTGCTGCGCCTTCCCTCCTTTGGCCTAGCGCAGGCACTCGGACATTTTGCAATGAAATACCGACGATTCGGAGTATCAACGAACTATCAAAAGGGAAGACCAGCTCTACTCGAGACAACCTCCTCTCTTCTTCCGGTTCTAGAGTCAGGATACCTCTCATTTACTGGCTTCATTGGCTGCGTGAAGGGAAATCCTTTTCTCTTGGAGTCTCTTGCTTGGGGGTTAATGATCTTCTTAGACTCTTCTTTTTGTACCTTTTTCTTTGCTCTACCAAACTTCTTCACCACCTATTACCCCGCCATATTATATTGATGACTTGATGAATTGACGAATACTCTTCTGTATCACTACCTATCTTGCTCTTTGATGATTTCTCGGGGCTTTATATGATCCTCAATTCGTGTTTTGATCTCAAATAGGCTGTTGCTGAGCCCATGTTCAAACACTGATCACCTCACTCTTCACGGCCGCACTCAAAACCCAAATTCAAACCGCAAATCAGCTGTCGAGAAAAGTTGATCTTGATTTCTTTCAAAGTCGGGCGCAAAAATGGCTTCAGGTAAACTTTCGTGCTCATTGATTCCCCCTTCTCCACCGCCTGTTGAGATCTGCGCTAACCAGGTACAGATATACCCAAAGTCGTACCATTGACATGTCATGGACATTCTCGGCCAGTTCCTCATTTGAACTTCTCGTCTCTCGTTGAGGATGATCAATACTACTTGATTTCTGCTTGCAAGGGTAAGAAGAATGTTGTCTGCAATGCTTGCCTTGTAGTCAGGCTAAGACCGTCTTGCAGACAACAATCCCATGCTTCGTGATGGCATAACCGGCGATTGGTGTGTTGTCCTTTCCCCATTCGCTCTCCTACCTCCTGACTAACCTCACAAAGGATTGGTACTTTTCTTGGCCACAAGGGAGCTGTCTGGCAAGCCCGACTGTCAACGGATGCCAACATTGCGGCTACTGCTGCCGCCGATTTCTCTGCGTAAGTTTGGCAGGCTGCTTGAGCTACGACAAAATTCGTCTGGCCACTAACAAACCAACTAACAGTAAGGTCTGGGATACCCACACGGGCGAATGTTTGAACACTCTTCAGCACTCCCACATCTGTCGAGCGGTGGCATTTCCCATCCAAGCCTCTCCCCAAGTCTTAGCGACGGGAGGATTCGAGAAGAAGCTCCGCATCTTCGACCTTACGCGCAGCGGGGGCAGCAACAGCTCTTCGCCCACCTCACCGTCAGCCCCGGAAACCAGCAACGGGACAAACACAGTAACAAGCTACGAGATCGGACCGGGCGTGCACGGAGGCACGATCAAATCCATCATCTGGAACCAAGATTACAACATCCTCACGACAGCCGCCGAGGACCGGAGGATCCGCTGGTGGGATCTCCGCTCCCGCCATCCCGTCATCGAATATGCCGTGGAAGGCACGATAGGTAGCTGCGAGCTCAACACCCTCGCCACTCGACCCAACGACCCCGGCATCCTCACCGTTGCCGCCGGGAAGAGCGTATACCTCTTCGACGGCGTGACCCCCGGCCGTCTTCTGAAGAAGATGGATTTCCGCTACGAAGTTGCCAGCGCCGCTGTGAACAACGACACCGGCAGACTGGTCACCGGCAGTGCGGACGACACCTGGGCCCGAGTGTATGACCTGCGCACGGAAGAAGAGCTCGGTATGTCCGGGAAATTGAACTTTCAAAGTAATTAACCGGTTGGACTATCTGGTCATGCTAACGTAACCATCCAGAGGTACAAAAGGGTCACCACGGGCCGATCTGGTCGGTCAGTTTCTCTCCGGACGGCAAGTTGTACGGCACAGGCAGCGAAGACGGAACGATCAAGCTTTGGAAGGCTTGCAGAGAGCCGTATGGGCTGTGGCGTTAGTGCACTCATCCAGCAGCTCGAATACATCTGACTCAGATACGAGTCCATTATCTTCATTATATTCCTTGTATACTCCTACCTAGACTCAAGAGGCGTATCCATTCCATGTTACGCCCATCTACAGCCAGAGACCCAAGGCGGCGTTGACGGAAAAATATACTCGAGCGAGTTTTGGCCTGAGTGGACCAACAACCAGTGACAGAAGGCCAATCTGTTGAACCTAAAGGGTTCGAAACGCAAAGTAGCTGAATACAAATTGAAAATCACCTCGTTTATGTGCCAGTCTGGTAAGGAGTTTTTTACTCAATCATATCCACATCGTCATCACCCGCAGCAGCAGAAGTTGCGGGAGCAATCTGCTGAGGCTCATCCTGCACAGCCTCCTTGTCTGCAGTACCAGCACCGGCGTTTGCACCGCCCCAGTAGTCATCCATCTCCTGATCAAGTTCCTCCTGCGTCTTCTTCGGCCTGGCGTTGGGGTTGCGACGACCCTCGCCTCGACCCCGATCATCGCGTCGCTCCCCCTGTCGTCTGCCGTTGGCGCTCCGCCGTACTGGCGACCGCTGGCCCGGCACGTACCGGTCAATATGGTCGGGAGCTGGCTTCGAGACGTCGCTGCGCCGGCCGCCTGCGCCGCCGCGACGGCCACGACGACGGCGCGCTCCGTCATCGGCATCACCGTGATCGCTTCCGGGGCTCAGGCTTCGGGCATTGCGTGGGCGCTCCACTCGGTCAAAGAGACTTCCCTTGGGCCGTTCAACGTTGTCAAAGGGGTTGCGATCCCGTCTTCCGCCACCGCTGCCGGCGGCAACCAAGGCCAAACGGATGGGCTGTCCCTTGGCGTTTGCGCCGTCAAATTCGGATATCGCCGTTCTCGCATCGCTCACACGGTTGTAGGTAACGTAGGCAACGCCTTCCGAGCGTCCAGCCCGGTCGTAAACAAGGGAGAGGTTCGTAATGGGTCCAATTCGGGTGAAGAGATCCTAAGAGAAAGCTGTTAGATACTGGCGAGTACCGCAAAGGGGCATTTCCATTCGATGGGTACCAACCTCAAGGTCGCTCTCTGTGATATCGTAATGAAGGTTTTCAACGCGAATCTTCGAACCGGTCGCGGAGCTATCGTGGAGTCAGCACCAAAACGCCGCAAAATAAACATTGTGTCTCGACATACTGTTCACCGGCGGGGGAGTAGCGATCGCCGCGAGGACGTCGAGGGGCACGGGCAGGGCGTGCTGAAAAAAGGCTGCGTTAAAAAACAGGAGGGACGAGAAGGTTCACCATGGCGAAGCGCCACGGAGCCAGGTTCAAAACGCACTGTCTCTGTCGTCTTCATATCTGTCATGGACCCAATCACTAGCGTCGCTCCCCTATTAGCCAAAACTCCCCTCAATTTCCAGGTTCGGCGATGTGAAGCGTGTGGGAAGGGGGGCCATAATTACAGATCTAAATCGACTCGTTCTTCTTTGTAGGACTGTGGTGACAACAAAGAGAGAGACAAGGTCAGCTCGAAATCAAAATAGGCAGTCTGGAAACGGCTCCATCAATCTGCGGCTTCTCGTGGGCCTTGGGGTCTGCTAGAGAGACAAGACGACAAGACCAACGATATCTGTGCTGATCACGCTGCGAGAGGAGGGCTCGAAAGGAGAAGAGGAGGGAGGACCTAGATGCGAACGGTCATATTAGTGCTTGCTCAGGTTGGATGTCAGCGAGGGGCCAATGGACAAACCTTTTTCACGCCATCACGGCGACGGCCTTGGCCTTGGCCCTGAGGGCGACGGCCTCGGTTCTGGTTTTGATTCTGATTCTGATAGAAGAAAGATTCGTTGTCAGAAGACAGAGCTTGGATGCGCGGTGAGCTGAAAGTTAAAAAGGAAAGAGGGCCTTACAGGTCGCTCAGCGATGATCTCGTCCAGGCTGCGGTCCATCTTGGACGGGTTGGAATGGTCAAAGGGCGTGAAGGTAACAAGTGGTTATCGAACAATTGTTTGAAGCTCAGAGTGTAAAAAATGGATATGTGGGCAGGTTCAATGGATTGGAAGATTGTTTGGTTGAGGATGCTGAACGAACAGGGACAACGGCCCAGAAATCAGGCTAGATCATGTGATTGTATACATACAACTGGCTGACATGTCAACAACTTCTGTGATGATACATCAACAACCATAGACTGACATGGATATTCTTGATAAACCTGCCTCTTCTGAAGGTGTAATATAAGAGTTGGATTTCATTGCCAAAGTCTAGGTCAAATGTGAGGTGGCTGCCAACCCCTTGCTCCACCACCAGTGAGGCATTTGATACGAGAGCAACATTTCTGAACATCTCTTCCATCCAGTATACAAAATATCTACTATTCACGTTGTTGAACGACAAATTAACACCTATACTCGATAGCCATTGATATATTTGAATCAGATGATTAGTTGGATTTGTCTTTCGCTTGAATGGTGGTATACATCGCAGGAACCGCAGAGAACTCGAATTAGAGTAGAAACGCAGGATGCAGGGATGGAGGAGAATTAATCATGCAATGCAAGGAACAGAAACAGAAACTCAAACCAGACTCAATGCTCAAAGTCCTGTATGCATGATTGATATTGTTCGCCCGTCAAAAGACCAAGACCCCCTTTTCGCTCCAGATAACTCCAGTAGCAGCCCCATGAGAACAACAAGGAAAGAAGAAACGGAAAAAGGGAACATCGACACGGACTACCTGGCACTACGGGATCTAGTGCCCACCATTGATAGAGGGATCGCTCTTGTTGTCATTGTTGTACTCCATCATCTTCTCCATGAAGCTGATGTAGTCGTACTTTGGAAGATCCCTGTCCTCGAGAAGATCTGGCCCCTGGTGGAGGGGCATGGTTTGGACGAGATGTTCAATAACCTCATCCGGGATCAGGGAATGCCGAAGATCAAGCTCCGTAACATAAGGCTGGGAGAATATTCGTTAGCGTGAGTGCTCAAAAGTGTCCGTTGGACAGGTTCTCAGGCTTCGGGGAGCAACAAACCTTGCCATCTGCAACTTCTCGGAAGCTCTGGAAAACCTGCTCTGCAGTATGCTGATCTTCGGTCACGCTGACCATAAAGCGGATGAACTGCTCAAAGCTGACCCCGGCATTTTGTGCGAGTCTCGCCGGCCCGCAGGTTTCGATATAAACTTGGTGCATTTCCTCCTCGTCATATACAAGCCCAAGACTAGCAAGCGCGGCGGAGAACTCGAGCTCGTGGAGGGTATTTGACGAATCACGGTCGAAATGCCTAAAGACAGACTCGAACTCTTCCAACTGGATTGGAGTCAGGTTGGTCATATTGCGGGCAACTAGCTGATTCTCCAAGAATGCAAGCTTCTTGGAGATACTTGATTTGACTAAGCTCAGCTCGTAAGAAAGCTCATCTAAGGTATATGTTGTGAAGTCGTTTTCCTCAATATTCGCCTCGACACATTGCTCGTCCAGAGCGGCAATGGTCTCTAGGAAAGCATCAAGAGGAGGGAGTGTGTCGTTGAGTTTCTTGACATGGTCTAATTGATCCTCCACGTCGCCGTCGAGGCCGGAGATAGCAAGAGACAATGTCTTCAGCGTCAGCGCAAAGTCATTAGCCTTATCGGCGAAGGACCGGCGAAGAGCATTCTTGATATCTCGAATTGTTTCGTTGATCAGCTGACTTCGCTCATGCTCGTCGCGAGTTAGCAGCTCCCACTCATGGTCACAAACCTCGAGGCGCAGCTCTTCAGGCGGATCGTAGGGACGAAGACGGTAGGTACTGAGCTTTGTTTTGATGTTGCCCAGTAGAGCAGCGAGATCCGATTTCTCAGCGACCCAGCGCCGTTTCTCGTTCCTCTTGTACAGTGAGAATTGGTGAGCCTGTTCCTTGGCGTCCTTGTAGGTGCCTTCGAACGATGCGTTCTTCCACGACTCGCGCTGGGCCCTGATCAGGCGGAGCAGCTCCTTCATCCTTCTCTCGTATGAGTTCTGCATCTCCCACGCACCATGCATGTTATTGATGAACTTTTCGACTCGGCGACCGGCATTCTCCACCCGCTCGAGCTGAGAGAAGGCATGGAACCAGTAGGCAATATATGTCATCAGCGACCGCTCGTCCGGCTTCGCCACGTCGCAGACATCATCAACATCAAGCAAATCAGGGATCCCGATTTCATTAGAGGCGATATCGAAGGCCAGTTTCATGTTCCCGCGGTGATCCTTCTTGTCAAGGGCGTCGAAGTCGATCAGATCCGGCCGATGGATATCCAGCAGAGCGCAGAATGCAAGGCCATCATTCCAACTCGTCGAGAAGTCGCGCACCTCCACCCCTTCGTAGCACGCCGTCTTCCTTTGACACCATAGCAGGAGACCCTCTTTGGCCGTCATACCCTCCGCATTGATATCGCTGATGGTGAACCGCAGAATGAGCGTCCAGATCAGGCCCAGGATAATCTTCCGGTTGCCATCGACGATATCCTCCGCACCGATATTCGTCATCTGGATCCGCCTCCCCTTGATGAAATCAAGACTTTTGTTGACATTTTCGAATTTTTGCACGCGGAGCTTGGGTTTCGAGGCGTAACGACCGAGCGACTCTCCGCCGAGGACTTCGAGAAGATGGATGAGGATAACCTGCGGGCATCGGAGACCGATTAACGGGCTGTTCTTTGATCTTCTCGAAATGGCAGTTATTTCTCTTGGATGCGCGGGGGGATGGGGGTGAAACTCACGCCATCGGAAAGGTCCGTCACCAGGTCATCGATCAAGATGCCTCGAACCTTGATTTTGTCATTGAGCCTACCAGTATCATAAGAGATGTTAGTTCGGGGGCACAATCAACGCTGGGGATAGCATATGATATAATTCGAGGGGGGGGGGGGGGGGGGGGCGGAAGTCGACAGTATATGCGACGAGGCAGCAATCATATCGAAGTGAGGGGCACCCTTTCTCCCGCAAGAAGCAGAGCATCAAGTAAAGGGGACGGAGGCATATACCAACCATTTCGTAAAAGTTTTCTGCTGTACGTTGACCCAGGACTTTTCAACCGTTAACATGATGAGCGATGCGAGGCTTCGAGTACATCCAGGGCTGCTGGGGGGGGAAGAATTGTGGCAGTATGGGTTCTGTGTTGTTTTTCTTTCCCTTTTTTCTGCCTCTTTCTATCTGTCTGGGACAAGCGACAAACAGTTGGACAGACAGATTGGGGAAGTAGTTTAAAGAGGGGATGGATACCCGCTCTCCGATAAACTAGCGCTGGGATTGGCAAGGAGACGATCTTCACGGGCGGACCGATTCGATTTGAAGGTGGCTGGACGATTGATGGATGTGATGATATTACCAACTGATATCTATCTAGCTGATAGACTCCAGGACAGAGGAGTTAGAACACAATGAGAGAGAGAAAAAGAGAAAAGAGAAGTACTATCGAATCTGTACTTTCGTCGAACTAATCAGGTATCAACAAACCATCTCCTGTCGGCCCATGGTTGACACCCTCTATTCCCCCGTTGGCCCATTCTTTGGATGCTATTTCCAGGGGATGGAATGTGTATTATTACTATTATGCAGTAAAATAGCCTAGCATCAAAATCCAAGTTGAAGTAAGATCCTTCAGGACATTCCAAGCATCAATTCTTATCGATCCACAATCCCAGCCTTGTTTCAGTGTCTGGCAGCGGTACTCTACTGATAGATCTTTACTGCCAGAGTGACCCTTGTGTCTCAGAATTCCATTGAGCTGACAATCCATAGCAACGGTCGTGCAGAATTATCTGTCCTACCTAGTACGGAGGAGTAGTTGATAGATACTCCCATGGTCTGCTTAGAGTAGAGTCAATGCGTTAGAGGCAATAATGACCATGTACTTGACAGTGTCATCAGTCATCAAAGAGTCGGATGATCATCTCTCTTCCAGGGGACGATCGTCTAGAGCGTTGAAACCCTTGCGAAAGAAACAACCCTCTTTCAGCAATGGAATGGATGATGGCATTGAGGTGTATGAGGAAAAAGTCTAGGCTCACAGCGAGAATAATAAAGATGACAAAGATGACAAAAGCCCAGCTGGAGGTGAAATTGCGCCATTCAGCTGGAGAATTTTCCCTTGTCCTGCTTAAGAAGCAGCACTACTACTACTACTACTACTACTACTACTACTACTACTACTACTACTACTACTAGGTACTAATAATAAGAATATTACCTATATTCCAGGCGTTAAGTTCCTAGTGAGGATGATATCATTTCACCACAGCCAATGGCGGGGCACTGTGGACTTTGGAGGAGCACGCCAGACTCAATTTCTCCTTCCCGCTCGGCGTCACTCATTCAATTCCTGGCGAATCTTTATAAACTTGCAATCCGATATAACTACGTGATCTTACCATCGAAAATATTCCCATCACTCACTGAAAAAAAATCCCATCTCGAAAAACCCCATCATGTCGACCCAATTCACCATCACCGACCTCCTGCCTCTCCCCAATTCATCCGTTAGGATACCCCGCCTTGGCTTCGGGGTCTATCGCTCTCCTACCCGCCAATGTGTCCAGTCATGCCTGACAGCCCTCCAAGCAGGATACAGAAATATCGACACTGCTCAATTCTACGCCAATGAGCAGGAGGTCGGCGAGGCTCTCCGCACAAGCGGCATCCCTCGGAGCGACGTCTTCGTAACCACCAAGATCCTGAGCCCTGCGGGCTCGCCCGAGGCTACCTACAAGAAGCTACTGGAAAGCGTCGAGAAGATCGGTGGCGAGAACGGATACGTTGATTTGTTTCTAATCCATAGCTCCAGCTCTGGTTCGGCGGGTCGCAAGGAGCTCTGGCAGGCCCTGGAGAAGCTGCTGGAGGAGGGCAAGACGAAGAGTATTGGGGTGAGCAACTTTGGGGTGAAGCACATTGAGGAGATGAAGGCGTATGCCAAGGTCTGGCCGCCGCACGTGAATCAGATTGAGGTGAGTTCTATCATTGATTGCTTTGTCGACTGATAGCCAAGGTATACTGACCATGCGTCCTCTGTAGCTTCATCCCTGGTGTCAACAGCGCGTAATCGACGCATACTGCAAGAGGAACGGTATTGTTGTCGAGGCTTACTCCCCACTCGTGCGCAACTATAAGGCCAATGACCCGACACTGGTCGACCTCGCCAAGAAGTACGGAAAGACCACGGCGCAAGTTTTGATCCGCTACGCGCTGCAGAAACACTGGGTTCCGCTGCCCAAGAGTGATACCCCCGAGCGAATCGAGGCGAATACCAAGGTCTTCGATTTCGAAATCAGCGAAGAGGATATGGCAGTCTTGAACGCTCTCGACCAGGGAAGTGCCGGCGCCATTGTGGAGGCGGTGGAGAATGAGTAAATATCGGGTGCCTTGTATGATAGCTAACGCAGTGCTGTTGAACTTATGAATATAATGCAGCGTGTCAATGTCAATAATCCGGTCGTTCCATGAGAAAAGCGTTGACGGATTGCAGCGTAGGACGCGAAGGGTTCACTTCGTGTTTCGAGGACACGATCCAAGCAAGGCGTCGCCGGATAAACTGCTTGTCGATCGACCGCTTAACCGGCGTCGTTGTGAATGCTCCTGAGAATCGGTTAGGATGGGCAGAGAGTACAGCAGCAAGGAGTCCGCCTACCTTCATCATCATAGAAAAGACATATGATTGCGAGAAGGGTACCGGCCGATAGATCTTTACCCGTTTCACATGTCACGAGTAGTGACCGGGACGGGTCGGAGGCGAGTTGCGAACCGACGAAATCTCGAACCTTGTCAAGTTGTTGTCTCAAGTCGCGACTTCCCAGTTTCGAGGATCTGCAACCCAGGCACAGTCGTTTCGGATTTTGCTCCGAGGTCTCCGGGTTGCCATTGCAATCAATGATCAGATCATAACGACCACCACTGTCATTTAGACAAGCATTGGTCTGGCTGATGTACAGGTTCCGAGTTGGTGCAACCAGAGTAGCTTGTTGACTGCTGTCCTGACTTTGGTGTTCTTGCAGTAGCTCTTCAATGAGGTCCGGGAGGTCTTCCTCTGCCGTCCTCAAGAGGGTGGCCTTGTTCGCCCAGAAGACCTGCGGAGTCAGCCCGTGGGCCCAACCCTCGCTGTCATCCCCTGCACCTTGAATGTAACCGCCCTCTGAGATTTCAGCTCCATGCACCCGCTTGGAAGCAGAACAAAGGACGAAGAGATTGTATCCGGCTCCTTTATGTAAATCTGTCGGATGGAAGTAGGAGCGATTGGCCCATGCTATCCGAATGGGTTTTCCCAGCTGCTGCCTAAGATCATCCAGATCGAGTTTAAGGTCCTGGACATCCAGTCAGTCTACTATCCGTAGCGCTACGAAGTTCGGCACGTCATTTGAAAATAAAAATAAAGACGTAGAAATGAGAGAGATACCATACCTTGAGCGATTTAACGAAGCCGCCAATCCGGAGTTCAATTTGCGATCCCTCCGAAGCTCCCAAGAAATTTGGCGGGAGCTGAACTGCATGGTATGCAGTGTCGGAAGGAAACAGCGCTCGGTTCATGACGGCGCACCATATGGGCACGGTTTTGGACAGGGCATCGGGCATCACTGCGCCAGGTCAGACCGGGATGTCCAGAAAGGCAATCAATTGAGTGGTTCGACATCAAACTTACATTTACCTCGACGCGTTGAATCCACAATGATGCACCTGCAGGCAACAATTGGCGGCCGGTAGTTAGCCAAGCAAGCATTGCAAGGGAAGTAATATCAAATTTGAGAGGGCACTTGAAAATGCTGCATGCTCACTCACCCCCCATGTTTCCGAGCGATGGGCAAAATTTGTAGATTCAACCTGCGGAAACTAAAGTCCCACTGGCCGGTATGGCCGTCCGTGCTCTTGAAGTAGGCACTGCCAGACTTGATCTCGGGAGGAATATACCAACTTCCACACCTCTCGTTTGCAACCAAAGGTAGCCCATAGTGATCGGCCACTTCCCCAACAAAGGCAGCATCGGACTCAATTGAGCGAAGCCGGTTGGAGATGGAGAGAGCAGATCGTCGCAGCGACGACAAGGTCTGCGAAATGGACTGGACTGCAGAGGGGAAATGAAGGGACGAGACGGACACGGGGAATGGATCGGAACGATCCTCCATGCTGCCTAACATTGGCTCTTTTTTCCCGTGAGCAAATGGCGGACAAAAACTTGTGGTCTTTGGGGAGGCGGAGGGCTGCGATCCGCGCAGGTATTAATTATTGTCGAGGCACAAAGCGTATGAATGTCTTGGAGAATAATAATACCTCAGCAACTAAGAACAGGAAACCCCCAACCGCGTCCTTCTCGTACAGGCCAATATCAAGTATCAGAATAGTTATCCCACATTCATATGGGATGTTGGGAAAAACGTGTCTAACCCGATTGATGAACCGCGGAAGTGGCTCTGCTATGGCCAACTCTTAGCGTGGAACTACTCCATGATATGGACCAGGCTACGGAGTCACTATCTACATTGTCTTCTATTATCACAGAGTTAGTCAGACTCTCTCATGCGTTATGTTAGATTCATGATGAGAAAAAGTGGGATTCAGAAGAGGAGTAGTTAAATGCTTGCATCTTCTAGCTAACAGATTGGAGAGGTATGAAATATGTAAACAGGTAGGTACCTATCTGCTCTGTCTACAAGGGGTCCTCCATACCTCACCTAGGTACCTAGGTATCTATATGGTACCAGACTAACTAACTAGCAAATGCAGTCTACTCCCTAGATAGTCTAGGTTGACTGAATGAGATTGCGGGGCATGCAAGTCCTCTACTACGTACAATGACAGTGACAGGTGTTGGAGGCCCAAGTTGCTCTAACTTTGTCTTGGAGTTAGAGACATCCACATCAGGATTGATACCTATCTCACGAAGTCACGGTAGTATGCACGGCCGCTCAACAAATGAGAAGACAGCGGAATAACAGGCTACTTACTTACTTACTCGAGGCTGAACTCCCGGACATGGATTCCTATGGAAAGACGAATTGATACTATTCCAGTGGCTTTGGGGCTTTCTGCGCCTTTCCATCCAGACAGACGCTAAACCCGAAACAACTTGCTAAATGGCCAGCAAGCGCAATTTGTTCCTCGGCGCAAAGTGACTGCTGCCCCGCCAGTCACCATGTTTTGATTCCTTGCTAATTGCTATTGTTGCGCGCTCTCAGTCGCAACGTCATGGTCATGATATGACCTCAGGGAGCCCCTCCAGTCCCGCTTCTGTCCGAGCCTAGTAGTAGGAGGTACTAGTAGTACCTACAGTAGCTTGTAAAGGGAGGTAGTCTAGGATGATTGAGTCAAGAACCATTGTAATAATAATAATAATAATAACAAGGGGATTTGTTCATCGAATCCATCTACCCCGTTTTGAACCACCGGTGGAATCTCAAAGAGCGTCATGCTAGGTCAGTAGGTAGGTAAGGTATTCTCCCCTTATATCCATAAGATACTTAAAGAACGTGGAGGGCCACTTTTGTTTGCCACCTGCATCTCATTTCCATTCCATTCCTCCACCACGCAAACAATTTCCATTAAACTTTGGAATCACTGCTATCTTATCCAACCCCCTCCTCCCTTCTCTACCTCAACCTGCCTACTCTCATTCTCTTCTTAAAGCAAATCTGCTCCCCATTCCCTTTCAACCAGGCCCAATCCCAGCATCAACCACTCTACCTACCTCTCTTCTACTACTTGAAAAGTTTCGTACAACAGAACACCATCCCAAACCGTCATCATGCCTAAGGTTGGTTTTCTCCAATATCAAAGTATCCGATGGACCCGCAGGTTCGCTGACCAGGCCACCTCTACTGTAGATCACTGAAATCTTCTTCGATTGCGACAATACCCTTGTCCTTTCGGAAGAGCTGGCCTTCGAGGCTTGCGCCGACCTCACCAATGAGATCCTCGAGAAGCGGAACATCCCTGATCGCTACACTGGCGGACAGTTGATCCAGGATTTCGTTGGCCAGAACTTCCGCGGAATGATGATCTCCCTTCAGGCCAAGTACAAGTTCGAGATGTCCAAGGAAGAGCTCGAGGAGTACGTCAAGATGGAGGAGGACAAGGTCATCGCCAAGCTCAACGAAAAGGCTCAGCCCTGTGTCGGCGCCACGGAGGAGTTGCAGAAGCTGTACGACTCTAAGAAGTACGGTCTTGCCGTTGTCTCTTCGTCCGCTCTGCGCCGAGTCAAGGCCTCGATTAAGAAGGTCGGACAGGACAAGTATTTCGACCCCGAGCTCATCTTCAGCGCGGCCACGTCTCTTCCCAAGCCTACTTCCAAGCCTGACCCTGCAATCTACATCCATGCTCTTGAGGTCTGCAAGAAGAAGCCCGAAGAGGTGGTTGCCATTGAGGACAGCAAGTCCGGTGCTCTGAGCGCCATCCGTGCTGGTATCTATGTCATTGGCTACGTTGGTAGCTACGAAGGCGACGAGAAGAAATTGGAGATGGCCCAGCGTCTCAAGGAGCTTGGTGCCACGGTCATCATGAAGGACTGGAGCGAGTTCGAACAGTGCATGCAGCAGATCGAAAGCGCTTAAGCAAGTCTGCTTCTCCACCACTGGAAAAAGATCCCTTCGAGCTCTTTTTTTTTTTCTCTCTCCTCAACACGAAGTTATGAAAGCAAGCACGCTGGTCGTTTTGGAGCCACTGGAATGGTTCCTTCCTTCTTTTCTTGCCATTTTTCCTTTCTCACGGGAAGGAGCATTCTCCCTCGCAGTGGTGATCAGACCTCTCCGCTAAAACAAGATTGCATCTTGTCTTCCCACAGGTTCTGAGGTGCGAGACCATCGGGTTCTTCTTTCACCCAGATGTGATTTCATTCTTATTTTTTTTTATTTTCTCTCTCTCATACCTCCCGATTTCTGAGTTAGAACGGGCTCAGTGCATTGCTAGTGAAGTCTCGAGCATAGATAGGCTTTCATGGGCGACGAGATACCCTAGCCCCCAGAAATACAATAGACGTTTAATCTCGTCACTTTTCATCTTTCCTGTATTGATTGTAACCCAGTTCCTAGCCAGTTTCCATTGTATCTGAAATCGAACTGGTCCAGACCCATCGACTGTGTTGTTGCATGGATCACGCTGGTCATCAAGTTAGATCACACTGATACTTGCATAACCCACAACTCTAACTCTGCGGCCGTGGCACAGAAACATTGTTTCCCAGCATGCGATCCGGAGGCTAATGCAAGAAGACCCAATTCGTGCACTGTGTACATGTATATACATACTTGCAAAGTCCCAGGTCAGCTGAGGTACAAGCAACCCTCCTACATGCATCAACTCTTACCTCCAACAAAAGCCTATAGCAGCCAAAACGAGAATTGATCAAGAATGTCCCATGACTACGACCACAAACCTAAGCGCAAAGACCCCCCCCTCGCAAACCACTATCCCATCCCCGGCCCAGTCAGTCCCGGTCCTCAAAGATGTATATAAGCCCGCCAACCGGGCAGCAGATATAACCAGGAAGCCAAGCCATATATGTATGTATGTATGTATGACACGGCTCCTGCAGGTGCCTGGGCGCGCATTAAAGCCTGTAGGGGGATGGGGAGGGGTGCTATGCTAAGGGCTGGACAGGGCGATAGTGCATCCTGGGCGGAGGATATTAGAGTTCTCGAGTTGAGCTGGTTGCATTACTGTACATGGGCCTTGTGTCTGGTGCTTTGGGGAGGGGGTTTGCTGGCGAGGTTTCCTTTCATGATGTGGGTGATGTTGGCACGGACCGGATATGCGAGGTAAGGACTACCTAAGGACTAGAGTATCATCAGAGCATGTCTGTCAGAGCAGCGACGGTGGTATTGCCGAAGGTCAGCAATAATAAACAATAAGGTATTTATCTATCTAGATGATGTCGGGGAATTGATATCGCTCTGAAGATCTAACTAGGTAGACTAGGTAAATATCAACCTTTAGTATTATTATTATTGGCCTTTCTATGGAGTAGTTTCTACTTTTCTCCATGCCCAGTGCGATAAGATAACGATGCTTGATAGAGATGATTATAGCCTGAGGCAACTAACTCGGGGAGCTTACCTCACTGGGCAGCTGGCTCCAGTGCCAAGTCACCAGTTGTCTGCCTTACCAGCCAGCAATTTCATCTCGAGACCCAAGCACTCCGTAGATGGATTTCCGCACGATCACATTCCAACATACTCACAGCAGTTAATATTGCTCAGTCACCAATTCCATCTTCTTGTCTCGCATTGTGTTCCTGCGTGCTGTTTCAAAGTATCTATCTACCCGTGAGCTCGCGGCAGGATGTCTGATCCCAAATACGCCAAGTCGAAGTTCATCTCCAAGGCTCCATTGGTACGTCAGAAATATCCCTGCCTTCGATCATGGATCTTCTTCCTGTGCGAGGCGGAGGATAATCGTGGTGGACTGGGCTCAGCGATCTGTCTGTGTTCAAGGACTACTGCTGATCGTGCCGTAGGAAAATAACAATGCCAAATGGACAAGATTAGTTCTTACTACTTACTCCGATCCGAATGGCGTTGAGAGGACATGGGAATCGGCGGAGCGTCAGGTAGGTTGATCATCTTCTCATTTGCTTGCGGGTCTGCATTGCTGCCTTATGTTTGGAAATTATTGTGGTTATAGGTAGTCATTTTAAAGACACGGATGTGCCGACGATGCCTGTTTCTAGAGTACCTTCCATGTTGTACGAAATTCGCGGCCGTAGACGAGCGCTGCTCGCGCTTTTACCAGGAGCATGCGACCAACAACACACACACAAGTAGTGCATTACTGACATTGATATTGCCCTTGACAGACCCGCCCTCCAACCTGTGATGTGGATGGCGTCGGAATCGTGACTGTTTTGAACAAGCCTACAGGCCCCGAGCTGCTTCTGCAGAAACAATACAGGCCGCCTATCGACAAGGTGGTGATTGAGGTCCCTGCAGGTCTCATCGATGCCGGTGAGACTATCGAGGAATGTGCGGTGCGCGAGCTCAAAGAGGAGACGGGCTACGTCGGAGTGGCGGAGCAGACGAGCCCTGTCATGTTCAATGGTGAGTTATCCTTGTCCCCTGCCAAGTTGCTCTTCTCTTGGAAAGCTCTCGGGCGTTCATGGCTTTCCCTATGGTGGTGCTGGTAACAAAGTGTATGTCCCTGGCTGATCCAATCCAGACCCGGGTCTTTGTAACACCAACCTGAACATGGTCCACGTGCGCGTGGACATGTCCCTGCCTGAGAATCAAAATCCCAAGCCGGAGCTCGAAGATAATGAATTTATCGAGTGCTTCACGCTTCCCCTTGATACCTTATTCGCGGAGCTGAAAAGACTGGAGGGGTTAGGCTATGCCATTGATGCGCGAGTGGGAACATTAGCTGAAGGAATCGAGCTGGCTAAGAAGCTGAAGCTTTGAGGCCGCATCAGAGCTTGACTTTAGAACATTAGACTGATGGTGTGAACATAGAAGTGATGAATGATATTACGCATGTCGATAGATGCAATATAGAGCAGGTCCGTCTAACAATCTGACGTCGTCGCCCTTTGCTCCTCGAATTATTCGAGGAGTGATATTCAAGGCCAACGGATACTTTAAGTCAGTAGTCGGAACCCATGCTCAGATCCTCCTATCTTGTTTGAGTCCATTATACAATGCCCATGCTGCCAGTGTCTTCCCATCTCGCAATGCTTCTTTCCAAAGGTCCTTCAGCGGTACAATCTTCAATGTGATCTTCTCGCCATGTTGCCGGAGTCCAGTCAGCCGTCCTTGTAAGCTCTCGATGTCCTTGCGTGGCATCCGTTTCTGGCACAGGAACAATGGGATGAATTCATCGCTCCCGCCAGGTGACGGGTAGACTGCTTTCTGCAGGGACTCGCCGTCCTCTGGCTCCGAGATAGACTGTAGTGCTAATGAAGTCATATCGACCAGCTCATTTTGCGGTATCGTTAATCCGGTCTCCTCCTCGATCTCTTTTGCAGCTGCGCCCGCAAACGTTCCGCTATCATCGAGCATACCGGCCGGAATTTCAGGAAAAGCAAGGGAGCCAGCTGGGATCCGAGGTTGGATGGTCAAGATCGCCCGTTTTGAATCTTCGTTTGAGAGAGGTGCGTCGTCCGGCTGGAGGATTATCTATCAAACCACAACCACAAGGAGAAGAATTAGCATAATTAATGACTCTATCGATAAAGAAGGATGCAACGGGCGGAAATGGCCATGCTCTTACCAGCATTCCCACACTGCCCCCTCTCAAGAATACCGTTCCTGGAAGCGTCTCCCCATTTCCATTTGAAACGTCAGCCTTGAGCTTCACGAACCCCAAGCGTCCGTCCTTGAAATGATCAACGGACTGGATATCGATTTTGCGTAAGACATAAGGATCGTGGTTGAACTCATGGGAGGGGTGTTGCTGGCGCTTCAATGAGCGCTGGAGGGTGGAAAGCCAAATCTGGAAAGCCGGGAAACGCGAAAGGTCGTCCCTGTTCAGATCCGCTATCGAGTTGACGGGTATCGATCCCGATGCATCATCGGTCTTATCAGTAGTGGGGATGGTAAAGCTCGACATTGACCTGACTGGAACCAACACGGAAGATGGACGCAGATGCCGCACAGACAGCCACAGCCTGTGCCTCATGAATGAACAGATGATTCGTTGTTGAGCAAGGCCACTCAGGTACGGGAGTACAGCAGATCACTCTCTCATGGATTTGCTTACCACAAGACAGACAGTGTGACCCAAAATATTCCAGAGAAGTAGCGGACCATCACATGGACCGATAATAATGGTATGTAGCTCTCGCTAGCTAGCTTACCTACCGATCATTAATAGTGTATATCGGCTATGACTAGATCGGTATCTAAATAGAACCGGACAGAGGAACCTTGGGAAGGCCGGAAGTGGAAAACAAATCGTTAAGATGACCAGTTCAATGGCGGAGCTTGAGAAAAGGTGAGAAAGTCGAACTTTGAGTGAGTCGAGTCAAGTAAGATTCCATTCCTGAATGACGTCGACGGATCGCTCAAAAAGAGGATCATCATTCTTACTGTAACTCCGTTAAGGTTCTCCTGTCCATCTTCTACCACCACTATTACTACTACTACTAGTGAAGATGGAAAGAAGTCCTTTGGTTTCATTGATTTCTTATCATCATCACCATCATCATCACCCTTGGATGGTTTCAGTCAACTAATCAGCAACAGGTGCTATGCTATGGACCTACTAACTAGTAACTACCAACAACTGGACTAGCTAGCTAATAACTAACTTATCTACATACAAGCAGATACTCGGACACCCCCGGAGAATCGTCCGATAATCCCATCTGCTTCGCTTCTGTCCTTCTTTGCTTTCTCTGTTGAGAAAAAGCATCCACTCATCCATATCTAGACCATAGTACTTCAGATCGTCTTCTCATCATTCTCGATCATCCTGCGGGGTCAGACCGGTCTCAAGAGAGCTTTTTGGTTGCCCTTTTCAACACAAATCTAACTAATAATCATCCCCCTTTGTCTGTTTTCTTTCGGTTTCTTTGCCTTGTCATCCACCAACTCACTTGTCGGTGGTATCGATCATTGGACAACCCCAGGACGGACCTTTTGTGTTCTCGCTTGCTCGATCCTCTGGTCATTCTACCATCAAATAGCCACTTTCCCTTTCCCTTTCCCCTTCCCTTCCTCTGGCCACACGGCCCAGTGCAGACCCGTCCGTCGCATCTTCCCGCCGTTACTTCACGGTCGGCGTGGTCTGGATCGCATCAACGTTGTCCAGGCGTCAGAGATTCCCATGTCTCCTGTGGCCGTACTTTTGCTCCGTTTGGCTCTTACGTGAAGCATTACTACTCTTGAATCAAACTCCGGGAGACCTTGCTCCCTGACTGCGTGTCACTCGAACGAATTTGTTAGACTCACCGAGCTGACTGCAGCACCCAGGCAAAAAGCCTTCTGTTGCCTCCCTGAATATACCTACCTCCTCGGACTCTCTCTCCATCTCTTCTGTCCCCGTTGCGCTTTCCATTTAGTCTCCTTTCCCCTTCTCCCGAGGCCTTGCCCGCCTTCAAGGTTCGCTCTTCCGAACTTCCCATACTAGTCCTAGAGTACTAAGCCTACAACATGACTTCCAGCCAATTGGGGTTTTTGAATCTGAGCAGATGATCGGATGCTCCTTTCTTATTTAACCTAGGAAGCAGCGGGAACAACTTAACCTGAACTGAACTCGCCGCCTGCATTCTGGATGGCTTTCGATATCATCACAGTAGTATGCCAGAAACAGGTTGGATTCCTCCTCTACCTACTATAGTTCTTTCAACCGTCCTTCCTGGCGACGAATCATGTTAGCCTGGGTTCCTTTATCCAACAATCCCAGCTGTATCCATAAGCATGCCATCGGCTGTCTCCACCTGAGCTCATCTGCCTGCTGCTCGTGTTGGGACATTCATTCGAATACTTCTTCTGGGAGGATCTCTTCGCCTGCGAATGCCCGCCACGCATCGTGGCATATCACTGCTCTTTCAAGATATTGCCGGAAGTGCCAGGGTCTGTTTTCCCCACCTCGTTGCCATTTTCATTCACTCGAGTACGCCTTTTTTTTTTTTTTTTTTGCGTGATTGAGTTATGCAGCTTCACTCATACTTGGTTGTCCATGGTTGTATAGTGAATTTACTTGCTTCCTCACCCTTCACTAGGAGAGATCACTCACTTGTTTGAGTCCTCGTGTTTTAGAATACTGGATTGTCCACACTTCGCCTGGCAGCGTCTCGCACAGACTGGCATCTATCCACACTCTTTCGGACCACCCACCTGAGGTGTCTCTTGGGACTGCCAGCACACCTGGTCTGGGCTCCAACTTCCCTCTAGCCCTGTCCTCTCATACCACTCTCCAACCAACGAGGTGTCTGCGTCACAGGAAAGCTCGCCAGGATAATATTGACAAATTACGAGAGGAGCTGCACTCCATCCATCAGGGGATTACGAGAATCCTGAATACCTTGCAGTTGCTGAGCGAAGCACTGCTCACCTGTCAGCCTACAGCACAGTACACCAACAATACGCGCTATTTTGTACCTTCAACTATGGATGTACAACTACCCCATCCGGCCATTGGGGAGCCCAGTAGCATGGCTCCAGTGCTGCCGAACTTGCAGAATAATGGCAGTCATGGAGCCTTAGGGTCGCAGAACATCTCGCAAGGGGCTCCGACAGGTACCACGAGCGGATCTTCGCGTCCTCATTTCCACGGCCAGAGTGAGTTGACACTTCCCCGCTGTCTTAGCGGACGTCTTGAGCTAATCTGGTAACCATAGATTCGAACACGAATATGTATACGACTCCCACTTTTAGTGGCGACTTCACCTTTACTGCAGCCAACAATGGACAACTCAATTTTCAACCCGTCATGCAGCTTCCGACGAACACAGTTGCACAACCTACTCAAATGGAATTCTCCGCTCCTCCACAAAACACAGCGACCTTTGATCAGAGGCAACATGGAAACGCAATCCGTTACTGGCATATGCAACGGCCCTCCTACCCTCAGATGCGGCCGACTCCTATCCAGCCACCGAACTCGACATCAATCAATGGGCAGCCGGTATTGGTACAGCAAGCGCACCACGCACAGTCACAGAATTCGACGGCGCCGAATTATCGAATGACGCCGCAGGACACAGGCACAAATAACATCCAGGCAGCCCATAGTGCTTCAGGTGTAGGAGGTCGACCCATTTATCCACGGCCGTTCTATGTTCAACCCAGTCAATACATGCCATACCCGCAATCAGGGGTTTCGCCGGGCATCACTCAAAACAGAAGGCATAGTCGGACGCAGAGTTCTACAATCAATAGTCATTCAACTAATATCAGTCCCGGGTCTCCGCCGCAGCATATTCGGGCAGGTGGACAGGTTGGTCGTCGACGCACGCGTCCTGCAGATGAGGCAAACCCACAATTTGCACGTCAAATATCAACCTCTCAAGTGCCAAGAGTTCCGAATACAGCGACCTCCTCTATGGGTTCGGAATCCCCAATGATGGAGACTCCACGCTACTTCACCTATCTGACTCCCGAGCATCGTTTACACATTCAACGATTGGCTGAGCTGGAAGCGTTGACGAACAGTATACGCTCCGGTCATCCCGTCTCAGGTAGCCACGTTCGGCGATCGCTCGATAATGATGGTTATGATCTGGATGATGACCTTCCAGAAACGCCCAGAGGCCTTGATGATGCGAAAGATGGACGCCCTGAACCCAAGGAGGATGACGAGCTGACTGTCAACCTGGAATGTAAGATCTGTATGAGTCAGCTCGTGGATACCGTGATGCTTCCGTGTGGCCACGCGATCCTCTGTCGCTGGTGTGCTGAGCAACATATGCCATCAAGTCGTGTTGATCGCACATGGATCAAGGGACAGCCTGTCTGCCCGATGTGCCGTGCTGCGGTGAAGTCTAAGGTAGGCAAAAGTGCAATAGGAGGGTGAATAGCACTGACGATATTATCTATTCTAGATTCGAATCTACTTGTCGTGATTGGACGGGGTACAGCGCCAATGTCGACTATAGCTCATCTGGTATTTTGCTTTTACCCAGACTGTGACTATCTAGACTACCATGTGGACACAGCTTCTTGTCATCGTGCAATACAAAAAGCACCCTTTCAGAGCTGTACCGAGTCCATGAGGGATGACTTGTAAGACTTGACTTGTTGCCTTACTGGAGCTTGACTTTTTTGGGCATGAGCATGATCCTGCGCCGCCAGTTCAGGATTTCCCGCAGGATACTACACTATTGAGAGGGCTCTCCCTTGGACATGCCACTCCATTGATCATGCGAGAGATGCCTGCTTTTATTGTAGCTAATGATAGGTTTCTCAACGTGAAATGAACATTTTTATCTGACAATGACTTGGAAGTAAACCGAAACCATCCGAGGGTTCCCAATCGACCGATTCTTGGGCGGGAATCGGGGCAGCCTAGAGCATTGCATCTCACGACAACTCCGAAAGGAAAAACCTCGTAACTTCGGCGTAGTTGCCTGTCGTACCTGTCCTCCGGGGAGTGGATGCGCTCAAGTTCTGCTTATGGGCAAAACGACTCAGTTAAAGCATCTGACATGTTCGATGACACGATCCTGGAATGATGAAGGGAGATAGCTTGAAGGACTTCGCTAGGTATTTAGTAGTTACATACCTAGTAGCTAGTTTCCTCGTATTCCTTTTTTTTTTTTTTTTTTTTTTTTGTGGTTATCAAAGCGGGTACATACATAGACTACAGAGTCCATACTCCGTACAATCATAGTATCGATCTGTCGAAAGTGCCTGAGGCATTTTGTCTCTAATCTCATAGGTAAATCCTCCGATTGCAGACAGGGTGCCGCACACTTTTTACCCCGGGCAAAAATTCAGTTTTTACGTTTCACACCCCAGGGATGATGAGCTGGCCAGTTGTCGTGTTATACGACCTCGAATATCAATCAACCTCTCCTAACCGTAATTAACTAACTAACTAACCAACTAGTACCCCCATGCTTGATCGTCGACACTTGACTTGTTGGAAGTTGGAAGTTGGCTGAAGTTGGGGTTAAGTAGTATCTACTCCTTAGTAGTCATTGACGGGGTTTGTTGCTCCGATTCCACGCAGCCATTGGCCCATCATCCATCCTGTCTGTGGTCAACGGCAATACTAGTACGACTTGGGGCGATATTGGGAATTTGAGAGGGTAGATACGAGGTAGATACTCGATCCCCAAGGGTTTGAGTTCGTTACTCCGTAGACAAGTTATCGATCGCGCAATCGAAGAAAAGTACGATACAAAACAGAGTCACAAAATGGGTGGGTCGCCCGCACAGGATGAGGCAACCGAGCTACCTTACTATCTATTACGGTAGATCTAAGGCCAACTCACTACCTAGTTGATAATATGCTTGGGTGGGCTAACTTTCCATGGTCTCAGCTACCTAGGACCCTAGGTACTGCCCGCTGTTTCGTGTCAACGCGTTGAGACCGTTTTTCAAGTGAGGTTTTATTTAGCGTTGGTTGGATCACCCATGGTTAGGCATAGGGCCTTCTGCTATGAGCTGGTTCATTTCCAGGGTATGCTACATGTCAAGGAGGGGCTTGGTGTGGAGGTATCAGATAGAAATTACCCACTAGATATCTACCTGTCTTCTAGAATAATGTTTAGTCTACTTCGTAGTTACATCCATCGGCTGAATGACATTAAACCAGAGCTTAACCAATAATGCACTATGTACAGTTAGAAGAACCACTGCGGATGAAGCCTAGGTACTTACTCGAAGCAGCCAATATTCCTGACTCCTGTGCCCATTCCTCCCAGCTAGCTCATGAAACCAGCATATCATCAGCATGACAAGGGCCATCTGCAAGAAACCCAAGGTAGATAACTGATAGGGCGCCTCCTCCCCCAAGGGCAAAAAGTGCCATCGTTTCTACTTTTCACCCTCCCCCCCAAAACAATAATATGTTTCCAAGAATCTTGATTGCCCCTTGCCGGGTCCAAACATGCTGCACGTGGCACCTTGATGATTGGGGTAGACTTGCCCTTTTTTTTTTTGACGCCCGCGAGTCATCAGTGAAAACTTGATCCCCATCCCATCCCAGAGCCCTGGCTGCCTTGTTCTCCAGTGAGGGTTTGGGGAACAATCTAGGTAAGTCAAACGGGCTGTTTCGTTTCCGCGTACCGGACTCGGGGAGGCTAGGTTCCCTTGTGTGCCCTTTGCGGGAGAGTATCGGTGAGGCTTCCTTCGAGAAGTGGATGTAGCCCGGCAGAGGGAACAAGCGGTCTATAGAGAAGCATCGCATCGAGGTCTCGCATGCTCGCATGGGGATGGATACCTGCCTAGAATTCAGACCTGACTGTGCGAGGTGATCGAGGTTTGGAATCAGGATCAGGAAGGTCGATGACTGGAATAAGAGTAGGAAAAAAAAAAAAAAAAAAAGAGGGCAAAGAGGGCAAAAAACGATGAGGCTAGTTTGAAATCATCATAGCATCGGTATCGCTAGATTCGGTCGATTGCCTGCGTCTGAGGCCTTTGAAATCGAACTAGACATCTATGCTCTGGCAAGGCTAGCGAATCGCCTTTCTCGAGTTGCTTGTCAAAGGGCTGAAACAGCTGCTCAAGAGATTGAAAGGAAAGCTTTGAGGGAAATTACACAACCAGCCTAGTTAGTTTCTGAGCTCTCAGGGCAGCTCGGGTAGTATCCTGGCAAGTAGAATGAACAACTACCTAGGCTGATAAGGCTGGCTGATTAAATAGCTGGTAACCAATCTAGAATTGGGAATAAGCTCAGTATCAGATGTATTATCTTGATTCTACCAAGCCAACAGTCGATCTGATAATATAATTACACCAACTATATATATATATATATAAACATAGAGAGAGAGGGTGGAATTCGAATGCTCGTCTTAGTGCAGTCCGCACTACGCAGTAGCCTCTACAATCTGCATCTGCCTTTTTTTTGCCCAGGCGGCTTCATTCCATTCTTTTCCTTTTTACCCTCATCCATTCAACGCTGATCATTCTTTTTTATCGTTATTACCTAGTCAGACTAGAGAATCATGATCAATCTGAACTGAGAAAAGGATCACGAGCTTCTAGGTACTAACTATACGGAGTTCGTACGAACCAAAGGCTCTTCTTCATTGATTTAGGCAGCGCAGAACCACCAAGAAAAAACCAACCAACGAGCAACCAGGTCTGCCTACAACTTAAACTAGGTAGCAATTACTGATCAATCGTCATCATCACCATCATCATCATCCTCATCTCAGCTCTCTTCCATGGTGTATATATCTATACAACAGCCTCCCGTCCCCTGCTTTCAAAATAGAATCCATTTCCCCAGGTAAGTCGTCATCCGTGTTCTCTCTTGGCATTCCAGCATCATCTCATCTTCTTCCTCTTTCACCGACCTTGAACTTGGACGCCTTGGGAATTTTCTCTCTCTCTCTCTCTCTCTCTCTTTCTTTCTGTCTTTGAGGAATTTGACAAATTTGCTGAGTAATCTGTGTGTCTACTTATTTTTTCTGTTCTTTCTGATCTAATAATATCATGTGTTCCCAGTGAAAGGGTTGTTGTTGTTGTTGTTGTTATTGTTGTCTGTGCTCTTCTCTGATGTGCTCACTCATCGTTGGACAAGAATAAAGATCACCATTCACACCGTCATTATCCTTACTTTTCTTTCTTTCTTCCTTCTTCAATGGGTTCCCTCAGCTGATGCAGATTTTAAGAATTCAATCAGATGATATTTTGTTCAACTTGGCATTAGAAGACGCCCTTCCAAAATAATGAGCGACACATTCATGCTCCATCCCCAGGGGAATGGTATATCTCATGTCAGCGCCAATATCAGTAGCAGGGAGCGCGCTGCTGACCAATTGAGCGCGAAAATCATGGGTTCTCCCGAGGCCCCTATTGCCACGGGGGATTTTGCCAAGTCAGTCTGATTTTGCCTCCAATCATCCGTCAACTGACTGTGTTCTCCCAGGTGGTCAGTTGTACGACCCCAACCCCCCACTGAGAATGTGTCTCCCGTGGGGTCTTCCGTCATCAATATGGCGCAACATTCGGCGAGCCCCGCGCTCTCTGTGAAGAGGCCATATTCCGCAGGGGCCATGCCCGATCACTACGACTCGGAAGCTTTGAGTAATCAAGGTTTCATTTCGAGCGGGAGCATCGAAGTCGCCTCCCCACACTCTGGCAAGGTGCGCCAGCACCCGTCGCAGACGCGACCAAGACGTTCGAGCAAGAAGCTAGGCAATATGCTCGGACTTCCTGGCAGCCGTATCACAGGGGATAGAGGCATCCGTAAGACTAGCCCGTCCAAGAGCGACACCCGACTCCCTCGACTTTCAGCGTACTCGGCAGACGACCTCGCCGGGAGGTGCCGGCAAGAGCTGTCGCAATCCGATATGTTGCAGATGCGCTCGAGTCCCACCCTGCAGGAACATGCGTCCAAGGGGCAGCCCAGCGACAGGCTGGCAGGTTTTGCTGCACGGCCAAAGGGGGTCCCGGAATCCACGAGGGGGCTGAGCCTTGATCAAAAATCCGCTGGAGGCGTCTCTGCGGTAGCCGCAGGTACATCACCACATGGGATCTTTCTACAGCCAGAAACTCATCCTATAACAGAAGAGCAATTGATCAGTGAAGTTCGAGGCATCTACGCCGGGCTCGTTATGGTCGAGAAGAAATGTATCGAGATCGACAAGCAACAGTCCGAATCGAAGAACAATCTATCCCGCCCGCAGTGGCAGGCTCTTATCGCATTGCATCGGACGCTATTGAACGAGCATCACGACTTCTTTCTGGCTTCGCAGCATCCGTCTGCGAGCCTCGTCCTCAAACGCCTGGCTGAGAAGTATGCCATGCCGGCTCGCATGTGGCGTTACGGAATTCATTCCTTCTTGGAATTGCTGCGGCATCGGCTCCCTGATTCCCTGGAACACATGCTGACCTTCATTTACCTGGCTTACTCAATGATGACCTTATTATTAGAAAGCGTGCGCGCCTTTGAAGACACGTGGATTGAATGCCTAGGTGACCTGGCAAGGTATCGTATGGCTGTAGAGGAAGTGGATCTGCGAGACCGCGAGGTCTGGGCTGGAGTGGCCCGTTACTGGTACAATAAAGCGGCAGACAAGAATCCCGATGTTGGCAGAATCCAACACCACCTTGCCGTTTTGGCTCGTCCAGATATTATCCAGCAGCTGTTCTACTATACCAAGTCGTTGGTCAGCTTGCACCCGTTCCCCAGCACGAGGGAGAGCATACCGTCGTTGTTCAACCCGCTACTGAACGCTCCTAAAGCGCACCACCACTATCCAGTCATCGCAGCATTTGTTGCCGCTCATGGCTGCCTTTTCTACAGGGAACCATCAACTCGATTTCTGAAATCAGCAAAGGACTTTCTGTCCCCTTTGGATACTCATGTTGGCCGGATGAGTGCCGCCTTCAAAACGCAGGGCGTTTACATATCTTCATGTAATTTCGCCGGTCTCTTTGAATATGGCCAGCCGGACGCTCTTCTCCCCGCTGCTTTTCATCAAGATGGAGTCCAGCAAGGGCAATCCCTCGCAGACATTCATCAGGCTGCCACGGATATGTGGACTCCTGCTTGTGACCTGCATCTTGTTGAAGCTGATCTCATGGCATCTAGAAACGCTCACGGTTCTTCGCGCCTCATCTTCTATGGCTCTTATCTAACCTCTCAGACACTCTCCGTGATGCTCGACCAGATTGGGAACAAAAATATCTATCCCGCAGTGCATATTTCTTTGGCATTTCTTTGGTGTTTGGCCTCCAACATCAGGGGCATCCAGTATGTTGAGCCTGTAGTGCCGTGGAGAAAGATTGTCCGCTTTCTGAATACCATGATTCGCGATGATACGGATACAAGACTTTTTGAAGGTCCCGACTTCCCTGCTGCCGAAGAAAGGAAGCAGCTGCCGGAGGACTTTTATATACGTGGTCAGATCTGGAGCCAGTCTTATTATGCGCCTCACTTTTTCGACGGTGCTCTGACAGAAGACGAGGGACGATTCATCGAAGTACCATCTTTGAATGTTTCGAGGTTGTATAGGTGTCTATGGCTTGGTGTGCGGATTGCGACGGTGCGTTTATGGAGACGGTTCAATTGCAGAGGAGACCAGTGGAAGGTACTGATTCGATGCAGTTCAACCGTTGGATGACATACGATACCGTCTCTCGAAGATTTTCCGCAACAACATTTGCCCTGGAGCTTGACAGAATCGCGCAACGCTATAATCCTTTCGGTGATGTTGCGCCGGGAGAGTTCGCGCCCCAGGATATTGAAATGCGTGATCCAGAAGAACACCGGGTCTTGTTGAGTGCCTGAGTGGTGCGGCCAGATCTAGCCAGGCACGAGTTGTATCAAACCGCCTGTTTTCGTGAGTCGCAAGCCGGATTTGGTCAGTACGTCTCTGAAATGCTAGGTGAGCCAGTGATGTTTGAGATTTTATATGTGCCCAACGATCTGATGACAGTGGCAGAATGGTTTTCCAATATTGATTGGCTACGTGGCATATCACACGCCAGAAGGATTTCTACACATCGAACCTTCTCATTTTTTTTTACTTGGAACGCATGCTTAGAAACTGCATGCGCTTAGAAAGCAGCAGGATAGGGCCAAGGACACATGGCCGGCTTACACCATCTCAACAAAATGTCTTCGAAACTAATTTCACGGCCATTTTATGACAATTTCCCCTGATTTTGATATAACACAACTTATGCTCATTCCTTTACAGACCGGGAATCTTTGACGAACCCTCATGATCTGCCTATGGCGACTCTTCCGGGGAAAAAGGAATAAAGGAGAAGAACATGGTCAATACCCAAACCAAGGAAATTGAACGGAACAAGAGCTATACTACTCTTGAGAAGCAGGAAATGCTTGCCGTGAGGAAGAGCTTGAGCCCGTCGCCCGAAGGGAATCGATACTGATGAGAGACTGCAGGAGCAGAAGGCTAAGGAGGAGGAGGAGAAGAAGAAGAAGAAGAAGAAGATGATGATGATGATGATGATGAAAGCTAACATAGCGGTACCCCGTGGAGGAATCAGTCATGTACAAATGCATCTATCGGACTGCGTCTTACATATGATCACATTTAGAGGCATATACCCCTGGATATGGTGCGTTTGCATTTACATGACTCACATTTCTTTTTGTCCAGGCATACCATTTCCATCAGGCGCAAATATCCAATGGACGCTGGAGTGCTCCGTATTATTCTGTTGGTCAAGGGAATTTTCCTATCATTTTTCCGTTATACTCCTACCTCGTTACATCACAGTAGGCGTATGGGATGTGCCTGGTACCTAGTTAGATAGGTATGGTTCGCATAGATCCACACTACCAATGACAGAGCATCATCATTATGCGTGGCTTTTTGTCTCCATTCCCATCTTTCTGTCCTCCACGGTCTACTACGTAGTACGTACTACTACTAGTTCTCCTACTACTAGAAATCGGGCGTGGCCGTGTCATAACTCCTAAGTCGTCGTGGCCGATGTGGGGGGGTCGAAACACCGACCCGCCAAGGACAGCCAGTCCACCTGAAGAGTGAAGAATGGATGGATCCGATCGCGGGTAGATGCTTGCAACTAAACCCAAACCAAAAAGGACAAGCTGGCGACACCTACAACGGTCCTTATCAATTATTATCTATTAACTACGGACATCCAACACTGCTCGACGACTAGTCTTATCCACGCTTTCAGGATGGCCATTGTATTTTCATCCACGGATCCTTGATGCTATCTATTGCTGCTAAGTCGTCGAGTCGCATGGCCGGCCAAGAAGGGATCGTCTATACTTTGAACTCGAGCGCCTGAGCTCCGTTTCCCGCGCTATACCATTGCAGTGTTGCATTCAGCTCTACAGAGTACAGGCGCAGCGGGCGAGTCACCTATTTTCTTTGTTCTTTCACCATGGCCGAGGAATCATGGATCGGGACCTGTGTCCGGTGCACTGAGCTTCTGGCCAGCGTGCCTCTGCCTGTTCTCCTTGTTACCATCTCCGCGACCCTGCTGGGCGCGTTCGTTCTTGTATGCTCTCTCAATCCCGTACCTTGAGCTAATTTCCAGCTTCGGAATGATACTGATGGGAAGACCGATGGACAGTTCTACACTATCTTATACCTTGTCGCGCCGACCCCCCGAAAATCATTGCCGGAGGAGAAACAATACCGCACCCTCTCGAAGGATGGAGCAATCACCCACCCCGACGCGTTACCCTGCTGGCAAGACGCCCTGGAGTCCCAGAAACAGCCTGGCCGCATCCTCGACCACTCACATATGGAGGAGGCCGAGATCTTCATGTCCCTGGTCGTCCCGGCCTACAACGAGGAGGACCGGCTCACCGGCATGCTGGAAGAAGCAGTTAACTATTTGGAGAAGATGTACGGAACGCTCGGAGTGTCAGCAACCACTTCCAATGGGACAGTGGCGGATGCTGTACGCCAGCGGAAACCCGCCAATGGGCACACGAACGGGCACACGCCCAAGTCCAAGTCCAACGGCGCGGTCCCCGCGGGCAAGGGCTGGGAGATTATCATTGTGTCGGACGGGTCGAAGGATCGGACAGAGGAGGTGGCGTTTGCGTTCGCGCGCGACCATCAGCTCTCGTTGCATCCGAAGGGGTATGCGGGGCCTTGGACCCCGACACCGCATGAGGGCGTGCATATCCCACCCGGCACGATCAGGGTGGTCACGCTGACGGAGAACCGGGGCAAGGGGGGCGCGGTTACGCATGGCATGCGGCATGTGCGCGGGGAGTATGTGGTGTTTGCGGATGCGGATGGAGCCAGCAAGTTTGAGGATCTGGGGAAGTTAGTTACTGCGTGTCGGGGCATCGAGGATGCGGATGGACGTGGAGTCGCGGTGGGATCGCGCGCACATATGGTTGGGAGTGAAGCGGTTGTTAAGGTACGTGTTTTCTTTCGATTCCGTGTTTTTTTTTTTTTTTTTTTTTTTAGAGTGGTGGTCAGGTCAACCAATGGTTTGGGATGGCGAATCGCTGACACATTGGTGATACTAGCGGTCGAAACTACGCAACTTCCTTATGCATTCCTTCCATCTGATCCTGTGGCTGATGACGCCCCCGAAGACGGCGACTATCAAAGATACCCAGTGTGGATTCAAGCTCTTCTCGAGGAGCTCCCTGCCATACATCATCCCCTATATGCACTCGGAAGGATGGATCTTCGACGTTGAGATGCTCATGCTTGCCGAGTTCTCTGATATCCCAGTTGCAGAGGTGCCTGTAGGCTGGAGGGAGGTCAAAGGCAGCAAGTTGAACGTCATCCGCGATAGCATCGGTATGGCATGGGGTCTGGCGGTGCTGCGCGCAGCATGGACATTGGGTGTCTACAGACGGACATGAGCCTTTCATTTTGATCGTAATTCGAACGGGAGTTTTTTTTATAATTATAGATCGTTTCTCGATTGTAGTATTCAACCATGGTTCGCCCCCCGACATCCGGGATCCTCTGCGCCTCTGTGTGTTGGTGTAAATCATATTCCAAATGACGTGTCTCTTGAACAACAACAACAACGAATGCGCTCTCCTTAACGAATCAGACAAGAGACTCTGGATGCTGTTTCTAACTAGGTACTATCTAGAAACTCCGTACCTACTCCGTAGCTAGTCCATCTTGTTTCCTCCTTGGAAGAGGCTTCTAGACTCCTTGGTATCTATCTAGTTTCAAGTACAGCACGCCAGCATGTCCCGAGGTTCGGCCTCACTTTCCACAGCCGTTAATCGCCAGTTCGCCACCCAATCCAAGCAAAAGCCGAAGACAGGAGAGAACGGCAGCGGATTTGTCAATTGAGATTTTTTTTTTTTTTTTCCCTTGCATTTCTCCTAGACTAGGCCGACGGGTAAAGTCCCCAAGTGAATCCTTCCGCTGATCAGGATTCAGGACAAGCCGGAGCAGCAGAGCAGCGGTCAAAGTTTTTTTCTTTTTTTTTCTCGGGCAAGACTATCTATTCCTTCGCCGTGCTCCGTTCGTCGTAGCCTGGGACTTGACGTTGCTGATCGGTCCGATTCGATGAACCGCGAGCCTTTCTAGGGCTCTACTCCGTATATTCTCTATCTTGTGTCGGGCTGGATGTGCTGGAGACACAACAGTAAGCGGATATCGGACTGATTGGATGCCTGCTTGTGGTATGATGCCTTTTTTTTTCGCCATCCAGCTTTCATCAATACTCTGTAATGACGGATTCAATGCTCAGTCCACGGGTACAGCATCTGCTTGGCATGATCTGATCTGTTCTCTTCCCAGGGGGTGCGTGTTTATGTGCTGATTCCTGCAGAATTTTGCCTGGGATTCGTTGGTTCTTATGTTTTTATCTTGCATTCAGCATTGTTAATTGTATGACTTGGGGCTCCTGGGAGTCGAGATACTGCTTTTCTTGGTATCATCCAATCTATCTATCTATTTGGGTGGTTTTGTGGCTGTCTGATGTCACTACTATCTATCTTCTACACACAGAGTTACTTAAAAGTGGCAGCGGAGCTATATCTATATATCTACATATCTGCTCTATCCCCTCTGTGTCTCGCTTCATTCATCACCCCACTCGCTGTTTGTTTTCATTTATCTCACAACTCACAAGCTACAAGAGCTTCATACGAGAATGCTCGAGGTCATCGCGCCGACACGTACGCCTACTTCGAGACAACCACCGGCCTGCGGCCGTGGTCGAAGTACCACTACCAAGCAGTCGAGCTTCTTCCGACTGCCCCCCGAACTTCGCCTGAAGATCTATGAATACGCTCTCGCCGTACCAAATGAATACACCGACCGTCCGCTGATTGTGGTCAACGACCGCGGGAACACCTTTACTTCCCGCGGACAGTACCGCGCGCTGTCCATGTGTCCCAGCTGGGTCGGTCAAGACGGCACCGCACGCAGCCTGCTCTCCGTCAACCGCCAGATTCACGACGAGGCGGAGGACTTCCTCTACTCGCGCAACACCCTCTTCTTCCTGAACTCGTTCGATCTCAACCGCCTAGGCGCCTTCCTCGACACGCTGAGCGCCACGGCCCGTAGCCGCATCCGCAGCGTCGGCTTCGAGATCTGCTTCTTCGTGCATTCGCAGACGGGCGTGCCCAAGCGCACGTTCAAGGAGTACGAGCGCGCCGCCCGTCTGCTGGCGGAGAAGCTGCCGCGATGGTCGAGCGTCTTCTTCTACCTCGCCCCGAGGTTCTATTACCCGTCTGCCTGTGTCGGCGGCCGGGAGCTCTCTGCCCGCGGCGTCCTGTATCTGGCGACGGTGTTTGGGGCGCTGCGGAAGGATATGCATTTCTTTCCCTTGCCGTCGATGCATCGCCATATCATGGATGAGGCGCAACGGTTGGTCGGGAAGGGGAGCCGCTCGTCACTGGGACGTTCGTCCCTATAGGCAGACAGACAGACAGACAGATAGATAGACAGAGATTTCTCGTCTCTATACGCCTTTCATCTATCTTCTGACCTCGTGCGCCTATGTCATCGTCTCGTACGGCAGCTGCAGGATGACGTCCCCGAAAGATATGCGCGCCTGTGCAGCAACAGCCGACATTCAGCCTTGTCCGCTCTTGAGTTGTCGGGGAGCTGCGAGGTTTAAAAGAGCGCAGGAAGCTCGGATAGGAAATGCCTGACGCTTTGTGTTGTTTCTTTTTTGTTTTCTTTTTCTTTTCTTTTCTTTTCTTTTCTTTTCTTTTTTTTTTTTTTTTTTTTTCCCTTGCCTTTCGTTGGATTGTTTCCATCAGGATGGGATCATGCATAGACTACACTATGGAGTTTGGCGACTTGGACACAACCACGGAGTTATGGATTATCATTCTTGACTGAGGGAAATTCTCATCTCAGATAGACTGCGCATATTTATATTGGATAGACATCCGCTCCCTGTACTTATTCTAATCTTAATATTGAAGAACGAATTATGATTTACGTGAACACGCTGAAATCCTCTTCCTGGTCAATGTCAAATAGATCTGTCTGGGAGACTGCGACTGGACTTTCCCCATTACCGTTCTGGATTGACTCCTGACTCCAGATTCTTTGACTTCACCTCTGACTCTGACTTGACTAACTACGGGGGAGTTCGGGTGAGAATCCAAGATCGCATTCGCAACTCGATTAAAAAAGGCATCGATCATCCTGCTGGAGGAGGTTCGTCTGTATGCCCATAACGTCATTACATGCCTTGTGATCGCCCTCACGCTTCTCCGCTGCTCTCGCTCTGTTCAACCCCAGGAATTCTTTGGATCATCATCACTATCAGTCACCCATCACCCATCACCCATCATCCATCATCCCATCATCCATCATCCCATCATCCATCATCCCATCATCCATCATCCCGTCAGACTATATCTATCGGTAGTCATCCCCCTGCAGTCATTCGCGTACTCTGTGAGATCGTGTTTCCTTGATTCCTCTCTCGATCCATCGCCGAGTAACCAGAACGTTACATGGACTCTGCTGGCTTGAGTTGGTACGTCCCCCATAATTTGCCCTCCCCCACATCAATGTACCCGCTTCCTGGAAACTCAAGAACTGCTTGCTGGTCACCTACAGTGTGCGCTGCGACTGACATGATAAATCTCATTCAAGTTCCGTCCAGTAACACGATGCTCTGAGCCTGTCGCTGCAGTGAAGCTCTCCCTCGTCCACTTGTCTCCCGACGTTTGGCTGGCTCCCGCAACCTCCACTAGTGAACAACAACCCATTTCTAGTCTCTCGATTATCGCCTCCTTCTATGGGGCCACGCTGTGCTGAGGAGATCCTACTTGACCTCGCGTCTCAGGCACCGTTCATACATTCCGATCAACCAGTCAGACTTTAAACCTCGTACAGGGACGACTCTGTCGCCTAGCGACCGCCCTATCTCTTCCTGTTTGGTAAGTGGACTTCCCTCCATGCTGTTTATTGAGCGCTTTGTCTATTACTCCCGAACGACCAACTGATAATCAGCAGGGGGGGCCCTATTGCCATTGTATCAACTCTTCTTTTTCTCCTCCTCCTCCTCCTCCCTGGATCGTCTGGAACTTTCCTGAATTACTCTCTTTTCTTCCCCCCCCCTTTTTTCCCTCATCCCTTCAAAGAGGGAGGTTTGTTTCACCTGGAAAAAGAAAAGAAATTCCACCCTGCAATTGTCTCGGTCGTCACAGTCTGGTTACCGCCCACTATGAAATCAGCAACCACAAAAGTCCCTAACGGACATGGGACCCTCTACAAGGAGGTTCGCTTCTCCCCAACAGCAACCCCCATCCGCCGTGCGCAGTCGGTCTCAGGCAGCACCCCCGCCTCAAAAGTAGAATACGGGCGGGTGCTTGGCATGGTGAACCGTGATCGTTCCTCCTACTTAGCCATGAGCGCAGATTACCTTGATCAAGCCCGGTCGCTCCTTGATCGCCAGCGAGTGAGCTTCGAGAATGAAAGGGCCCTTTTTGGGATGGAACGCCAATTATGGGAGAAAGAGCGGGCGCTATTGAAGCAGAGAATTTTGGAACTCGAAGCGTTGTTGAAATCCAAAAATACCAATCCAGGTTCTCCCACTTCATCCACTACTACCGTCAAATTTTCTCTCAACCCCTTCGGTGGTCCTACATCCTCTAATTCAACGGACGAGCGCCACCAAAGCCACCATCCGTATAGCGCTCAGATCTGGGAAGGATCCAGCCCTATGAGCCGGCCCACACGGGTGTTCCCTGACATCGACCTGGTAGATGGCCAGAACCACCCTGCGTCGATCGCGGAGCAAGGAGCGCATCTGTCATTGACCGCTCCCTCCCTAGATGCGGCGCTCTCGCCGCCCACTCGTGCCACCGACCTTTCGGCGGGTGCCAGCATTTCCGTCCCCATCGAGAAGCTTGACAGTAAGCTTGATGGCATTACACTCAAATCGTCGGCCTTGCCGCCCGAGGTTGTTGCCCGCGTGATGACGCCACCTTCCCCGTCGCCAGAAGGATCGTCGACCGCATCTTCTGACCAACCGAGGACACCCTCGGAGCGTAAGAACAGCCTGAAGCTCAAGCTCTCCGAGCTCGGACCTCCTGATATGAACCTCGTCCGGGATGCTGGACACACGCCCATGGCCATCATCGACATCGACGCGGACACAGAACATACCTCGGTGAATGGCGATTTCGTCACCCAAACCAAAGAGGAAGAACTCCTGGCTCCCAGGGCAACGACCGCTGGACAGCCTGCAGAGAATTGTGACTCGTACTTCCCAGATGTACCTGAAGATCCCGCTCTGAAGGGGCCGTTATCCCTGTTGAACGAGGAGGAACATGACAATGAGTTTTTACAGGAGTTGGATCAGAAACTCCTCGACCAGGCCATGCGAGCTATTGGCCGCCGCCCCTCTGAACCGGACGACCAGGACGAGAAGGACGCAGACCCTGCTGGACAGGATGAGTCGGTCCCTGAATTGAAATTTAAGAATACAACCAATTTTGGCACTGCGTTTGGAAGGTCGGATTTTGGTAAAGTTTGATGATGATGATGCAGTTGATACCACAAATTTTTTTCTTTCTTGCTATTTTGCTTCTTCTTAGCCCCCATGACATGAGAATCGTATTCAATTGCGACGGCCATTACCTTGGGCACGCCTTACAGCATGCTCTGGAGCTGTATCATTTGAAATGTGATATATACAGCTGATACATACTACTTTTTCCATTTTGGGATACCTGGAACGATGACTCGGGAGATAATGTCTCACTCTCATATCTCCATACTCATTTAAGATTCCGACATCGAAACATGTAACGGACTTACCCTCTAGGCAGGCTTGAGTTGTGGCTTGTCTCTCGGTGGGCGTGCTGAGATCAATAATTCAACCTCCCTTGCATGATATCTATCTTCAGCTGGTCTCAGTGGTGGCTAATCTTTACTTACACCCAGTCTCACCCTTCTCCTGCTTCATCCCCACAGTCAGTATTCACATTTGCATGGGCATGTGAATCTGGAAGACAGCTGATGTGCCTCCAGTTCTGCACCCCATGCCGATTCTCCTGGTCTCCTACAGGCCCTTCGGGCTAAGAATAGCCTGTGTATTTTCCACCTTGGTGCCTTACAGCAGCAGGTGCTCAGTCACCGGAGACTGGGTTTCAAAGGAGCATACACCCCTATGAAGGGTCCGGACCCGTTTCCGTTTCCAGATACCCAAGACGAGGTATAAAAGGCCTCGTCGTTCACGCAGAGACAGATACGATTTCATCATCCACTAACCGGCTGCGATCATCCAGCATCCATTCTTTCTCTACCACTTTCACTAAGATCACATCACTCACTTCGCCTTCTCTGAAACACTCTTTATACAATCCCGAGATCTCTCATTCTCTTGCCATCACTCTTTACGCACCAGCCATGTACAACGCCAAGAATATTTCGGCACTGATGTGCCTCCTCCTCGCCGTCGGCCCTGCTGCCGTCCTCTCGGCCCCTGTTGCTGCGAGGGTAAGACACTCGACCACCCAAATCCACCGTACGATGCTAACAACAACCCACAGGCTCAGAGCCTGGAGAGTAGACAGACGCACAGCAGCACCGAAGCCAGCTCCGCCATGAGTGCCGGTATCCCCGACGGACCCAGCTTCGAACACGGCGCCTGGAGCACCTCCAACTACGATGAAACCAATGGTGACGACTGCGACACCGACGGCGATGGTGACAGCAACGGCAAGACGCATTACAAGTCCGAAACCGATGCAGGCGATTACACCAATGTCGGCATCCCGGATGGCCCCAGCGCTTCCTTCGCGAACACTTTCCATAACAGCTACGAGTGGGATGAGGATAACGACGACCACAACGACCATGGAGTCCATCCAACACCTCAACCTTCCCCTCCTGCGCCTCCAGTGACGAAGCCAGAGACTCCCAAGCCTGCGCCCCCCCAGCCCGAGCCTCCTAAGCCTGCTCCCCCTGCTCCCGCTCCCGCTCCTCCAGCGGAGGAACCCGAAAAGCCAACTCCTGCTCCTCCCGCCCCTGCGCCTCCCACAGAGGAGCCCGGGACTCCCGCTCCTCCCGCTAAGGATCCCTCGACCTCGACTCCTACTCCTCCTGCCACTGCGCCTCCTGCAGAGGAGCCTAAGACTCCCGCTCCTGCTCCTCCAGCTCCCGCTCCTCCCGCTAAGGATCCCTCGACCTCGACGCCTGCCCCTCCTTCTCCCGCTCCTCCTGCAGAGGACCCCGAAACCTCGACTCCCGCTCCTCCAGCCCCCGCGCCTCCCGCAGAGACCCCCAAGGCTCCCATCCCGGCCCCAGCACCCGCTCCCCCAGCAGAGAACCCGGCGCCTGCTCCTCCTGCCACCGGTACCTCTCCAATCCAGCAGCCCTGCACCTGCAGCAACTAGACAACAAACCACGGGTAGGTGGGATGTGACTGTGCTCGCAGCCCGGCTGATGTATAACGGCTCTCACGGAGAAAAGGTTGGGGAGAACCCATTCTCTCCACCTTGATTTCTCGTATTTACTTTTCTTGCTGTGCAAATTTGTGAATAGGTTGGCGCGTACTTTCGGTTTCTGAAACGGGACTCGCCGATTCTTACTTCTCTTTTATTATGTATTTGTCGTTAATCCTGTGTGTAGTTTGGAGAATATAGTATAATAATGGTTTATTTAATTTTTAATCTGTGGTTCTGACAATATGGAATCGATGGCCTGGTCATCATCATAGATATATGGGGGACATTGATTGAGCAAGTGAGCTAAGCAAGAGTCTCTGGGATCGTTTGTATCATGATAGCAAGAGAAAGAAGTAAAAAGGGAAAAAAAAAACCCCCACACGCGCAGACGCCAAAAAGAGCAACAAATCTTCGGACGAGAGAACAAGACGAGTGCAAACCCAGAAGATTATACACCCATGGTGAAGTCATGTTCAATCCCGGGCGTCACACTAGCAATAAACTTCAAAAACACAACCAGATACTGGTCCACGCGGATAGCCACCTGATCCTCCTCATCATGCTGCAGAACCTCCCACTCATCGCCGCCGCTGCCGCCACCGCCCTGCTGCTGCTGCTCGCCCAGCGACAACCCCCGGGTTTCATCGACGAGGCCCTCCAGGCCGCGCTCAGCGGAGATGCGCGACGCCTCGGCGGGCGAATGTGCCTGCTTGAGCTTGTCGCGGCGGATCTTGAGGGCGGCGTCGGCGCGGTCGAGCAGGGTCTTCATGACGGAGGCGTGGCGGCAGGGGTGCACGGTGGCCATCTTGACGCCGCCGTCGAACCAGGGGAAGTCCTCGAGGGTGACGGTTTTGTCTTTGTAGTCGCCGACGATGTCTTCCATCATGAGGTGTGGGGGGAGGGGCTCGGAGGGGGAGAGGTAGCCGGAGAGGTAGAGGCGTGGGGTGCGGTAGAAGTTGGAGTATGTGATATAGAGGTTGTAGGTGCGGATGGGTCTGGGAAGTTCAGTCAATCCACTGTTAGTACTCCTGTAATTCTGTAATTGATTTTTGAAGGGGGGTGGGAAGGGGAAGATCGACGGTAAGTAAGGTCGATGAAAGGATGGAAAACGAACTGGGTTGTACTCGACGTGCCCGCCGGCTCACGAATGATTGCCTCCTCGTCATCATCCTCATCCTCCATATCAGGGATCTCCTCCTCCTCCTCGTCGTCCCCCTCCTCTCGCTCCCCGATATTGCCCGCCTCGTCGACGGTGCGGACATCCCCCGTCCGATCAGCGTGGCCCTCTGCGAGATCGCGTCCTCCGCCCGTACGTAGCCACCCGTCTCCATCATCCCCGGCAAGCATATCTCTGACGATCTCGTCCTCGTGGCCCGCATCGCCCGCGAAGTTCTCGTTCAGCCGCCGGTGGCAGGGCACGCCGCGGGTGACCAGGAACTGCTTCCCGGGGGGCAGGTAGGAGACGCGCTTGGCGGGCGAGGAGGCGTCGGCCCACGACCATGACGGGAACTTGTAGACGAGGTAGTCGCCGGCGAGGACGAACTCTTCTGGGGTGATTTGACCGGTGGTGCGGAAGGTGGAGGTGCGCGAGACGGGGGCCAGGCGATCCCGCCAGGTTGAGAGGGTGGAATGGAGGATGTTCATCGTATTCTTTTTTCTTTTTTTTTTTTTTGGTTCCTTTGTGATCAGGTTTGAAATGAAAGGATCCTACCTTAGTGTTTGGGAGTTGGATACAAGATAAGTTGGGATGGGAGGGTTGAGTGGATGGAGGGATGAGCTATCAGAAGTGGGCGGGTAACCTATCACTGTATCTCTCTTTTTCTCTCTCTCTCTCCCTCTCCCTCTCTCTCTCTCTGCCTGTTGTTCTGGTGCTCTCTCAAAGCACGCGGGGTAGATAGGTACCGATCATGTGGCTGAGACAGCAGCATCACATCACCACCAGGTTAGTTGGAAAGAAAGTCACGAGAAATTCAGAGAACGAAGACTGTGTTTGAGGTCATGCATTGTGATTGATCTCATATTCAGAATTGCAGAGGTTGATCCAGCCCCCCTGTGTTCGACAATAATTCCAGCCATGACGCAATCGGTCTCAGCTATCTATATGCATTCTATGTAAATCCTCCCTAGAGATCCCGTCTCATAGCAGCACCTTAGGTCGGCAGATTCCTGTACTTAGAGACGCCTGGTTCGAGGTATATGGTACCGCCAGCGGCCATAAGTCGATCGTCCCTGCTGCATGCGCCTCAAGGGAGAGCTAAGCATCTGTTTCTCTAGGCCAGCACAGCTCTCTGTGGGAAGCTCTTCCCGCGGAGCAACGTCTCGTAGTCGTCAGAAGTTAGACAGGCTCTGATTCCATCAGAGCGTCCCCAATTTAATTTGGACCTCATTCGCCCTCCTCCATCATCCTCCGCTTCTCAATCTCAGCCTCCACCTCCTCAACCGTCACGGGAACCGTCCTAGTCCTCCATTTATCCGCCTCCGCCCTCGCGAATCCCTCCATGCTCCTCATCCCAACAACCAGGAACCCCAGTTCCTCCCGATCGACGTCGAAAACCTCCCACCACTCCCCATCCACCAGCTTCACCCCGACCTCGCGCGCGGCCAGGTATATAGCTGCGACCGCAAGCGCATTCGGCTGATGCGCGACATACAGCAGTTGCGGCGACAGCAGCGCCCCATTCAGATGCTCGAATACCCTGCGCGCCACGGCCGGCGCCGAAACCCCAAGGGTCTGCAGGTAGGTCAGGGCGATGGTGTGTGGCAGAGTGACGTGGGTGTCGAAGCCGAGCGTACGAAGGACGACCGATTCGATACGGAAGAGAACGGCGCGCTGGGTGAGGTAGCCCCCCTCGGTGAGGGTATATGTCTCCGGGCTCGGTTGGTCAGGCGTTCCCCTGGGGTTGACGAACCACAGCGGGGAGGCGTCCTTGGAGAGGAGGAAGGTGTAGACGTTGAGGACAGATCGAGGGGAGGTGGGTTGGAACGAGAGCTTTGCGGTCAAGTAGAGAGCTGCTGCAGAGACGTCCTGTACATGTGATAAGCCAGGTGAGTTCCGCGTTCTGTGACCTGGGCAATGAATGGGGGAGGATATCATGCGCGTAGACGAACCTTGACGGAGTATATTCGTAGACTCCCACCCTCAGCTCCCATCCAGAATCGAGTGAACGTCACAATGGCTTGCGCAATGATGTCTTGCGACAAGCGCAATAGAACTCCAGCCGCATGGGTGAGCTGCGTGCCTGCGAACCGAATGGAGGTCTCCAAGTCTGGAGGCACGCCATCGATCGCTGAAGAAGAGTTGGATAATTGCTCTGGGGTTGCAAGCGTGTTAGAAAGATGTTTCAGTGTAGCCACGTCTGAAGACGTCATGTTGAGTGTCGTGTAGTGGTCGTGACTCGTGATTGTTGCTGGAGGATGATGTGCGGAGTGAGAAAAGATGCGGAGAAGATTCCATGGCGGAGCTCGCTCACGGTCTGCTTTCGCTTCTACGTTTCTTCTTCTTCACTACATACACCCCAGTGATGAGAAGTCAATTGCTTAATGAATGGACACTAGATATTAAGATTTTATTTATTGCTAACTGTCTAGATTCAAATTGCTAGTGTGCTCTGGAAGTATTCTTAGATATCATTCGTCTGAGGCTGTCACATTCCCCATCCTCTTCCACCATGCGTCTGAAGACCCCATTTTCCAGCTGCATGAGGTCCCAAGGGGACGCGAATTCAATCACTCTGCCTGCATCAAGAACAAGAACCCGATCGAAATCAGCAATAGTGCTGATGCGATGGGCAATCACTAACATCGTGCTCGACCCCTGCCCAAAGTCGGAGCGAATTGATTTCTGGATCACCTCATCAGTCGCAACATCAACAGCTGATGTGGCTTCGTCCAGTACAAGAATCTTGGGTGCTGCCAGGATGGCACGAGCTAAACAAAGTAGTTGCCGCTGTCCCTGTGAGAAATTTGAGCCTCCCTCTGCAACAGAGGCATTAAGCTCGGAAAGAGCTGTCTTTTCATGCAGGAGAGCCTCGTCGGTCTGGGAGTCCAACTCCTTTCCTGTTCTAACATGGCCGACTGCGGATAGTATATCTCCATCCTGCATCACCCACTGTACCCGCCCCAAAGCGATAAGCAATTCACAGTCATCGTGCTCGTTGAAGGGATCGAGATTTGACCGGATTGTGCCGGCAAACAGCGTTGGATCTTGCGGAATGATGCCTATCCGACGACGAAGATCACGGAGATTGATCTGGCTGATATTGACACCATCGATGAGAATTCGCCCTTCCTGGGCCTCAAGGAACCGGAAAAGAGCTAATGCCAGCGACGACTTACCAGCTCCGGTACGGCCAACTATGCCAATTTTCTCACCGGGTTTGATCTGAAAGCTCACCTGACGCAGAACTAGCGGTTGGTCTGGTGCGTAACTCAGAGACAAATTCGTGACTTCCAGACGTCCTTTGGAGGGCCACCCAGCCGGAGCATCAAGACCCTCGTAACGTTCGGTCGTGATGTCCGAGTACTCCAACACTCTCTCAACGCAGTTCATATCCAGTTCGAACATGACGTACATCCTAATCGCCATGGCTAATGCAGTGCTTAACTGGATGACGAAACTGATTGCGAATCCAGCTGACGATGCCTTCAAATCTTGCAAAAGAGTGAATGTCACTGCTGCAACTGTGGAAAAGCAAGCACCACTTTGATTGATTCGGAAATTGAGCCAGTGATTCAGAAGACACAAATTCCAGTATACACGAGCGTGCTGATCGATCAGCCCATGCATTGTATCAATGTAGTCGCTTGTTCTCCCATAAGAGCGGATCGTCCAGAGTCCGCTGAGGGAAGAACCAAGGAGCTCATAAACCGGACTCCGGCTTGTACTCTCCAGACGCTTCAGTTGTCTGGCTGCTGTGAGGTATTGGCGTGCATAACAACTGCAAAGCCATGCCACAACCACAGAGAACACGATGATTACGGGGCTGATTAATATACCAGCAATGACTGCACATATTGCCTGCATGCCCTCCCCAAGCAGAAGGGTTATATCAAATCCCAGGCGTGAATCAATCATGTTGAAGTCTGCCGTGAATCTATTTAGAATACGGCCTATGGGAACGGTGTCAAGCCACCGAAGTGGTGCGCGGAAGATGATATGCAACACTTGGTCAAACAAGCTTTTGGAAGCTTTTAACGATGCGGTGAGCGCAAAGTAAGACCTCAATGAGCCTACTATCCACACAATGACCGAGAGAGCGATATAGGTGCCCAGGTAATACTGCAGCTCAGGGGAGACTCCAGATGATGTTGAAGTTGAAATCTCTTGTTCACTCCATAGGCCCAGCCACCAGCCCTGCTGCATTGTCAGCTACTGTATCCCAACTTATCTTGGTGTCGGAGAATTTACTTTCCCAAGCACCAACCCTGTATAACTGGTGAAGCACAAGGCCAGCATGACCCACTTCAACCGTCCGCCACACTTTTGAACATATCTATGGAAGACACTGAAGGCGATGGCTCCCTTCTCGCGACCTTCCTCTTCAACAAACTGTTTAGGACGTCGTGGACGGTGCTTGAGAGGGGGGTTTGCCACTCGGATACGAGATGTCTCACGGCAGGGTGTCGATTGATCCAAGCATTTTGACGATGCTGAGTTCGTGGTAATTCCGAGTTCTTCATGAACTCCAATTGTCCTGCCTAGGAGACCATCAAGTGCGCCAGATCGTTGAATCTCAGCCACTGATCCGGCGAAGATCATGGAACCGCTGTCTAAATTGACCAAATAATCCACGCGAGGAAGACAAAGCCGCATATGATGCGTAGCGAGTATTCTAGTGCGACCAGTTGCAAGCTCGCCGGTTAAGGCATGCTCGTACAGATGTTGCGCGGTGTGGACATCGACTGCACTGAAGATGTCGTCCATGATCAGTATACCAGCACGACTGTATAGTCCACGTGCGAGGGCAATTCGTGCTTTTTGACCACCGCTCAGATTCACACCGTTCGGTCCTACCTCAGTGAGATCACCGTCATCCAGAATCTGCAGATCCTGGACTAAAGCACATGCATAGAGGACTTTCCGGTATCGTTGACCATCGAACGGCAAACCAAAAAGGACGTTTTCACGAATGGTGGCTGCCTCGATCCATGGCACCTGTGCGATATAAGCTGTCACGGATTCTATGATCCATTCTTGCGTTCGACCCGAGATATCATACATGCCTCTAGAAGTCTCTCTGGCTGGCCGTTTGACTTGACCGTCCAGAACTTCACTTTCGCCCAAGATTGTGGCCAGCAGTAGGCTCTTGCCAGCACCTGTTCGGCCACAGACGAGGCTTAGACCATGTCGAGGGAAATGTGCATTCAAATTCCGCAACACAAAGGCTGTCTCTGAGGGCGAACCGTTACCAGAGATGCTACCTGACCAAGCAACAGTAGCGTTGTCAAAGCAAATGCTAGTGGAAGCTATGGTGGTCGATATCTTCTCAGGAGCATCCAAAAATTCGCCAATGCGTTTCATACTTATGATTGCATCCATTGCATTCGTGATGAGTTCTGGGAGAACAGATAAGGCGACCTCCATGGAGGTCAGTGCAGAAATTGCTGTGAATGCGACGGATGGAGTCAGACCACCGTGGTTGATGGTATATACGGAAAGCGAAGCAACAGATAAAAGAATTGGGGCCAAAACCCAAACTGAGAAGCATATCACATTCCATCGGAAGCTAGTTGCCTGGGCCCGTAACTCTGCAGTTCTAAGTTGGCTCAATCTTTCTCCCCACTGGTCTTCTGTAGCAGAGAATTTGATTTGTCGTATACCTCGGAGGGCTTCTGTCAAGGTAATAACTTTGCGGTCACGACAGATCATCAGGTCTTTGCCTGCCTTAGTGTACTTAGCCATACACACATGGTTCAAGAGCATGAGAAGTGCCAATGCTGCCATTCCCGCAAAGAGACTTCGCCAGCCAAGAACTTGCTGCAAGAGAACACAAGCAACACCTAGCTTCAGAGGCACAAGAAGGAAATTGTACAAGAATGTCGCAATCCCAGCGATTCTTGGAACGTCCACGGCCACCAGGTTGACAGCAACCTGCGTGCCCTGATTGACTTCGTCTTGTCCTGCGCTTTGTAGGTTATCTCTTTTGCGCATTCTGTCAGTTGGACGATTCGAGCGCATTGACTTGCTGAATAGCACAGCCGAAAGTTGCTCGTATACACAGATAGCAATCTTGTTGGAGGCGATCCAACCAATGAACGCTTCGAGCCAGGAAGAAAGACTTAGAGATACACCCATCACTAGCACCCAAAGCCACAGGTCCGCTGTTACCATTCCCCCTTCGGATTGCTTTTCAAGGATTTGGAGGATTCTGAGGAGGGAAACATGAGGTCCGAATGCTAGCAAGCTCGCTGGCAGTGAAAGAGCGAATTGCCATAGCAAATGCCGATGATATGAGCGCCACAGCACTTGCCATAGAGACTTTGAGCTTCCTCCGTTTGAGATCACTTGGGCTTGTGCCTGCGCGAAGCTCTCTTGAAGATTCTTTGCGCGAGTCTCGGAATCCAGCTCCGGCAGATGATCAGTATGAATATCATTCTTGCGAGAAGCCAATCGAATCAACATGGTCGTCCAACCGAATGTCATTCGGCTTAACAATGATGCCGTTCGTTCGCGGTCCACCACCTTTCCGTTTCGAAAGACATCCGGGCGTTGTGGGAGGGAAAGGTCGCAAGCAACGCTGAGGAAGGCAAATCCCATTTCCAAGCACATCAAATAAAGATGGGCGTGATTCAGACGACCAGTTTTATATTTAACATATGCTTCCCATCCAATGCTGTTGATAGTAGCCACATGGCTCAGTGCCTGTTTCCATGCGAGAGAGCATCGAGCAGTTGGTAAACTCTCTATTGCGATGGCTGTGGATTGAACGAGTAGTAAAGTCTGCCAGCTATACTCATTAGTTCGCATTCATGTGCAAGCCACACTGGCACAGGATGCGAGCACTCACCCAGACCAGGAACTGCGCCCAAAGATCCAACGCGAACATCTTCTCGTATACCAGCAACCGCACGAGAGCTGTCATAACCCCTCCTATGACGAAAATTATGATGAGGATCCGCAAAACTTTCTTTTCCGCGCTGATGATGGATGTTCTATCTGCTTCTCCATCTTGATCGACATAGAATTCGCACAAGTACTGATCTGCTCCATGGAATCGTTGGATGACAGATTCAAGGATCGTCCGAATCGCAGGGATTGTCAAAAGAAGAACAAGAGTTGTCCCACTCAAATCGGCTATCAAACAAAGAGCTGCCAGCGTTTGCATGTTGGCAGCCTCGCTTATCCACTCATCGAGATGTGATTCACTGCTGTAGTATAGTAGGGTATAGGAGTCTAATAGAGACGTACCAGTCAGTCGTCGACGCAGCTTACCTTATTAAACATATCGAATAAGGAGTAGACGGAGAATTAATTCTGGAATGGGGGCATGACATGACAAGAATGCAGGTCGGCTGTTCTGCACTGCATGTGCATCGCTTCATCGTCATGATAAACGAGATCAATCCAAGGACAACGAAGCAAGGGCCCGAAAAAGGATAACTAGGCCATTATTGTCTCTCTATCTGGAAATCACCCAGGTCCAGACAGGTACGTCTGGGAGTCAGCAAAGGGCAGCCCGGGGAGGTTACCAAGCATAAGGTATTGCGCTCAAAACCCGATAGCGCCGCCCACAGGAATGCAGCTTTCCAGGCACCTCGAAGCAACTGATCATGATGCAAGTGCAACATGTGTTCTCTTGACCTGGGCGAAAACTCCCTGCCTTTCATGTGAAATGTGAAGTGCTTAAATGCCCCGGTGACACGGTAATGTGGTACTGAACCCTGTCGGCTTTAAGAATTGAATTGAATACTCAGAGATATCTTGATCACAAGCATCTTCTCAAGGCCATGATTATTCGTCGCTGGTTGACTGTTCCTGAGCTCTGATGTAGTCTCTTTTGGCGATGAGTTGAGATAATGCTCACTTCCAGAACTATATATATCTCAAAATCCTGCTCGTCTCATGCTGATTGCTGATTTAGTGGTGCCTCGCTCATTGCTGTATTCGACCTCTAAGAAAAGGAGCATTGAGCATCTTTCTTCAGAACGCTCTCTACATTGAAACAGAGATTCAAACCATCTTACCCATGTTCTGCGTTGTTGTTCATCTTCGATGGTTAACAGGACTCGATCACGTGAACACATATGCTCCTGCCTGAGGCAAAGACTGTCTTCCTTTGGAGAACAACAAGACGATGAACATGGGGCATCCAGCAGATCATGAACTGCGCCATCGTGAGTTCTGTGACTCTTGGAAGAGGCAAAATCAATTAGTCACTTAGTCGTCGTCATTTCGTCCAGCCCACAAAGGTTCTAAGTGAACTTTGCCTCATCATAGTGGAGCAGAGGCACGATGGCAGATCATAAATGCTGTGCAGCACTTTGTTCAGCCACCGCAATTCGGAGGATCTGTGGAGCGCAGCTCCGCGTCTGATTATCTATCCTCCTTAATCGTATTTTGTCTTTATGGAATATGGATTATGAACACTGGAAATCCCCAGCCTCGCGATTTTCCGGGGTCACAAAAAGGGGTCTGTTTCATCGTCCCCTGACCCCGTCAGTGCGCATATTGCATGCTGGTCCAGAGACACTCAGAAACAGACAACTCAATTTCTGACTCCAATACACAGTAAAGCGCATCTCAGACAGCTCCGATAGCTTCTTCCGCATCGAACTATTGATCTTGGGCATCTTCTCGGAGCTGACAGGAGCACGTGTGGGTTCTCCTGATTGCTATCGCTTGGCGCTGGGATCACCCTCTTCTCTATCCAGCTAGATAGTCTAGATCGACTCTTATTCTTCCTGCCCCGGTTCTCCTTTGCCCTCTCCTTTTCACTGGAGGTTCTCACTTATCGCATCGTTGAACTCTGAATTTCTGATTAAAACAAACCCCCAAGCTCTCGTCAAGGTTTCAAACGTCATCGCGATAAGCCGCGCGATCTCAACTTACATTCCCCGCATATCCAGAGAGTAAACAAAACCGGAGAGGAAAAAAAAGGAGAAGTTCTATCGACACCGTCAGAGGAACGCCCGAATCTGCTCTGCTCTGGTCTTTGTTGTTATTTACCCGATTCCAATGACTGGAGCGGATAACCGTGCATTATTGGATTGAACGGGCAATTATCGACGTGGCATTCCAGCTTTCGCCCAAGTGGTGCGACAGTTCGCATTCTTTTACCATTCTTGACCCTCTCCTTCTTCTGCCTTGTCCAGTCACAGCTCAAGCTCCACGATGCTCCAAGACTTCGATCATTCGTCGGTTACGGCTCCGACAGCTGTCGTCATTGACAACTCTGAACTCGATCCTTCGACGTCTTCCGTCCCTCAGGATCGTTGTCATCAGCCCTACAATGATACTCAGCTCTCACATGAGAACGCAGCAAATACTCCTTCAACGTCCTTGGCGCATATTACCGATCCATTAACTCCGCTGCCGGAAAGAAAACGTCTCACAAATACACGCACCTCTTTTCATCGTCGAGCAAATACCGAGATTGTTCCCCGGCAGTCACATCTCTCAGTCAAGCAACTTTTCGCCGACCAAGCCAGAACATACGAAGACTTGGACGACCGTCATAGAACCTCGAACTCAGGAGCGGAGAACCCTGCCAAAAAGACTTTGGAAGTGGGCGCAAAGCTCTTGTCGGGTTGGTTCCAGGGTAAATCGGAGCCGGTAAATCTGACCATGGTGAACCAGCAAGTAGGTCATGATTTGATGGAAATGGCGCCGTCTGGAGCATATCCGAACCGTGCATCAAAGCGCTCAACCCCCTCTTCGCCGCTGAAGCAAGTCACGTCCACAAACCCTTTCAACTTCTTCAGCTTCAAGCGTCAGGGAGAGTCCAAAATCGATCTCCCTGAACCGGCTGATGACGAATTTCTCAACATGGATATCACTGCTGCCTTACTCCCCCCGGCATCAAGTGAACTTAGCGATCAGCAAGCATTCGATGCTTTGCGAGCCCATGCTGATAATGTTCTAAGACAGCTGCAAGCAGCATATAAACAGAGGACATTTGCATTGCATGAAGCTCTGGCAGACAAGAATGAGAAGCAAGAGGAGCTTGAAGAGACTCGCACGCGGGTTGGATATCTCAAAGTACAGCTCGATGGCATGGCGGAGAAAGTGCTCCGTCAAGAAAAGGCCATGAAGGCCATGGCCGAAGAACTGGAGCAGGAGCGAGAATTGCGTCGACGGGAAGAGGAGACACGCCGTCGCAGCGTGATGCTTGTCCGCTCCAGCGACGAGGAGAGCCTGTCCGATGTGGGCACTGAACTCCAAACCCCGAAACGAAGCTTGAAACGGGCCAGCAATGGCACCTACACAAGCGATTCAGGCTTTGACTCCGGTGATGAGAGCCTCGCGGAAAGCATTTTCTCGCGTCGAGATGGTCTCGAGTCACCTGCTTCGACAATTGCACCTTCACCGAATATATCTCAGATTGCGCTTTCCATACCAACATCAACCCCTGTCCAGCCAAGTCAAAAAGAGTCAAAGCCTGCTTCAGTACCACGCCAGTCTACGTACGACCGTGTTCTCAAGGGACTTGCGTCTACGGGCATTACCAGTTCTTGGATGGGCCATTCGTCCAAGTGCAATATCTGCCATGGGGTCCCAGCCTCTGAAGCTTGGGGTGTGCTGGACGTCGTAAAGGAGGAGAATCGGGGCCTGAAGCTCCGACTCAGCGAACTGGAGCTGGTGGTAGACGATTGCCTTAGTCTTGTTGGACCCTGATCTGAAGACGAGCCTATATAGTTGGAAAAAGAAGGATATCCAGGTGTTTTGAGATATTTCTTGTACTTGCAGTTCTCCGCAAATATGTACTTGCATCAAGCCCTTTGCAGAGGGATTTGAGGTTATTTTACTTAGCAACCTATACGCGACGCGTCTCAATCTTCTTCCATTGGAATTGGCTGATCAACTTCACTCAAAATTGAATTCAATTATTGTCCAGTCTCAGATGCTTCTTGTAAGGTCTGGTGCTTCATCCTTGAGCTCCTTTGCGACCGACAGCCCACAGAGTAAACACACAATCATAGACCCAGTTTAACCCTTATGTCAATAAGAGGAGTCGAACTGACCGATGATCAAGATTTGATCAATACCTAAGCGATATTTGACTCATACGCTTGGACTGGCGGAGTGCTTCGAGTCTCAACAGGGAATCTCAGGGAAAGCGACCAAGTGGCCTCAACGGGGTTAGCGTGGCTGGAGAAAGTGGCCAGCGAGGCGTCTACGCTTCCACGCTTGACTCTGACCCCAAACCTCCTCCTCGACCTCCCATCTCTTCCCTTCTCCCCCCGGTGTAATAATCCATCCCCCTTCTTCTTTTCTCTTCTCCCTTTTTTGTTGTTTCTTTTCAACATCTTCGCTCCTTCAGCTGGAAGCATCATTCCAGCTTCTTCCTTTTTTTTTTTTAATTTCCCCTACCCCCTAATTTCATCTAGTGATCCGGGAGATCAACTGCCACAATGAGCGGACGTAAGTCGTTTTCTGCACGCGATGGCAGTTGCTGTCGCAAAAGCTTCATCCTCTGGGTCAATTGATTCCTACTAACAGGGTTCTGGTTTCTAGTTCGATTTCTTGATTTGATCAAGCCCTTTACGCCCCTCCTGCCGGAGGTGGCAGCCCCGGAGACCAAGGTGCCTTTCAACCAGAAGCTGATGTGGACGGGGGTATGTTATAACTTTTGCTGATGAATCGCGAATTGGGGACTGTGCGCTGACTGTCTCTGCAGTTGACCCTGTTGATTTTCCTGGTCATGAGCCAGATGCCCCTGTACGGCATTGTCTCGTCCGACACCTCGGATCCCTTGTACTGGCTGCGTATGATGCTTGCCAGTAACCGTGGTACCCTGATGGAGCTGGGTATTACTCCTATTATCTCCTCCGGCATGGTTTTCCAGGTAAGTTTGCGATTGCAAAAATGGTGTTTTGACGAGGGTATGATGAGTAGCTAACAGATTCGCCTTACGATAGCTCCTTGCTGGTACCCACCTCATTGATGTCAACCTCGACCTCAAGACCGACCGTGAGCTCTACCAGACCGCCCAGAAGCTCTTCGCCATCATCCTCTCCTTCGGCCAGGCCTGTGTCTATGTCCTGACTGGTCTGTATGGCCAGCCCAGCGACCTTGGTGCTGGTATTTGCGTTCTGCTGATTGTCCAGCTCGTCGTCGCTGGCCTGGTTGTCATTCTTCTGGATGAGCTGCTGCAGAAGGGATACGGTCTTGGAAGCGGTATCTCGCTTTTCATTGCGACCAACATCTGCGAGTCGATCGTCTGGAAGGCCTTCTCTCCCACGACCATCAACACTGGCCGTGGCCCTGAGTTCGAGGGTGCCATCATCGCTCTCTTCCACCTGCTCCTGACCTGGCCTGACAAGCAGCGTGCTCTGCAGGAAGCTTTCTACCGCCAGAACCTGCCCAACGTCATGAACCTGCTTGCCACTCTCCTCGTTTTCGCCGCTGTCATCTACCTGCAGGGCTTCCGCGTTGAGATCCCTGTCAAGTCTTCCCGCCAGCGTGGCATGCGTGGCTCCTACCCCGTCCGTCTCTTCTATACCTCCAACATGCCCATCATGCTCCAATCCGCTCTGTCCTCCAACATCTTCCTTGTCAGCCAGATGCTGTACTCCCGCTTCTCTGACAACCTGCTCGTCAGACTCCTCGGTGTCTGGGAGCCTCGCGAGGGTTCCGCCCAGCTCTACGCTGCCTCTGGTATTGCTTACTACATGTCCCCTCCTCTGAACTTCAAGGAGGCTCTCCTTGATCCTATCCACACCGCTGTGTACATTACCTTCATGCTGGTCGCCTGCGCGCTCTTCTCCAAGACCTGGATTGAAGTCTCCGGCTCCGCTCCCCGTGATGTCGCCAAGCAGCTCAAGGACCAGGGTCTCGTCATGGCCGGTCACCGTGAGCAGAGCATGTACAAGGAGCTCAAGAGAATCATCCCTACTGCTGCTGCCTTCGGTGGTGCCTGCATTGGTGCTCTCTCCGTCACCTCCGACTTGCTCGGTGCCCTCGGTAGCGGCACCGGTATCCTCCTTGCCGTCACGTGAGTTGCTTCTTTCTTCATCTGTCGCATGCGCATACACTAACAACCATCTCCTAGTATTATCTACGGCTACTTCGAAATCGCCGCCCGTGAAGGCGATATCGGTTCGGGCCTCAAGGGCCTCGTCCCTGGTAACTAGACAGGGGACGTTTTCTGATGAGCAGTATGAGAAAGGATTTGTGAATTTATCGATTTCCTTTTATTCTTCGTTGATTACTGGACGGATGCGCTGTCGTGGCTGGGACGACGTCTGCACTCTTCATCTGCGACGGAGATATCGAGGGTTTGCATGTATCGGTTGCATTAGTGTAGGGAGTTCTTGCATGCTGGGAGTTTTTCCGTCGGGAAAGTGTGACAGCCACGACTGTACATAGCATTCCATTCAGGTTTTGTAACCATATTTAGAAAACAAAAGATACTAAATTACATGTAATTTGGCTGTTAATCTCTCCGATCTTCGAGTCATTATGCAATGTGTGAAATCTTGGATCTGTGAGCTATGGTTGGGTATATATGCTACTCCTGTTTACCTAGATCAGGTTCTGTAATCTCCGTTGATGGTCACATATTCGTGGCTGAAGTCGCAGAACCAGTAGACGGCCTCCTCACCGCCAAGCTCACCCTTTTCACCGCCGCCCAGGTCAACCACGATCTCGAGATCCTCCTCCTGGAGAATGGCGCTGGCACGCTCCTCGTCGACCTGCTCGGGCTCACCGTTGACCAGGAGCTTGAGGACAGCGCTACCGTCGACGGGCTTGAAGCTGACGCTCGTGCGCTCAGGAACGACGGTTCCAGGGGCGACGCCCTGCGTGTACCCGATGGCGCAGAGGATGCGGCCCCAGTTGGCGTCGCGACCGTAGAGGGCGGTCTTGACGAGCGGGGAGCGGGCGATGGTGGAGGCGATGAGGCGGGCGGAGTCGTAGTCGGGGGAGTTCTGGACGCGGACGGTGACGAACTTGGTGGCGCCTTCGCCGTCGCGGACGACGAGCTGCGAGAGCGACTGGGCGAAGGAGGTGAGGATTTCCTGCATGGCGGCGTAGTCGTCCGACGAGGCGGAGTTGATCGGGGCGCCGCCGGCGGCACCGTTGGCGAGGACGGCAATTGTATCGTTGGTGCTTGTGTCGCCGTCGACGGAGATGGAGTTGAAGGAGCGCGAGACAGCGTACTTGAGGAGCGATTGCAGGGCGGAGGGGGCGATAGGGGCGTCGGTGCAGAGAACACCGAGCAGAGTGGCCATGTTGGGATGGATCATGCCGGCGCCTTTGGTCATGCCGGCGAGGCTGTAAGTGTGGCCGGGGGACGAAGGGAGGGTGAATGTCCGCGAGAGCAGTTTGGGGAAGGTGTCAGTGGTGCAGATGGCGCGGGCAGTGGTGAGCCAGGCTTCGTGGGTGGATGCGAGATTTGCGTAGGCCGTGGGGATCTTGTCCAGGATCTTCGAAATGGGGAGACTACCATGGCAGGAGAGGTCAGTCCTTGACCGTCAGAAATTTGGTTATCAGCAGAGGAATTACCGTTGTCCAATAACACCGGTGCTCATGACAAGCGTGCTAGGTTTGCTGAGTCCCTCACACTCATCCACCTTCTTGCCCATGTTCACTGCGTCCTCGTAACCTCCCTTGCCGGTGACGGCATTGGCGCAGCCCGAGTTGATAACCACGGAGCGGATACCCTGTCCCTGGCGCTCCTGAAGCGTCTTCTTGCTCACCTGCACGGGAGCAGCCTGAAACTTATTGGTCGTGAAAACAGCGGCGGCCGAGCATGGGGTTTCGGAGGAGATCAAAGCCAGGTCTGGGAACCTGGTGTTGGACGCCTTGACACCGACATGGGTTCCGGACACAAGGAATCCTTTGGGATACGAGCCCGACGAAGGAATGTACTTCTGCTTGGAGGCGGGAATGGCCATGTCCAGAGGAGCAGAGTAGTTGCGCACTTGGCCCTTCACCATCCTGGCGAAAGCAGCCATTGCGACTGCGGGTTGGGCCGGGGAAACCATGGATATTCTAGCAATTTGATTAGCTTGCGGCGATTGAATATGTCAAAAGTGTACGTACATCGTGGTGTACCCGATTGCTGTCTGGAGCCCAAATATAGTAGAAGGGAAAGTTGAGAAAGGTGCGGGATATACTCCGTAGATAAGTAACGGATCGGCCACAAGTGACTCAGAAGTGACTCAGGAAATGGATGCCCAGGTACGATTCTCTCCCAAAGGATGAGAATGGTGTTTCCCCACTGCACGACAGATACACCCTGTCAAACTTCTCGTTGGGCCTGAAATCCCTCACTTCGTGGTGATTCGCAGACGACCCATCTCCAAATTGCCAGTGCCTCGAGATCCGATATCGCGGCTCTCGGAGAAACAGTCCCCGCCGGCTTGTTCTTGTCGCGTTCCAGACGCGCTGATCAAAGAAAGTCTCCAGATTTGAGAGCCGTATCTAGGGAATCCAGATATCTATACTCGAATACACCCCTTGCGTCGAACTTATTTAATTTCGCCAACTCGAAAGGTCATAGGGCTCAAGGCTTTGCTTCACTGAATGGTACTTGTTCTCCGCTTGTCCGTCGCTGATTGCCTTTGCATTTGGTACATTCTTACTGAGATGAAACGAAAGCAACCAGATTCAGATGACGATCAGCGTCTTGTCTCGACGCCGAAGAGGCAAAGAACTACAGCCACCAATGGCTCTGTCAGCGGGCATGCGGATGGGGATGGCCCCCTTGAGATGACGCCTTCGAAACGCATGAAAACAACACCGAGAAAACCGAGTGCATCAACACCGGCTGCCCTGAAAGAATCAGGTCTGAAAACACCCACACATAAGGCAAAGGCAAAATCCCTCTTCTCGACACCTACAAAGGCCACAGCAGTGTCCACGCCCACTCGCGCACGCAATGCTGATCGGTCAGCGAAGAAGAAGAGCGCCCGGCTCCTGCTGGAGCAGGATGAGGAAGAATTCTGGGACAGCGCTGATCGCCTGGCAGAGGAGATATTAGAAGATGAAAGAGGAGCCCCCGAGACTGGCGCCGAAGACGGTGAAGGGATTGTTCAGACAGTCGAGGCAACCACAGATGAAGTCGCTGAGAGCAAGACGGCAGCAACGCCCAAGCGTCGTGCAGGCAGACCTAAAGGCGCCAAAAACAAACGTTCACCCACACCTGAGGGAGAACTACCGCCACATGAACGGTATTTCTTCCAGAACAGAGCAGGTCCTGCCCGGACATCAAACAATACTCTGACCAAGGTGAATCTGTTAACGCACGAGGAATACTTTGAAAAATTGGCGGATTATGCGGACCCTTGCCAGAAAGAGAAGAGCTTTTTGCTCGACTTGCATTGTCGGTCATTCCCGCAATGGGATTTTGAGTTTGATCAGAACTTCAACATCTGCCTGTACGGGTACGGCTCAAAGCGTCAGCTCCTGGACAATTTTGCGGATTGGCTATACCACCGACAGAGCTCTGCTCCGCCATCGATTGTTGTGGTCAATGGACATACTCCAAATATGTCAATCCGATCCATCTTCGCCACGATCGTGACGGCTGTTCTTGGTGCGGATATTCCATCCAAGATGGGATTTCAGCCGGTGGAGGTTCTAGAACTGTTGCAATCTGCCCTGAAGTCACGACCATCTCAGAAACCGATTACCGTCCTGATCAATTCGATCGATGCCCCCTCCCTCCGTCGAGCGACCAATCAAGCCCTCCTCGCACGACTGGCCGCAACTCCCAAGATTCGTTTGCTGGCAACGGCAGACACGCCAAATTTCTTGTTGATGTGGGATATCAGTCTTCGGGATCAGTTCAACTTTGTGTTCCATGACTGTACAACTTTCATCCCATTTGATACCGAGTTCGACGTCGTGGAGGAGGTCCATAATCTTCTAGGCCGCAAGGGACGTCGCATAGGAGGCAAAGACGGCGTTGCATTCGTGCTGAAGAGTCTTCCCGAAAACGCACAGAATCTCTACCGGCTACTACTCACCGAAATACTGTGTATGATGGACGAAGGGAACAATTCGGATGACGATATGGACGGCAATGGAGGGAGGGAGGATAGGTCTCACGATGAGACTGGCATTGAGTTCCGGATGCTCTACCAGAAAGCTGCTGAAGAGTTCATTGCCTCTTCTGAGATGATGTTTCGGACGCTGTTAAAAGAGTTCCATGACCATCAGATGATCACATCTCGAATGGACACGGGGGGGATGGAGATCTTAGGGGTTCCCTTGTCGCGGGAAGAGATGGAAGGAGTCCTGGAAGATCTGGTATTGAGTTAACGGATGAAGATTGCGTGGTGGCTTTGCATAAATCATGATACCCCTGCATAGCACTGTATATCACAATTGAGGAAATAACTACTGAAACTATCTCTAATAAAGCAGTGTCTTGGTACAAAGACAGTTAAATCCCTCCTCTGTGCATCAATCACATATCACATATACAGGACGAATCCTTCGAGGTATGCTGATAAAGGAGACCAAGAAGACACATTCAAACGGGACTTTGAGTGGAAATTGAGCTTGTTTATCTAGAACTGTGCAAACGCAGCCAGAGCCATTGTTGCACCGAAGCTCATCTTGAGCGGCATATTCGACGTCATGGCCTTTTGGAGATCCACCTTCTTGAAATATTTCTGCATCGTCCGGACCGGAAGAAGGTTGTATCCTTTAGAAGCAGCATACTAGATATCGGTGTCAGCACCGTCCCTGCAACAACCCGAACCAAGAACACAACACATTCGCACATCACATACCTCAACCAAGACAATTCCCATTCCTAGCAAAACAACCAGAGAGCGAGAAAACGCCCGCAATCCGACACCCACCACGAGACCAAGCACACTACCCAGGCTCACCTGGCGCATATTGGACGCGGTCAAAATCCCCGACGCCGTGCTGGGGCTTGTCTTCCCTTGCTTCGCAATGACAGGGTCATTGCTGTCGAGAGTCCAGCCGGACCCGGTGGGGTTCTGGGTATCGAGACGTGAGTAGGGAGCTGCGTATTGACACTGCATGGGAGAGGCGCGGAAGGGCGACAATGGGTGCAGGGAGAAGGAAAGGCCGAGGCCAACACCGAGGACGGCAGAAGTGCGAGCGAACCCGCTGAGCAGGCCAAATGCCATGTTGATTTTGGAGTAGCAAGAAGGTGATGGAGAGAGGTTTGCGGGCTATGATAACTGGAGCTATAAGAATAGATGCAGGTAAGTACAAAAAGGCTATGTAGTTGGAAGCTGTTCAAGATTCGAGAAGCTTAAACATGGAGGAGCATTCATGTCGATATGCGGAGATGGACATTGCTGTGACGTCAACAGGCGGTCAACCTTCAGACCAGTAGACGCGATTTCGAGAGTTGTCGATCCAGCGGAATCAACGCAAGACGAGAGATTCTTAATCTTGAAGGGTTTGTCCAGGGAAAAATTACGCATCTAGAGCGTGAGTAGTGTAGGTTGTTCTTAGGGGGGCGAGTTTGTAATAGAGCTTCCTGCATAACATAGGTATTAGGTACAACCTACAAACAGAGGGTGTCAAAAAGGGATACGTGTATGTTGGTATCATTACCAGCACGTGACTGCTGCGGAAATCTGGAAATCCGACATGGTGTACGGAGTAGGTACTGACCAAGTAAACATGGCCAAGATGAAATTATAAATTACCAAAAGATACAGGGTCAGGAACAACTGCCCACGCCTGCAGCCCATGTTCCGTTCCTGACCGTTTCTGGCCAAGTCCGCGGAAAACCGCCCACCGGCGGCGATTTTTTTGCAGATTGGCCAATTTGCCTTTGCAGTTGTCTGGAGGGGTATGGAGGGGCAGCCGTGCTACAATTGGTTCGCTCTGCCGGGGCGAGCTGGAAAGAGCACATCATTCGGCGGGGACGAGGTGATAGTTTGGAAATTTGGGGATTTCTGGATTTTCGATACGCGAATTTTGTGGTTCCTTTGGAGGCGACAAGGCAATAAGGCATTCATTCGATCAAGGTTATCTTGACTCACAGTCCGTTCTCGCTCTTTCTTAAGAACTTAAGATCTCGGCCGGAGGGTGGCTCAGCTTTTTCCTTCTCTCACATCCCATCTCGCCAATTTTCTTATATATCCTACGCTTCCTCATTCCTTCTCCCCTCTGACCAGTTTAAATCCTCTCTCTTGAGAAACCCCATATCTACTCTACACGCAATGGCTTCCACTAGCACCAATGGAGCGTCGTCTCCCAACAGCTTCACCGTCAAGGCCGGTCTGGCTCAGATGCTGAAGGGTGGTGTGATTATGGACGTCGTCAATGCTGAGCAGGTTCGAACACCTTCTAGGAATCATTAGGCGTTTCAACTCTGACTAGGATCTCGTTATAGGCCCGCATTGCGGAAGAGGCCGGTGCTGCCGCCGTCATGGCTCTTGAGCGGGTGCCTGCCGATATCAGAGCCCAGGGTGGCGTTGCCCGCATGTCCGACCCCAGCATGATCAAGGAGATCATGGCTGCTGTCACCATTCCCGTCATGGCCAAGGCCCGTATTGGACACTTTGTTGAGTGCCAGGTAAGCATGCTCCTCGCCGGATTATCCTGATCTTCGCCCTCCTGACTTTGGTTTTCATTAGATTCTCGAAGCCATTGGCGTCGATTACATTGACGAGTCCGAAGTCCTTACCCCCGCCGACGATGTCTACCATGTGAAGAAGCATGATTACAAGGCTCCCTTCGTCTGCGGTTGCCGCAACTTGGGCGAGGCTCTGCGTCGTATTGCCGAGGGTGCCGCCATGATCCGCACCAAGGGTGAGGCCGGTACTGGAGACGTTGTGGAAGCCGTCAAGCACATGCGCACCGTCAATGCCCAGATCGCCCGCGCCCGCGGTATCCTCCAGAACGCTACCGATCCCGAGATTGAGCTGCGCGCCTATGCCCGCGAGCTCGAGGTACCGTATGAGCTTCTCCGCGAGACCGCGGAGAAGGGCCGTCTGCCCGTCGTCAACTTCGCTGCTGGTGGCGTTGCCACTCCCGCTGATGCCGCACTCATGATGCAGCTGGGCTGTGACGGAGTGTTCGTTGGCTCTGGTATCTTCAAGTCCGGTGATGCGAAGAAGCGTGCCAAGGCCATTGTCCAGGCTGTGACTCACTTCAAGGACCCCAAGGTTCTTGCTGAGGTCAGCGAGGGCCTGGGTGAGGCCATGGTTGGCATCAACGTCTCTCAGATGGCCGAGTCCGACAGACTGGCCAAGAGAGGATGGTAAATGTTCTAATATCTTCATATTGGTTATTCTTATGTTTCTGCCACGACTACAGAAGGCGTTTGAAAAGTTGTATAGCGTCGTCTTCATGCATTGCATTCAAGCCTTTCAGAAAAGGTTATTTGGCCAATTGTCATCAAGTATACAGGTGCAATATCTACTAGAAATATTAAAACATACCCATAGTTTTACAGTGGGAAAACTGGTTGATGAGAAAGAGATCCATTGTTAGCCCTCTGTTTATGGTCCATCCATCTGATAGTCTGATTACTAGTACTCCGTAGAGCAGTTGCCCCACCAGCTCCTGTTCCCGCCGTCGATCATGTGGGTGACTAAGTAGTCACTAGTCACTACTCACTACCAGAGAGTCATGGACTCATGAGGCACGGCCGCACGCTACTTACGTAGTATGTTCGAAAATAGAGGAAGGGAGCCAGCATCAGAGAAAGGATGCAAATCGAGATTCCAGCACTCATATCGAGTAAGCCTGAGCAGTCATACTCTTCTTGGGAATTATTCCGATGACCAGTACTTATACTTAATAATAAGTAATGAATAGCTTTTCTGAGGGGCCTATTTGCGTGTGCGTCTCCGATCGGCGATTGCAGATTGCATTTTTTGCAGTTTACATTGGATGATACCGGTAAGATACGCACTTCCTTTTTCGATACATGTAAGTTTGATACATTATGTGACAATCCGCTAGCAATGGTAAAATTACGTCTAATCACTGGAACCTACCTACTCCCATATGGTGGTACCCATACGGATGTTGCTCAGCTAACTCGCCTCCCAGATCAATCTCGATCGATCTCGTCTCTTTCCAGATCAATGCCATCATCATGAGCGGAAAACCACACAGACATTGAATGAGAAGTACAACCAGAGAAAACGAGAATACCCTCATCATGTCAGACCCGATAGATCTCCTATCCCGACCCGATTCACAAAATAAGCATGGCGAGAACCATAGTTCCGCGGAACAGCAGCCGAACAGTAATGAGAGCCATGATGAGAAGCAGCCAGAGCACCACCACCAACCATCCTCACATCCAGCTTTAGTGTCCACTCCGTATACAAAACCACCGAAGCCATCTCCGACAGATGACGATGACGATGACTACAACCATGCTGAAGATGCAAACCCCATCGTGTCCACCGCCCTATCTCTCCTCTCCCTCTTGAACACCTATGTCCTACCTTCCCATCTCCGGGCAATGATCATGGACGTCGCAACCGCGCATCCTCTTCTGATGACATTTCTGCTATGTCAATTCGTCTGCTCGTGCATCCCGATCGCCATGTTCGTGGTCGGCGCCATGGTTGCGGCTGGTATTGCGGTGGTGCTGTTTAGCTGTGTGGCGCTGTTGGTGCTGGGACCTGTGCTGATTGCCACGACTGTCGCCGGGATGTTATTATGGGGCTCTGGGTGGGCTATCTTCGTGACTGGAAGGTGGTTTGTTCGGTACTTGGATGAGATGGGGGATGAGCAGAGAGGGAGGAATCTCGCTGGGGTCAATGGGGTGAAGGGTCACAATGGGGGGATGCCTGTTAAGGAGGTGTTGGATTAGATTCCGTCGATCGGAAGTGTACACTTGATGTGCATCCGATGATGAGCGATTATGGTTGCTTGTTTCTTCTAGCAAGTCTTGTATGTTTATGTGTGATACTGTGTCTATGCATTGGGCTGACGCGCGATAGAACGACGTTATATAACGCACCATCTGAGAAGCGATGGCCCTGAAAGTTCTATCACACCCTCTGGCTTTCTGCCCACTCCACCCATCTCCTGATACACTCGTCCACCTGCTTGAGAGCTTGCTTCTCCGCGGCGACCTCAAACCACTCCCGATGCTCCTTTCCGCACTCTGCACAAGGCCCCAGATCTCGTATCTTCACGTCTCCCAGCTCCAGATGAATCAATCGCTCCACGCGATGCACATGCGGCACCTTCCTTCCTGCTTTCGCAGAGCTGTTTGCCCGATCACGTCCTGGCTGTAGCTGACCCGGTGATGGAGATGGAGATGGCGTTGATGGTGTATAGGGGCAGTATCGAATCAACGTCAAATGGTTAGAGCATTGCCTCGTCCACTCGTTGAGTCTGCGCTGCACATTACTCGTCCGGCCGATCTTGAGGCGGATGGTCCCTGGAGTCTGACCAGTTGGGTTCGGAGCCAGAACGTTGAGGTCTCGCGCCGTTTGAAGGGCATCACCGACAGTACGGATATGCGTCGACGGGCGAGCTTCCGGGACGAGGGACCTTGCGATCTCAGAAGGCGGTGGTGATCTCGAGGCTGTGGACGGAGTGATCCAAAACATGTAGATGTAGCCCGGCTCATCCGCGTCGGAGATCGGCTTGGCCAGCTCCGTGAGAAGAGAGGAAGTTGTTTGAGGCGTCAATGACTGGGGAATCCATGCTAATAGAGCGCCCGTGTTAGACGAGGATGAAGAAGCCTGTGCACTTTGGAGAGATGGCCGGTCAGACGAGAGATATTCCGACTGCGACGACGGCTTTTGAGCCGGTGGCTTAGGCCAGCCAGGGTACGAGCTGGATGATGGGACCTGCTGCATAGCAGTGCTCACAGGTCGCGGAGGCCGCTCGTCTTCAACGTCTTCCACGATCTCAAAACAACAGCACACGGTCCGCTTCCTGGGTTTGCGTCGCCTGATCTTGGTTGGATCTTGCTGCGGGTCATTGATATTGAGCACACCGAGCCGATCCATCAAGGTATCGATACTCGTTCTCGGCTGCACTCCGGACGTCTGCGACGGCCGATGGGATCCCATATTGCTGGGTGCCGGTGTTGCTTGATCTTTGTGCTGCCAGCAGTATAGCGATTCTAGCGCTGCTCCCTTGGGTGTGCTCCCTGGTGAAGCAGCCAGAGCGCGGCGACATGGCCGGCCATTTGCAGTCACGCCTCTGCATGTTGTGGCTGGATCCAGCGAATCCGAGCGAGATACCAGGGATTCGGGGGTGTTTGCAATATGAGGCATTGTGATCGACCCTCTTTCCTCAAAGCGAAGTAGACAAAGCCTGGTAAATGTGTATGGTTTCGAGACAGTAGTAGTTGTTGTAGCACTTATGAATGCTTTGCTGGCGGCTGGACAACTAAGCGCCTGCGCCGAGGATCTCCTGAGGCTGCTCAAGTATTATTAGGTGAAGCATCGGCCAGCGAGCGGTCAAGCTGCTTCCGAGATGGATACAGCAGCCTGGTGAATTTAAAGTATGAGACTTGAGTCCTTGACACTTGAGACAAGTCAGCAGACCAACAGTTATGCTGCCAACTATCCAACTACGTATGTACTAGCACTAGATAGATACTACTCCTAAAATGCGTGCATTTTGCACCGCCCCTGTGGCTGGAGAGCCTGCGCCGCTGTCGATGGTATTTATTGACCCACATCAAATGTCATCACACTGCAGGTAGATCATTCAGTATTAAATTGTATGATTATAGTCATAGGTATGAATATTGTTGAGTGGTTGCACTGCAGAGAGCGCAGATGTAGTATCAAACTCAGGCCTATTATTCAATGATCTAAAGAATGAAGCCATGGGTCACTGTTGCCACAGTCCAATCAATACATTGTCCCCAACCATATCTAGAAATCCTCGTCCGTGTTACAACTTACACATGACCTCAGGTCTCGCTTGAGGCATTGATACACAAGTATTCTTTGATTTGAATTCCCATCATCTTCTAATGTCATATTATGAAAAGCAAACCCATCTTGTCACCGGAACGATCTAACCAGCATAATTGAACCCTGCGCCGCGACACTTGATCCAGAACGCGCGTACCACCTGGTTTGTCTGGGCCTTGGCACCCCTGGCGGCGATGAGAGATGCAACAAAGCGCTCTTTCTCCTGCGGTGTGACCTGACCCTGTCCTTCATGCGACGTGCTGATATTTAATGAGGAGAGCGCCTCTAAAAAGTAGACCCGAGCTTGACCTTGGTACTTAGGGATGACCTTTCTGAGGACGTCGCACAGGTGGTCGATGTCTGAACGAGCGCAGCGGCCGGCAAGCATCACCATCAAGATCCTACAGAGAGCCGGGAGATACCGGTTGATGGCATCTTGCAAGGTGCCCGGCTGGCGAACGTCCATTGGGAGACTCAATACGCCTACCCAGAACTGAGACGCAGAACGAAGTGGAAGCGGTTCTGTACCTTGCAAGGAGAGCAGAGTGAAGTCAAGAATAGTCGATAGCACAGGAGGTCGCGACGCGATACTGAGGTCAGGCACACTTTGGTTGGTATCTGGCGGGGTGGAGATAAGTGCGAAGAGAACGGCATGATACTTGGGGAGTAGCCGGGTGAGAAAGTCAATCCCACTGTTGGCAACCTCAGGATCGTGCAATTCCGGTGACTGCTGCATTTTGCAGAAGGTTTGATAAACGTGAAGAATCAGCGCAACAGTTTCTTCACGAATTCGCTCTGGATGTGCACTGTGAGACGCCAAAAAAGCAGAGGCTGTGCCCATGACCATATCGGTACCGGCGCTGCCTAGAGGAATGCTCTGAACGAAGCTGACGGTCACTGTTGGTGGAAATACATATGGGCCCGATTTCTCAGTATATCCAGCCTTCAGAATATCGCAAGCGGCTTCGATAGTGCTCGCATCTCGAGGAACTTCAGTTATGAGTAGATCCATGATCTGAACAATCAAGCTCTGCGATACTGCACCGGGACCTGTACTCCAAAAGGATAAAGAATGGGAAATCCCATTGCTGCCATCGTTTGAGTCTAGGATGATTTCACCATCGGTTCTAAGACCCTTGCCAATACTTGCGATGCAGCGCAAAACTAACAGGGCACGACTGTATGCAGCCTCTTCCATCTGGCGCTTAGCCTCATCGCGCGCTAGGTCAGCTTGTTGATGGAAATATGTCAGGATCCTCTCCAGAAATTGTGCTTTGGCATCATCTGTCGGCAATGCTTGAATGATCGCGGCAATGCCTTCGAGGACCTTTTCCATTGTGGTAGCCGTCGCTGTAGCCTTGTAACGAAATTGGTCAAACTGGTCCAAAAATGCCGGCAGTTCAGACGTCAGAGCATTCCGGCACGATTTGCAGAGGTATGAGATAGACCGGGAAGCGGCTGGTGCACATGATAAAACCTCAAGAGACGCGAATAGAAAAGTGAGCACCAGAGGTAGTAAAGCATGAGTCCGTTCGAAGTAAGACTTGTACTTTCCTAGCATATCTACCAGAGTTTGGCGGGCTTTGTCTGGAATCAACATTCCCTCGCCCCTGCAGAGACAATCAAAATCATCAGAGAAGAAGACTGCGTTCAGGCATTCATCAGCATGTTGATTCCCATCAACAGCTTCAGAGAGCTGCGCGATGCAGAAGACAGCAGCCTCAAATGTTCTCCAGTCCTGGTGATTGAGCGATATACTGGACTGCTCTTGGTACAGATGAATCAACTCGACTCCCAGGATGGGATATATTGCCAAGAGGAAGTCACAGACATCTCGGCGGAATGCACCGAATTCCCCGCGATCATCCTCACTCCAATCTCGCAGCTCTTCTGGAGATGGATACTTAAGCTTCTCAAAACAGTCTAGAGCAGCACGGGCCAAATTCTGTTTCGCAGACTCGACAATCGATTTGTCCTCGGAATCAAACAAGATCTCTTGGACATCGTCGGCAACTTCGGTCCACCATTCAATGAGCAATGGTGATGCCGGGTCATCGACTGCCGCATAGCCAGGGGCTTTAAATAGGGCGTGCAGCATGGTGAGAACCTGATTATAGTGAGGATCCATCGGCTTAGCCAGCATTTCCCTCTGTTTGAGAGTCGAGAAAGCCAAAATCAACTCCAAAAACGTCATATTTTCGTCCTCGAAATCACCCTCAAGAAGCGACGTGACATGGGCGGTGCCAAGATGACTTGTGATGTATTCAAGGATAGAATCGAGATGATCCGGACCGAAGATATTCTCCTTCCAGTCTATCAATTCGACAACGACCTGAGCAGCGGTCCTTGATAGACTAGGAACCCTCAGGCACTGGATCACATGATTTGTTGTGGAAGTTAGCTGGGAGGTCGATAGTGTATGTTCAAATAGGCTACCACCTTGAACGGACATCCAGGACTAGGAGCTTTCGTCAGAAAATATGCATGAAATCATCGGATATATACTCACATGATACGCATTGATTGCTTCAATTCCTGGAGTGGGATCGTAAGAGGCGTTCTGGGAAGGCTCCTGCAACAGAAAGTGGCGCAGGATGAACTCAACGATTCCAAAGGCGTCCGGAATATTTGCCGATGCACGCTTGGTGTCGTCCGGCTGCCTCAATTCGGGACTCCATTTATTCATGTCTTCTGCAAGAATGTTGCAGAAATAGAGTAACGCAACGATCTGAGTTTGGGACATTGCTGGCAAGACGGCTTCTAGCAGATCGGCCGAGTGAAAATGCTCTTCAGAGACATATTTACCACCTGCCAAGGAAGCAGCCAAGGTCCAAAGAGCTCTAATCCAAGGAGCACTCGGCTTCAAGAAGATAGTGGCTAGAGTCGTGGCCAGCTTCCGTATGACAAGGGGCCGCTCCCCCGAATTCACCAAAATAACATAGTGGTCAATCAGTCGACCAAGGAGCTCTTGCGCGTCATGTTGGCTGAGCTTTTGCCTGTAGTACGATCAGCACATCTGCGCCTTGGAAACACTGGATAGTTTGATTGAGTAGCAACGTACCAGTCGAGGTTGATCTTAACAGTAAACGTCAGAGCGCCAAAAAATCTCATGTCAGTGCTGCTGGCACTCAACAAATCATTAGCTATTAGCCATGCCTCTGGTCCCTTCTGAAGCAACTGCAGACGCTCCTGAATCAGCTTGATCTTGGTGGGGTTGCCAGCGTTTTCAGGATCATATAGTTGAGTGACAAGCTTTAAAAAAGTTAATCCCTGTCTAAGAAAGCACGCTCAGGACATACTCACAGCTCTTGCCTCATCTAAGATGTGTTGCACATCTGAGGCAGGGCCTGGAATGTCCGCAGACATTGCCAGAACTCCTATGACCTTGTCTGTAGGAGATATGTCTTTGTAGACTGGTATAGATTGTTTGATGGAACAAGCAAAGGAGGTGTCACGTGTTGATACTACTATCTTAGCATCACAAGGCGGTGAGAAAGTGGGATGGCTGATCTGATGGAGGGGGGAGAGAAAAGGAAATCTATAAGTGTGAATTTTTCAAGCAAGTGCTCCTGTAAGTAAACAAAACAGACGAGGTAATGGAATGTTCAAGAGTATGTGACCTGTGCTCTCATGCACTAGACTCACTACCTACTGTACTTAAAATACTTGGGACCCTTGTTTATCAACAATGTGATTTTTGATTTTGTAACAATACAATGAAATCCACATTGTTGTAGCTAAGCTTCTTGACAGATTGCTATCTTGCGTGACAGATAAAACACTTGAGCCTCTTAAGCTGATCGAATAATAAGTTAATAACTGCTTGAAAGTTTTCCCTTCAGGTATCATCAGTACTTTGCCTACCTATTAATATATGAATGGAGCAGAAGCTGTCACCCATTATGCAAATACAGGTTTCCCTTGGTATCAATTTGTAGGTAAACGAAGTACTATGGAACCTAGGTAGTATCCATGAGACTGTGGTTGCATCATCAGATACCGTGGTAATTCTCAGTCGAAAGCAGAATACCACATGAATTACGCAGTCAGATACCACCTATCTAACTCCGTCGGACCTACTCTGTATGCTACAAGCTAAGCTCCACTCAAACTGCCTTAGCTTATCTCGCTGGACCACATCATATTTCAATCTTCCACTATCTGTTCACGGTGTCTGAAATCTGCCGTATACACGCGACTCTTTGAAGTTGTGCCCAACTTCTTATCCCACAGCGCTCCCTTAGTTAGCAGCCCTCCTTCCGTGTACGAAATTTCTTGTACAGGAGTTTGACTGCTCCTCGGACATTCCTATTCTCACCTCTCTTCTGTCGATGCTCTTCTCCCGCTCTCCCTTTCGCCTCTGTAGAATATCCGCAGTCGGACAGACTCGTCAGCTACCCTTCTCTCGACCAAGATTCCTATCTGCTTCTGTCGCACGTTACGCTATCGACATGGAGACCGTGAATACTTCCGAGCGCCTAGCGCGATTGAGACAGTTGATGCAGGAGCACAAAGTCGATGTATATAGTATGATATCGCTTAGCCCCTCACGCTGGACAATGAGAATGTCTGCTCATATTCTTCCCAAGTCGTCCCATCGGAAGATAGCCATCAGTCTGAATATATCGCACCATGTGACGGCCGGCGAGGTTAGATTGGCTCCCGCTTTCCTTCCTTCTCTCCCTACGTAGCTGCTTGCTTCTACGCCTGACTCTGACGATACCTTCGCTTACGAACATGCTCATAGAGTTCATCTCTGGTTTCTCTGGCTCTGCGGGAACAGCCATCGTCTCCATGACGAAAGCTGCATTGTCGACAGATGGACGGTATTTCAACCAGGCTTCGAAGCAGCTCGACAGCAATTGGTTGCTGCTCAAGCGCGGAGTGGAGAATGTTCCAACATGGCAAGAATGGTATGGATGGATGTCGATGATGGTTGAATTTAAGTGCATTTGAGGATAGGGAACTGATTTCTCTTAGGACCACCGAACAAGCCGAGGGTGGTAAGGTTGTAGGTGTCGACCCATCCTTGATCACTGCACGTGAGTATTCAGGCGTCCCGGTTTCTGGAGGTGAACTCTGACGTATCGGTACCAAAGCGGGTGCACGGAGCCTTGCAGAGACTCTGAGGAAGAATGGCTCGTCGCTTGTTGGCGTTCAGCAGAATCTGGTCGACCTAGTCTGGGGCGAGGATCGGCCAGCGCCTCCAAGGGAGAAAGTCCGGGTTCATCCAGACAAGTTTGCCGGAAAGAGCTTCCAGGAGAAGATCACTGATCTGCGCAAAGAGTTGGAGAACAAAAAGACGGCTGGATTTGTCATTTGTACTGGGCCCCACATTCGGTTGCAGTATCTAGAGGCTAACATCAAAGCTAGCTATGCTGGATGAGATCGCCTGGCTGTTCAATTTAAGAGGAAGCGAGTGGGTATAGCACATCTGAACCGAGGGATCTGCAGCTAATCCAATGACAGCATCCCCTACAACCCGGTGTTCTTCGCATACGCCATCATCACACCTACAACGGCAGATCTCTACATTGATGAAGAGAAATTGACCCCGGAGGTTACAAGCCACTTGGGTCAGGATGTTGTCATCAAGCCATATGACTCTATCTTTGCCGATGCCACAGCCCTCAGTGAAGCAAGAAAGCAAGACGCTGGGGAAGCCGCTGCAAAGTTTCTCCTCTCAAACAAAGCTTCATGGGCCCTTAGCCTCAGTTTGGGAGGCGAGGAGCATGTGGAAGAGACTCGCAGTCCCATTGCTGATGCTAAAGCCGTTAAGAATGAAGCAGAGCTTGCTGGAATGCGGGCGTGCCATATTCGAGATGGTGCTGCGTTGATTGAGTATTTTGCTTGGCTTGAAAACGAACTGGTCAGCAAGAAGACTTCCCTTGACGAGGTTGACGCCGCGGACAAGCTAGAACAGATCAGATCGAAGCACGATCTATTTGCGGGCTTGTCCTTCGATACGATCTCCTCGACTGGACCCAATGGTGCTGTTATCCACTACAAGCCTGAGAAGGGCAGCTGCGCCATCATCGATCCCGAGGCAATCTATCTCTGCGATTCTGGTGCCCAGTATCTGGATGGAACTACCGATGTTACTAGAACATTTCACTTTGGGCAGCCAACCGAACTTGAGAAGAAGGCCTTTACGTTGGTCCTCAAGGGAATGATCGCCATTGATTCTGCTGTCTTCCCGAAGGGTACCAGCGGCTTCGCGCTTGATGTCCTTGCAAGACAATTTTTGTGGAAGGAGGGACTTGATTACCTCCATGGCACTGGCCATGGCATCGGCTCCTACCTGGTAAGTCTTCAAGGCTCTCACCTTTTCCTCCAGGCGTCTAAACCCTTCAATAGAATGTACACGAAGGTCCTATTGGCATCGGCACGCGCGTACAGTATACCGAGGTTCCGATCGCCCCTGGAAATGTTATCTCTGACGGTAAGTGTTCGCCCTCGTGCTAGTGGCTGGTCACTAACATTCGCAGAACCCGGATTCTACGAAGACGGCAAGTTTGGCATTCGAATCGAAAGTAAGTTACTAGCTATCGGACGGGTCAATGCATTGGATTAACAGTATGCCTCGCAGATGTTATTATGGCGCGGGAAGTGCAAACGACGCATAAGTTCGGCGACAAGCCATGGTTGGGCTTCGAACATGTCACCATGGCCCCCATTGGTCGTAACTTGATTGAGCCTTCTCTTCTCAGCGAGTCTGAGTTAAAATGGGTGAACGATTATCATGCAGAGATCTGGGAGAAGACTCATCATTTCTTTGAGAATGATGAATTCACTAGAAGCTGGCTCCAACGTGAGACCCAGCCCATCTCCAAGTAAATCCCAGCCAATGAAAACCAGCAGAGAATTCGAGTCAATAGCACAACCTAGGATAGACTCTCTAGCATAACAAATATTTATGTGAGGCACGTCGCATGCTTAGCAGCGTGTTTAAAGTGTACTGTATACATTGTCTGGTGTGGCTGGTTGATGTCGTCGGATGCTTATGTGGGGAAATCCTGCGGACTGCGGACACTTGGACTTTGGTCCTATTTCATACCTTTAGATTCCATCAATAACTCCTAGAGCTGCGTTGTCTTGTCGCAATTCAAACCACGACCCCCTAATATTGACCCCGGACAATCCTTTGTATGTCTGTCACATAGATTCAAAAGCAGCCAAGCTCCTTACGACCATGCCCACAGCTTCAGCCGTGTGATTTACTGCGACAGCGCCTCAAGCGAAACTCCAAGTCCGAAACCTCCTCTACAACCATTATCACCACCCTACCACCAGAACGCCACAAATTACTTCCAGGCTCCATCTTGTCATATCTACGGACCGAAATAACTTGTTATGAGCGGCAGAAACGGCTACGCCGACGGATACGGACATTCCGAGAGCAATCGTCACGACCAGGGCGATGGCGGATACGGCGCGAACAACAACTTAGGGGTCAACGGATACTCGGGAGGACGGGAGCGTCGCCCAGGCGGATATGGTGGCTTCTACACGGACCCTTCACAGGAGTCTTCGCATTCGCCCTCGCCCGAGCGACGCCGGGATCGAAGAGAAGGGGGTCGTCAGAACTCCTCATCGCGATCGCGCACAAGAGATACTGAGGCGGGGAGGAGGATGCATAGCTCGCGCGATGGTCGGCCCCGTGAGGAAAATAACTGGGCAAATGCTAGCGGCAGGGGAAATGGGCGCGCGGATGAGATGAATGCTCCTCGTAGCACGGGAGGATCTCAGGCTATTGAAGGTTTGCAGCCCTTGGCTGTTCATCCCAATCTTGTTCTTGGAATATGCCTGGAAAGAGTGCCTTCTAACAGATGATTGCTCCTAGATATCCTGCAGTCTATCCACGCTGATTGGAACTTCGTGGCCTCCGATGATTGTGTACCAGTGCAAGTGGCCTTGCAGTTGATGGACACTAGTACTTTGGGAAAGGCGGATCGTGAGCCAGACTTTCTCAATATGAATCAGCAAATACAGAGGACTTTAAAGTCTGTTGTCAACGGTTGGTTAATTCAGCACCGGGATCCCGTCTGCGTTGATACTGAACATTCTTGCGCCAGAACACCACCAAGGATTTAACAGCTCCATTGGTACCTATCATAAGATCCAATCTAATATACAAAACTCGCAGAGCCGTGTGCGGAATCTGAAACATGCGCTGGAGAAAGCGAAGACCGGCTTGCTCTATACGAAGCCAGAGTTGAAGGGGCTAGCAACCTCCTCGCAGAAATACGATGATCTGATCCAGCTGTTCAGTCAGATTCAGGAGATTCAATCTCTTCCAGAAAAACTGGAGTCCCGAATCTCCGCCAAGCGATTCCTTGGGGCGGTCGAGGTACTGCACGATGCATTCAGGCTTTTGCGACGCTCAGAATTGGACAACATCGGCGCTCTAGCAGACATCCGCGCTTACTTCGCTAACCAAGAAATATCCCTTACGGACATTCTGGTGGAGGAGTTGCATGACCACCTCTACCTCAAATCTCCTTACTGTTCGTCTCGGTGGAAGGCGCCAGCTCAGGAAGGAGAAACCAACGGCGCAAATGCCTCCAGCTGGACTGGAGTAGGACCCTGGGAGAAGCCTGTGTATGCCTTTCTAGCAAAGTTGGACGCCTCCACACCTTTGATGGAGGATGCTTCGCGGAATCCAGAAGCTGATACATTTTACTACATTCGAATGCTGATTGAGGCGCTGAACAAAATGGGCCATCTGGACATTGCCATCGACCGCATTGAACAACGGCTTCCAGTTGAACTGTTCGCAGTGGTTGATAAGACGAACGCGGAGGTAGATGCGCGCCACCCGAATTTGACTCGCGGCTTCGCTTCTCAGGATAGCAAGACGAGTTTACCAACAGAGCTCATTCAGAAGCGCGGTCATGTGCTAACAGAGTTCTTGTGGACGCTTTATGCCAAATTTGAGGCCATTGCGGAAGGCCATCGAGTCGTCCACGATGTAATTGCTGGGATTGTGGAGCGTGAAGGTATTCCCAAGAACAGTGCACTGACTGGTGGCTTCAAAGAGCTGTGGAAGCTTTATCAGAGTGAGGTCAGTGTTTGTGTCTGAGTAGTAGATATCAACTTTCCTGGCGCGGTTGAACTAACGCTTCTCTACAGATTCGGTCTATCTTGCATGATTATCTGGCTACGGACGGAGAATCGTCCTTTCGACAGAGGGAAGAAGAGGCAGAGGCCAAACGCCAGATCTACTCCGGTCATCGAGACAAAAACAAGGTGTGTATAGTACTTTTGGCCATCAATGGGCGGCACTGACATTATGCAGAAACTGTTCAAATTATCGGAGACAGTTGAGAACAGCGAAATGCAAGTGGAGCAGGATGAACTCGACGAAATCCTCAAGTCTTCGGTTCCTGGTCTCGTATCCGAAACCAGACATGAGTATACCACAACTGATAATTCACGGAACGGGCAAGGAAATTCTGGAACTGGCCACAAGCTGCTGATCGAACCCAGCGTCTTCAATATGAGTCTCCTCCTTCCACCTTCACTCTCCTTCATCCAGCGCCTCAAGGATGTGGTGCCCGTCGATGCCGACATCGCTCTGAGCACTTTGACGTCATTTCTTGATGACTTTCTTATCAACGTTTTCCTGCCTCAGCTGGATGAGACCGCGACGGACCTCTGCACGCTTAGTTTCATTGCGCCAGATGCCTTCACGGAAGATCCTCAATGGGCAAAATGCGCTCCTCGACCGATTTTCAAGGCAAGTCAGCATCTTGATATTCTCTAGTTATAACGGCGCTGACAGGGAATTTGATAGGGAACGGCCAGATTCATGTCGATCGTTCGGGAGTTTAGCAAAATGCTGTCCAGTATTCCTCATGACCAGGCTTTCACACAGCTCTTAATCAGTCAGATTGTGACTTACTATGACAAATGCTGCGGATGGTATAAAGGTAAGGCCATGCAGCAAACTAGTATCCCCAATTCAAAAATCTCATAAGTTTGTACAGCAATCGTTACGAAGGTCTCCCCACGCAATAAGGGCGAAGTCCGCCTCAAAGCCGCTGCGGAAATGGCCGAGTCTGGCGAAGTCCATAACACAGTCAAGGAGCTCTGGGAAGGGACAGCGGACAATAAAAATGAACTGATCGACAAAGTAAGCGCATACCCTCTTTTATTAACGATACGCCGCTAAGCCTTCCAGGAAATTGAGCTTCTCCTCCGACGCGCAGACGAGGTGCCTCTCGAGCCGTACGACATCATATCCGATCCCAAAACAGTGGTGGCCTTGTCGCTTCTGTACAATAGCATGGTAGGTTATCTCTGCCCACTTTCGCCAAACAGCCTATCTCTAAAATAATGGCTAATTCTATATCAGCAATGGCTTGCGAGCCACCTCATCAAACTGCGAAAGGTCACAGCTTTCGAGTCACGGAACCCGCAGTCCGAAAGTAGAGCACCTCCTCGTCGATGGACTTTGGTCGGCGCCATGAGACCCAAACGTGATAGCATCAGCCAGCCAGTGTATCTGCCCTTAAATCAGGAGATGGCTAAAGCTTTTGATACCACTCTCCAGTCACTGCGCAATCTCGCCTCAACCGCTCTTTTTGCTCTTCATATCGATATTCGCTGCGGCATCATCCACATGCTTACTCGGACAATGGCTGGCCCGAATCCTCTCAACAATCGTAATTCAGAACCGACCACTCCGTCGCCGAACTCGAATATGAATTGGTGGCATATCCTTGTAAACCAACCGACTGCCGCATCACCCACAATCTTGGAATTGAACAACGACTTGATTGCCTTCGATACCAATATCATGACGTACATGGGATCAGCCGAACACTGGTTTATCACCTCGGGTCTCGCCAGGTTCATTGACCAAGCATTTGTCTCCTCCACTCGTCATATCGGCGCCATGAATGAGAACGGAGCGTTGCGACTGCAGTTGGATGTCCTTGTTTTACAACAGAATCTCAAGAATATCATCATCGAACCGACGTCAGATGCTGCTCAGGATCCCACTACGCAGGAACCAGAACATCCCCACGAGGTCGTCGCACTTCCTCGCAGTGCCAAATTCCTGGATTGGTTCCTGGATGGAGCTGAAAAAGCACTGGAGTACGCAAAGGACGAAAAGGAGCTCTTTGCTACGCAAGGCGAACAGGCACTGGCTGCTGGCAATGGCGAACCCTTGACCTACGGTGAACTCAAGGTCCTCGTAGATCTATGTTTTTCGGACGTTTTGAGAGGGCCCCGGGGTGCTGATAATCGGGAAGACTTTATGGCGGCAAAGAAAGCCAGTGCCGACGCCCTTTTGAACCTGAATGAAATCATGTGGGATTCCAGGTGATCTTGGGTCTCACCTGGCAAAGACGTCCTTCGCACGGTTTTATCAAGGGTCCCTTTCTCTTCTTTCGAACTTTCCTATACCCTTTCTTGCATGACCCAGACCTAGTGCTGGAACAGAAATCCGTTGACTGCGACCAGGCACCAGCCACTACTATCCCAATAGATGATACATTTTATGATGAATATAATTCATGGCAGTTGCATCCCAAGCGTTATCCTCATCCCTGCCATCTACTGTACTCTCTCTACCTCTTCAAGCCCACTCAAGCAGTAGTCGAGGCTGGCTAAGCACACCCCAGACCGGGCGCTTTTGACAATTCTGTACACGAGCCAACAGCTTACTAGAGTATAGGGGCATCTCTGCAAGGACCGTTGAGTATTTTGCCGTGTTATTATCCTCGCGGACCCACTAACTTCCGGCCATGGGTTCAGACCAACTGGTTGAGTTACCTACCCACTCCTCACTTTTGGGAAATTGAAGGCCAAGCCTGTCAAAAGAATTGCACGGAGCAAATATTCGATCGATAATGAACAGGTAAAGCTTCTGTTTCCCGTTCTCGGTTCGTCGGCTGGCTCCGGATCGCTCCCCTGGAGCTGTATTGTGAGCTTCATTGCTCGTGATCCACGCCGGTTGTTTCAGACTTTGCGATCTCATTTCGCTAGCGAATAATGGCTTGAATCCGAGAGCTGCCAGGATCACTCTGTGTGTGCGACTCATTAAATGGTCGACGCTATTGAATGGTAATTTCTTTTTAATCTCCTCGTGGTTCATCCTATGAGGATAGCTGGGATTAAGTGCCCTACAGGCCTGTCTGACCACCCATTATTAGCAGGATGACCAGGGTACTCAGACCATGGGAGAGGCCTTCTCGGCCTCTCCTTTTCCTCTTCGCGGTTATTAATCTCTTACTCCCCTTCCTCTCTCTCTCTCTCTTTCTTGCTCACTCCAAGTCATTCTTTGAGATATTCTGTCTGGCACAGTAACTTGTTTTTGATTCTGGGATTCGCATCCCGGACGTCCATTCATTACCTGAAGCACGAGCATAGCCTCCAGTCACTCTTTATCGAAATCGATTTCTAGCTGTCTAGCACAGACGAGTTGCCTTCTTTTGCTCTCGAAGTTCTTTAGATTCTCACCAATATCAGAAATCAACCATGAGATACCAGCGTCTTACAACTCTCGGCGTTGCCGCTCTAGGCGCAGCCGCATCGGTCTCTGCAAGCCCGCTCTTTCAAAGGGCTGAGAACCAGTGTCCTCCGGGATACACCATGAGCGTCTACTATGTGACGGTCACTGCGTCCCCCACGCCTTCAATTGAGCCCGTGACGACTCTCTCCTCGTCTTCGACCACCACGGTGACTACCACGGTGACCCCAGAGGCTCCTGCTAAGACCAGTTCATCTCTGGATGTTGAGTCTTCTGTGCCTGAGCGGACCCCGGTTGAGACACCTGTGGCCAGCGAACCCCCCGTTGTTCCATCTTCCTCTAGCACGAAACAGATTGTCGTTCCCACGGCCGAGCCTGTCCCTGTTCCCGTTCCCGAGCCTATTGAGCCCGCCCCCAGCAGCACCAAGACAACTGTCGCAACAGAGCCACATACCACTGCTGCTCCCCCCGTTGTTCCCTCTTCTTCTAGCACGAAACAGATTGTCATTCCCACGGCCGAGCCCGTCCCCGTCCCCGTTCGCGAGCCTATTGAGCCCGCCCCCAGCAGCACCAGGACAACTGTTGCCACAGAGCCACATACCACTGCTGCTCCCCCCGTGGCTGTGCCCCCTGCCACTGCCCCGCTTGCCGCTACCACCACCGCTGCCCCCCCTCCCCCCGCCAGCCGCCCGGCCGGCTCAAACTCCGGCAAAGCCACCTTCTACGGAGGCAATGTGTCCGGCGGCACCTGCTCTTTCAGCGGCTACAAGCTCCCCGCTGGCCTCTTCGGCACCGCTCTCTCCAAGGCTCGCTGGTCCGACGCCGCAGAATGCGGTGCCTGTGTCTCCGTGACCGGTCCTAACGGCAACTCCATCAAGGCCATGGTACGTTCCCCCAGCACCTCACAACCTTCTAGAAATTAGAAAAACCACCCCTGAACTAACACCCACCACCACCACCAGATCGTCGACCAATGCCCCGAGTGCGAGTCCAACCACCTCGACCTCTTCCAGGACGCCTTCGCCGAACTCGCCGACATCTCCAAGGGCATCATCGGCATCGACTGGTCCTACGTCCCCTGCGAGATCGACTCGCCCCTCGTCCTCAAGAACAAGGAGGGTACCTCCCGCTACTGGTTCTCCATGCAGGTGGTCAACGCCAACGAGCCCGTCGCCTCGCTCGAGGTCAGCACCAACGGCGGCAGCACCTGGCAGCCCACCACGAGAACTTACTACAACTTCTTCGAGAATGCCAGCGGGTTCGGTGCCGACACCGTCGATGTGCGTGTGACGGGTGTGTCTGGCAAGAGCCTCACGGTGAAGAACGTCGGCGTTGGCTCTAGCTCGTCGGTGACTGCTTCGTCGAATCTGTAGATTCGTATGTGAGGTTGTGGGTTCGTTTAACGTAGTTTGGCAGTACGCCGCGAAGATCTTGGCTGCCTTTTCTGTCCGCCTCGCCTGTATCGCCACGATAATCCTGCCCCTGCCGTCTTGCCTGGAGGGTTGGGGCGTCAGTACATCCCCCAAATCTTGCTTCATGTATATACTTTGATTACCATTCCATTGGACTTGCTTTTTTTTGGCTCCAACGAGTTGTCATTTGTCGAGATCCCGATGTGGTTTTGTAGACGCCCGCGTCAATCACGCGAGTTGAGTACCAGCTTCGGGCTGATGAACATACACAGCTTCGAAATTTCAGGGCTAATAATGGAACTACAGAGTTGAGTTGACCGCGATCAATATCAGAAATTTGAATTGCAATTCCCATAAGCGACATCGCAGGCTCCGTTCCCACCCTAGTTTCGCCGGTACATAAGAGAAGAATAACATACAAATAAGAATAATCGTTGAACAAGGGGATGAGGGGCGAACTGCGACAAAATCGACAACAAAAAGACTTCGAGCTTAAAGAATTAGGGCAGAAAATCAGCGGCCACCTCGTTCTTCCAGAGGTCAGGTGACCGGCGAGCTGTATCAACAAGGAGAATTCGGACCTGCGAGCAGCATAAAATCACGATGATGATATCTCAGAACGCGTCCAGTATGGAAGGCAACCGGACCAAAGAACAAGCGGAAGAGAAAGAGCGGGTATGTGAATCTCAGCCTCCCGACAAAGAACAGATCGTAGCACATGTATGGCCATGAGATAGGAATCAAATGAGAAATTAGACAGGAAAATAATCATCTACCCGGAAGGAAAAGCAAAGGATCAGACCTGGCCTTGGTCAACTTCAAGCGGCTCAAGCTCTTCGGCGTCGTAATCGTCAAACTCGAGGCCTGCATCGCGGCAACGTTGCAGCCATTTCTGCGCGATATCTCCACGACGATTGACCTCGAGCTTCAACTTCGAGTTTTGGGCACTGATCTCATTGATAGCATGACTGGTGGTCATGTTGTTCTGCTCCCACCGTTCACTCATCGCTTTTTTCTCATCGTGGAGCTGACAGATATACTCAATTGTACGCTGGAGAATGGCGCCCTTATTCTTGTCGCAATTGGGTACTAGACGAGCCAACTGATTGATACCTTCATTGATTGCTTCGCGGCGCCGACGTTCCACTAGATACCCTAGTGAGCTAAGATAGTTTAGGAGTTAGGCTGCCAACATACCTTCTTTATGGTTGTTCTTTCGAATCTGATGCCACTCAGGAGAACCAACAGATGGCTTCTGGTTCATACTCTGAGCTTCGCGCGCAGCGTAAACTGCTGCCGCAGTAGAATTGTGGCCGTGGGTAGGACCCATAGCTTGGCCCATGTCATCCCCAAACGTCAAGCTATGAGTGAGATTGTTGGCGTCAAACGTAGGCTCGGGAGGCGGTGGGTATTTGTTCTGAGGGTTGTGCGCAGCCAATGCGGCCTTGGCAGTGAGCGCGTTCTCATCTGACATGCCGTTCTGCGGTCCAACATGCTGGAGAATTTGCTGGTCGATGTTAAGTTCTGAAGTAGACGTGGGAAGACCGTGATCATAAGAGCCAAGCGAGCTGTGGGTGAAATTTTGGGTGTCAGGGGCCGGCATGCTGCCATTGCTCCCGTTGGAGGAGCGGTTCATGCGCTGGGGGTCCGGACCCGTGCTGTCATCGCCTTCACGCTTGCGCTTGTTCGTCAGGTTGCCATCTGAGGCGCCCAAAGACGGATCCGACATGATACCAGGTAGTCGAGGTGGTTACTCTGCAGGTCTGATGGAGTCAGAAACAAACTTCGCCGGAGAAGGACATATCGTAGCAATTCCACCTTTTCAGCAAGACAAGATTCAAAAACGCGGTGCTTTTAATCCTTTTTAGTCAGCTACCAGTTGCGAAATAGCATTCAGACAGGCTTTCTGTAAGTTCAGTTGTTAGTTCACAGCTCCAGCATGAGATGAGTTTGCTTGACACCCAAGGTATTCAAGCATCGATAAACAGCTTGAATCTAGAAAGGTGAGAGAACAAATTTAGATCAAAAATGCTTAACCAACAAACAATCACTAAACTCAAGGGTATCGATGGGTTGCTGGGTGAAAAGCGAATAAAAGTGAATAGTTGACGCGTGAGGCTTGACGCGCTTGCGCCCACATCATAGCATCAACAGACATTGGCGACTACTGAGTCCCAGAAACAATGCGATAAATATCTAATTTAGTAGGATCATGAATTTCGCGAAAGACATAGCAAGCATTTCATGTCAGTCAAAACAAAAGTCGGCTTATGGACGCAGAGTCGACATCAGAAGCGCGTCATGATGGTCTGCGACCGAGGTAACAGGGGGCAGAGAACAGCATCACAAATTGAGCCTTCTTGCCGGTTCACAGCGGACAGGCCAGAAAACACGAAGGTACGCATGTTAGATGCTTCTGGCGCCTCTTTAGAGGCCTCAAGATGGTGGAGTACAGAGAAGGGAAGATGAAAGCGAGATATACAAGACGCGCATTGAAAAGAGAGAGCTTGTCTGTACCTTGGGATGGGCTGTCTATCACCTGACAGCAAGTCACCTGCCACGGACAACAACAAGAGGTAGATGGACTGTAGTTCGATCGCAAAGACCAAGAACCGAATTTGACCGCGAGGAAAAGGTCAAGATGAGGATTTCCGCCGTAACGACAACGGACGGACCGGATTAGAAAAGGAACAGATCGAAGTGGCGGCTTTTACAGCAGAAAGAAGGGATATTGGGAGGAAGTAGAGAGAGTCGAGTAGTAGAGAGGACTGCTCACGTGGCGAGGGACAATGGACGAGAGCAGTCGAGGCAGCCGGTGCGGCGAGCAGCAGCGACCACAGGCGCAGATGAGTCACCTGACATCAATCTCTCCGTCATCAAGCCACCCCGTTAGCCTAGTATGTGTGATATGTCCAGTTCCAATATCGACCATCGAATGCCTCGATCTGCAACTCTCCAAAAGAAAGTGAAAAGAGGAGCTTCTAATCGTCTGTCTATCTAACTTCCCAATATTATCTTTCACTGCCCTCCTGCTTCGTTTGCGAAATGTCATGTGCTCCAATCCCGTGGCCCCCCTCATCAGCCAATACCCCCTCGTTCTCGCTGCTCATTGGTCAGCCGAAATGCCCTGAGCGGTTGTCGGAGACTCGGAGGAGGGGTTGACCCGGGATCACGTGGAGCTTCAACTCTCCTGAGTCGCTGGAGTATCTACGGAAGACGGATAGATACCAAGAACACATCAAGACGATTTCTTCCTCATTGCCGGGGAAACATAGGGTCTCGACATGCTGAAGGCTTTGCTAGGATGTACTGGAATATTCATGCAAGATGACATCCCTCGTCTGCCAAAGTCGACGGAACGCACTGTCTCATATCTTTCTCCCTGATTGTCATCCATTATTGGGATTGGAGAACCTTCAAGAGTCAAGCAAGACTCATAGGCTCCTTCGGTGGCTATCCCGGTCGGGCCGACCCTCCTTTAGGCTTTCTCTAGGGCAGCACGGTCCATCTGGACAATGCCGTCCTACAGTAGCGGGCTGTAGGCAAATGCACGCCATATTGACCTCCCCGTAGCTGCAGATCGGTTTGGTTTCTCGATGGCAGTCGTCTACCAGATATGGATTCATGCGCTGAGGGTCATAAATTCCCCACTACACTGCTTTCTAATATGTCACTGAATGTTGCAAGGTGCCAGTACAGTCTGGTTGAGCCCCCCCCTTTCCCTTATGGGGGAATACGCATCAAGGATAACTCACGACATACAGCCAACCGAACATACCCTGGAGGTAGTGTTTTATCTCGCCTAATATATCAAATCCATCGCAGCCTTTCTTGTTTGCAAGTCCTCCATTAGCTAGCTTTTGCTGGACTGTGATTTCATCTGACCTCTGGTGTCACATGTACGTCCGCTTATCAAACAAACTTTCCCAGTTTGACCGGATGCCCTTCCGCAGTGTCGATCGGGATCTTGAAGCTCACCATTTCAAAGTGGATAGATTACAAACTTCAAGAGACCGTTGCATCCAGCCACCGGAGTCCTTGCTCGACATGGGAAAGGACCACGGGATGATTGCTGATCAATCGGTCATGGGATATGCCGCGAAGACAGAAGATCACCCAATATCCAAATCAAGCAGTGCCGGCATTCTTTCTGACGGCCATGGAGGCTCGGTCAATATGATTTGCTCAAACAAACTGATCTAGAACCTGCGAGGAAATGGATGCGCCGGCATATAGACCACAGAACTGGTGCCTATCACATGGGTAGTTATTTGTATAACTGTGGCGAGTTTGACACCACCACATCTACGCCATCTCACCATTAGTATCTTCACAAAAATACTCATATGTGAGACAGCTAAATATCATTAAGCTTCTTGAGATCAGTCATATGTCTTGTTTAACATGCTAGATTGGAGATGTGAGATGGCAGCTGGCCAAATTTAAATCTATATACTTACAATCAACGTCATTCCAAACCCTAAAAAAATACAGAGCAACCCCCCCCCCTTCAATGCGCCGCCTTGACTAGACCAAAAGCCATCTTTGGGTCAGCCGTAGTATCTGCAAAGCAAATCCCCTCAGTCGTCGCACCCATCATGTCCCAACAAAGAATCTTAACATCAAACGGGGACTCCTCCTCCCCACCAGCATTATCACCCTGAGAAGACCCCTGCGGCCGCTGCGTAATGGCAATGATAGCGCTCGTCCCCGCATACCGCACCGATCCCTCCTCTCCACACCGATTGCCAAACACAATGACCACCTTCTTCCCCTCTGCAGCGCCACCGCCACCATCGAGGTCAAGTTCATGCCTCAGACGCTCCTTCACCAGCGGCAAAAACCGCTGAATCCAATAGTTGAACGTATTCAAGTCCGGCTTGTCCGCCAGCGCAGCAAGCTCCTCCTGGCTCATAAACGTCGTCCACGCCATCGAGAGAATAACCAACTGAGACCGCGAGTCCAGCACCTTGTTCGCAAACTCCCACGCCGTAAACGGCGCCTGGAACTTGTACGGGTTGATGTCCATGCATATCCCGAAGGAGGTCGCAATAATGCTCTTCGCCATCCCGGGCCCATTAAATACAAGCTCGTGGAAGCTGCGCCCCGCATCGCCCTCCGCGGCCCACGTCTCGTCCGTGTAGTAGAGGAAAGCCTTGCGGTAGTTCAGCACCATCTCGCCCTTCTCGTCCACCACAAGCAGCGAGTTGTAGCATTTCTCGTCTGCGTCCGCGCCCCCGGCCTCGATCTCGATCTCGGGGTATCCCACGCAGACCTTACACTTGAGGCGCGTGGCGGTCTCGCGCGCCCAGGCCGCCGAGACACCCTTCCCGGCCGGTTCGAGGAACGGCCGAATAGCATCCAGCGAGGGGAAGTTATATCCTGTATTTCGCATTCTGAGCATAGCATTCCCCAATCCCAACGATCCATTTCTAGGATAGGGCGGCGATGTAATACTAACCTGTCAGAGCGAGTTCTGGTAGAACAAGGATATCTGGCTTCAAGGACTCGATACCGGGTCCGTAGCTGGGCTTGCCAAGCACGCTGCCGTGCTGGAGCAACTCGTTGGCCCTCTTGATGTTGCCTTGGACATCACCCACCGTCGGGGCAAATTGGAGTGTGGCTATTTTCATTCCTCTGCGTTGGAGCCGACATACACGCACTGGTGGGGAGAAGAGCTTTGCCTGTCTGTTTATTGTCAGAGGAGTGGGTTTATGGAGGCCGATGAAGAGTAATTGGTGGTACCTACCTTGAACTATTGATCAAAGCCGAGGGGGCAAGATGCCGTTGGAGTGGTCCAACATGAAAAGTGAAAATTTTGAAGAAAGAAATGGCGAAAAGCTATTATCTTAGCTATTAGTAAACAGATTCGATAGTTTCAACTCTCTAAATCGACTCTATCGTTGACGCATCCAGATTGTTGTGATATGAAGGATACTAGCCTGGGCCTGATTGGGACGTTGAACGGGCAATCATGTGACATCTCGATACCTGAGGCAACCAGTATGCATTAATTGGTCAATGGAGAGAAAACCGTCTCTACGGGGATTTGGCGCAAAGTATGATCAATTGAATGTTCAAAGTATCTGTTTCCAGAGCTATAGGGTATTCGCCTGACGTATGCAATGACACTCTTCCAGCGCCAAACTGTAAAACCCAAAATGTAGCATGATACATCCTTCAAAGTGAATATTCTTGACAAGCCACAAGAACTCAAGATTCGCGCACAACGCCATCGATGCATATGTAACATTCGTGTCAAAAGAGTAATGGAGAATCCGCCAAAGTCTGTTCAATATGGCGAGAGTGCAAAATAGGAGTCGCTTAATGGAACATGTCCATCCAAAATTATGATAAAATAGGTGAAATCCAGACAAGACACGCTCATTCCTTGCTTTGCGCCTTTTTAGGTTTCTCAGGCGTGAAGTTTAATGGCTTATATGCCAGTCCCTTTCCTCCGGTAAGTCGAATTCTCTGTTCTGTTCGAGACAATGTACGGCCAAGTCCCAAGTCCCTGTCAGGAGCAAGGGCAACATCGTACCCGTGAACAGAATAGGAATGGGGTGACTGGCTCCTGGAAAAAGAGTGTGTTGATGAGATACTGCTGTGAGGACTGAAAGCTGAGCTTCGGGGCTCGGGATGCGTAGACCAGTGATCTAGGAGTCTGGGACCGCTTCGAAGGGATTCTGCAGCAATTCGCGCAGCCGAAAGAAGCAGCTCGTCTTCGTCGACTTGAGTCGGCTTTGGTGCCGGCGGCTTCTCTTCCGTCAAAGGTTTCCGGGCAGTCATTGCCTCAATCTGTTCCAATATTGGAAGTTTAGGGAGAGGCTTAATTGAAGAAAGAGCCATAGACACTTTCTTTGGAGCTCGCGCTTCGGGTTTTGAGATCTTAGGCGCCTTTGGCTCGCTTTCGATCGGCTCTTTTTCATCTTCGTTGAACACCCGTTTGCGACTCGCTGAGAACTGCTGTCTCCTCAGATCAGCAGCCTTTTTGAGAGTTTCAAGCCACGCGAGACGTTGCGAATCGGATTCAGGCGCTGTAGATGTGGCATTAGTGAAGGCTCGACCACGAATATTACGGCACAGAGCTGGAAATGCGACTTACAGAGTGCTTCATCTTCAGTGGCTGCAGGCTCAACGGAGATAGGAACTTCTTCTTTAGCATGATCCGGAGCTTGTGGTTTAGCAAGGTCGTGAGGCGACGAGACAAGAGCAGGTGCAGGTAGGCTAGCCTGTATTATAACTGAATCTGACTTTTGTTTTTCGGCAATCGTCTCCACGGCAGGCGACGTAGACTCGCTCGTAGAAGAAATTTGCTCAAATATCGGCTTCTGCTCTGAGGTTTTCAATTCCTCGACAGTTTGGGCAGTGGAGAGTTCCGATTTCTCCTGGAGTGTCTTTATATCTACAGGCTTTGCCAATGCGAATCCATTGCTTGATTGAACAGAAGGGAAAAGACTTGGTGTATCTAGTGACATATATTAGAATCAGAAGATAGACAAAGGGATACTATCACAAAGACTGCAGGCAGACGTACCGTTCTTGATCGGAGCGAATATATTCTGAGGCTGTGCAAAAGGAGAGGATGGCGCTGGTGTGGATTCCACGGGTTTGAAGAGAGTGGGTTGGGGCTTCTCCTCCTTTGGCTTTTCGGAATTGGTCTCTTGGCCAGACAAGCTGAATATAGAGGAGCTTGACGCTCCAGAAGCTGAAAATGGCCTGGTGGTATTGAAAAGACCGGTTGAGGGCTGGCTCGCAGTCGACGTAGAAGCCTGTCCAAAGGTGGAAGCTGTGGAGGTTGAAGGGATACCAAAGGGTGAAGTTGAAGGTGCGGTAGTAGATTGAAAGGGACTCGGGAAATTGAGCTGAGGGGTGCTTGGAGCAGGAGTCGCGTCAGGTTGTGAAGGCGTCAGATTGCTTGTTCCTGCTGAAAAGATCGAAGTCCTCTGTTGGCTGCTGGACACAGAAGGGAATGTTGAAGGTTTTTGCTCTGCCACAGGAGGCTTGACAGCCGAGAATGGGGAAGAGATGTTAGCAAATGGGTTAGCCGGGGTAGGTGCTGGCGCTGGGGCAGCAATCGGGCCTCCCCCAGAGAAAAGAGAGGAGAAAGTATTCGTCGGCTCGGAAGGCTGGGCAATACTTGGGGCTTCAGAGACCGGAAACCCCGCTGTAGGACTGCTTTGCACTGGCGTGGTTTCCGCACTTGTAGCGCTCTGCGGAACTTCTTTGAATGCGTTGCGCAAGCTGGAAGCTGATGCGGGCGACTGTGTAAAGATAGGACCCTGAACGTTTCCGTTTGTCTGAATAGTAGGCGGCTGCATTCCATCATCCCCCATTTCGTTGTCGTCATCGCTCACAAACAGGGAATCGTCGTTACCAGAAGATCCTAGCCCGATGGCAGGTTGTATCAGTGAGCGTGGGGACAGCAGAGAACTATCGATCATTCCCAGACTTGCTGCTTCTTTGATACTCAACCCGAGGATAATCGCGACCAATGTTCTACCTGCACGTTTTGATTCGACGTACTTCTCTGAAAATGAGTGGTCGGACGATGGCTGGAAGGCTGTGGATTCAATTTGTCAGTCGGTGTTATCATGAGGCTGAGATATACCAGCGCAAGGCAGAACCATATGGCGGTCTCCGAAAAAAAGCGAGGACCGAGTCAACAGACTAAGGAAAGGAGGCGAGATCGTTGTCGAGAATCACACGTACCAACTGAGTCAACGGGGCGGCTGCCCCAGTTGAGATAGAGGTCACCTTGGGCATTTTCGGCAAACTCCAGGTCCTGTTCCTCGCAATACTGAATTGTCTGCTCGTCGTCGTCAAAGTGCAGGACTCTGGTGAGCTCTTCAACAGTCCATTCTTCGTTCTTGTGCTGCTGAGACGCCGGATAACGACAATAACCCTTCCATATTGATCGAATGGCTGTCTGGCGCATATGGTTGAAATAAGTTTCGGCAACGCATGCCATCATATACGAGACGGCGGGAGAGTCAACCAAGTTGAAGAAGCGAGCATAAAAGCCTTGTGCGATGGCGTTGGGTCGTTTAGCATCGAGCGTACCCTGGTACTCCCAGGTGTTGCCAGCAGCGGCGAACAGCTCGAGGGCTACCTGAACCCGAGGCGAACTTCTAAGTTCTGCCGGCCATCTCTGAACACGGGCTTCCAAATCGGGTCTCTGGTCATGGATGGAGAAGATGATGTAGTATGCGCGAAACTCATCTTCGTTTGGGAAGTTGATCCGACCTCGGTTGTCATCGTAGTAGTACATCAACGATAACATGGTATTGTTAAGTTGTTCCCGTTCCTGGTGGCGGTCAAAGGGCTCTTCGTTCGCCGGGCTAGAGAGTAAATGGAGAGACACGATATGAAACCGCGCTATCCGCTCAAGACATGTCACAGCTACTTTCACATCCTCCTCCTGCGTAAGCTGCTGGACAGAGAAATCATTGCGAATGGATCGTGTCCGATCCCAGACAAACTTGTGGATCAAACCGAGAGGTTCTGGGCCGCCAAGTACATGTCGAATCAGATAGTTGATTGTCTGAAGGAGTGCCTTCGGAGTACGAATATCAGAAGGGAGCTGTTCGTCGTAGCCGGCAGCTGATCTCCTGAAGCGTTTGAGCATTTTCATCTCCATATTCTGCAATGAGTCGGTTTTGGGATGAAGATACTGCCCGACATCAATAATTGGAAAGAAACTTCAGGGTGGTACACTGTCCAATCATTACCTTTTCGCTCTTGTCAACCATTTTCTGCACGATGCGCTCAACCCGCTCAAATTCGGGGCACATGCTTGTACATGTACCAACGGGAGTGATAGCTTGATTCAAGGACGTAGGCTGGTTGGGATCTGCCATCTGACCTAGCCTGATTGCCTGCTCCCTCTGCTTGGCTCTCTCTAGTTTGAGCTGTCAAGTGTCAGAACATGTGCACTTCCTAACCCCAGAAAAACCCAATGTACAACTACGTACCTTCTCATAACGATCATTGTAGCTGTTCAGGACCGCCATGTTTTCCACCGGTACCGCAGATCCTGCCGAGCCATTCATCTGATTCGAAGAGAAACGTAGTCGAGGATCCCGAGCCGAATCGACCATACTTCCAGCAAATCCGGACGGCGCCCCAAACACGCCAGGCGCAGCCTTCGCAGCTCCCGGAAATCCTGGCTTCGACTGGCCGGCCTGCGTACCGAATGCCGATGGAGAGGGTATGTTCTGCTTCAACTGGGCAAAAGGCGACGCCGCCCCTCCTGGGGGAGCTCCCTGCGAATCCGGTTTGCGCCAAGTATTGGTTCCCGGACCAGCTCCTCGCCCACGACCACGGCTAGATCTTGCTGCTGACGCGCCGCGTCCTCGTCCACGAGGTTTGGAATCGGAGGCTGCATTGGTCGGTTTCGGTTGATAAGGGGTGCCGCGACTGAATGGTCCACCGCGTCCTCGGCCTGCTGAGCCCGTTGTCCCATTATTCTGAGCGAGGCCAGCGAATGGGTTCGCTGGGCCCGCCATCCTGCGAGCAGCGAGGTAAAAACCTCGGGCGAGGCTAATAGCCTTTCAATTAAGTTTTTTTTTAGAAAAATCACTCTATCTTCGGGGGTCGTCTGATCTCGATTTGTTCGTTTGTTTCGGGGATGGAGGAGAGATTGACAGCGAACAATAGAAGCTGGTGGATGGAAAGAATCTAAAACAGCTGACTTCCGACAGCCGTTGACGGGGCGTAGCAGCGCAGTTAGCTTAAGAGCCATACCAAAGGAGAATATCGAGGCAAGACGGAAGAAAGTGACGGAGTTCGTTTTTCGCGCAAATAATCAAGACCTGGACCAGAGAAGAATCGTGACGCAATACCTTTAGACCTGTATATCGATTGTAACGCGTCCTATTTCGAGGAGCCAGCACGGAGTTGTGAGTCTTGCGGAAGGATGGGCGCAGCGCACAGGGTCGTTGATTGCTGAGTACTTCGACTTGATTGCGTGAGGAGAGGAGACCGCCGGGTCAACAGCCATCGAAATCAGGTCGCGAACCCTCTGGGGGGGGGAAGGCTAGTCAGACTCGATGCAGAATTTTGGGATATGTCGATTATTCAGTTCATGATGTTTATTTGTTCGGGCGTGGCAGTCCGGCGGAGAGGGGCGATATAGGTTCTTTGTCTCCGTCCGTTGCTCTTGGAGGCTTGGAGCTGTCTTGAGACACACTATCACAACCGCGGAACGGCGCCAATCATGAGGATGGAGGCGCCAGTTACCGCGCGTCTGGCATTCTGCCAAAAGATCGACATAGTATTCAGTTAGGGACACCATGATACCAACAAACTACAATTTCGAGATTATGTCAAGTTGATAAATATAATATGTATAATCTTTTGATGGCTAAATACAAAAAATGACAATTGACTATATCCTCATCCCTTATGAAGTTCCGATATGCTTCGCTACTCCTGGTTCTGCCAGAAGAGACCAGCTCCACCACAAGCGCCTTGCTGATAATAGACAAAAGAAACACAAAAAAAAAAAAAAACATGACATATTTGCAACCCACATCCATGCCGCACCATTGCCAACAAACATTTTTGTCGAACGTATGTATAAGCGGAACAACTCCAATATAGACAACTGCAGGACATATATACCGAACGAGATGACCTTCGAACATGCCACTATTAACAATGTCAATGGCTTTGATAGACATGGAACAACAACAAAATAAACAATAATAAACAATAAACCGAAACTCCACATCTGCAAGACGTTCATGAAAGTGACCGAGAGGATCCTTTCGTCCAGGTCGTGAATGTGGCGTCTATGCTGAGCCGATGCAACGCAGGTTAGCCGCTCGGTTCAAAACTCAGCTAGATGGGGAGGACTGTAATGATTCATGGTGGTGGCCCAGGGACCCATTGCGATAAGATTGGCCCCGGATGCCCATGCCATCCATACTAGCTGGCCTGTCCTGTGACATATTTGGAAGGCCGTGGGTCAATTGAGACATGTCTTGGGGGTGAGATGATGGGGCGATAGGAAGTTGATAATGAATGCTGGGTTGTGACAGGGTGTGGTTGGGTGCAACACCGTATTCAAGGGGGTTGAAGACAGTCTGGTGGCGAAAAGACGGCGTCCAAGGATCAAAGCTGGCCGAATGCTGCATAGGTAGTGGCACTTGACGATGGTGGGAAATAGCCTCCGGAGCTGTTGATGAGGGCATCGATGTTTGAGACAAATAATCAAAAGTGGCCGCGCTGTCGTTTGAACCAACCAACGATGTCGTCGCGGGGTTTCTCAGCATCGGTTGCGATGAGAAATCTTCGGGAAACTCGGAAGCCGCCTGGAAGAAAGCCCGATCGTCTCTGGGTACTTCACCAAAAGAAAGCGACTCTGGTAGAGGAAACAATTGATTTCTGTCGACCCCGAGCTGCAGTGGGCGACTGGGTGCTGGCATTGCCATCTGCTCGACTGAAGTGGTGACTAACCCAGATGTGTTCGCCTCCAATTGTTGGGTAGGCATCTCGTCCTCGGCGTTCTCGTCCTCCTGTTCAGCCCTCTGCTCTGGGTCGAAGACGGACTCCGAATCCTTCTCTTGTTTCGGGTTTGATTCGCGGTTGACAACATACACAATAGTGTTGGCATCTGAAATGTGTCAATGTCTGGCCGAGAAAACCAGTCCGGGGACACATACCGACTTCTCCTCTTTCGAATCGTTCCTCCATCCTTCTTACTCTAAAAACTTCATCAAGAATCTGAAGTCTGTGCGGGCCTCTGAGTTGCCGCTTGCAGTCATGGGCGATTTCCTGCAGTTGATCCGTCGTGATGCCAAACCGTTCAAGCTTTCGAATGATATGAATCAAAAGGTTCAAGCGTTCTGTTCCCATGTGAGTAAACAATTTCAGTGCCAGTATCTATCAATGTGGGATACATACGATCCTTCCGAAGGTGATCAGGTTCCTTGTGTACGACATGGGGAGGCCACCATTCAGGCTTCGTCTTCTCTGGATCACCCCGCTCACCTGGGGGGGCTCCAGCTGGAGGCTTCCCTCCATTGTAGGGATGCTTGACTTGTTTCCTTGGCTCAATGAACTTGATGAAAGCCTTCGCAATCTGGCGACAGTTGAGTTGTTGGAAGTGCTTCAATGCTCGTTCATAGTAGTCAATGACTTTGGGAGTGTTTCCAATCTCGAGTCCCACCATGTCTGTTGATGCGCATGGTTCTTCCTCAATGGGAGTAGGGAACTGTGCTGGGGATGCATGTACACCGTACAAAGGATGAGCAGGCGAATGTCTGCGCCGCTTGTTCTGGCGGTAAGGCAAGTGTCCAAGCTGCTGGGGCCCATAACCATGGGCAGTGACCATTGAGTTCGAGAGTTCTGTTTCCAAAAAAAAAAAAAAAAGGTCAACAAAGATGTCACATTACGGTCAAGACTTTACTTACTTCGAACCATAGGGCGTTGGTAACCGATCTTAGCCCCAAGAATTTCCAGAAATCTGTCACGGACCTCAGGTGTGAAAATGGTTCCGTTCTGCTCTTGCATTGATGGAGACTCGGTGACTTTTAGTGTGCCCATGTTGTCGAGGTAGATCATGGCGTAGTGGGCATAGGGAATGTTGATGGATGAACGCATGGAGTAGCCCATAGGCTGTACAGTTGTCCAGTCAGCTTTGTCCTGGCTTGACCAGTGGTGCACTTACCGGTGCGCTTTCCCAGCTATGGCCATCGTCCTGCATACATGAGGCAGGCCGCTTGCTGGGGCCTGTCCCAGCAGGGGGTCCATTGAACACCATTTTGTGCGATTGGGGAGAGGGAGTCGTCAAAGGCAAGTCAAGTCCGAATGTGTCAAGAGATACACGGGACTATTTCGAGTCGGAAGGCGGTGCAAGATACGCCTGGTGGTTTGGGTTTCGGCGAGATAAAGTTCAGCACATACAGATATGCTCTTCTGAGTTGCAGCGAGGGACGAATAACAGCGGGTGCGGTGGTTATTTGTAGTTTCTCAGGCGATGTTGCTGCTATTCTCCAGCAGGACTAGGGCCAGTTGTTTGGAGATCGTGACGAGGCTGCAGAGATCCAGGATTGGAAACCCTGGGGACAACGCCAAAGGCCACTGGTCAGCATTGGCTCGATCTCTTGGAAGGATGCAGGACGCTTGAAGTCTCAACGGGAAAGACATGCAGCAATCAGACAGAGCTAAGAGCTTGTCGAGGATTGCCAGCAGGGAAGATCGCACGGCTGTTCGAGTCTACCAATCCCACCATCCCGGGGATGGTTCGTCGCTGGGCGAGCGAGACGAACGGGTCCCGAGGCGAGTTTTGGACGCCGCATCACAAACAGAAAACGGGAGGGGTAGAATGCGTGATAACTGATAAGTGACGACATGCTACTCACAAGATGCAGCAGGACAAGAACGGGGGGGCACAAACACCCAGCGTGATGCAAGCACAGGCAATCAGGGTCGACCCGGTGGGTTGGCGATACTGCAAGATGGATGCTGGCAACCGAGATTGGCACACAGATGGACGGGTGTGACAGGACAATGGAGGTAATTTGGACCCTTTCTTTGTCTTCTTCTGTCGGGTATATGCGTGGGTAAACGAGGATGGTGACACGAACGGGGGGGGGTTGTGTTCTTAAGTCAAGAAGGGAAGACGATGGCTGGTTTGGTTTGACCGAAGAGTGAAGTCCAAGGATTGCTCGAACTGAGTCAAGGATCTTTGTAGAAAAAAGAAGTCTATAGAAGAGAAGTAGAAGAAGAAGAACAAGACATTTGAGACGGGGGGGGAATGGCAGTTTTTCAGTGTTCGCGAAGATGGAGAGTGGTCATGGTCATGATGGGCTTTCTGATAGCGATCGAACCTGGACAGAAGAACTAGATCCTGGCATCTGGGACTTTTTTTTTGATGTTTTTATTATAATAATAATTATTATTATTTTCGTTTTCTTTTCTTGTGTAGGAATATTCTTATTAAAGTATTATTATTATTATCAAAAAAATAATTATTATATTATAAGTATGGCGATTATTATTTTCAGCGAATCTCTACCATCAAATCGATGGAGCATCCCGATTTGGCATTTGAGACTCTCCAGCTTGGTGGATGACCCGCCAACATGGATGATCCTGGAGCGCATCAAACTCGAAACACCAGAGAGAATAATAGGTAGATAGAATAGATAGTACTTCTTGACACTGACAGATATATAACAAGCTACCATTGACTAAGTACAGCAGGTTAAAAAAAAAAAAAAAAAAACACCGGGGCCAGCGCTGGCTGCACCTCTGAGGCAAGAGCATGCAGTAGAGTACTTCTTTTCTTGTACTTGTTCTATCTATTTTCTTTTTTTAATTTTAATTTTGTTTTGATTTCCAGGTTATTTGAGTAATAATACTATCACATATTTAATATTAAAAATATTTCAATATTTCTCTCTCTTCAAGCGTTTCCCGTAGAATTTCCTCAGTATCCGCTTGTTTGTAGATCGTTCATACCCACTCCCCATGCCCCATGTATTCAGTATTCGCGGACTACATCGACAGTACTTCAGTAAATCCATATGTATACTCTCCAGGCTTTGTTCGGAGGAGCCACTGAAGAAAGCACCGTGGCGTATCGATAATTGCCCACAAGCCTGTTTGTGTTACATTGAAATCCTACAGTTTGACATTCTCATTCATGCCTCCTATATATCTAGACAGTATGACAGCCCTTATCGTTCTAAGCTAGCTCTCACAGCCCAGTTTTTCTCTAGACCCCGTACCCACGGGGTAGAAGGTACTCGCTCAGAATACCCAAGAATGGTCACAGCCTATCGGCAGAATAAGAATTCCAATATGATGGCTTAAAATAGTGATCGATGACAAAAGCACCCGATCAAAAATTTTGGGGGGGGGGGGATTGATTTAGTTGATCGACTAGTTCGGGGTAGGCAGGACTCTAACAGCCACTTGATCCTTTAGTGAACGCCTAGGGATGGGCTTTCCGGGACGCCATTTGCACCGGTCTCTTCTGTGTCAGGATGCGTTGTTATTGGTACATAGTTGCCTGCCAAGTTTGTTTGGTTGTTCGTCCCTAATTGCTGGAAAACTGACTGGATGATTTATCCCCTGGTGCTTTGTCATGGTTTTATACGGAGTATGTCTTCTATACTAGTGGGTTGGAGCAGACGAGTTTGAGATTACTAGTATTCTATTCTCTCTACTTAAAGGGAAAGAGCACTTGAAAACCTCAAAGGTTCTTTAGTCATCCAATCCTAGGCCCCGCTCTTGTTTCTTGTACTTCTGTTGTCCTTGTACATATTATTGCTAGTCTACTGAATGGAAGCAACACTAGGTACGATCATAGGTATGTGCTTATCGAGCTCCAAAGTCAAACAAACAGTCGGTAGACTTAAAACATACACCATCACAGCTCATAGCCTCTCATTCCCATCAGCCTTCCCAAGCTTCCGTACTTACACTTTGTCCATCAGTAGTAGATCATCCCCGGCCCAGAACCCAGGCACAGCACCATTCGTAACAAACCTTGCCTGAAGATACCCGTGCACAGGCCCGCCCCTTCAGGGCGCTGTTCGACCATCATATCCTTGTGCCACAGTGCCACTCCCACTTTCCCACATTGTGTACGCTTGGACCATGTTCTTTCGATCCTTGACCAAGATAGTCAGGAGTAAGGTCAGCATCGCCATCATCATAAACTTTGTACCTTTTACCCTTGTGGGTTGCTGGCACATGTGTACATGGTACATGTGGTTTTTCTTTTCCCACTGCACGGTTCATGTGCCTGTACCTCTCGTACCTACACTGGAAAAGAAGTGCCCAGCAAGACTCTATCTACCGCGCAAACCAACAACCAACATATGTTCGCAGCAATCTTCGTACTCGGTAATCGGTGGCTCGGTTCTGGGATATTCGATAGACAGGACAGTGGCTGTTCTCGATCGAGGCTCGGGCTTGCCGATATCGCCACCGTCACCTGATCCGCCTCATAGGTAGTGTCTCCATAGTAAAGATCGTGGTTTTTGCAATCTCATCGAACTCATTCAAATCCAGGGGGTGGGAAGATACTCTGTGGGCTCTGCTACCGATGGTAATGTGAAACAGCTCTCCCCCCCCATCGAGCTGAGTCTGGAAGTAAGTGTGGTCCTATCGCCAGGACGCATCTGTAGGTCATCCATGCTTCTAGGTGTTTCGGAACCGCCCTGTGGGTTACAGTATAGCTACCTTTGCAATCCCCGCCATCGACCTTACCCACACTCCTTAATATCAACCGTACTTCTGCACACTGGGCACCAATGGCATCATAATGACAAGGAATAAATGAACTCTTCTCCAGCTCCCCAAAGACCCAAGCTTTCTCCAAAGAAAGCCATCACTGCGAAGTTTCCGGACGGCAAAAATTGCCAATTAGGGAATTTAGCTCACACTCCGGCTCAGTATCAAAGTACGGAATGAAATTACGATGGGCCAAAGGGAAGGAAGCGGACCCGCCCCTCTGATCACGGACGGATCTAAATCGTATTATGCCCCGGGGGGCTAGCTGAGAGGGTACGGACCAATGGTAGAGCTGAGAGAGAGCTCCCTTTGGGGATTTGCCTCCCCCCTCCCGGGGCTCGGCTCTCTGAGGGAGCGATTTCTGGGGAATGGTTGTGCCCCGAGTCTCTGGGAAGGGCGAGGAATCCAAGGTTCTGGATGTAGGCTTGAAATGGTCCCAAGAATCGTGATATCGCCATGGCTCGAATTTGGGTTTTGTGTGGTGCTAGGGCTTGACTCGGTGTCAGGCTGTAAGAATTTACGAAGTATGTATGTACATAAGCAGCTACCTACCTAGATACCCTGGTTAGGGGTGTGGTCTATTGGAGCTGAATACGGTGCGAGGTCATGAGGTGCAGGTGCAGGGATTTTACAGACTACAGAGTCAGAGTACCTACAGACTACAGTACTCTCGTTCTAAACCAATAGTTAGTAGTCACTCAATCGAAAACAATGAAATGCGAACTCAATGATGGAGATCATAAAGTATAGGACTAAAGTAGATCATTTAATCCATTCAAATCATCCTAACCATTAATCAAGGTGAAAGGGCAAGGAGGAAGGGAAACTGTTTGACTATTATTATTGACAGTGTGACATTTCTTGACGAGGGGTGGTGGGCCATTTGTCTTGTTAGGCCACTATCACACTACACTACCTGATATTACGCACTCGGAGAGACAAAGAAAAAGCAACACTACGACTATCCAAGCCAGGCGTCGGACATTAAACGTCAGTCATAATACTGGACGGTTGACGGTTGACAGCTTGACAGTTGACATACATAACGGACGACTATCGATGCTTCACGTCATGAATGATCTCAAACCTGGCCTCAATCCTTCCTGAAGAGCGAGGGCCTCAGTTTAGCTTCTTGTCGGGAACCCAGAGGAAAGGTAAAGTGAATCCCAAACAGCACTAAGAGCCCTAGCACTTGCCCGCAGTGATTCCTAATAGGGGTAATTTGTCATGATCCTGGTTTATCCAGAAACCTTACATAGCCACTTAAGTAGTGGTTAGTGCTTGCACAGTTGCACCACTGTTGGGACTTAAGGAACAAGAGTGAAGCGTGACTCGTAGTCCTGGCCCGTGTGCTCGATGTCTCGGGTAATCGGGGCTGTTCAGAGCCTTAGGCGCCCGCTGATACGGTACTCTTATAGTTTATCCTTGGCCGTATCGCTAGTGGCCGTCGGGGGTTGACAACTTGACAGGCTAGTTTCAATCCCATAACATGGTGTAAATAATACTTTCCTTAGA